GGACTGGATGGCGGCTCGAGGATCTTTCAGACGCTCCGTGAGCGCCTGTCAACGGGCTGAGGGGCCCCAGTTTCATACAAGGTAACGTACTAACAAGTGCACGAATGGGAGGGCAGAGAACTAGTCCGCCCAATGCAATGAACACACTATATTCCCAGTGCCAACTCTTTTTAGATGACGAAAATATTTAGCGATGATCTGACGTTGGGCTTCGAAGCCCTGCGTCTTGTTTTGTTCAAATGGGATTTCGTTGATCGTTGGCCCAATACAACGACCAATGCGGCGTTATTAGTCTCCGGCTCGTTCCTATGATCTGAGAACTCCCGGTGGGCTTGGCTATCCCTGACTAAATGTTATGCTACTGGTGACTTGGAACATGCAACACAAAACACCCTTCTGTCGTTATCCCCGAGAGACTGGGTCGTACATCGATTCAAACGGATGAGAGGAATGGAAGGGCGGGTCGGTCTAGAAACCGAGGAATGGTTCATGATCATCGCCGGCACGTTCCCAGGGATTACCAAGTATCAGGATAGACTCGGCCCCATTTTTGCTGCTTAAAGCCAAGCTAACAAACCTTGACACTAGGCGGCAGTGCCGTCAGCTAATGCACCGTTCGCTGTATCGCATATGACCTACTTTGCCTTTGAGGATCCAGAAGCGCCCGACAGAGTGGATCAAGTGAAATACAGTCTCGCCGGTAGCACTGCACACCCCGGCCCCGTCATAGTCGCCTAGTTTTTCGTGTGGCTAATTTGAATAGAGGCTCCGCTGTCATTCAGCGGCTGAGGCGCCAGATGACCGAAAATCAAAATTGGTTGCCTTTGGTGCCTTCACCAAGGTCAACAGCGTTTCCTACGTTACAAGCCCGGTACAGATGAAATGATGGAATGGGAACTTAGGCCAAGGATCAAAGAACCGCAAAAAGCAACAAAGAAAAGAAAAAGGAAAAAAGAAAAAAAAGAAAATTCTATCAGATCAGATAGACCCCTAACATTACCCGTTACGTCCAGACCGGAGACGCGAATCAATATAAGGGAGCCGAATAAAAAGAAAATTGATGGGCATGAAGATCCCAAAATCTCTGCAGAAAAGTCGACTGGAATTCAACCCAGCCCTTGCTGGATACAGGCCAGATGAAAGCCCCTGCATTACAGATTCCCAAGGTACGGGAATGGATCGTCGGCGGTTCCCGCTGTCAGTCAAACCAAAAGCCATTTAGCCAGCAATTCGGCGACGGGTTTCCAACATAATCTTTTTGCACTGTGTACACCGAAGTGGCTCCAACCTTGGCGACCAATGTGCATACAGTATGTTACGGCGCCAAGTGGCTTGCTTAGTTAGGTCTGACGATGACAAACTCTCCCCTCAAAACTTCAAGTGGGGGTGGCCAGGTCAAGATCAGCGAGAACCTCGTTGGATTCCCTTCCCTCGGGACTCTTTCGGTGGATTGATTCATTTCCCCCTTCACCGCTTGTCCGATAGCCATGGGTTGGATTGGATGATCGGATGCAAACTGGGCCGATTCTGCAGATTTCCGACAGGGATGCTAATTTCCCTATGTACAAAGGTACGAGTAGATGTGGGAACCCAGCTTCAGTCCCTCGCTGGTTTCCGGGACGAACAAAGCAGATGCAGCCCTGAATCTTGGAGGCCGATGCGGAAAAGATATCCACTCTAAGAATTTTGACTGTGGAGGTGTGGGTTCTTCCTTGGGCTCCACTTTCAGTGTCTCCTTCCAAAATGTCGGGACTCTACGCCGTACGCCTCCAAATTTGCAAACAAGCGGCATACGTGATATCCACATGGGCGCAGGATAGACCATGCAGAAGTGAACGTGACCAAGTCAATTCTCCGAGTGGGTATCCTTTACAGATCGGGCTCCACCATGACCACGACCGCTACATGAGACATGGACAACGTGAGGCAATAGGCAGGTCGCCAACTTCTCTGTATCACACACCGTCTTGCCAAATACGAGCCAGAACGAGAGCCAGGAGGTATATCATTAATCCGAGCAAGACTGTTATGGTGGGATTGACGGTTTCCATGAAAAGGATGATATGGCCCTCGGTCCTGTTTTTAGGTTCACAAGTGCTTGCGCCCTGACTTTCCCAGAGATTGCGGACGTCAGAGTTTTAAGCAAGAAAAGTCCGAAAATTTCTGCCCCTCCATATATTACATGACCTCATTACAGTATGTTCATGCATGTCCCATGGGGCAGAGGGACGGCCCCCTCCCGAAAGAGGAGCAAAGCATCCAAATCGTCGGGTCTGGACAGGGATGTCCATCTGTTAGTCCGGGGCTGTGACGCCGTTTGGCTCTGAACCCAGCGCCATGGTTCACCTCTCGGGAAGCCAGGACCTCAACGTGAGTGCGACTAACCTTATTAGTCGTAGTCTAAAATACTGCTCTAGAATCACGGCTGAGTGTGTCTGGTCCTACAATCTTAGATGTTGTGGTGTTCCTCAACGACCTTCCTAAGAAGTACGATTCCGGTACGGGGTCTGAAAGCCCAGCCGCTAATGATCGAAGCTAATCCGAAAACATACATGCAAAAGCGAGGAATCTCCTGGCAACCAGGACCAATATCAGAGCCAGGAAGGTGGCAAAGGCCGTCAAGTTACACCACGGCGCTTCAAATAGGGAAAAGGGGTAAAGATTCTCACCATTCCCAGTAAGCCCCCACCAATACCAAACACACGGTCCTGGGAATAATCTAAATTTTCAACGTGAAAGTAAATCGTAAAGAAAAAAATCAAATTCAAAATCAAAATTAAAAATTCCTAGCGTCCCTTCCCCTCGGGTCTCAGCCCCAGCGCCCCCTCATTGAGACCTTTAAGTGGGCTGAGCCGATCTTCGGTCGTATCGAGTGGACGTGTACTCCATAGTGTTACTTTCTTTTTCCTCAGTTCTGTTGTCCTTGTAACCCTGGCTCCACTGCGGTACAACCTACAGTATGATATGAGGGGGAAATGTGATTGACCTCGGAGGGTTGTCTTGTTGGTCTTTGGACTGGTAGCCCTTCCCGGTCTTAGGTGATTGGGATGTCCTAGTTGCGTTGAGTACCCATCCTCATGATATTACTTATGGTATATGGAACTGCAGATAGAAAATCTATATCTCGTGGGCCTCAGGAAAGGATAAGGAGACATTCGAAGTGAGTCAGCTAAATATCCAGAACATATGGATAACATCCAGAACGAAGAATCAAGAATCCTCGAAAATCAAAAATCAAGGATCAAGGATCGAGAATCAAGAATCAAGAATCTGCCTCTTAATCCTATGCGCTCTAGAGCTAAGAGAGAGCCGAGACTGACGCACAGGCTCCCAACACTAAGCACATTTGTTTTCTACTGTAGTTCAACGACCTACTGCACAAAGCACATGGGCTCAGGCTACGCCTTAATGCACCGTTGCTGAACTACTGTACGAGATCCCTGTGCGAACTAGGCCTGTTCTGATTACTGCGGGTTGTGTTCTTGCCACCCTACCCCTCCATGCATCCTTTACTGCGGGTCTACTCCGGACATGGTAGAACCCGACACCCGGGCTCTATTACGAGTTTTATGCATTAGCTTCGTATAGATTACGATGAACGTGTGACTGTTCGGTTCGGTGTACAGCAAGCGACTTTCTGTGGTCTGTGTGCCAGGCAATCTATACATGCATATATACACCTGCACTTGGAGTACGTATGACCGTTGTCGCTGAGGTGTGGCTTAGCTCAAGCGAGCTGTGGTTCGTGGCGACCTCCGGATTTCGAGGTTCGTATCTGACTTGTACCTTTAAGGCGGGTGTATGGACGTGGACCCGGGTCTGGTGACCCGGTCACTCGGATCCGCGGCGATCTCGAAGAGATTTTGCCAGCGCCACTGGGTTTTGTATCCCCGGTCTTGGGTTCAGTTTATACTTTGATCTGCGCTGGTATTTGGGCCCCGGGTCATTGGGATTCCGAATATCTCGTGTTGGGCTCCAATCTTGGAAGGTCAATATCGTTGAAGTTCTCAGGTTGAAAAACTGGTAATATCAATGCGTATTTCTACATCCCAAATTGGAAATGGTATGAAGGCGTACGGAGACTTAGAAAAACTCTTATGTCTTCATTCATGCCATTTAAAGTATTCAAATCAGTTGTCCCGTTGAACAGCTTCGTGACGGGCTCATTGCAAAAGCACAATCCAAAGACCTTCATACCGTGTGTCAAAGTCCTTAGTGTCAGACGTGAAGTTGAAAACACTCAAAATGGATCCTAAACAATTTATTAAATGGCTTGCGATCAATTGATATTGAATATCTCAACTCAACAAATGAAGACTTTGGCAAGAGGGTAGAGTTTTCAGCTTGAAATTACGCTTGATATCAATATTGGAAGATGTTAACCTCGTCTTCTCTCAATACAATTCTTAAAACATGTGTTCTCGTCTGACCAAGGAGAAGGAAAGCTTCAAAGAGTAAGGATTCTTGACAATGTTGAAAATAACTATGTCAACGTTTACTCGAAGTATGGGAGATATTCAACGTTATGCTAGTGTGGAGAAGCCGTAGAAACTGAAGAAAACAGGGCAAGTCGGGGGTTTGGTTGAAAGCCAAACCTTAGCAAGAATTGTGTTATTGAAACCTTTAGCTACGACGTACAATAGAGTGGTCATTAATGCCATACCCTTGGAATGGGTCGAGATTTTCCATAATTTGTAGACGGAAATAATCAGTCAAAGTCGTTGATAAAATCTCTAGTATAAAAGAACCCGCAGGTTTCTGGATGTAATCAAGGACGCCTTAGTACAGGCACCAGGTCTTCTACTTATATAACAAATAAAATAAGCATCTTCATTTCATCATCACCATCGCCTGAGTTGAGTTGGATATATAACACGTAAATCACAATAAAGAAGCAGCGCATCCCAAGCACCCCGGTACGCATATTGGTAGGGGGTTAGATGCAACATTTGAGACGAATAAAAGGTAGAGCACACCTTTCTTAAACAATTTGGCCCGGTTTACCGGACATCCTCGCGTCCAGTCGTATACTTGATACCCGCCTCCACAATCTGCATGAAAGTTGCAATTTCGGCATCATTCCTTGGCGCATATATCAACAGAAACTCCGCAGGGAGATCGTACATCGTCCCAAAACTCAGCACCGACAAGGCCCTCCTGCCCGAAAAGCCATGCCGCTGGCCCCAGCCCGCCTCAATAGCCTTCATGCCTGTCAAGTGTCAGTACTAGATCATCAAAAACAAGCAAGGAATCAATCGAAAAAAGATCAAACTTACAATCAGCAGGCGCCAAAAGCATATGCCCCGAAAAGTCGCCATTCGCATGTAAATGCGCAAGCTCCCCATGCGTCGTCTTCACAACATCGGAAGCTGGAAGGTGATTCGACAAGAATAGAGCATCAGCATGCGCTTCCTGACCCGAGCGCTGGAATTTAACAAGATGGTGATTCCGATGACCGAACGCCTTGAACGCAGCTTGCAGTTTCTTCGCCATAACCCAGTTAGCAGGCATTTCTTACTCATAATCCCCGTGTAACCAACTCACATCTTTAATCTCCTCGTCCGGTAATTGCGTCAACTGCCTCTGAGGCGCAGCATGCGGTCCAACGACTGGCCTTTCCCCAGAGCGCACTTGTTCCGGCGCAAGAGTAAGGAACCCCGCTTCGCCGGCTCCGTGTCCTTCAAGCGCATGTACTCGCTGCACGTATATCTCCGTCCCGAACATCTCGCCCATGAAAGGCTGGAAGATCGCGCGCACGATCAGCCATCCGAATACATTGCTTGGTACGCCGCCTGCTCCGTAGGAGCGGAAGATGCGGTAGTCGCGGTAGAGTGTGGGGAGGATGAGGGAGGTGCCGATTGCGGCTGTTGTGCCTAGGGCGAGGGCGAAGCGCTCTTGTTGGGTTTGGGGAAGGCGGATTGGGAGGGTGCGAAGGTATTTTGTTATTTGGTCGTAGGACATTGTTTTGATTTTGGTATGGAGATTGGTAACTTGGGTTTCGTACGGGTTGTTTCCAGGGATGAAGTGGTCAGTTTCCGGGTTACCCGCTATGGAATGATGTGATGTACAGGAAGTGAGAGAATAAATAGCTGAGGGGTTGGGTAAGTAAAGGATTAAATGTCGCGCCAAAAAGACCGATAGCGACGGACAATCGGGGTTTGAAGGTCCGAGTCCGCGAGTGTTCTTTTCTTTTCTTTTCTTTTTCTAGACTTCGTCTACATTCTTTCAATGAGCAGTTCCTTAGGTCTTATATAGAAGGTCTTATACAGAAGGCTTTCCTGATACCACTCAATTATTTCAACATGGAATGTTCCTTCATTTCTCCAGGTCGGAGCTATCTTATCGCTGGCTCCGAGATCCACCGCGGGCCCCACAAGTCCAGCAGACCATCTCAATGGGGTATGTCATGCGGCTGAATATGGTATGATGCGATGGGGCCATGAATTCCTACCGGACTTCGGTTTTGGGGCGCCTCTGCAAGGATCAAGCCATTGAAGCTTGGTGCCCGAGGATACGGAGATCATAAAAAAGGCCGTGTCCGGGTCACAGAATATGGAAAACTTGGTATCAGTTGGGACTCCAGAGCGCTAGGAATGCAAGCTGCAGTAAAAGAGATTGGCTGCGATGTCGTCATTTCTCAATCCTCTTTGCTAATGGAGCTAAGGGAATGTGCAAGCTTCAGGAGAACAACACTCTCAGTGGCGGCGAAGTAATTGAGACTATTTTCGTCAGTTGTGGTTCTTTGTGAGGCCTTAGGAAGACTGACCTGTCCATCAGAATCCGCAGGTGGCGGTTGAAATGATCTTCATATCGCTTAAGTGTGTCCTCGAGCTTGCCAATCCGAGTGGGATCATATGGTCTGGCTTCAGCTCCTGTGGCTGTCTCTCCAGACAAGTCGGGGTCAGCGGAAGCTAGGGCACGCGTGAGGGACGCAGCGGTCCATGATGCAAACATAGTACAACAAGTCATCAACTTAGAATGAATCTGTAGTCGAATCAGCAACTGTATGGTGAAAAGCCAAGGATCTTCGCATACCTTCAATAGCTTCGCCTGGGTAAGCATACACTCCTTCAAACAGGTGTCTAAGAAATCCACGTGGTCCTGCATCAGCTCATCTACCGTCCGGTTGACCTGTTTGGTACCGTTCACGGTCACTTCGGAACCTTCGGCATCAGCTCCATTCACTCGGTCCATCAATCCTACCCAGTTGGGTTCTATCACTTCAGCAGTACAAAAATACAGTAATTGCTGCACAAACACGAGCATCTTGGCCCGCAAGTTCCACGCACGACGCTTCCACATCTCCAGCCGTCTATCAGATGATTTGTGTCGCCAACTCGTCAACTTGTTCTGGTCTGCCCAGGAGGTGACTAGCAGTGTTTCCAAATGGCGCAGGGACAGAAGATGGCGGAAGATAAGTTGGTATCGCAACACAGTCTTCCGACTGATGACGAGAGAGAGGGGGAATGGCACTGTATAGTCCAGCTCCAGCGCATCAAATCCCACAATATCTTTCTCATCATCCGCAGCTTGAGCGGCAGAGGCCTGTTGTTTCTCAATTGCGGCCTCTGGGTGATCTTGGTCAATCCCAGAGACGCTAACTACTTGCATCAACCATTTGGTGAGCCCAATCTTGTTCATTCGTACTTTAACGTCCTCCTTGAATGGGTCTTGTGCAGCGATACTCCCCGGCTGTCGGAGCACAAGGTCAAGTAGTGACTGAAGTTTTCCTTCATTGACAGACCTAGCGGGTTTGCGTAATTCGGATGCGCTCAGTTCGAGGAAGTAAGAAAAGAAATCAGAGCGATCCAGGAAGAAATAGTGCTTGAGGGAGCGGAAACGAGTTGTCAAGGAGTTTTTGGTGAGAAGGAGGTTCAGTAGAGAGGCATTGGCGTAGGTGTAAGCGCCATTGACATTCTCCAAGAATCGGGGATCATCAAGTGTCTTGGGCACATCCTTGACGGCTTTGCTGATATCCACACCACCACATTCTCGTACCACGTTGAGATACTTTCCTGCAAGAAGTACCTTGTCTCGAACACTATCAAGCTGCGGTGGAATCTCATCATTGCGAATTGTGTAACGTTTCTCCCAATACTCGTCTGTATAGTCTTCTTCAAGCTTCTCCCGTTTGATCCACTTCTGCTCTTTGATCAAAAATTCTCCGTGAGGGTCTCGTATTCCTCCATGGTGTAGCCATTCATTCAACATGTTCATGTAGGGTCGACTGGCATCCCGTAGCAGTCCCTGGACTAAAGTCTTGGTGGTTGGATCGCCTGCAAAAGTATTCAAGCGCTCTGTGAGCAGCCGAAGGACATTTCCACCCTTGCAAATCTTCTTACTTGCCATCGCGCCAGGTACCAGATCGCCGCCTTCTCTTAGTTGTTCCAGGATATTGTCGACGTCATCGAAATCGTCTATTGACTCGTCCATATCTTGATCTTCTAGAAGGCCATTGCGACGGAGGAGTTCTTGCCCTAAAGAGTATAATTGTCCAAGGCACTGGCTCGTCGAAATTGTGTGCAGATGAAGTTGGTGTAGCGTGAATGTGGGACTGTTCAGCAGCTGGCCTTCCAGCTGGGCGATGAGAATCAAATAGTCCTTTAGAATCTTGCGAATCGATGCGCAGAGCGCATGGCTAACCGCGCCATATTCGGCACGACTCAGCAGCTCCACGAAGGCCTCCATAGCGCTGTAATGGGTGGCCATCTTCAACATTGACTGTGTCAGATCACGCAAGGTAGGATCTAGACCCGGAGCCAGTTGGAAGACCGGACCAGTCAGCCGGTCTTTTTCAGCGGATGGATCGTAAGAGCTGTGGTAGTGGATGTATTGGCCTTCGAAGCCCATGAACACAAACAGTAGATCCTCCAGCACGGCCGTTTCTTGGGCATCGGGTGAAAGGTCTCGGAACGGTTGAGGGTAAAGTGCCGGGGGAATTGTCGCAGCCGATGGAGGAACAGAGACACGACAGGCGAGAGGGGCAGTGGAATGAGGAATCAATGATGCTTGCGGATCCCATGGTGCTATAGAGAACTTGTCAATACGGTTCGTTTGGCTCAAGTAGTCATGCGAAGCGGATGCAACATAGTTGAGGAATAACTAACTTTCAACCGCGTCTTTCTCCCGTATAGGGCCTCCAGAACCTGCGCCATCAAGCTGGCTGGGGTATTTGGGTCGGGACTTATCGCGATCACCGCGATTGGCCGCGCTTGACGACTCCTTGATGGGATTCCTCCGCACTGATTTCTCTCTAGTTGTGACGGTAGTGCGCTCCGTACGTTTTTCCGACATGCTTCTCTGGTCCCGGGACATTCTGTGCTTTTGACTGGCGGTGCTGGACCGTAGAGCATCCATGTGGTCGGGGAGCGGCGATGCGCCGCGAGGCCCAGCCTCGACGCGATTGGAGACAACGCGGGGTCGTGGAGCGTTCATGTAGCTGGCGCGGTCATTGACGGACATAATCCCGACAGGGCGTATAGCATGGCATAAAGCCTAGAAAGTCAATTCAAGCCGAGCTGCTCTGTAAGCTCCGGGAAAATCAACGAAAAGTAGTAATTGCAATGCAAACAAAACCGTGGAACTCCACTTAGCAACCCTTGGGCGCTGCGTGCCTTGGTGCCTTATCCGCCAGGTGTCCAACAGGCACTGACGACTTGCGTAGAGCTTCCGCCTCGAACAGCTCCGCTACCTGCTCACACCTCCCATCCATCTCTCAATACTTCCTTCCTCCTATACCTTGCTCTAGATATCCCTTGACTTCTTGATCTGTTGAGTTTTATCCTCTAAGGCTATTCAATATGTTCATTGCACGATCCGAATATGGTAAGCTCTGTCCCTCCAGACCATCACCCGCAGCATCACTAACAGCTTCCCGATAGACCGTGGAATCAAGTACGCATTCTGAACAAGGCTCCTCGCTACTCCAATCCAAACCGATCGAACTAACAATGTCATCGCAAACAGCACCTTCTCCCCCGAAGGTCGTCTGTTCCAGGTTGAATACTCTCTCGAAGCTATTAAGCTAGGATCCACAGCCATCGGAGTATGTCTACCCTGTCTTTTTCGGATGAATGAATACCGCATCATTATTTCGCACACTCTCCTTGCTCCATGTTGTCTTAGCCCCTATAATTTGCCCTCAACTAAAACAATATAGGTCGCAACATCGGAGGGAGTCATCCTTGGCGTTGAGAAGCGCGTTACATCTACCCTGCTCGAAGCATCATCTGTCGAGAAGATCGTCGAAATCGACCAGCACATTGGCTGCGCCATGTCCGGCCTCCAGGCCGACGCCCGAAACCTGGTTGAGCACGCCCGCGTCGAATGCCAGAACCACGCTTTCAACTACGCCGAGCCGCTGCGCGTCGAGAGTACCACACAGGCAATTTGTGACTTGGCTCTCCGGTTCGGAGAGAGTGGTGATGATGAGGAGAGCGTGATGTCTAGACCTTTTGGTGTTGCGTTGTTAATTGCCGGTTATGACGAGGATGGGCCTCAGCTGTACGTTTGGCCTTGAAGCCTCACACCTTTCTTTCGCTAATGACTTTTCCCCTGCAGATATCACGCTGAGCCTTCAGGTACTTTCTACCGATATGATGCTAAGGCTATCGGCTCCGGAAGCGAAGGTGCCCAGGCAGAGTTGCAGAACGAATACCACCGCTCTTTGACTCTTGCTGAGGCCGAGACGCTGGTGCTGAAGACACTGAAGCAGGTTATGGAGGAGAAGCTTGATTCCAAGAACGTGCAGTTGGCAAGTGTTACCAAAGAGAAGGGATTCCGCATCTACGATGATGAGGAGATGGGCCGGGCTGTTGCACAGCTTGGTGGAAACCAATAGATACTGCCTAAAGTTGAAAGTGAGTTCTAACAGAGCTCGGTGAGCATTTTACGTTGTCATTTGAAAGTATTGTGTCCAATACGTAGAGCTCTTGATATTATTTGAGTGCTGAACACATCCGTTCCGAGGTGGGAGACCGGCTCCGGAAGTAAACACTCAGTTGATAGAACTATAGTAAGAGTATTAAGTACGGTAGTAAATCGAGCTGATCATGCTGGAAGTTCCAAAGGAAAATTTATAATAAGGCCGACGGAGTTTCGAATTCAAACATAACTTTTTGGTATCTCAATATGGAACTACCGGATCTTATACACACAGGGCTTGAGCACCTGAGCTTCCTGCTCCGGTGTCATGGTATTGCCGGCATCCGGCTTGCGGTCGACAAAACGCTTCTTGCCAGCAGCAGGAGCAGGAGCACCAACGCCAGCATACTTACCCTTCGCGGGGGCACCATTTGCCTTGATGAACTCCATCTTCACAAACATCTTGTTTGACTTCTCGACTGACTCCTGCTTGAGGATAAATCCACGAGACCGGAAGACCTCAATGAAAGCAGAGATATCAGTGTCATCACTGTTATCAGCAGGACGAGCATCCTCAGCGAAGATGTCAGCATCATCCTCATCATCCTCATCATCTCCAGCCTTCTTCTTCGGTAGCTTCTTCTGTTGGGTCTTGCTAAGGGGCTTCTGGGCTCCAATCTGCGCCTTCTTGCGAGTCACTTTGCCGAATCGGCTCTTCACCTCGCTGACCCAGCACTCGCCCTTGCCGTCGCCGCGCAGCACACGCCAGGCTTCCTCCACAAAGGACACCCAGTTGGTTCCCATCAGACTCAGACAGAAGACTGTCACGTCAACGGATCCATCTTCAAGGGGCAGGTTGGAGATGTCTGCCTTGGTGATGAGGGGATCCGGTGCTTGGAGATCGTAGCTCTTCAGCTTAATATTCAACTTCTTCGCGGAAGGAGTCAAAGCGCGCGCAAGTCCGGCATCACCACAGCCCAAATCGGCGATAGTGCATGATCCGTTGGGTCTGCGGGGAAGAGGCTGCGGCTTATTGGGATTGGCCTTCATTCCTCTCTTGGGAACGGGCACAGCGCCACGACGGCGGACAAACTGGATATAGCCATCCACCGGGTTGGAGGGCCAGGATTCTTTTACCTGGCGGGAGAAACCAGCGTGGTATTCGCTGAAGAGCTCTGGGTTGGCATTGAATAGTTCAACGGCTTTGGAGGAATCGGTGGTGTACAGTGTTTCGTTCAAGTGGCGGAAGCGAGAGGAGATCAGTTTCTGGCGCATTGCTTGCTGGAGCGGGGTCAGAGTTGCTGTGGTTGGTGGAGGTGCAACCACGGCGTCGGCTGCAGCAATTGTTTCAGCGGCAGGCGCAGCGGCAGAGCCATCCTTCTGGTCCTTGTTCTTTTTGTTCTTCTTCTGCTTCTTCTGGGGAGCGCTTTCATCCCCCTGGACTGCTGGTGCAGAGGCGGTTTCTTCGGTCTCGTTCGTCACAGCAGGTTCAGTCTCCTCGGTAGCAGGCTTCTCTTTCTTCTCCTTCTTCTTTCTGTCGCGTTTGGCAGGTTTGGGAACATGGCCCTCGATGTGCTTGCGGTACATATCATTGACATTGCTGCCGGTGACGCTGTCATTGCCACGCTTGCGCTTGTTGTTTCCATTTTTGCCATTTGGGGTGGAGGATTCCTTGGACTTAGAATCGTTGGGCTTTGCGGTCTCGGTCTCGCGCTTGGGGCCGCTTGAAAGCGACCATCCTGGGACAGCAAACATTGTAGGACTGTGATAATGGTTCGCTGGAGAATTGGCTTCAATCCAAGGTAGACCTCCAGCCAAACTTTTGGATAAACGGAGAATGCAGAACTGCGGAGATAAAAAAAAAAAAGTCGCCGGCAGAAAATCATCTCCACACGTATTGTGTAAGATTAATACGATAATTACCAATAATACCACATTTCTGCCATGATTAATCAGGCACAAAAGCTCGGTTCACCAACCTACCATAGCTACGAACTATGTGTAGATTCAAAAGTAACAGAAATCAAAGAAACGTCATTTTCTATTTTCATGTTTCTTCCTGCATGATTCTGGGTTTTTAACTCCTCGAGTTTTTCAGGCTGTGTGCAGCTAAAACCTTGGCGTGCAACCGCTATCAGCATTGGCCCATCAATTTAATTTTAGCCTGGAATAAGCTCTGCCATTAGCGTTGGGCCCTTAATAAAGGCAGGGGGATTAAGCCAGACCGAGCCATGTGGTCAGGGGGCTTATTGTCAGATCTTACGGCTGAACGAGAACAGGAGTGTAGAGAGGGAGAATCAGCCATAAGCTAGGATGCACAAAAAAGCTGAAGGGATCATAGATACAATGTCACACATGGTTGATCGCGGGTGATCTCCTGCTCGGCACCGATGCCCTGTGGAGTTGGAAATTGGATCGGATCCAGACTCTCGTTGCCTCCGCCGTCAACTATCCCCTCTAAGAACCCTTTTCCCCGTTCCTTCTCTCTCTGTCACCCCAGCCCCACCATGTCTTTAAGCCAGGCTGACAATTGCCGATAAAAATTGGTTTAATCCACGCGACCATGGCTGACGAGGAAGCCCAAGCATCCGACTCTGGTAACGGCCGTTCTGCCGAGCCGGGAAGAACCCAAACGCCCCGCAGACTTCCTAAGAAACGCACCAAAACAGGTTGTTTAAGTACGTCAAAGTGGTGAAAATGCGGGCCTGCTTTATTCCAAGTTCAATATTGACCATTTCCGTTAGCTTGTCGGAAACGTCGTATTAAATGTGGCGAAGAGAAGCCCACATGTGCTAACTGTGTAAAGTCCAAGCGTAGCTGCGAAGGCTATGCCCAGAGGGTGGTCTTCAAGAACCCTCTGGGAATCTTGGGGCCATATGGCCCGCCGCAAGTACAGGATGATCAGATGCAGCAGCAGAATATGCGAGTTCCGCTCTATAATGATTTTGCCTCGCTGCCGCCTCAACAGGCGGCGGCGGCTGCACAACATCCCATGTTGGCACCGCGACTAGATGGTCACATGCTTTCAGGGTACCAGTATCCTGCTCCAACAGCTGCAGTATCTGGAAGGGTTCAACCTGATACGCAGCAGATGGTTGACCATTCGCAGTTTTATTACCCAGCACTTCCGGCGCAGGTACCTCAGCAATGGCCTGATCACTCAACAGGGCAAATTGGGCCAGGGACACTTCCCTCTGACCTCAATTACGGGCAACTTCAGCCTCAGCTTGCTGGCCAGAATAACCAAAATATCCAACATAATGTGGTGAATTCTCAGCTGCCACAGCCCATTACCGACTGGGCAAGTATCACAAACCAGAACTATGCCAGGAATCCTTTACCCCAGGTAAGATATGCTCTGAAAGCTTAGAAGATATCTCTGCTGAGAACATACAGTCCTTTCAGTCTACGAATACAACCTACCATTACCCACAGTTTCCTGAACAGTCTCTGCAGCCTACTACCCCTGGACATTACTTCCCGCCTTCTCAACCGCAGATTGTATATGTTGAAGATGAAGCTGAAGATTATTATGACGTCGACTCTGACGAGGAACTGGAGGACCAAACTCAGACAGAGGGCTTTAACCAGCTCAGTCTCATCATGTCTTCTGCCAATCATGATGACCGTCAAATGCGTTCCTTTACTACTCACCTGAACGAACCAAATATCCTGTCCTCATACCACCCGTCGCTGGGATCATCGCCGCTCAACAACCCCAAGACAGCCCGTATTTTCGCGCACTTTATCCATTCGACAGCTCCCTCGTTGTCGGTTTTCGAGAGGCACCCAACCGATTCTTCGATCAACTTGGGCTGCGTAATTCCACCCGCTCAACAAGGTCTGTGGACTTATACACTTGCCCTCAAAGCGTTAGAACATCCGGCTCTCCTACAAGCCATCCTCGCCGTCAGCAGCTTGCATATTGCATACCTGCAACAGGCCCCCACTACCGTCTCCTTGAAGCATTACCACTATGCCTTGAAACGTCTAGGCCGTGCCGTTGGTCTTCCAGGTCGACGGAAACAGATTGGCACTATGGCGGCTACTCAACTTCTGGCCTATTACGAGGTCATGTCGGCTGATCACAGTAAATGGAATAGTCATGTGGCCGGGTCTGCTCAGTTGATCCGAGAAATTGATTTTGCGGGTCTGGCTCGAGACCTTCGTGCTCACCGGCGCAGGGTTAATGAACAGCGAGCTCAAATGGGGTGGTCTAACACGCCGGGGCAATATTACCATTCTTATCGTAGCGAAGTATCTGAAGATGACCCCTTCTCTGAAAAAGAAAATGCCATCGATCAAGCTCTAATTAGCTCTATAATGGGGCAAGTCGTTAACTACGACGAGTTTGGCCATATTGAAGGCCACTATCAATCACCAAGGAAGCACTTTTCTCGGAAAGACATTGAGAGCTTCCGCATCCAGTGCGACTTGTATTGGTGGTTCACCAAACAAGACGTGTTTCTTAGTTTGATCAGTGGTGAAAAGACATTGTAAGTCTTCTGATCACACAAAGACTGATTTCACGTGCTAACTTTGTCTTAAGTATGCCTCAATATCTTCGAAGCCAATGTCCCCCTCGAGCCGCGGTCGGTCGAATAGATGCAGTCTATGGCTCTGCTGATCACCTTTGGCTACTGCTTGGCCGTATATCTGATTTTGGAGAACGGGACCGCAGGCGAAAGCTTAAGAATTCCCGTGCATCGGGGATAGCCTGGAGGCCAGGCCAAGAGCTCTTTAGGTTCATGGGCCGTTTTGCTGGTGGCAGTGGACCGCCTGGGGGATCAAGACCTGGACCTCATGGACCGGCAGGGCCGCCAGGGCCACCTTCATCTGGCTCGTCTAACTCTAATCTCGGAAGTAGCCCTGGTGCCCCTTCAGAGTCCTCACAGGAAAGCCCACCAACCCAAGGTCCACCTTCGAGCCCACCAGGTCCACCGGGTGGGCCCCCAATGTACGGTATGGTGCCTCCGCAACCTCCAGCTCAAGTACCTACAGCATTCGTTTATGATAGACGTGGGCAACCCAAAACACCGGAAGAGGAGGACCATAGTGAGGAAGCTACATATGCTGAGGCAGAGCGTGAATGGGAAGAAATCCTTGTTGCTATGGATGCCTATGTTCAGGCGCTGGGTCGAGACTTCCAGCCACTGCCCGCAGATGTGACAACCGTCATTGATTCTCCATTTGGACCGGCCCTGCAATACCGTACACACACCATCGCCGTAGTCTGGGCAATGTATTACGCTGGACGAATCCTACTGCACCGCCTCCACCCTTGTCTGCCCCCAGCTATGATGATGGCTGCCGGTGTAGCCGCTCCTACAACTGCAGATTACGCACAGATGATAGGCCGCATCACGGCCGGTATCTATTACCCACAACGCTACAACCTCCAAGCTGGTAGTTTGAGCCCGACCCTCGGTTCTTCGCTGACGGAGATGACTCTACCGATATTCTTTGCTGGTGTGCAGTATGTCAATCATGCGCAGCGGGTTTGGACCATTGCGAAATTGAGGGAAGTCTCGCGGCTTACTGGGTGGAAAACTTCTGATGCTATCGCAGGTGGATGCGAGAGCTCTTGGATTATTGCGGCTAAACATGGACGGGGACCTCCATATGAGCGATCTTTCATGAGTGAACGTGAGCGTCACCGTGATGATCCTGATGATCCTGTAAGTGGTGAAAATCTGATTGATGCGTGGCTCATGACTAATTTTCTCCAGCCACAGTATGTTATCGACAGAGAGGCGGAAGCATTGTATAGTGATGATCGGCGGTTTGTCACCTTTAAGCCGCCCGACCGCGCATTTTTGGCCATGGGGCTCTTGAGTCTGGAAGGTGACTTACAAAATCTAGAACTGTAAGGAATCCAGACTAGCTAATGAGACTTGTCACTCTATTGCATGCATATGTGCCCTACCACCCAAGTTCTGTCAAGTATCTACTCTTAGTCCTCGTATCCCTATAGGCTATAGATAGCCCACCTCACATACCCTTGCGTCTAGTAGCCACTTTCCATACGGACTATGAAACCTGCCGGGTGATATTTTCCAGCCACAGGGTCGTCAGTTTAACCCGGGTGCGCTCGGTGTCAAGGGCGCAGCATATACATGTACAACGTACCTACATTAGGCATGATGACATACAGTAGTACAGACTAAAAGGGACTAAGTGTGGCGGAGACCAACTCCCCACACCAAAGCAAACAAAAGCCAATGTCATCATTGCCTTGGCTTCTGCCTGAAGAGTAAAATCTCGATCTCGACGTGCAAGCTGAAACCTACGCCACATTCCTATCTTCAACATTCTTAGCCCTGGTATCTGACCTTCCCTCCACCCTCACACGTGGTTGACGCCGACCCCACCATCAGCGGCCCGAGTCAGCCGCCCTCGTCATAATCCACGGTTCACCTCCTCCTCACAAGGCACTCTCAATAAACAAACAAACCCCGGTCAAATCTGCCTCGTTCCACACCACTGAAAACATGTCTCGCTACGAGGATTATCGCTCGTCATCGGGCACCCTCGACTCTCGCGACCGATATGACAGATACTCGCGAGGACCACCAGTAATGGAACGTGAACGAGCCCGCTCACGACCCCGCCACATGGAAGATGAACGCTTCGAATTCAGATTCCAAGAAGAAGATCGCTACGGTCCGCCCGCACGCGCTCCGGGCCGTCACTACGAAGACGAGCACCTGGTTCACACATCCGGACCCCTGGTGGCGTCTGACCGTCGCCGTCGCCGAGACGAGAGTCCATCCTTCGCTCCGCCACGTTTAATTAGGCGACAGTCGTCCCTTGATACCTTTGATCGTATTCCTAGACGCAAGATGGAGCCTGCGCCTAGGGCTCCGAGGGTGCCTCAGCCACCGCTGCGGCCGGCCCCAGGTCGTTATCGGGAGCGTGAGGTTTACGAGGATATTCGTATCGCTGAGCCGGATTACTACGGCGACGAAGAATTTCGTGAGTTTAAGGAAAGGGATAGTCATCGCAGACGTTCTGGAAGTATGGCTCGACGCCGGCATGAAGACAAGCCTTACCCGCGGAAAGGCAAGACGCGCATTCCGCGCAAATTTGTGCATATTCATGCGATCTTGGATTTGGGATATCCTTTCAAGGAAGAGGTATGTGTTTTTCTTTGTCCGTGGGGATCTTTGTGCTGATTGGCTATTAGGAGGATACCATCATTATCCAAAAGGCTTTGTCGAAGGAGCAGATTGATGAAGTGATCACTCTCAGTCGACAGTTTAGAAGACCTATGCTCGAGGAGAGTGAGTGAAGCGACTTGCTACTGCTTGTTAAGGACATTTTGTACTGACATCCTTCTAGCCGAATACTTGCAAATTCAACGGCCACGCGAGCGGGTTACAACGGAGCATCTCCTGCTTGAGTCTCATCACACCCCCCGCGCCAGCCACGAGACTTTTATTGTCGAGGCACCCTCTCACCCCCGAGATTATGAGTACGAGTATGAGGAGGTGATTGAGCGGCCTGTTGAGAGACCTCGCGTGCATACCATCTCCCGGCCACGATCTGTATCGGTGCATACACACGGTCGCGTGTCGTCTCCCGTTAGATATATCGAGCCTCGATCTAGCCATGTTGAAGAACGCATTGAGGCGAGACCTCGTGACTCCGGCACCTTGGTTGTGATGCGGCCCCGACACAGCGACCATGATGTATCAGACTACGTTGAAGATCTAGAAGAGGAAATGAGATTGTTGCGTTTGGAGCGACAGGGCGGTATTGAGATCACGCGACAGCGTGAGACGGATATCATTGACAGCAAGGGCAATGCAGAGGAGATAATTGAAACTCGCCGTCAAGAACGCAGAGGTATGTCTGCAGAAACATATTTTTGGCTTTTACTTCCAATGCTAACATTGTTCTAGAACCTAGTTCGCGGGTGATGCGAGCCATGATGGCCACCTTGACTTAAGGTTACACTTCTTGGGAGACGAGACATGATTTACGGACTAACGAGATCTTTTATTACTTTGCATTTCTATTTTCCATAACTTTCTCTCTGTGTATTTTTCCATTATCAATTTCATTAAAACTCTTATCTGGCTTGATTTAAGTCGGTTGGATGAAGAAACCGTGGCTGGTGCGGTGTGGGGCGGTGCAGCGCCGCGGGATAAACCATCGCACCTCCTCGTAGCTGTTTGTTCATTCATCTCACCCCGTTGTACTTCCTTTTCCCACCTTCGCTTCCTCAAATTCTACAATCATGGATCGAATGCAGGCATTCGGTAAGAACTTCAGGTGAGTCTCCAGTTTCTTCCCCGCTCAGGGGATCGCCCACAATAAAAACAACGTACCCTCCGTTCTTGTAGGCCCCAATAGTTACTAACTTCACTTTGCTTTTGTTTTGACGGTTAGCGCCAACTTCACGCCTTTTGCGCAGCGCACCCAGCAGATGATCAAGGAGCAGCTTGGTCAGGCTGAGGACAAGACCCAACTCCCCGATGAATACATCGAGCTCGAGAAGCGCGTCGATGCGCTCAAGCTGGTTCACCAGAAGCTGTTGCAGGTGACGTAAGTGTTACCTGTCTAGAAGTCGCATACAAGATAAATCCATTGACTGGTACGGGGATGACGATCCCCACAATAGCTCCCAATACTCCAACGAGGCCTATGATTACCCTCCCAACATCCGCGAGTCCTTCAACGACCTTGGTCGCACCATCAACGAGAAGGTCAGCCTCCTGTCGCAGGCCAGCTCCCCCGCTGAGGCCCAGGCTGCCTTGACTGCACCCCCGTCCGCCAAACCGCAACCCAAGACCTTCAACCATGCGATCGCACGTGCCTCGCTCGCGGGTTCGCAGACCCTGGCGCAGAGCATGGATGGCGAGGACCCGCTCGCCAACGCCCTGGAGAAATATGCTCTAGCTGAGGAGAAGGTTGGCGAGGCCCGTCTAGCCCAAGACTCCCAAATCCAGTCCCGCTTCCTGGCTGGCTGGAACACCACCCTTAACACCAACTTGATGTTCGCCGCCAAGGCCCGCAAGAACGTTGAGAACGCCCGTCTGACACTTGACTCTGTCAAGGCCAGCAAGAAGGCTGCTGCTCGTGGCGATCTCGATAACCTGAGCGAGGATGCCCGGCAGGAGATTGAGCAGGCTGAAGATGAGTTCGTTGGCCAGACTGAGGAGGCCGTTAGCGTTATGAAGAATGTACGTTTTTCTTATGAGGCTTTATTGCTCTTTGTACGGTGATATCTTCTGTCAAAATATGTTGCTAACTTTTGTTCCCCCTTACTGCAGGTCCTTGATACCCCCGAGCCCCTGCGCAACTTGGCCGACTTGATCGCCGCCCAGCTGGAGTTCCACAAGAAAGCCTACGAGATCCTGAGCGAGCTTGCCCCAACTGTGGATGCGCTGCAGGTCGAGCAGGAGGTGAGATAGGCATGCCCATGTTTACCAACCGATTCCATTCCTAACTTTTTCACAGGCTAGCTACCGCAAGGCACGTGAAGGCGCATAGGCGTCGTAGTTTGTTTTAGTTCCCAAGCCTTCCGCATACAACAGAGTAGTCCGGGTCGCGTTTTTGTATTTATCCCCTTTTTTGCTTCAGTGAGATCCTAGGCATGATTAATTTGTCTACTTCGCTTTGACTTCATAGACTGAAAATCTTGCAACCATGGCACAGTATTTCCTATCAGTAGTCTGGCCCACGTGTACTCCGTACGCCGTAATTTGTAGTTGTTTTGCGGTGACCGCCCTGGAGGCCTGAGGCAACCCCGCTAGCTCCAGGAGCTCCGAACAACCAGTCTACCTCTCTCCCATTCAACCCCACGACTACTGTATTTTGAGGAGGACCACACCAGTGTTTGACCGGAATAACACAAAGCTAAATTCCGACCACATATCAATCTCTCCCCGCGGTCCTGTCGATTCCCCGCAAAGACTCCATTACGAACCCCCAAGTGACCACCTTGACCCGAGTCCACTCCCTGCGATATTGGCTACGACATCAATACTTTTGCCTAGCGCATAATTAAGATCGCCTTCAAGTGTTGCATTGTATTGCCGTTGCGATCTCCTGAACCATTCGCCCAGTCTCGACTCGAATCCGAACAGCCGACCCGAACTCATCCTCCCAATCTTCGAAGTTTGGAAATAAATACCCTTCAAAATGGCCAACGGGTACGTTCAGTCAAATATTTGGCGAGCTGCGGTGTAGAGGGATCATACTTGGCTCTGGTTCACATACGATATGCGGATCTTCAGATGTCAATCGTCCATATACATCGCATCTGTCCTGTCCGTTGCGGCAAGAAAGAAAGCAACAAGAACTAATGCCTGTTATAGTTGGAGTCTGATCATCGGCATGATCGTCGTCTTTGCCGCTTGTTTGGCTGCCTGGTTCTTCAGCCCGAAGGGCGAAAACCTGACGTGAGTCTACCCTATGCTAAGATATACCCGGAGATTGCGAACATCAAACTAACGTATTTGCTTAGTGTCTGGCGCAGCGTCCTCATCCTTTCTTTTATCTCCTGCTACTTGATGTGGGGTACGTGTACATCTCAACCGATATCTAACCTTCAATCCAATCCAATCCAATCTTGGAGAAAAAGAATCCCAGTGCTAACTGATACCTACCTACAGCCATCGTCTTCCTGTCACAATTGCATCCCCTCATTTCGCCAAAGAGATCTGATATCCGCCCTGGACGGGTACCCAATTAAATTGTCGTTTTATTTTCTTGTTTCTTCGGCACGTTAGTTTATGCTATTTCGGGTCCGGGTTTTCTTTTTTCTGTGACATATTATATTGGATTTGAGCGTGATCGTTGGATCTTGTCTCCGGATTTCCTGCTAGGTGAGTTGCCATAGAAGATGGGCATAACATAAATTACTTTCAATTGCTGTTCTTTTATTGGTGGCTGTGGCTGCTGTCAAATATCTGGAGTTTTGAATCAATATCAGAGGTCTGGTTAATGCCACTGATACTTATGATGTTCTATTCCGACTGTAATCTAAAGAGCTTTTGCTTCGTTCATCTGTGTGTTTTTACCTACCTACCAGATATGTACCTGCATCTGAGCTCCGAGGTCTATGTATAGCTTGGGTTTTATGGTTTATGGGAACTCATGCTCAGTGGATCATGATTTATCAAGAATTAAATACCTAGCCAAATATAACCTAGGTAGAATTGTCTATACATGAAATAAGAGTGTATCCATCGTCAACCTTAACCAACCCCCACAGCCCCAAGAATAACCTTCTGAACCGCCCACCTAGCAATTTGCCCCGCAACAGCAACAGCAACAGCCCTCAAATACCCACATCCAAGCAGAATGTAGAGAGCCTCAATATTGCTCAGCAGCACAAGATGTGTATCAACAATACCAAGCGAGAGCAACGAAGCAAGAACATCAAACAAGCCTGTAAGATATCTAGTCGGCAAATAAGGTCTCAACAATGATTCCGCAGCCGCAAGCCACGCTTCTATTAACGAAGACGAAGAATACTCTGCATCGCGGGTAGAAGATAGAGCTGCCTTGGCGTTGAGCATGCTTGTAGCTTCTTTTCGCAATGCGCCGTGCGGAGTTGCGCGTGGAGTCGCATTGTTGCTGTCTGTTCTGTTTGCGTTTCCGCTGCCATCTGAGCCCCAAATTACCAGGAGGATGGGAAATAGCTTTGCGCAACTGCTTACAAGCAATGCGGTACTTATTGCTGTGGGGCCTGCGGCTGTTGGTGGAGGGAGCGGTTGGATATTTTGGATTGGAGCTGTGGAGGCGCGGCGGAGGGGTGCTGGTCTTGCTGGTGGTGGGAGCGAGATGGAGGTTGCAGATGCGGAAGGGTGTAGGCCCTGTGGGGTTAGGAATGCATCGTGAGGGGAGAGGGTATCTGAGGGGGCGAGGTTTGGTGTGAGTTTTGGTTGGGTGGTGTTCGCTTGTTGAGTGTTTAGTGCTTGCGACGAAGGAGAGGGTTTGATTGTTGGTGTTGGAGGGCCTGAAGGGGAAGGTGTAGCTGTGGTATCGGTCGCGCTACCATAATGACGTTTGGGCACGAGGATCGAGGCAACTAGTCGGACTGTGAGGTGGTGTGCGAGAGTGGCCAGGGCGTTTAGGGTCAGGAAGAAGAGGTATTGCACGATGATTGGAGCACGAGAGATGAATGTTGTCGCAAGGGATGGATCTTTCTCGAGACGTGCCCAAGTCAAGTACACATCGAACAAAAGGAGAAGGACACCTAGGCGGATGATTGAGCGCTGAAGAGCGATTTGTTAGCTTTGTCTTCTGTCATGTCATGGGGCGGAGCGCTTCTCACATCAAATCGGTCATCATCGCGACCGAGTCGGTTGAAGAGGAGATGTCGGTAGACCTTTTTCATGTGACATGTTAGTTGTGAGCTTCTAATAGTTGGATAGAAGCATCACCTGTGGTTTAATGAGTACTAGGTCAATAAAGATCACGACAAAGTCGTACTCGACATATTTGTCGGCGAAGCGTTGGCAGCGCGGGCACTGGGTCAATCGCACGCCTTTTCCTTGGGAGCGATCATCGGCGCGACTGTAAGCACTGTACAGGTGCGAGACCGGGTACGAGCACTCTATGCAGATAGGCATCGTGACATGACGCCGTGAAGGAGGAAAGATGATTGCGGGCGGTCACGTTGATGTTGGGGATTCAGGAGCCAATTACGCGGGCCGATCTATACCTGATTGTGATCACTGATATCTACCAACCTTCTCAAGATAATTCAACAGAACAGAACTTTTGATTTATTCTGTGATCTTATATACTATTTCGCATGACGGTCACTATATACAAGGGATATCTCACAGTCTATATACATCAATCAATCACACTCTTCTTGTCGGCCCAGCTAGGCTGAATAGCTCGACAAACAGCCTCATAATCCTGGAACCGCTGCGAATCTTCCGGCAACCCTGCAGTAGTCCAGAACATAGTCCAATTACTATCAGACAGCTTCCAGGTACCAGATGATCGCTCAAAATACCATTTGTTGACCGGATTGTCCTTGCGACTGCGCCAGCAGACTCCATTGGGAAAACAAGTGCGCACCATCGCATTAAACACCACGTCAGCAACGCCCCCTGCGCCCTGGCTGCGTTTGAGGACAGCAAATTTGTCTAGATAGGGAACCATGCGTGCAACACTTTCTGGGCTTCCGTCATCAACGACGCCGGGTGGTGTTTCCCAGGTCAAGATCGCGCCACCTTCGTACTCGCCAGCGATGATAAGGCCGGCGATGCGGTCGTTGACTCGCTCCAGGTAGTTCTGGACATCCAGCTTTCGGTCAAAAGAATCTTCGATGAGATGCACTAGGCGAGGAAGATCGATCGATGAGTCGTTGAGTTGCAGTCGTGGCTGATGCTCAGCCGACCATACCTGCACATGCGGATTTGGGAGAAGAGTGAGAGGCATTCCACGCTTGACAAAGGTCGTATGGGCTGTCAGGGGGCTGAGCGCACTGGGTCGTCGACCATTGACGGGGCCACGGCGGCCTGGCGGGAGCGATGAGGAAAGAAGAGGCTTGTCAGTGAGGAGGTTGTGAATGAGAGGGTTACGCTGGCGTCGGGTTCCAACGGCTGACAATTTTGGCGTAGTCTTCTCAGCGGGACGCGACGAATTAGCGACTTCATATGGAGATGTGATGACGCTTGACGCTGTCGCTGGTAGCAGGGCAAGGGCCTTTTGAGACAAACGAAGATTTTGCAGGTGGCCATCGAGGATCGGTCTCATGGTCGTGGACCCGGGCAATTGCTCTGACACCTCTAATTGGGGTGAGATCACCTCGTTGGTAGCGAATTTAGAGAAGGGGTTGCTGTCCAAGATTGAATACGCTGTATCTAGACGGGCGCTAGCTGTTGTATCAGCTTCTTCCCCACAAAGGGAACTTCGTATCTGGAGCAGCTCCTTTTCAATATCATCGAACTCTTGTTCCATGTTGATAAAGACATGGGAGTCCTGAGGACCTCTAAAGGCAGGGATTCCTCCGAGTGGGTGCAGAAGAATCACTCGGTCCAACGAAACCTCCTTCTGTAAAGCCCCAATTCGTTCTGCAGTCACTGCAGGGTCTTCATCGGGGTCCGGGTATGTGGAAAGCCCGGCAAATTCTTTGGTCAAAGCAATGACAGCATCATCTGCAGACACTGGAACAGCCTTTGGGTTTTCCTCAAGGTACGCGACTGGTGTGACAATAACGACGTGTCCGTCCCGAAGTGGTGCTAGAAGCCCTTTCCGAGACGACACTTTAGGTTGACTCGATCCTTCATCAGAGACTGAAAGTGCAGAGTCCAAGCGAAAGGCTTTCGAATCAGGCTGTCCATCGACCGCTGCCGAGAGTCGATTAGCTTGTGCGATGGCGGTTTGTCGCATGGTAGTAATATCCGTATCGCCAGGGTCAACGACTACGCAGCATGCCATCCCTAGCCGAACGAGTTGCGACAGAGTCCTGGCGACGCCATTGATAACTGAGTCATCGAGCGATTGCGGTGTAGTGATCTTGATCAGAGCAAGATGTAATCTCTCGAACGATTCCTGTCCGCGTGGAGCTGGAGTTGTGTTTTGCCGGAACACGGGACTGTCATAGACTGCTCTGGAGGCACCGTAGAAGGAGCCCAAGTTTACTCCGGAAGGCAATTGGGACTCTTGTTCCTTGGAAGCTTCATCGGACTTTGGAGTGGGCTTGGGGGAACTGTTTTTGAATCGAGACAAATACTGTTTTGCTTCTCGCTTTGTTGAGGCCGAGTTCAGGAGACTCAGGAAGAATTCCTATAGAGGCGAAATTTCAATGGTTAGTTATGGTTTTTTTTTGTCACCGAATTGCATACGATCTTACCCGGTCAAGCAGCTTCTCTTTGGCACGGCGCCCGAGCTCGTTCCTTTGAGAGGTACTCGAAAACTCGGCAATCTGGTGGCCGCGCACACAAAGTGACTGGACCGGGGATATCAATGTTGAATCATTGGGGCGAGCGATATGGTGCTAGTAAACGGTCAGCTTCGTGGCGCACTGATGTTTCGGGTCTCGGGTCCGATATCAACCTTTGCTAGCGAGGTCCGAGGCCAGTTGAGTGCCCGAGAGCTCATTTTGAGGCCGTCAACAACTGGCCGTTAAAGGGATTTAGCAATCACAGGACAAGAGGAGAAATATCTTAGAAAAAGTAAATGTCAAAGACCGGAAGATGGAGAATGACGCATCCTCGGTTGCGATTCACCGCCTGATGGATGGATTTAAGGTCTCCAGCCCAACCCTGACGATAATTTACCCGGGCCGGGATAAGTCCATTGCCAAGGGTAGAGATTCATGAATATAGCTCGTGGAATTATTGTGCCACGTTCCTCTCACATTTCAATGTTAGCTGAGCTCCCTGCATATGGGCCGCTCTGATCCTTGAACTGTATCGGAGCTACGGAACAGCAACATATCTAGTTCCGTAGTTCGGACCATCATTTCTACTTAGATATTGATTCTACCTAAAGCCAAGGGTTTCTTTTCAATTACCAGGCCATATTCTATATTTATGATGTACCTAAATTATTCCAAGGTGCTCAATAATTACCCCTCATATCCAGTTGTCTGAACATTCTGGGAGTTTTACAGTCTACATAATAGATGTCAATGGTGTCGTCTCTAGGAGTCAGCTTGGAATGCTAACAGTTCTGATAGCTTCAACTCCAGTGATATTCTGATCCTTTGTTCCGATATAGGTCATTAAGTGAGCTTTGTATTCCTTCTCCTACCGATTTGGTGTATTCCTCCAGATCTACTTATCCCCATACTTCGTGGAGCAAAGTAGAGCTTGACCTATGAGAACCCACTCCCCACCATAATGACGCACACTGATTAAAATCATAGAACATATTCACTACTTCAATGCTCTGTTAAATTTCGGATATAAGAATAAATAAAATATATAGATAATGTTGAGCTCGATCGGTCCGCCGTGACCGCTTTGAGTCACCAGTACCGAGGGGAAACTTGCTGACAAGGGAGGTAACCGGGGCAGAATCGCGTACTCCTGGGGTTTCTTGTACATCGCCCCGCCACTCTTCACTTTCTCTCCCTTCAATCCGATCCTACGTTCTGTATTGATCTCACGAACGTCCAGTTCTTGCGATCATTTGGGATCTTCTTCAAACCTGTATGTGAAAGCCCCGGATTCTTCTCGTCTTGCCCCCCTGCTTCCCATCCCATCCCGCCCGCTGCCCCTCCTTGCGCACATTGTCGTCGCAAATTCTTATCTGCGGGCGCGGATGACCAGCCACCGACTCATCTCCTTTGAAACCAGAGCAGTTTCCTGTTTTTAACTTATTCAATCCGAGGGATTATTATTGCTTGCAGATAAACTAATCTCCACCGGTCTAGACTTGCATCCCCTCGTTCCCCGGCGCCACCAAGCTGGGTCCCCCTGCAACCAAAAGGAAAAAAGGAAAAAAACTCCCCAATCGTTCAAGTGCCGCTTATACCCACCAACGAGCACGCCTGATCCATCTGCCACCAGATCCATCTGCCACCAGATCCATCTGCCACCAGATCCCACCTATCGCTCCACTCGAAATTCCTCCCGATTTCTCAATTCACCATGTCGGATCCCAGCGAGCAGCCTTCGGAGTCCATGCCTGGCCAGGACAACGGTTTGAAGCCATTGTCAAACGCCACGGATCTGTCGCTCGGCAACCCTAGCAACAGCGAGCTTTCCCGGATTATGAGCCGTGCGGGTATTGCCCTAGCCAATGGGTTCCCGCTGGACGAGGACGACGACGAGGAGGAAGTGGAGGGGGATTACGTCGCAGTGGACCAGGAGGAGGACTCCAATGAATACCCATACTGGTTCCGCCGGCCCCCAACACACCATCGTACAAAGCTCGATGAGCTGCACCCGTTCGTTCAGCTTCTTTCTACCTCTAACGTGGAGGACTGTATCACTGTGGAGAATGCTTTCCCAGAGGCAGAGCGTTGCTCGCGTGACAAGGTAGGGCAGACCCCTTGCGAATTTATCATCGAGATCGTGGAGCGTGGAGCGTGGAGCGTGGAGCGTGGAGCGTGTAACCGTTCGTGGCGTAGCTCATCGCTTGCTGTTAAAGGTCACCTGAAGCCCTCATTTCGGCACTCTGCATAGGTGTGGCTGGACCCTTGACTAATTGGATCCACTCATATAGTTTATCTACCGCCTCACGAGATGTCCCGAACTGAGCCTGGGCCTTTTCACGTTACCGCTCTATGGTGATCAGCCTAAGCCTCGGGCGACTCTTGTTGGACACATCATCGCTACTCGTACCTCGGAGCCGAGCGTGACGGATCGATCCATGCGCCTACCCAGCGACTGGAAGAGTGAGCGCTGGACATTTGAATGTGGTCAAGCTGTTGGCCATGAAGAGGGCGGTCGCACTATTGCTATCCACTCGTTGGCTGTGCTGCCCGAGCACCAGGGCAAGCAGGTCGGTAGCACCTTGATGAAGTCGTACATCCACCGGATCCGGGAGGCCCAGATTGCCGATCGGATCGCAATCATCGCCCATGACCACTTGGTTCCATTCTACGAGTCATTTGGCTTCGAAAGCCACGGCCCCAGCAAGTGCCAGTTCGGCGGTGGTGGATGGGTGGATCTGGTATGTTATCACCTTCCCTAACCGCTTCCTCGTATATTTATACTAATGTATTTGCTCAACAGGTCTTGGAGCTTGGCAATGAGTCTAGCTAAGCTTATGACAACCAGTATTTTGCATCTAACCTGTGGGCCAGTGTCTGGCCAGTCCTCCGGTCTGCTTCGTTTCGTCCCATCTTGTCCGCTTTGATATCTCCCAAGGTTCTTTCTCTCACGCCCCCTGTTACGCACTCATGTCCGGTCTTCGGTTTTGGTTCTTAGGGTTGAAAGAAAATGGAGTTAGTTGGTTTTTTTTTTTTTTTTTTCTTTTTCGTTTCTATTTCCTTTCCTTTTTTTTTTTTTTTTTTTTTACTGGGATTGTGATGGCTAGTCTTTATGGAACTTATGGACGGAAAACCCCAAAGGCTGGACATCCTCACAACACAAGGATTTGTGTACCATAGTCGAAATGCGATGTACATGAGCATGACTTTGTTTAATTAAATAGAGAGAAACACCAAAAAAAGCCGTCTGAACGAGAAGATAAAGTCCTTGAAAGTCTCGGTTATCGTATCCAATCCTGGTCCCCGCATTTGCCTACCGCCCGGCAGAAAAATATCCCGACCAAAATTTTCATGGAGAAACAGACTCAAACAATCATTCCACCCTAGAGTCATTACAGCACCCAGTTTGACTCCTGTGGCCCATCATGAAGACAACGTGGAAGGATGTGAGTCAACAGCTTAAATATTTGATTTCTGCTCCTCAACTCTGAAGGTTCATCTGCTAATCTATTTTCACCGCTAGATTGCGCCTGTGCCCACTCACCAGGAATTCCTGGACATTGTCCTGAGCCGTACTCAGCGACAACTGCCCACTCAGATTCGTGCCGGTTTCAAGATCAGCCGTATCAGAGGTATTTAATCCTTCTTCCACATCCGATTTCAATCCAGTGGAGTTACTGTTCGTCGGTGGCGAGCGCAACAAAAAAATTGTTATCGGGTTTATCGATAAAAGCAACATTGCTGATCAAATTTTTTTCGGGCAGGTTTCTACACCCGTAAGGTCAAGTACACTCAGGAGACCTTCGGCGACAAGTTCCAGGCTATTCTCGATGGATTCCCTCGCCTGCAGGACATTCATCCTTTCCGTAAGTTTCTTATCTGGTCCAATTTCAGCCGGGTGGGGTCTAACAGCCATCAGACAAGGATTTGATGAACACCCTCTATGACGCCGACCACTTCCGCATCGCCCTCGGTCAGGTTTCGACTGCCAAGCACCTGATTGAAACCGTTTCCCGCGATTATGTCCGTCTCATCAAATATGCGCAATCTTTGTTCCAGTGCAAGCAGCTGAAGCGCGCTGCGCTCGGTCGTATGGCCACCATCTGTCGCCGTCTCAAAGACCCGCTTGTCTACCTCGAGCAGGTTCGCCAGCATTTGGGTCGTCTGCCCTCGATTGATCCCAACACCCGCACTCTCCTGATTTGCGGTTACCCCAACGTTGGAAAGTCCAGCTTCTTGAAAAACATCACCCGCGCGGATGTCGATGTCCAGCCCTACGCTTTCACCACCAAGTCGTTGTTCGTCGGTCACTTCGACTACAAGTACCTGCGTTTCCAGGCCATCGATACCCCCGGTATTCTCGACCACCCTCTGGAGGAAATGAACACTATTGAAATGCAGTCTATTACCGCCGTTGCTCACTTGCGCTCTGCCATTCTGTACTTCATGGATCTTTCTGAGCAGTGCGGTTACTCCGTTCAGGACCAGATCAAGCTTTACCACAGCATCAAGCCCCTGTTCGCCAACAAGATTGTGTACATTATCATTAACAAGATTGATGTCCGCCGTCCCGAGGACCTGGACCCCGAAGAGCAGGCCCAGCTGCAGGAGATCCTCAAGTCTGGAGACGTTGAGATGCTCCAGGCTTCTTGCACCACCACTGAGGGTGTTTCCGCCGTCAAGAACGCCGCCTGTGACAAATTGCTTGCCGAGCGTGTCTCGCAGAAGCTCAAGTCTGGCTCCAACACCGCCGGTACCCCCGGTGGCCGTCTGGGCGATGTCCTGGCCCGTATTCACGTTGCTCAGCCCATGGGTGGTGTGCGCGAGACCTTCATTCCCGAGGCTGTCAAGGAACTCAAGAAATACGACAAGAACGACCCCAACCGCCCGAGACTCGAGCGCGATCTGGAGGAGGAGAACGGTGGTGCCGGTGTTTACAGCTTCGATATGCAGCGCGACTACACATTGGCCAACAAGGACTGGAATCACGACAAGATTCCCGAGGTGTGGAACGGCAAGAACATTTACGATTTCGTGGACCCCGATATCGAGAAGAAGCTGGCTGCTCTGGAAGAGGAGGAGGAGAAGCTCGAGGCGGATGGATACTACGACTCCGACGAGAGTGTCGAGGATGCCGAGGATGCCGACAACCGCATGAAGGCGGATCTGATCCGCGAGAAGCGTGTGCTTATGCGCAACGACGCCAAGATGCGCAAGTCCCTCAAGAACCGCGCGCAAATTCCTCGCAGCGCCAAGGCCAAGAAGCTTTCTCAGCTCGAGCGTGGTCTCGACTCTGCTGGTTACGATGTCGATGCTGCTGGTGACCGTGCCCGCTCCCAGAGCGTGGTTCGCGGACGTCCTCTCAGCCGCCCTGACGCCGGTGCGGATGATGCTATGGACCTGGATGATCCCAAGCAGGCCATTGCTCGTGCTAAGAGCCGTGCCCGTAGCCAGGCTGCTACTGATCGTCGTAACGACGGTGTTACTGACGAGATGGCTCGCACCAAGGCTGACCGCCTGTTCAAGCTTGGACAGAAGAAGATGAACCGTATGGCTCGCCAGGGTGAGGCCGATCGTCACACCACCGCCTCTCTTCCCAAGCACTTGGTATGTTTCCTTTCATCCTTTTTAGTTTACGGAATTGGTTCTAACAACGATTATAGTTCACCGGAAAGCACAGTTTCTCCAACCAGCGCCGTTAAGGCTCTACATCCCCAGCCTCTACAGGCTTCCGAAACGAGACCCATTCATAATCATCGTCGATTGGTTTCTTTACCGGGTGCACCATGGTGTCGGGCGTTTAAATTTGTTTCTTCCCATATTTCCTGTTTGCTTATTCTCTTTTCCTTTTTGTTAGATGAGAAGATTCACCCTGTTCATTTGACGGGAATTCCATCTTCCACTTGCGGATGAACAGCTTTACGATCTGTGGGGGTTGTTCTCCCAGTCAATAGGACCAAAAGTTCTTGACGCGATGATGTTGCATATACCAAATACAGATGAGACCTTTTATTTTGGTTACGAGTGAAATTTGGGTTTGTGTAGATCGTGTTTAGTATTCAGCTGTAGACGTGGGTTGTGCAGCCAGGATGAGAGATGGAGGGGATCAGATGTGCCGATATTCGTCATTCTAGGTCACTGCATTAAGCCCTGTTTGCTCTTTAGACAAGGATTTGACCAAGATAAACAGATCAAACTTCCAAACTCTCCTCTTCAATCCATGTACCAGGGAGAACAGACCATTTTATTAGAATTATAGGAACCTTATTCTTCCTGGAAGCAAATTGAAATTGTCATAATAAATACAGCAGGCCTCTGCGTATTAACGCTGATTCTATTCTCATACATTCTACGCCGCATTATCACCAGTCCTACTCTAGATATGAAGAGGCTCGAGAACGTGTCCAAATTCAAGAGAAAAGGAATCCTCCGAGCAAACGTCAGAAAAAAACACGCAAAGAATTTCTTCTTCCAATGATACTGCTGGTAGTATTTCACCCCTCCTTTCAGGCTACAACTGAAGGAAACTGGGGGAAGCAGACGTTCACCCCCATCTTGCCTAGATAGGATCATCATCATGGTCTTGTTTCCTTGGCTATGATGACCTGGCTTGCAGGATCTGGTCGGTCTACTGAGTACTGTCTGCAAAGTAGCTCCCTCGTATAAGAACCTTGAATTACCCTATCAATCAAAACCGATATAAGTCTTGCGTACGAACTAAATTGCATACAAGACGAATGCGATACATCAACAGAAGTCAAAATAGCAGTATATGGTTAATTTTCAAAGGAAAATAGTAGGAGAAATCAGTTGAGAGAAATCCCACGGGGTTGAATAGCTTAGAGCCCTGAACTTGGCCAGCAGCTGGTCGCCTAATTGTCACTACTAAAATCACTAGAACTTATGCTCCCACGCTATAGGATTTAGGTACATTTCGGAACTGACCCGGCGCACCAACTTCCGTTAGATGTAACTCTGCAGCATTTGAAAGATGACGCCGCCGAGGCCCAATTCCAATAAAGCGCTGGGCAGACTCCGTTCACGAGCGGAGATCCGGTGAGAGCGTTGGTGTGTTTGCCATTACAGTTGTAGTTCCTAATTGCTGTCAGCCCTCATGTGGATTTATACATTGACTCGCTGGCGGGTAGGAGTAGACGTACTCCCAGATTGTGCATTCATAGCCACTTGGAATCTTCATTTGTTGGAGATGGTCGTTGAACTGCGCAAGGGTACCGCCGTTCAGGGAAACTGTTGAACCATTTCAGCTACCTTCTCTGTTTGGGACTAGGGGAGATGGGAAAGAGGACTTCGATCCACTTACAGCAACTCCCATCAGGTTCCACCTTGTACGGAATATTGACTCCACTGGTACTGACCAGCGAGATCACAATTGCGGCGTTGGCATAGCCAAAGAAAAGCAATCCGGCGATTGTTTTGAGAAGCATATTGATTGACTAGTCACGAGGTCCTTGCTGGACTGGCGACTGTATTTCAGAAAGAATTGGATGGTCAAAATGAAGAGTCCGAGCAGAAAGAAATGGTGCTGGAACGTACCGGTATTCATACCTCAGATGGGAACCGTCAATTCAATGGGATGCCTTATTCTCTTGGTCCCATCTACACTCGTGCAGGGAGTATACATACAAACTTTGTCAACAGAGGCCCAATTTGGCCTAGAGTGAATTGAGTCACCTGCCCCAGATTTCGATCATTCGTCAATCACCAATGAGTCTGCTTCTGCGCACGGAATCCCTATGTGCAGAAATAGTAAGCCCAGGCAACCCGCCATCTATGACGGCTCGGGCCTCGGTAATAGGGTGCAGCTTGAGCCCTGTGGCGTCGATGTTCTTTATTCTTAGATCACACCTTATTAAGGGTCCAGGGGAGCTGCAACTGTTGCCGACGTATCTCTCTGCCCGATTGGCTAGAAGGATTCTATAAACTCGACACATCTAATCAGCTTATGCCTTAATATGCAGCCCTGCAGGGATTAGATCGTCAACTTCACTCAATCTCAATAGCGATGCAGCTAGTAGAAAACGCGCCTGGTCAGCACTAAACTCTTGGAACGCTTCAGTTCTCCGTATCGGGATGTGAGAAGATTATTTAACAAGTACGGAGACCTGGAAATGAGTACCATAGGTCCAGCAAATAATAGTAAGCTATGATATTCCCCATGTGATCAACGAGAAATCTCAATGCATCATGTTCCAAGGGCTTGGCGGGGTAGTGGGATGTGATGGGGGAGCAGTGGCAACAAAAATAGCACTGACAGCTTGATCGCGACAGCAATTGCTTCTGATCCCCTCCCATGTGCATTCTTGGCTTTGAATTTGACTGACTGGCTAGCAAAGGTCGTGAACACTTTTGAAAATTCAAGACAGGATCAGAAGGAGCCGTACTATGATGCTTCACCGTACGCAATGCCGATCACTACGAGGTACTCTGAGGTCTATTTTTACAAGTACAGCTCGCTTATTGAGTACGTTATTCATTACATCACATGAGGTAATTCACATTGGGTTTCCAATAATTGGAAGTTGACTAACCGTACAGGTATTCTTCACTTATCTTTAGGACGATGAATTTACCTTCTCTATTCTAAAATTGACTTTATTTTCCAAGGTTGATATCAAGTAGATATCTGACATGTGTTGCCTCTCGTTCCACCAGGCGCCAATTGCCGTCTGTCCTCAGGGTCAAGTCATGCTTCATCCATTTAGTTGGTAGCCTCCTCCGAACAGGTATCCATGAAGGAATCTTCTTCTCCAGATGGGTAGGAGCTTTGATCGTTATAATACCATAAGTAACCTGCTGTACCAGCGTCTGTGTGGGAGTCGGTGTCGAAGTCCATGCAGTAGATTCCCTCAGTGTTGAATTTCTTGTTCTGGTTTGTGTACTGATCCGACATCTTATCAATCACTTCTTGGCCGCCCGCCTTGGCTCCCACGTTGAGGATGTCTTCGTCTGTTGATTCTTGCAAATCTTCAAACACGTATCCACCATACAACTTGTCCCCCGATTTTTCAGTGACATTGTCATCGGCATCTTGCACCGATGAACGTTTCGTTGTCGAGTTGCTGCGGAAATCGTGGTTGATCGGAGTCGCATGGATATGGTGAAAGATTCGCGTCTGATTTGACGCTCCAGTCTTTTCGACCTTGCTGTACCACATGCGGTGGCAGGTCTGATTGTTCTCACACGAGGTGTCGGCGATATGGATCGGCAGTCCATCGCCAGAGTGGAATGCAGTCTGGACCTGCTCAAACATGCTTGCTCCGCCCCCAATGCTGGGGTAATGGAATTTGAAATGTCCGTCTGCGTCGTCGTCCAAAGCCAAGCTTCGTTTATCGCTGAGAGCTGCGCCCAGCAGATTGATGAAGACTCCAATGCAGGCAAATCCAATGGCAGCTACACAGACTGGTAGAGCGGCCGGGTTGATTCCGGACAGGGTGCAGCTGCCGGTGATTATAGCGCCGAGCAAGATTGCTGCGTTGCCCAGATATCCTACCCGAGAGCGTTCAGCAAGACCGGTGCTTCCATCCCAGCCTGAATGAGGGTCGACTTCTCCAGGTGTGCGGATGGCAAGATCCTGGCTGGTGCTCGGCAGGGCTGTTACTGCAGCCACGAGCACTACTAGGGCGGCCAGGTTGAGGCAGGCTTGCTTGGATAGATGCATTCCGAGGATCTCCTTCTTCGTGAATGGTACTGATGGTTTGCCTACAACCTCAGGGGAACATTGTCCTTTATATGTTCACCAAGCCTTTCTATAGATCTTGTCTGGTCGTGTCCAATTGGTGAGGCATTTTTGAGATTTTCGAGGCTATGACTATCCTGTTTGACCTGGGGCTGTGGTTTCATCTGTTGATTCCTTCTTCCATCGATTGGTTCTTTCCCCACTGTTATCCAAGACTGTTGAGGTCATGGGTCGGGCCAGGAATTTGTGGATACTACTGTTATGATAAGTTTTCAGTGTATATACCTGGTCCACGCCGCACATACGACTTATTCTAGCCCCCAAGTAGTTCATTTAGTTATTCTATAGCCCGAACAAAGGATTATGGATCGGCAATTCAACAAAAAGTCGTGGTCCATGACGCATGCGCCACTTGTCGCAGCCCCTATTACCTCACTCACCCCTTCCACAGCCCGAACGAAGGATTAGAGATCAGCAAGATAACAAAGCAATCTCAAGCTTTACTAAGCATTTCTCACTCATTGCACAGGCATAGATCAAGCGAATGGTGAGAGATCAGCAAGGTAACAAGGAATAAATTTTGGCCCATGACGCAAGCGCGACTTATCTCAGCCCCCGGGGCCACCAGCTCACTCGGCTCGGGCGAAGGAATAGAAATCAAGGTCACAAGCAACCCCAAGCCTTACCAAGCATTCCTTACCCACTGTACCGACAGCCTCGTGGGAAATAATGTAATCGATTTATGCATAATTACGCCCTTGAAACTTTGGCCCGTCTGGACCGACGTATGTATTAGTTTCGATTGTAGAAATATAAATACTCGATCAAATAAGGCATCTTGACCAAAATAAAACAACATCAACTTACCAGAACCTCCTATTGTCAAAGAAGCACTTTCAAGCATCAATCAGCATGCAGCTTTTCCAAACCGTGCCCGCGTTGCTTCTGCTCAGCACTGCGAATGCTTACACCTTGACCTTCTATGTCGGCTCTGAATGCAATAGCGAAGAACTCGAAGTTGTGAACAACGTTGGTGGCACATGTCTTGTATGTTCACCGGACATGAATACCATGCATTTCTAACAAATATCTATAGTCGACCGGTCTCAGTGGCACCAATGCCCAGTCAGTTGAGGTTACCAAAGAAGACTCCGACTCCGATAACCAAGGTGAGCTTCTTGTGTCTTCAGCTCTCTGTAATTCAATGAGCTCTAATCTAATGTGCTATTCCAGAAATCGCGTTCCACCAATCGGATGATTGTACCGGACAGACACTCACCCTAACAGAATCAGGATGCGTCAACATTGATACCGCAGGCCTCGTAGCCAACTCATACAGAGTGGATACTGCTTAAGCTTGTATTGGATGTTAACTCTGATCCTGATTCCTGGTCGTGGCGAAGACAAAGCAGGTTGTCGTTGGCCCCCTGGGTGGCAATACTTGTGCTGCACCAAACTGCAACAAGGCTGTGAGAAGGGCGAGTTGTCACTTTCTAGTTTAAGTTTGCAAACATTCCAAGTGCTGTAAATCAAGTATTTTTGAATTCAGTTATCCGAATGGGATTATTTTAATTCCAAGTTGTAAAATTGAGTGGAATTATGTGCTTTACTCAACTGTGTTGTGGAACTAATCTCTATCACTCCTGCTCAATGTACTGTACTGTACTTGCATCCCTTCCAAGTTTTGGACCCACAACCCCACTTAACTGTTATACAGTACACATCGTGTATAAATATATAGCCTTGTCCCAAAATCCCTTGCCCCAACTTATTCTTTCTCTTTCAATTTTCTCAGCCCATCCAAGCTCACATCTTATCAAAATGGATATCCCAACCTTTGCCTCATGCTTGAACATCGTGATACACATTATCCTTGCCTTTGCGACTCTCGCCGCCGCCATTGCCCTGATTTATACCGCAGGCTGCTCCCTGGGTTATCCGTTTGGCCAACTTCTCCTGCCATACATTCAACAAGTCATGTCAGACACACGCAATACCCAAACGCATGACCAACGGGCTTCTCCTCAACCTGAGTCATCCAAAGATCAGGGCCGAAATTTCTCAGAGGATAAGTTAGCACGCATTATTGGGGCAATGATTGCGTTCTTTTTCAGTTTTACGGCTTTGATGATTGAACTTTTCTTGGAGGGACAGAAGGATATCACTGGAGAGGCTAATGGGTGGGATCTTTGGCGCATGAGTGCGGTCTTGATGCGAGTGTGCGTGGAGGGTGTTTTGACATTGGTTATTTTACGGGTGATCCGATACTCCGTGTTAAAGATGTCGCGTTAACGATTTCCTGTCTTCATGGTGGAGAGACCGGCTTATTTACTTGGCTACTATAAGCACACGGTTCTTCAACTGCGCGGTATGAATAAAAATCGACTCCTGCGAGCTGCCCACCTCTCAGAGCATTACCCTTGCAGCTGTGGGACGATGGTATGTATAATGATATGTATAATGATTATGTTATGAAGTTAATTTTCTTAACATCTTCGTCTTCTACTAAGCCTTTATAAGTGTCAAGAAGACCATATTTACCGTGGAGTCGATCGTGATCATAATTCTGCTCGGATGCTCGGATAGATCGACCGCATGAGCTACCCAGCTGATTAAGCTCTCAACCGGACGTATATGGTCTGCTGTACTCTTTTCTTTGTTTCCAATTCATATTGATAAATCTTGTAGATGACCCATTACCTCAGAATCAGATAATGTCTCAGGTGGTGGCCCGTTTTCTTCAATCTCGTGCTTCTAAGCTCTCCATATCAATATAACTATCTTGCCCATCAGTCTCATCTTCAACTGCAATATCTTCCTCTATGTGATCCAATGATTGACTAAATGGTATAATATCATCACGACCAAACTTCTCATTGCTTAATTAAATAGAACTTTTGAATCTCACCACTTAATTCAGGCTTAGAAACTGGGTGGCCGGTCTTGGTACAGTAAATTCAAGAAAAGGTGGGTCCATCCAAGCGGGAGTGTGCTATAAGCGGATGTGCTATAAGCGGATGTACTACAAGCGGGTGTGCTATAGGCGAGAGTGTGCTATGAGCGGATGTACTATAAGCGGGTGTGCTAACTCTGGCATAATTATTACTACATCTCTCTGCTCTACTAAGACTGAGTATCGGAAATTAGTATTTCCGTGTTACCGATTATTCGTTGTAGTCAGGAAACAACCAAAGGTGAAATGCTCACTATTAGCAGCCTTGGCTACGAAGTCAGAGCTGGAGGCAAAGCACCATAAGAGAACAGTAATTCTGGCGGTATTATGAGTGATATTATAGGGCTTCATAAGCGTAGCAGCCAGGGTGGGAAAGCGCAAGGTTTTGACGAAAAGCTCGCCGAATTCTTTTGCTATATCTCACTTCTCACCGTGTGGATTCTAAGTTTTAGGGGAAGATTTTGCGTCATTGTCCAAGAACAAGCTTTGGTCTCCAATTACTCACTCAGGCATATGATCGGCGCCCAATAACTAACTGACTACATCTACTGTACCAAGTCTCCAAGGAAGCACTAAGGAGCCAGTCACAGTGATTCTGAACCTAATATGTGGGAGTAAGACCCACCTATGAGGGGAACATGCCATGTTGTACAATTTACGGAGTCCTGGAGTACAGAGTACGGGGTACTGCTTGTAGCACAGATCATTCTTCCCCAACTCGACACGTACATCAGTCGTGAGACCTTGTTTGATCGTATGATCCGTCAATTGGAGTTGCGTGAGAGAAAACAGGGAACGGGTTATCGTTTCCGGTGAGGCGCTGTTCTCTTCCCTTCGAAACCCATGGATGAAATCTAGAAATGCCTTGGATACGTTTGTTTCCTCAAAAATCTCGTTTCAACGTTTCTGGGCTCTGATATGTGAGGTCATTGCGGGGATTTGAGTCTGCACGTATTGACATCACAAACATGTACTCCAGATGTTGTACATGGAGACCTGGCACGAAGCGGAGCCCCGTTTCATATTGAAGCGGAGAGCGTTTGCTACGTCGTACGGTTATGATTTTCATGAAATTTGCTGTATTAGGAGATGATGGAGCCAGGTACAACATTCGGACCGCGAAATTAAAATAATTGGATTTTGATTATCTTGTGTCCACGTATCCGTAGATTAGATGCATCTAGATGTTTGTATGCCATTTTTTATGTGGAAATTGCGTTTGCATTAGTATCTTTCTCAGTCATTATTGTACTTCTGGCTAGTATGCAATGGCGTGTTACGCATGTTGGCGACCGCCCGACCACTATTTTCCGTACATCCTGCAGTATTCGAAAAATCCTGCAGCAGTAGAGAAAGCGAGGGAATTACCAACGGAGATAACCAGAATCATACCGATTGGACCTCTGCAGGCCCGTGTCGAGCCTCGTGTGGTTTAGGAAGGAGCGTTTGAGCAGGTCCCACCAAGCCCCTTTTCTCAATTTTGGATTTCGGATTTTTCACTTGTCTGAGATGGCCTGACCCAAAACTTTGCCTAGCCTGTTCACCGTAGATCACCGAAGGGGGATTAGTCTCAGTGGGTCTGTGAAAATTGAGACGATGGTTCCGTCGTTGACCCACTTCAAAGGCGATCCCGTACTGACTCGGGATGCCGAGAATGCAGAGTTTTGCATTGCCGGGTTTTATTCTGAGTGGGAAATGAACAAAGAAAAAATGAGAGAAATCACATATGGACTACAATGCCAGCATAAATTGTAGAACACAAAAAGCTCACGATATTCAAGACATGCAGAGATTCTTGCAGGCTCCTGCACCAGATCCCGTGCGGGCATTGATCCCGAGTCGGTCGGACTCGGGACAGGGACAGGGACAGGTCTTCGGTGTGCCGAATTCGTCAGGTGGGGCCCGTGAAATGCTCAACAGATCGGAAATCTCTGCGCGGGAGTAGACCGAAGCCACTCACCGGGTGGGTCCCGCTTCATTCAACTGCATACACCGAGCTACAGTTGTCTGTGCTGCCGTGTTCTTATCAGTTCAGTTTGAATGCATATCATTTTGATGCTTCACCGGGATTTCTATATAACCTAGACTCATACCCAGTATTTCTATGAAGCTTTTGGGCAAAACTTTATCACTACGTAGAAAGATGGGTGTTGATAGATCCCTCTCGACTGTGCCAAGCTTGGCTGGACGATCGTCGTTCTGAGACCGGCTCGGGTGTCGGTCTTATTTGCAGTGAAGAATCAAGGGCGACCCACTCAAATCAGCGTAGAATGGTTTTTTTTTAGTACACCTAGGCAATGGAATTTTACTGGAAATTTGAATTCGGAACTTTCCCTTTTGCCTGCAGAATACATCCATAGTGCGTAGAAAATTTCTTCAATGCGCCCACACGGTTCGGTGGCGGACAGTGACTCCAGCTACTGTACAGTAGTGTAAGTAGCTGTACAGTAGTGTAAGACTTGACTTTGCTTGTACAGAGCTCGTATAACAATTTAGCCATCCTCGGTCCAAACCGACTAATCTAGTAAAGAAGGTAATGGAGACTCGCTCTAGTTTCCTTTATTCATCATGACGTGGTGTTGAGGGCTTTTCTGTTTTTCTCCCGTCATCGACATCGGCCGATCCCTAACTTGGTGGTCATACCCACGGACACTATCCGTTGCTCGGCCAGGAACCACATTCTCATTCGCTCTTCCGAGACCCAGTTACTGTTTTTCGCAGGTTTCTAGAAGGTGGCAAGTGACTTCGGCTATTGTTGTGACATGCCAGACAATCTCGAATTATGAACGCTGGCATGCGACCTCAGACATGCATTCAGGAATCGTAAACATCAACAAACGTTGGTTATGCTCGTCTTGAATAGAATATGCTCTGATAATATACATTCTAGTTTTCACAAAGAGAACTGGATAGATGAATGCGATACAGTAGGGCTAGAGTCCTGTACCTACCCCGTTTGCAACTCACGTGGACAACCCGCGAATGTCTCCCTTTCTCCACCTTCTCCACCCCAAGAACCCTCCAAACAGTATGGAGTTATGTGCCCATGGAGTGAAATTTCCTCCGCCCCATTCCGATTCCAAACGTGGGACACGAGATCCGGGCCCCCGTTTTGCCTGCCATGGTACCCCAAGGGGGACGGGGCTCCGTATTTATTTCACGGCGTTTCCCCCTTCCTGGATGGATTCGTTTGTTTTTTCTTTCCCATCCCTCTAGAGATCTTCAAACCCTTCCAGCATCAACCACCTGGATAGGTCTCTTTTCACAATGGGCGTTGGAAACCTCATGTCAAAGCTCAAGCCGAGCTCTGAGGCTCAGGAGTCTCAGTTCTCCTCGCAGGCTGCTACCCCTGCTCGTGCCGACTCCACGGTCGAGAAGGATGACACCATGATTGATGATAGCCCTGTCAAGTACTTGACATGGCGTTCATTCATCTTGGGCTTGTGTGTCTCCATGGGTGGTTTCATCTTCGGTTACTCTACTGGTAAGGTTTCACGACAGCTTTGGTCAACGGCTGGTCACAGTGCTAACATGATATTCAGGTCAAATCTCTGGTTTCACCTCCATGACCGACTTCAAGATACGCTTTGCGGAGTACAATGCTTCCACTGGTGAATATGCTTTCAGCAACGTCCGCAACGGTCTGATCGTTGGTCTGGTATGTTTCCATACATCTAACTGCAGCATGTATAGAAGACTAACCATGTTTCTTCTATAGCTCTCTATCGGAACTATGATCGGTGCCCTCGTCGCTGCCCCCATTGCGGACCGCATTGGCCGCAAGTATTCCATCTCCTTCTGGGCTTTGATCAACATGGTCGGTATCATTGTGCAGATCGCCAGTACCGACCAGTGGGTGCAGGTCGCCATGGGTCGTTGGGTCATGGGTCTGGGTGTCGGTGCCCTGTCCAGCGTTGTCCCCATGTACCAGTCTGAGTCCGCTCCCCGCCAGGTCCGTGGTGCCATGGTCAGTGCTTTCCAGCTGTTCGTCGCCTTCGGTATCTTCATCTCCTACATTGTCAACTTCGGAACCTCCCGCATTGACTCGACTGCCTCGTGGCGTATCACCATGGGTATCGGTTTCGCCTGGCCTCTTATCCTGGGTGTCGGCACTCTGTTCCTGCCCGAGTCCCCCCGTTTCTCGTACCGCCACGGCCGTGTTGAGGAGTCCCGCAACGTTATGGCCAAGCTCTACGGTGTCCCTGTCAACCACCGCGTTGTTGCTCAGGAGATGGCCGACATGAAGCAGAAGCTTGATGAGGAGCTTGCCGTCGGCACTGCTCCCTGGCACGAGATTCTCACCGGTCCCCGCATGTTCCACCGTACCATGCTTGGTATTGCTCTGCAGTCCCTGCAGCAGCTGACCGGTGCCAACTTCATCTTCTACTACGGTACCTCTATCTTCGCTGGTGTCGGTCTCAGCAACTCCTACGTCACCTCCATCATTCTGGGTGCTGTCAACTTCGGTATGACTCTGCCCGGTCTGTACATTGTCGAGCACTATGGTCGCCGTAAGTGTCTGATGATCGGTGCCGCCTGGATGTTCATCTGCTTCCTGATTTGGGCTTCCGTTGGTCACGAGATTCTCTCGGCCACTCCCTCCGCCCACAGTGCTGGTGTTGTCATGATTGTCTTCACCTGCTTCTTCATCGTCGGTTTCGCCACCACCTGGGGTCCTATTGTCTGGGCCATCTGTGGTGAGATGTACCCCTTCCGCTACCGTGCTACCTGCATGGGTGTTGCCACTGCCGCCAACTGGACCTGGAACTTCCTCATCTCCTTCTTCACCCCCTTCATCTCCAGCGCCATTGACTACCAATACGGTTACGTCTTCGCCGCCTGCTGCTTCGCTGCTATCCTCGTTGTCTTCTTCTTTGTCAACGAGACCCAGGGTCGCACTCTTGAGGAGGTTGACACTATGTACGTCCTGCACGTCAAGCCCTGGAAGTCCTCCAGCTGGGTTGCTCCCGAGGGCATCATTGCCGACATCCACGCTCCTCACGAGCCCAAGGCTACTGAGGGTGGTGTCGGTGAGAACCAGCACCACGATGCTGAGATCACCGAGGAGGAGTAAGCTTCTCGCCATATTGGAAACAAAAAACAAAATTCCATTGGAAAACAAAGTCATTTTGAGAATGACTCAAATGTATTAGTAGTTAATGATTTTCTGTGGACATAAACTCACCTTTTGCTACGGCTTCTCCAAATAGACGGGAGACGAGTTTGAAATGAAATGGCATTGAACCATGATTGCACATGAAACAATTTATTTTTGCATCTGTATAAAATAAAACTCTAGATAACTACGATATCAACCAGATGATCATTTCTGATTACCAAACTCCAAACCAGCCTCCTTCCGCGCAGCACCATAAACACCCGCAATATCACCCTGCACACCCTTCTCCTCCTTAACGACAGACAGCAAGTGATCCGTAACCTCTACATTCCGCATCCGCTGTCCACCCTCCTTAGCCAAGGCAGAAGCATGTCTTAAATCCTTCCGCGCGAGATCAACAGCAAACAAAGGCTCCTCACGCATATAATAATCCCCCGACACCATGCGGTTCGCATACTTAGCAAACGGCCCCGGCGCAAACAACTCAATCCACTCCTTCAACGGCTCCACGCCCAATCCCGTAGTCTCAGCAGCAGTCAAGGCCTCAGCAAGCACACCGACCGTATTAAGAATGAATGTATTTCCAATAACCTTCATCGTAGTCGCGCGTCCAACGTCAATATCAGCCCCAGTCCCAGAAGACAGGTCAATCGACTTTGCAGCTGTGACACCCTCGTAGAATGGGCGGGCCTTTGCGATGGCGGCTTGTTTACCAGCGGGCACGACGATCAGAGCACCGATATCTGCCATGTTCGGGGCACCGAAGACGGGGCTTGTGACGAAGGATGCGCCGCGTGCTTCGTAGGCTGCTTCTGTGCGGCGGGATGTATCGGGGTGCACAGTTGAGCAGTCGACAACTGTCTTGTTGGAGAAGTCGATTGAAGTGTCAGCCAGGACGCCGGTTGTGATGGAGTCGAGGGCTGCGTCGTCGCCGACGCAGATGAAGATTATGTCGGCGTCCTTCACGGCTTCGGGGAGTGTGCTTGCTACTTTCACATTGCCTTCTAGTGTGGCGGCGTGGGCGGTTGCGCGGGCGGTTGTGCGGTTGTAGAGAGTTAAGCTTGCTTGGGGGCCTTTTTTGGCGATGTTGGTGCTCATGCCCTGTGGTTTTTGTTAGCTCTGGAGTATGGATGAGCTATGCGTGGAGTGCTGGTTACTTACCCGGCCCATGTTGCCGAGGCCAATGAAGGTGACGTTAGTTCCAGACATTGTGTAGATTGCGATTGAGTTGTTTATGCAGAAAAAAATATCAATAATTGAGGTGAATGGCCGGTCTTTAAATCCAAGCTTCGAACGTGGGGCAGACGTGGGGTAATGGAGATAAGTTGGAACGGGCTTAGTTCTTAGCCGGGCTTCCGAGTTGCATGAACTTGAGATCACAATTACATGAGAGGCTGAGGTCTAGGTCTTTATACTATTGGTCCACGAGGAGACTCAATCGTGTTTATCAATATATTACGTGTTTCTTGTCTTCGGCAACGATAATTGTTAAGCGACGCCCTCCGTAAACCGCCGTGACCAGAGTTGCGGCTCGCACGGCCCGGTCGTTCCGCACGGTGCACTTCTGTCCCATACTTCCCTTCCCGCACTCACCCTTGACGTCGTCACTCTCATACATGTCAGTTGAACTGACTCACAGTTTCGCCTTCTCCTTCTCGATGATAGCGATATCCTGGAACGGCAAGCCCAGGTACTGCCACATATACGCAAACCTAGCGAAAGTTAGTCCCTTCGAACCAAAACAAAACAAGATCATAGAGTAAGATTTTCTGCCCACATACCGATCACTCCCAAAGAAAGGCTCCTCCTTGCCCTCCGAGTTTCTCACCCAAAACCAAGGCGCCCCGTAAGCGCCCAAATCAAGCGCTTTCTGCGTGTTATCCGTAAGCGCTTGCTTATACTCCGGACTCGACGCCGCGGCTAGAATCTTCTTGATATCCTCATCGGAGAACCCGTGGCTTTGTAGAAGTTTCGCCAAGTTCTCAGGCTTGCTAACGTCGATGTTCTTTTGATACATCCACTCTGACAGGGAGAGAAATGTCTTTTCGAATAGTTCGCGACTATGGTTGTTTTTGATATAGATCAAGCAGCGTTGGGGCTGGATTTTGTGAGTAATTATCCATTGATACATATTTGGTACCAAGAACTTGACCAAGGGAATTATTATTTACCATGATTGAGAGAATGGGGAAGAAATCCGGAGTCTTGTTTTGTGAAGTGCCGAAGTAGTTGCATGCCCGTTGCATGTCGAATTTGCCATATGCCGCTTTGGCCGGCAATGTCCAAGGAGGTTTATTGCCTGAATAAGATCGGTTAGCGGAGAAGGAATATTGAGATATTAGACATTGATTGATTGATACCAGAGGCAACATTGACACCTCCTAAGAAGATCGGATGAAGCCTGCATCGAAATTAGAACGTCATTTTATACCCTGGAAGAAGTGTAATGCCACGCACTCGACTTCCACTCCATGCGACTCTAGTGCCTTCCGATTCCGCCGTAAGTAGAGTGCTGCGAAGTATGAGTACGGCGAGACTAGTAGCGTAGTTAAATTAGCATTGCACCGGCTCTGAGATGTATGCATGCGCATGAGGCATTGCTCCCCTTTTCTGGTGGGGACCTACCGCAGTCGATGTACGCGTCTATCTTGGCTGTCATTTTCGTTGATTTTCTGGCGCTTATTGGTTCTTTGGGCAGGCACTGGTGATGGTGCAATCACTGGCGCATTTGTAACGGGGGTTGTTCGTATATAACGGCGCGTGGCCCGAGGTGGAGATGGGCCGAGGCTGTGGGTCTGATGAGTGATCAGGAAATCGGGCTCCCGCAATAAGATGTTTACTGCAATACCCGATCAAAAAATGAATTCTTCAAGACTGTATATTGTGTCTCGCTGTCATAATTGAAGGTATTATTATTCTGGCTCTTTTTTGGTTTAATGTTTTTCTGTCTTCTTTTCTCTCCAAATATTATTAACAAGAGGGTGGAGGGGAATGTAAGCAAGTATGGCTCCTTACTCACGTGTGGTTCCACTGAGAATAGTTCTTCAAACGAATGCTTTGTAGACCCCGACTCCCCCACGGCTCCCCACCTTGGTGGAGGACCAACTTGGGGGTGGCATGGCTGCGTCGATCACTAGGTCTAATGTGACCTTGGTCCCCATTAGTGGATCGGGGGCCAAGTATGATGTGTATCACCAAGCAGGCTCATTTCACATGTCCAGCCTTGACGCCGCATTGAAATCCAAGGCTCGCTAGCCTTTGACCACGTCTCTTCACTGTCCTTTTGAATCTTCACAAGGCGGGGGACTCTGAAGTTACATTTGCTTGATCAGCCTCCACTGAGAGTTTCTTCACGTCTGGAGAGGCTGTCCTCGTCTTCTCTCTTGGAATTTTCAGATTAAACATCTTGAAGTCTTCGATATTGTCCCGATTGTTCTCGAGCGAAGTTTCTTAGACCTGCATTTAGCCTTGGCAAAGGCTGCATGTTAGTCACAGCCTTGTCCATTGCAACACCTCGTGGTACTCAATAATGAGTGATTTTTTTCCTTTTTGAGGCGTTTTTTTTTTTTTGATTTTTAGTAGCTTTACAAAGTTCATAGCCCCAGCGGGCCTCATCATGCACCTGGGCCATTCATGACCGCCCTGCCACAAAGGAACCCCAGGTCGACCCATTCTAACTCTAGATCAGGTATACCTTTATTGACGAGGTAAATTGGCCGATTGTTTTGGACAGTTGTCCAAAAATAGCTATATTCAGACCCCAGGTCACAATCTCAAAGACTCCAGTGTAGTGCGGTTCAAGCAAGCTCTATAATGCGCAGTGAAGATAACCATAACGGGTGGCTGAATCCTAACTGCCCGGGTGGGTCTCAGGCAACCCGTGAGGGGGAACCAACTATGCTGAGGCAGGATTTCAGCAAAGGAATGGCAGCTCTAATTCAACTGCTAAAAAGATCGGGCGATGCACGTTTGCCCTCATTGTCTGTCATGAAATAGATACGATTGTGTATTCATCAAAAGAAGACTTGTTACTGCTTGCCTCAATGGAGACTACCATAAGAGTAGCTTAATGAGAAGAGGTTATTGTTTTGGTGAGGTCTAAGAGCTGTATTCCTAAGGTTATCTTCAAAGCCTATGGTGGCTTCGTTGCTGGCTCCTGGGGGCCTTGCAAAGTGGATTTGTGTGATGTCTGGTAACCATAGAGGATCAAATTAGAAAGATAATTCAATCATAAGACATAGGATCGACAGCTGTGCCTGCCCTATTCATATACTTGTGTTGGCCAAATTCAGGCTGGACAATACACCATACTACCTACATGCGAGAATCCCACTCATGTGCTGGACCAACACTCAACGCTCTGCGGCATGAGGCCATGAATGGAGAAATTTAACAATAAGGCTCTCACCAGTGAGGTCACAAGGCGTTCCGTCGCTACAAGGAGCTGGAGACCTAGCGAGAAATTCCTCCAGATCTCGACTATAAAGAGGGGCTTTCGCTCCAGCAATCCGTCTTGATCATTCTCATCAATATCAGTACTCTGTTCAGCAAGTCTCCAAGACTCAAAAAATATCAACAAGCAAACAAACATTCAAATCTTTCAACATGCAGCTCTCCAACCTCACTCTTGCTCTTGTGGCCTTCGGCGCTACCCTTGGTGTTGCTGCCCCTTCCCCCAACAAGGACAGCACTGCTGCCGCGAAATAAACATGTCCTAACGGCTGGGTCACTTGCGGTGTATGTTTACTGTCTCAATAGTATCTCCATGCTATAAGTCCTCTAATAATAACAAATGAAATGTAGGAATGCAACGGTAACTCCTGCAAAATTGCGGGAACCAACAGGTAAGTGCCCGTCCTGATACATATAGCAATAGGTATTAACAAAAGTTGACAGGGAGTGCGAGGACGGCAAAGTAAGAGCACCTGTTTGAATAATCTTATCATCGTATAAGTGGGTAAAATGTTTTTTATATCAGAGGCTGATAGTTTTGCAGTGCACGGGTGAAGGTGGTGGCGATGGAGCCATCTGTGGACAGCACTGGGATGCCCGAACTCAATGCCCTGGCAAATAAAGTCTTTGAGACTTTACTGCGAGGTGACTCCGGTCCGCATCGAGGGAGGTGATGGTTGTCGACTGTGGGTGGATGAAGGGAAGAAGAGGGAATCTGAATAAACTTGGGTGGCTAGGATCTCATATGGCCCTTATGGCATTCATAGTTGCTGAAGACAGATTTCGGTTTCCTAGAGAGAATTTGATTGTAAAGTGATGTCAATCTTCTCTATGTAATGCCAATTGCCATGATGCAGCATATCTGTACTGAATATTGCAACTTTCTTGGATCACGTACTTCTTCACTGGGGTCTAATTAACGTGGATTATTGCACTTTTCTAGATTTCTTGAGACATCGTTCACTCATCCTCGTACCACAGTATCACGAAAAAGCAATTATTCTATTGTTGGGTATATGAAGAAACAATTATTTAAGCATTAAATGATCGCACGCAGCCTACTATTTTGCTGGTGCTGGTTCCTTGATCACCAGGGTGATATTCGAATATCACGAACTCATCCTTCAATTTTTGGTGTGACCATGGCCACTGATGGCCGACTGTCGGGTATTGACCAAGTCCAGGTCATAAGGGTTTTCCTCATACTGCGTCGCAGTCGCAACACGATGCAATGATCGTCCAGATTGGCGAGAAGCCCGCGAAGCGCGAGACATGCGTCGGCCAATGCTTATACGCGATGGGACAGTAGACACTGTCTCAGTATCGCTATCGTCGGCGATATCCGCCTCTTGGGCAGCCTCTGTCCCTTTCTCTTCTTCCTTCGTCTGCGGCGCTGCCTGGTTCTTCTCAGCAAGTCTGCGCATGAATGCATCCGCCTCAGCAGCAAAGGTGCAGCGCTGGCGAATCTGAGCTCCGTATTTATAGAAGACGAATGGGAATGGCACACAGGCCAGAGCCAGGAATGCAGGGATAGAAGACGCCCAGTGGATACCCAGATTTTCATACATGTATGTTGTGAAAAGTGGGAAGGCCATACCCAATAGGGAACGGAGCGCTGAGTTGGCGGCTAACACCGAGGCAGCGAAGATTGTGTATGAGTCGATGAGGTAGTTGAACACACTCAGGAAGACGAGGACCATGCCGAATCCGAAGGGGGCACCGGCTGCGATAGATACCATCCAGTGGATACTGGGAGAGTTGGTCCAGGCGAACCAGAAGAGTCCAATTGGGAGGGCAATGCTACCAACCATGCTAGGAGGGAGTCGGAGTTCTGGTGCGAGTCTGTCGGTTGTTTCGGCGCATTTCTTTGCGTAGCGCTTATTTTCTGGGAAGGTGTAGGCAAGGGCGCAGAGCATTCCGACTAGAATGCCCAGGAAAGCAAGACCGCCTATGCCTTCGCTCCAGCCGCGAACTTCCTGGAACACGATCGGGTAAGCGGCGAAAAGCATATAGAGCGTTCCGTAGATAATCGCCATATAGATCGAGCAGAGAAGCACGATAGGCTCACGGAATAAGAGGATCCATGGACGCGAGAGGGCAGTTTTGAGTGTCTTGCCCATTGGCAAAGGCCCACGCTCAATATCGAGCTTGCTGCGGTATACCTGTCCGGTCATCTCAGAGAGCTTGGCAGCTCGGCGACGGAGAAGAACCGGGGCGTAGGTCTCTGGAAGCAGGAAGATAACGCATAGCCAAAGCACTCCCGAGAAAGCAGCGAGGAATCCCTCGACCCAGCGCCAGCCTGCTCCAGTAGCAAGGAAGCCTCCAATGATCGGGCCAATAGTGGGACCCAAGAAAGGCGCCGCAGCGAAGAAGCTAATCGCAATACCACGCTGCGCAGCCGGGAACATGTCCGCAATGGTACCGCCTCCATTTCCAAATGGCGAAGACCCGAAGCAGCCAGCCAAGAAACGGAGGATGATGAGAGTCTCGATGTTTTTGGATCCTGCGGCACCTGCGTTGAAAGCCGTCAGGAATGCAAAACTGATAGTGAAGATATGGCGACGACCGAACATCTCACTGAGCGGTGCCCAGATCAGAGGACCGATGGCAAATCCCAAGACAAAGAGCGATACTCCAAGGATGACAATTTCTTCTTCCACACCGAAAGCCTCGATGATCTGGCTCATTCCACCTGAGTATGCAGATGATACCAAGGCGACTGCGAGGGTAACGAATGAGACAAGAATTGTGATTGCCCATTTCTTGACGGGGCGGAAGTTCATCGGGTTGCGAGGATCATTCGGGATCCAGACGACGGCGTAAGGATCATCTTCAGTGCCAGAACCCGCGTAGGAGTATCGGGCTACTTCTTCGGTGATCACCTTCTGATCGAATATTAAGCGCCAGAAGGGAATCTTGGAGGGTAGCGACACCTCGCCCCCATTGAGAGCTGTCATTGTCAGGAGAAGCTTGTCTGGCGCAGTTCTTCGCTGATTGCTGATCGCCGTTCCACCAGGTATGAATCTTGTCGATCAGCCTAGCTTAAGCGATCAAAATGGATGCAGATCAGGTCAGATGAAGCCTTTAACATGAAAATAAAAATTGTGATAATTGCCACCATCAGCATAATGACTTTTAATCAAAGACCCACATATAACCGGGAGCCTCGGTATTTTCCTAGATTGGTAAACGCTTTTCCGTGAATCTCGTTTCTCATTGGCTCAGGAGTTATGCCCCCGGCACTGGGTGCCGAATGCCCTAATCTGTATATGATTAAGCATGTATTCAAAATACGTTCTAAGCGTGAATCGCATGGCTTAAAGACTGGCTTTACCTGTTTCTCGCTCAATTTGCGAAACCTTGTCCGCTGTCCGCATCATGCCTTCTTCGGCGATTTTCTCCCATCGTGAGTAGGCCTTCAGACCAGCCTATTCTAGTTGCCAGCCCACAAGGCACAAGCAATGTCTGGTATCCAAAAAAATGATATAATATAATGACTTAGTAGTTCCGGAGGATTAAGCGGACCATATTAACGCCTGATTGAAAACACCATTAGGCCACTTCGTTGAATCTATTTCACTAGTAATCTTTTGTATGGCAGACTGGGGATAGGACTAAAGACATATTGAGGGGGTCTTAAGATCACACTTATATACCGTGACTTGGTCGGCCGCGTTTGCGGTTTCGTCTATTGTTAATTCGGAGCTTTTCGCAGATTCACGCAGGCTACTACCAAGGTGGAGTCTTCTATCGTATCATCTCTATCTCGGTTGTTAGAACGTGAAGGAGAACGTGAAGGGGAATGTGAAGGAATAATGGTTTTTGTTCTCTTCCAATACTCACCTCACCTCCACTTTCAGCTCTCTCCTAAGGGGTATCAACACTCCAATACAACTGTTCCAATTTCTTCAAGTCGCACCAAATTTACGGTACGTCAGAGAGCTTCAGGACAATATGAGCTGAATCACCACTGACAACAGTGTCCTACCTCTTCTTCGCGAGCCAACACTTCGACCACCAGGCTACACTAAAAAAAGAAATCTGCCGTGGACTAGAATCAAATTTGATGGCTTTATTTCCCAGAAAAAGTGCAGTGCTGAGGCACTCCTAGCCCAGTCAACCGGGCTACTGTTGGAAAATACCATAGATGCACACATTGCCAGCGTGGCGTCGGATCATTTGATGGATGTTTCCGCGTGCCTGGCCAGCCATATTGCGCAAATTGCCACTTATGTGGATATAAAAGCCGCTGCAGCCTACAGCAAGAGAGCTGATCAAGTCTGACTTACTGATCAGCCTGCGAGGCATGAAGCCCGCACGGGAGCTCGTCCTACGCTTTGGTCGCAAGGTCGTTACCACTGGTTTGATATTGATGCAGGAGATCCACCAATTGATTGCAGGAATTGGTGGGCCTATACTATCAATTCTTTGTTTGGGGTTATCAACAGCGCTGTATCGAAGGGCATATGTGACGCACCTATTGTGAATTGCGATACAGGCGGAGTTGGCGGCTTCTTTCATCTATTTGACGGAACCAATTGTTTAAGCGCCCACCTGGATGATTTGGTCGCTGAAGGATGGCAAATGGTTTAGATTATATCTGTACCTAGCTTTTGTATTCCATTGCATCTCATAATTAATTATTTCGCTGCATTGTGCTTCAGGCTCTTATTGGTCTGGTAAGGTGATATTCGATTATTTCCAAAAGCTGATTGATCGATGAGAACTGAGACTCTTCCTCAAGTGAATCCGTTTCCGCCCCGCCCCTCTTATTTACGAAACTCTGTGGATGATACGTGCGCATTTTAATTTATGTGTTTCAGATTGCTGTAATCAATGTCCCTACTATATTCAGGATTGAAGCTACTGTAGATGGCTTCGAGGGAGACCAGAAGTATATCGAGACTTTTCATTGGTCATTATGTATCCACTACGAGTGGAGTGCGCAAAGTTTTCAGTGGAGCCTTGGCTGTCTCGAAGCGTTGGAAGGCCATGTTTTCGGCCCGGGCGCCACAGAGATTTTATGCACGGCTTCCCGAGATTTGTTGTTCGTGGTGACAGGAGTCGTGGAATGACCACATAAGGGGCAATTATGTAGGAGAAACCCAGGAATGAAGGACAATGCCAATTGATGCATCCGATTATTCTGGAATTTCTCCACTTGCGCACCTGCATTGACAGGTGCAGTTGAAGCGGAGACGTGGAGTTTGACGGCTAAACCCGATCGTCACGATGGTCGCCTACTGGTGTAGGCATGTTTTGTTCTACTGAGCATGTTGAGATTGACCTGAGACTATACCTCCAATTTTTCATGGCAATTTATTCTGAGTTCCACTATTTTACTGCAAGAAACTCGGTGATGCGTAACTATAATATGCAAACCTACTACCCATAAACACGCCAATCGCCCGCTATGCTTCATTATTTATTCGTCGAAGAGATGTTCCATCCATCTGGTTTCTTCACGAGCTCTTTCCAACCCGTCTAGAGATACTAACCGGCACTCATCGCGCAGTAAGGATTGTTATTGGTGGGTGTCCGTCTTTAGCATGCTTCTCAGCTACCTCATCTTCTTGTAGGAGCCTGAGGGTCCGGATCCACAATGCTGGTGTAGTCAGCTTCCAGTCCCTGTGAGGAAGAGAAACGTCAAGACTTACCCGACAGGCTCACATAGTATTTGACTGTTCCAGTGCAGTCCTCATATCCGTAATTCTCCTGATCTTGTGTGACCATCACCTGAAGGCCAATTGTCTTCTGGCTGTCGACCCAGAATAGCTCAGGGTTATCCTGAGCCTCCGGATCACCGATATGTCGGCCTTTGTCATTCGATTGGCTTAAAAACTCTTTGGGGATTCTGATCATTTTGTTCTCGATCTTAAACGCCTTGTAGGGGCCAGTCCGCTCGGCCAAATACATCCTGAGTCGAAACTGAACAAAGTCTTCGTAGCTTTCCAGTGTAACCTCTTCTCCGAGGTCTCTATCATCTTCACAGTAGTTTCTCAAGTTAGTCGTGTAACCGTCCATGCCATCCTCATCAGACCACCATAATGTACCTGGTCGGAACCAGGGATCTCCCCGGGGACCAGCCGGGTGGAAAATTGAGTACCAGGCATTTTCCTGGGCCTGTGTCGGCTCTTGAACAGATGCTGATTGCCTGACACAGGGCATCAGTGAATCACACGGATTCTTTTCATCCACGAGAGCCACAGTCCCCTGGTGGGCCCATGTAATGACCCCCTTCTTCTCTCTCATTGGTGTGTACCAGCCCACGCGCAGGTAAACACTATCGTATTCGCGTTTGAGAAAATGGTGTAGGCGGTACTCAAGTATTGTCGTGACAATTGCTCGGAAACTTTGTGAGACAGAGGTAATAGCATTGAGGTGCTTCGTTGAGAGATACTCCAAAATATTCCAGATGATCTGAAGTTCCATTAATATTAGCCCGTAGGCATATACCTCATCACTCTTACCTCGGGTGGGAGATCGTTCATCGTGCGCGGAGGGCGCTCTCTAGAAAGCGACAAGGGTGAAAGCGGTTCTTTTGAGGAAGTCATTATGATCGGTAGTCTTAGAACTAGTTTTACAAGAAGTCAACAGAGTATAAGAGCTCAAGATTGCATGAACGGTCTCTTAAATCCTGTCTTCAACGTGTGAACTGAATCGGGATGTCGTTATCGATAAGGAAATATCAGGAGACAAATCAGGAGATGATGACGTCAGCTCTATCCCCGATTTGACCACGCACAGGAGAGGAACAAGATAGACGTACAGATGTCAAAATATGGGCGCATTGAAGACTGTGGATGACTACAATTAGCCCAGGATCCACAATGCATCTGTATAAAATTGGATTCAGTGACGCTAAAACCCCAGTCTTGCCGAGTGCGGGATCCCGAATTCCTATCCCGTTCACCGAGACTTGATATCCACGCTAAATCGGGTTCTTCCTACATACAATCCCCATACTCTGGTGTAACCTCCTGCCAATGGCCTCGGGTAGATCCGAATCTATCTGGATAATGGTCGCATAATTTGCAGGATTCGACCAATATCAATATCATGTAGAAACTCCAAATATTGATATCCGTAGAGAGTGCGGTAACATTTTTTATTTATCCGGAGAGACTCCACGTCCCCACGTCCAACCCCGCCGGAGGCCACAGACCCTTGCCGAGTCGCTTCCTTATGTATTCCCCCTCTCTCTTGCCAATCTCTTTCTTCCAAGGTACTCTCTCTGTAACCAGTTCTTTTTTCTTCGCAAAATGGAGAACGTTCTTGATGATATCTCCCACCGGAGATTCAATCCCCTTCGCGGATCCCATGTTTTGGTCTCTCCCCACCGAACCAAGCGGCCCTGGCAGTGTGTTTCCATTCCTAGCCATTGTGTAACGCTGCAAACTTGCTGACGATATTTTTTTTCCTTTGATCGACAGAGGCGCGCAGGAGAGTGCTTCCAAGACTACTCTGCCTTCCTATGACCCCAAGTGCTATCTGTGCCCTGGAAACCAGCGCGCACAGGGTGACGTCAACCCCAAGTACGACAGCACTTTCGTATTTGTGAACGACTACAGCGCCGTCAAGGAAGAACAGGCCGCCTATGATGGCAACAACGGAAATGGTAGGTTTCAAATATCTTTTTTCGTAACTTCGCGCTGACCCCCCGCAGATCTCGAATCGCGGTTCCTCAAGGCGGAGCCCGTGACGGGAAAGTGTTACGTGCTCACATTCTCACCCTCCCATAACCTCACCCTGGCCGACCTGGCTCCCATCGAGATCGTCCCAGTCATCAATGCCTGGACCGAGATCTACGCCGCCCACCTCTCGCCCACCTCGCCACTAGCGCAGAATGCCCCTCCCACCCACATCGCGCCCACCGCGCCGCATGCAAACGTCACCAAGCCCAAGGAGCAGTACCGCTACATGCAGATCTTTGAAAATAAGGGCGCTGCCATGGGTTGCTCGAACCCTCATCCTCACGGCCAGGTCTGGACTACTAGCAACCTGCCCGAAGAACCCGCTGCCGAGCTGGAGCAACTGCGCCGGTACCGCCACGAGCACGGCGGTGCCCACATGCTGGAGGACTATGCCGCGCTGGAGAGCCTGAAGCAGGAGCGCGTAGTCTTCGAGAATGAGATGTTTGTTGTGGTTGTTCCGTGGTGGGCGACCTGGCCCTTCGAGACCATGATCATCAGTCGAACACACAAGCGTGCGCTGGTCGATCTGAGCGAATCCGATACCACACTTCTGGCTGAAGCTATTGCCGAGATCACGCGTCGCTATGACAACCTCTTCGAAACCCATTTCCCGTACAGCATGGGTATTCACCAGGCGCCGCTTGATGGTACTGCTGAGGAAATTGAGGCTTCTTATCTGCACTTCCACTTTTACCCGCCGCTTCTGCGCAGCGCTACTGTGCGCAAGTTCCTCGTCGGGTACGTTTCTTTCTTGTCTCTTCATTCCATTCACACGACTGACTTTGATATAGCTTTGAGCTTATGGCTGAGCCCCAGCGTGATATCACACCGGAGCAGGCTGCTGCTCGGTTACGCGATTGCGGTGGTGAATTATACCGCAAAAACTTGGAGTAAAGTGATCTCAGTAGAATTGTGAATATCAGGTAGTCGGAGTAGTAGTATTTTGCATGTTTTTGCATTGAACCCATTATGTTGTTGGGAGCCCGAGAATCTATAGAATTATAACATCATACTTTGACAACGGGTATCGTTCGGCGATCTATGTCGCTATAAGAAGTGTCTCGTGTCGATTTTATCAACACATATGCCATTGGTGCCTGTCTGACGGCAGACTAGTGCACAGTTCCCCCCTATTCATTTAAGCCAGGTACGCATCACGCTGGGTCAACATCCAAGCTATCGAGGATGAAGCCACGATCAAGGGGCTAAGGAAGCGACCCTTCAGCGAGGCGTTACCAAAGACCAGCTCTCCGACAAAGTGAGTCAGAGCAATAGCATAAGTCCAGATCGCAAGATCGTACGCGATGGGGTTGTCGATGTTGTAGGCAGCGGTCATGCGAATGACGGCGGAGAGGAAGGTCCAGGTACCGAAGAGACGGCCGGACAGAGGTTCACAGGCAATGGCACCATTGGTGTAAAGTTTCGATGTGTAATTGGCTGAGGTGTAGGCCTGCAAACTATTGAGGGCGGAGACGGCGGACACCTGGATTGTGGTTAGCAGAAGTAAAGGGGAAGGAACCTGGGAACTTACGAAGACGAGCCATTTGGGCAGGATACCCTCGAAGGGGGGCAAGTAAGCAAGCACTGGCGCCAATAGTTCAGACATAATTGGAATATTTGGTGGGATTGAAGAAGGAATTCTGCTTGTGAATTGCCAGCAAACCGAGGATGTTTAGGTTCGGGTCTTGGCGTTGATCTTCCCCAACAAGCTGCACCTAATCTTTTTTTTAATCTGCTTATCCTCCAATTTCCCCCTCAACAAACTTCATTTTCATACACCATGGATCTGAACCTGTCAAAGCACATCGAGTGCCTCTCGCAATGGCCTGCTCATCTGCCCGCCGGTCTACCGACCGTCGGTGCCTTGTTGCTTCTTGCAACTGGTGGGCTGGCCATTGCCTGCAAGGTCTGGACTTTCGTGCGAGTGCTTCTGAGCCTCTTCGTGCTTCCGGGTAAACCGGTACGTCTTCAATCCCATCCGCTACGATCTTGGGTAAAAGCTAATAAGATACGATAGCTCCGCTCCTTCGGGCCCCCTGGTAGCTGGGCTGTTGTCACCGGTGCCTCCGATGGCCTGGGCAAAGAGTTCGCGCTGCAACTGGCGCGTGCCAAGTTCAACATTGTGCTTGTATCCCGGACCGAGTCCAAGTTGATCGCCCTGGGTGAGGAAATCACCAAGCAGTTCCCCGCCGTGCAGACCAAGACCCTGGCCATGGACTTCTCCCAGAACGCCGATGAGGACTACGCCGCGCTGGGCAAGCTCGTTTCCGATCTGGATGTGTCTATCCTCGTGAACAACGTTGGTCAGAGCCACTCTATCCCCGTTCCCTTCGCCCAGACCCCGGCCTCTGAGATGAACGATATTATCACCATCAACTGCACCGGTACCCTGCGTGTCACCCAGCTCGTCGTCCCCGGCATGATCCAGCGTCACCGCGGTCTCGTCCTCACCATGGGCTCATTCGGTGGTCTCCTTCCTACTCCCCTGCTCGCCACTTACTCCGGTAGCAAGGCTTTCCTCCAGCAGTGGTCCACCGCCCTGGGTGCCGAGCTCGCTCCCCACGGCATCGACGTCGAGCTTGTCCAGGCTTACCTGATTACCTCCGCCATGTCCAAGGTCCGTCGTGCGTCGGCCTCTATCCCTACTCCCCGCGCTTTTGTTCGCTCCGTCCTCTCGAAGATCGGCCGCCACGGTGGCTCGTCCGCCTACGCCTACAGCTCCTCGCCATACTGGAGCCACGGTCTCATGGCTTGGTTCCTAACTTCTGTTGCGGGCCCCATGAACAAGTTCGTGCTTGGACAGAACAAGACGATGCACGAGAGCATTCGTAAGCGTGCTTTGCGTAAGGCCGAGCGTGATGCTCAGAAGAAGAGCACCTGATTGGATGTGGGCCGTCAACACTCAAGTCAATTAGCATTGATTATGACATGAAATGTGTATTTTGGGGGAGCGGAGATGAGGTGAAAATCCTACGATATAGCTTATAAACTAAAGGACTAGGTTCCTAGTCTAATTTAATTACGTATCATTTAACGAGCTAGCCGACGGACGTCACGGGCCAAAACCTATCCAATCCATTGTCTCATTAACATGACGTCGGAAATGAGTGCGTGAGGTCATTCTTGACATCGAGTTCTAGCTATCGCGTGATCCTCGACCGGCATATTATCCTAATGCAGAAATTAAGCTCCAAACAATCTAGGTTTCGGCTCCAATCTCTTGCACCATGTGAGACCGTGGTACCTCGTATCATCTGAATCCCAAACATCAAACTCGAATTTGCGACTTTCAGGCGACCCAAGCGCAACAGGCTAGACCTTGAGCTCGGGAATTGTTTGCAACCTCTCGGTTCCATGTGGGTTAAGTGGATCGTCGCCTGTGATGCCCGTTAAATCCACTATTCGCGCCTACGTAACACCTACCCTGTACTCCGTCGTCTTTGTATGTAGTCATTTTAAGGCCATTCCTGCCAGCTGACATTCAAGCCTTGTGATTTGGGCAGGCATGCATGTTTCATCTTTTGATGCTCAAGCACCATAAGCCGGCTCCACAACCCTGTACCTAAACCCATTAGCCTTCAGCCCCAGATTCAAAGACAGATTTAGAACAGCGAAAACCAAGTCACAGGCTAGGGTTGAATCTGGATCAGCCTCGAACCGAGTCACACATGAGACAAGCGATGTGACTGGACAATAATGATACAATGCCAATCTCCACTAATATCGGTGTGAGATCATGAAACGTCCCTGTTAGAGATAGAGTGTTCTCGGCAAAAGTGGAGTACACGCCAACGGCCGGTTCCCGCTCTATGTAACACGACACACTTAAACCTGTGGGCTTTTTCTTTCTTGGCTCTGGAAATATACTTCTCATCCAATGACTGTCTTTGAATATGGCTTGTCAACCGTAAATTAATCTCGCTTTGTGCCCTAGCTGCTGATCATGGCCATTCTCTACACTATCTCCCCGGCCATTCGCCATTGCCTTGATGCAGGGTTCGCCCGGTATCGTGCTACTCGAAACTTGCCCTTGGCCCACTTAGTCTACGTACTTTAATGCGCGGGGCCACGCTCTCATATTGGCCCCTCCTGGTCTTGCTCGGGTCATTCATCTTGTCGGCTATATGATTATGCCTGCGCCCTACGCTAATTAGTGAGCTTCGGATTCTAGTTTCCTGATGTCGCCTTCGTCGGGTACTCTTCATACTCTTGGCCATAACTGGCTGGGTAAGGCGGATATCGCTATTCAGACGATTTTCTTGTGTGGGGGGATCGTCGTTGTTGCTTTGAGATTATGGTCGAGGCGGCTATTGGGTGTTTCGTGGCAATGGAATGACTGGTTGATTCTGGTTTCCTTGGTAAGGATTTGTTTTGTGCTACACTTTGAAGTTGAGCCATTTCACTGGGGTAATATGTGCTGATGTTCGTTTTAGATTGTTATGGTGGGCCGCTATATAGTTGAGCTTTTGCTGGTTTTGATGTGCGGCTTGGGCTTGCATGCCACTGAGGTGACTCGGCTTGGAGGGGCTGAAATATTTGTTCGCTTTGACAAGGTAAGAATAGTCATTACATGGGCTTTCCAGTGGATTAAGCTGACTTTTCAGCTCACATATGCTGGTGATCTTCTATGGATTATAGTTGTGGCCCTGATTCAGTTGTCAATTCTACATTATTACCTACGCCAGTTTCAACATCGAGTCGTTGTGTGGATGACATATACAACTATGGCTCTCTGCTCAGCCCTCTGGATCGGAAGTTTGTTTGCAACTGCATTTTTCTGCACACCAGCTGAGAAATTCTGGATGACAGATCTGAGCGGTCATTGCGGTAATCGCAAAATGCTACACTTGGGTTCCACTGTGAGCGAAGCCATTCTCGAGGCATTGATCCTCATTCTACCCATTCCAATCCTATCACACATGCAACTATCGAAAGCCCGGAGGCTATCAATGGGAGCCGTGTACCTCCTTGGAATTATGTGAGAAGCCCAATCCTTAATTATGAAAGGCACGCGAGTCTAACATAATCGATAGTATCATTACAGCAACGGTAATTCGCATAAAAGCCGAATTCGACCTCAATCCAGATGACGAAACCTTCGGCTCGGCACGAAAATCCCTTCTCTCATGCGTCGTTCCTCTATTAGGCATCATCGTTGCCTGTCTTCCAATCCTACCACCATCCATTCAACGAATGTTCGGAACAACAATATTCTCTCCATCAGACGGTGAGACCTACGGATATAGGTCATCGGGCTACTATAAAACGACCGTCATATCAGGCACACAAATGGAAGGGCCGGAGATACCCCTTGTTACTGTCACGCAGCCTCCGATGGCCAAGAAGTTGTCGGAATGGTGTCATGGTCAGATTAAGATTACTTCTGATTGGGAGATTCATTCCGCAAGGAACTCGGCTAGGATTGATAAGGATTCTATACGACGGGCTTGAGATGGGCGCTTGTGTCCTTTGAATGATTTATGACTGGATAAAATTAAGCTGGGCTGGGCCTAGTTATTTCCCAATGATTATGTTCGTATGTGGTATATACCCAAACAACTAAGTATGTAAGTTGGATGTTTTGCGAAGTCGATCGGTCTTAGAGCCTCATATTCCAAACACTGCGCCCTTATGACAATTGGTGCAGTATATAGACAAATAGCAGTAAAATGAGATAGATAAAAAAGGTTGGGAAGCAAAAAAGAAGCGACCGACGCAGGATTCGAACCTGCAATCCCCTGTACCGGAAACAGATGCCTTACCATTAGGCCAGCCGGCCGACTGATGGGTTACCTAATATTATTATGCAATAGATTTCTCTTCGGTCATTCCGCAACAATTAACAAAGTTAAGTCTGACGAGACCCTGATCTAGAAGCATATCCCCACTCCAGCGTGTTAGACGACTAGACATCAGGTCGGTATCTTAAAAAAGGCTTCGTTATAAATATATAGAAAAAGAAATAAAAAAAAATAATAAGAATAAAGGAAACAATAGGTGAAGTCAGACCAAGGTGGTAATTCTGTAACTGAAATTATAAAGAGGAAAAACAAAAAAAGAAATCCGCCCGACGTGAGGCTCGAACTCACAACCTTGAGATAACCCTTTACTGGATTAGTATCCTAATAAAAGTCTCACGCGCTAACCAATTGTGCCAGCCGGGCTTCTATGCGGAAAACTCTGCATCTTTGGAATATAACCGACCGGCGCTTCTACATAATTGACTCCTACTGTGTTTCTTCTTCCCCCTCCTGTCCACCACCTTTATCATTTAATTAACCCAGAAATTGGGAGAAAATAATCAAAGTCTAAATTACACAACGAAATCATATCAAACTCTGAACCTAAGCTGATGGATACGCCCAATAACGATTTCAAAGAACTTTAATAGGTTACCCGTGCTTTTGGCTACAGGGATCTTATATCTTCACGGAAAACATTTCCTTATTAGATGCGATCTTTTCTTTATGTGTGCAGTAGCTAATCACAAAAGTTATATTTCAGAACTATAGTAACATCTCACAAAGTCATTTAGCACAATCTCACCAATGGGACTAACTGAATTCTGCTCAAATTCACAATTCGATAATACTTTGAATCTCATTATTTTCAACGCACTAAATGAAAACCGAAGAAAAAAAACAAAGCCAAAATAGTTTTCTTACTGCGCAAGATGAGACGCCTTAGCTTAGGCTTGCTCATGTGGAGCCAACCTTCTCACGCCCTTGTTTCAAAGCAGACTTTGATGAGATAGTCTGCGGGTGGTCAGGGCCCAGCTTTTGGTCGCGAAGTCGAACGCATTCTTCCATCAATGGCAAAGCAGCGGCGTCTTGGCCTGATGACTGGAGACTTTGAGCCAAATTGGCCATACTTGTCAGCGTGTCGGGATGATACTCTCCAAGCGTCTCCTTGCTCATCTCCATCACTTGTGTCTGGAGCTGTTCGGCCTTCTCCCATAGGCCCTGATTCCAATACGTCAACGCTAGACTGGCCATACTCGTCAGCGTGTTGGAATGGGTCTTGCCAAGATTTGTCGTACGGCTCTTTATCACTTGCATAAAGAGTTGTTCTGCCTTTTCCCAGCAGCCCTGCTTCCTATACGTTGAGGCTAGGTCGGACATATCCGTTAGAGTATCAGGATGATCTGCTCCAAGCTTCATTTCTCGAGACTTGAGCACCTGCTTGAAGGCCTGTTCGGCCTTCTCCAATTGGTCCTAGCTCCATTATATCATCGCCAGGTTGTTTATGCTCCAGAGAGTGTCAGGGTGGTCCTTCCCAAGGGCATTCTTGCTTATATCTATCACCCGCGCCTGAAGCTGCTCGGCATGCTCTCATTTGCCTTGGGTCTGATACGTTGACAACAGGCTCCCCATACTTGATAGCGTGTCGGGATGATCTTGGCCAAGCTTTTTTTCTTGTATCTCCATCACCTCCGCCTGAAGCTCCTCGGCCTTCGTCCATAATCCCCTTTTCTGATACGTCGACGCTAGATTGTTCATGCTCCATAACGTGTCGGAATGATCCATGCCAGGCTTCATCTTGCTTGTCTCCATCGCTGGTATCTGGAGTTTTTCGGCCTTCTCCCATATACCCTGACTCCAATATACCATCGCTAGCTTGGACATACTTGAAAGCGTGTCAGGATGTCCGTCGCCGAGCGTTTCATTTCGAACCTCGAAGACCTTGAATAGTAGTTGCTCTGCTTCCTCCCAGCGGCCTAAGCTCACATATCTCGTGGAGAGATTGTTCATGCTTACCAGAGTGTCAGGGTGGTGTAAGCCGAGCTTCTTCTTTCGAGCCTCTAATACCTGTACTTGAAGATTCTCGGCCTTCTCGTAGTGTCCCTGGCTCTTGTACGTCGACGCAAGGCTGTTTATGCTTATCAGCGTGGTAGAATGGTCGATGCCAAGCTTTGTTTTGCTTATCTCCATAACCTGCCTCTGGAAGTCTTCACATTCACCCCATGGTCCCTGGTTGTGGTATGTTGACGCAAGGTTGTTCATGCTTATCACCGTAGTAGGATGGTCGTTCCCAAGCTTTGCCTTGTTCATCTCCAACACCTGCTCCTGGAGCTCCTGGGCCTTCTTCCATTCGCCCTGACTCCAATATGTTAATGCTAGATTATTCATGCTCGCCAGCGTGTCGGGATGATCCTCGCCAAACTTTCTCTTACTCATATTTACCACCTGCAGCTCGAGGTCCTTAGCCTCTGCCCACCGGCCGGTACACGCTCGCCAACATCGTAGGGTTATGAAGAGTGCGTTGGTCCTCTAGACCAAACAACGACTCTCTCTGCTCCTTCGATTTGGATTCCATATTGCTTGATTCTGCAAAGCCACCACTTTTTTGTGCATACCACTTTTTTGTGCATACCATGCCCCATTGTATAGCAGCGTCGCCCATTGTTCTCTAGAGTCTGGCGATTTTGGTCGATGCGATAACGCTGATTTCACATGTGGAAAATTTAACCGGCACTGCGCCCAGTTTTCATAATTTCCGGTCGGGAAATTCTGGCATAGGATCTTGACAAATTGTTGTGTCAACGAGGATTTGGTGGAGTTTCCGGTCGCTCTGTGGCAGCGGCCGTCAGTCAATCAGAACTTGGTACTGAGGGGTATCACGAAACTTACCGGGGGGCAGATGCTGAGTGATCGTTCCATTGTTGGTTACCACCTGTATGCCACGATTCCTTCACCAAAAGATACGGTTGCAACATCCATAGCTAAAGTTCCATGTAGACTCTGCTTTGCGTTCAAGAGTGGAGGGAAGGCCCATATATTTCATTCTTCGTCTCACTATCAGGGGGCCTGCAGTATATCAAGTGTTTGATTCTGAATTTAGTACTCCATTGATGGCGCTTTTCTACTTTTTATACGAGGAGAACTCGTATTAGCCCTTGGCCCTCATCTTTGTCTTATTCCTGTTTGAAAGGCGAGAATCGACGGTCAATTCCTTACCGGAAGAGAAAGGGGACTAATAAGACAGTGTCATTTTCAGTCAATATATACAGATTGATAATATCATGAAGTATATATATGATTTAGACTAGAAATTTTGACCAGTTACTTTGGGACTCAGCCGTTTTCCCAAGATAATTCCCCCGCAGTAGGGTCGTTACCAAAGTGAGAGCGCTTACTGGGTATCGATTGGAGAGAATGGTCCAAAGTAAAATAGGTATTTCTTTCGGTTTGCTTCTCCCGAGGTCTCTTCAGATTAGTGAGTGCCTCGGGTGTTATTCTATACTTATTGTTCCTGGGGTTTATTTTATGGTGGGTCTCAGCTTGCCCGTCACCGCCTCCACATCAATCCCTGGTTTTCACCAGTAAAAAAACTCGGGGAACAAAAAGAAACGAAGCGACCGACGCAGGATTCGAACCTGCAATCCCCTGTACCGGAAACAGATGCCTTACCATTAGGCCAGCCGGCCTTCGATGGGTGTAAGTCGTTTTAAAGAGCTCTGTAACCTAAAGACATTCTATATTCCAAGGATTTGGTAACGGGAGTATTTGATCAAATGCAAGGTTGGGATGAAAATAACTTAACGTTTTCCAGTGGCTATTATACCTCAAAAGAAAGCTTAGGGTCGCTAAGGCCGTCTAGAGTAACTGCCCACTCATATATCAAGGGTTTTTCTTCATGGCATCCATGGATGTTTTACAGAAGGGGATCTTGTCGGGAATGATTGAAGCGCGGTAGGTATCCGCAGATATATATTCAACATACCACAGTGATAAATCCGCACTCCAGCTGACGCTGGGGGACCTGGGTAGGTAAGAGCACATATGCAAATTAAATGAGTGGACCCACGTCTTTCTTGGAAAGAATATTACCACGTACAGGAACATCGAATCCTGACAAGTGGACAGAAAATACCAAGATTGGGAGGTATGATTGGATGCGCGTTAAGGTGAGTAATTACAGGCTATAGGAGCAACGTTAGATGCCATCTGAATTAATTGAGGAAAACAAGGGCTGTATATATAAGGGAGTGAAAATAGTTTTGGATCCCTTGCTATTGATCAACAAGACTTTTCAGAACAGGGCCAGCTTATCCTAGGTGGATGGAAACAACAGAAACCATTATAATCCACCACTGGTCAGAAGCAACATGAAACATCATTCATGTTCCTAGTATCAGCCATGTATCTCATTCGCATTATGCATAAACAGCGAACGTGGATGCACTACCGAACAAAGGCTGTTTGTAAATCGTCTCGTTGCCACGATCTTCGAATCAACCCCTTGCATTCCCAACCTGGAAGCATGATCAGCGCCTATGCTCTCCAAACAAGCATCGGGGCATTCCTACCGGAACTTCGAGCCTGAAACCACCCCTAAGGAAATATCAGGGAATGACATTCCCAAGAAGAGGGGGTGTTGACATGCGTTGCAGGCGAACACGCGGCTAGGTACTATGGATGTTGTATGAGGGACAAGGGAGTCATCCGATGATCCATGACCCCTTCATCCCAGTAATCTTAGAATGTAACCAAAGGGATCAGCGGTATAAAGTCCACCAACCTCCCTCATCCCTCGTTACCTCGCATTCCGGCCACATTCGTTTACTCTTCTTTTCCTGCTGGATAATCCTCAAACTCGTCGCTCGCGACGTACACTTTCATTAAAAGAACGGAAATTTTGGGAAGCACTGACAAGATGGTCAAGACTACCTATGCTCTCACGCTGTTTACAGCCATGAGCCTGGCTGCGCCCCTGAAGCAGTCCGGTGGCAGCAGCGGCAATGAAAATTTGATCGGTGCTGGTACGGCGGGAGGAAAGGTCAACGACATTGTGTCGGGTCTTTTCAGGGAATTGGCTCCTCGTGACACTAGTGAATCTGGCGATAAGGTTACCAAGCACGGTAGCCTTTTTGAAGAATTGCCTATTATTGGCTCGCTTTTCGGCAATAGCAAGAAGCAGACGCGGTCCTTCACCGGCGATCTTGCGAAACTACCATTGCTGGGTGACCTATTTGGTGGAGTATGTATGCACTGACTCAATTCCGCGGAATGGAGTGCTGACCATCATTAAGGACCAAGCTCATCCTGCAAACACCCCGAGTAATGGAAAGGAGGCTCGTTCTCACATGCCCTTCTTTGGCGAGGTAAGTTTACATACCAGACAGCGCGTGTAATTAAATCTAACATCATAAAATCTAGGGTCAGAACTACGGTCAAAATCATGGTCAGAACTACGGCCAAAATGCTGGACAGAACGCGCACCAGAACGAGGGCCAGAACCATGGTCAAAACTACGGACAGAACTATGGACAAAATGCCGGACAGAACGCTGGGCAAAACGCTGGTCAGAATGAGGGTCAAAACGAGGGCCAGAACTACCTGCAGAACTACGGCCAGAATGATGGCCAGAACTATGCCCAGAACCACAAGCGAGACCTCGATCTGGCCAGCTTGCCATTAGTCGGCAAATACCTCGGTGGCGTATGTATACTCTATACTTGAACCTCCTTAGGGAGTATTCGCTAACGATATTAAGGATGGGCAGCAACATGGCCCCCCTAACAGCCACACATACACCCAAACGAAGGACCACCATGAAAACCACATCAAGACCCGCATGGAGGGATCTCATGGAATTGAAGGCTTTGCCAACCCCTACAGCGAAGCCAGCCTGGCTGAAACGATCCCAGAGGGAGTCAATGACGCCTCCGCCGATACCTTCCAAGTCGGCCTGGAAACCGCCGAGGGTGCCATTCCACTTCCCGTAAGCAGGACGACCGATGTAAACGGCTAAGCCACTAACAATGCTGTAGGTCGATCGCCGTGATCTGATGCAAGAACTGACTGCGCCGCTCGGTGGCCAACGCGCCGAGAAGTCTGACGACGACAAAACCGCCAAGGAGAAACTTGCCGAGAAGGCTGGGAGCTCCACCGACGAGACTAAGCCTTCCGAGAAGGACGACAAGTCCAAGAAACCTGCCAAAGCCGACCCCCTCAAGGACCTAGCCAAGGAAGCCGGTCTCGATCAGCTCTTCAGTAAAAACACCCAGCACGGTGTTGGTCTGTTCCCAGTATGTACTTCTCAACCCAACCCTGAATATACAACATCTAACAAATCAGATGAGTGGACGTCGTGACATTACCATTGAGACTCGTGGTGCCCCTCCTCTTCAGGGCTCCACCCTCACCGATGTCCTGCTGCAAAATGGTGCCCTAGGCAAGATTACCCACGCGCTTAACCCTTATGCACCTGTCAAGAAGCCTGGCGAGAGTGATTCCAAGCAGATGGGTGATGGTAGCTCCATGGCTCCTCCCGGTCAACCGGGCTCTCCTGCTGGATCTGGTTCCGCCGGGCCTCATGATGGGCCTGGCTATGCCGCTGAGCACGGCAAGCTGCAGCACTAGTTGTTGGCGGAAGATTCGAATTTGGAACAATTTACTTTCTTGAAGACTTGATTTTTGATATCGTTGTGTTTAGTGAGGTAGTGTGACAAATTTGATGCGAATTGGGTTTATGTGATACGTTTGTGGTTTCCCCTTGGGCTTGATATTCTTGCACTGGAACTGTCCAACTTTGACTTATTTTTCACTTCCACATTGCTAGTAACGCTGATACTGATCTCTCTTATCATTAATCAACATCTATTCAGTCACTCTCGAGGACCTTGATGTGAAGCAACAAATTTCTCTGGACGAAGAACGTCGGCGTTTTCATGAGTAGTCAAGCGTCTTAGAAAATACTGTCAAAGCAAGGCACGAGCCACTTTCTCGTGAATCTGAAGGAAAAATGTACCGAGCTCAAGACAGCCCACGTGAATCTGACCTAGGAATGCACGGAATACGAGGCAATTGAGGTCACCCATAATGTCCGGAAGCTCGCCGGTTTGACCGGGGACACAGAAGTATATTGAGGAGGCGCAGAAGCATCTCCAGTAGAGACAAGAGCGCATCTCTTGATAAGGCCCAGTATCCATCTTATGAGCAGCTCTAACTATGATGGTTCCAATTATACTTGTTCTAAGGGACCGTGTGCAGTCACTTGTCGCGACATTCGAGTTTCTGGGCTGCAATGTTCTAATTTTTGAATACCTCTGCTCTTCTCAAGCTGAACCCTGAGTAAATTGTTTCATCTCTCAAGGTGGGGCCCCATGCACCAGCCGAATAAGGCGGTATAAAACTGGAGCAGTCTCTTCTTGCGGAGAGGCCAACCAAATGGGGGCTTGGGATCCCACAAGAAGGAGAGGAGATCACAACCTGGGAACCTGAAGCAGCTTCCGGGTTTCTTCCACCACAGTGGACAACATGGGGTTCGGATGATACTGCAGGCCATGTTGAGGGAGTCAGGTTTCTTTGCTGACAGGATGACGAATAACTTGGAGATTTAGATTGTGTATATAAGCTGATCTAATGAAGATATGTGGAATTTGGCACCCTTTTGCACTCGAAACCATTCAACTTGATCATCCCTTCGGCCGTAACATGTCCTGAGGTGAGGCACCCAAGGAACATGTTATACGACTAAGGCAACCTCTTCTCACGTAATAGCGCGTAAATCAACTAGGATACGAGGACTAAGCTCATCTCATTTGGAAAGCTTGTTCTGTATTCAACTTAGTGGCAACTGCCAAAGTCCAGCTAAACAGAGGTCAAAAGAAAAAAAAAGCGAAAGAGAAGGAGAACTTGGTTAAAGAAAGACAAGAAAGAAAAACACCGAGATCATAATTCGTTCAGCGCGAAGGCTGATTGTTTCTGGTTTAGAGCACTCGATAGTTGAGTGGTCTAGGGGGTATCAGAATCATTAAACGTGAAAGCTCAAGTCAAAAGTTAAACGCAAAAGAAAGTAAAGAGAGAGAAGCCAGTAAAGACCCGAGTGAGCAAGATCACACCTGCTCATGACGAGTCAAAGTCCATATCTATATCATCCACCTCCACCGTCGTCCCCAGCGCCTCTTTTCCTTCCCGAATCATTGCTTGAAGTTGTTTATTCAAGCGCTGTATACTTGCATTTTCTTCCCGCTCCTTACGCCGCACCCGTGCTGCGTATCGTTGCATCTCAGCAGAACCCGGTCCCTCTTTTGCCCGTGGCGACGCAGCTGATTTTCGCGATGGAGTAGACGGCCGCATAGACGACAGATTAGAGCTCTTGCTCAGTTTGGGCATTATGGCTTGTCGTCGGCGCGGGCTCGAGACCTGATGAATTCGACGGGCTTTCACGCATGGACTAGCGGTGTCGTCCATGAAGGGATCAGTCGAATCGGTAGGGACCACCACCCAGCTGCGATCCATATCGTCCTCGGGATACTGGCCAGGAACTGGTGTTCTGAAAATCTGGCTCTCCTTCTCCCTTTCCGGGGATCGTTGCCAGTTGGGACTGAAGGTTGCTGTCGCTGTCGCTGTCGCTGGGGAGCCTGCATCCATGTCATAGCCTTGTCCACCGCCAGCGTAGAAGCCTCTGAATGCACCCGACCAACAGAGATCAAGAACCTTGCCGACAACGTTGATCACGGTACGCCCCCAGCCGGGACGTGCTGCGACTGGAAGATCTGTTGGATCATCGTCGGCGGTTGGTGAAGCGATGCACGAATCGCGTCTGCTGCGCTTGCGGCTCGTACCAGAGGATTCTGGAGCTCCTGCATCGAAGCTTGCATTTAGAGATGGCGGGAGGAAGGACTCGCGGTATCTGTTTGGCCGGTAGTCGAGCTCTGCGCTGAAATCATCGACTCCGTACTGGTGGTCGGCGTGGAAGAGCGGCGAAGCGTTGATGGAGGCATCAAACTCGAATTTGGAGGAAAGTTTCTCTGTCTCACGGCGTGCTCGCTTGCGACTAATGGACAACGAGTACAGGGAAGATGTAGAGGAAGAGGCGGGGACTTGGAACAGTTGGGAGTGAGCACTGGCGAGGTCGAGTTTTGGCGGCGAGGCCTGAAAAAGGGCAGACATATCGGCATTAGGCGTATAACATGAGACGGAAGAGTAAGGAAAGAAAGAAAAAACCGAAAAGCAAAAAGTGGAAAGAAACCGGAGAAAAAAAGGATAAAAGATGTGGCTGGTTACAAGGGAAAAAAGTAAACTAATACAATTGATTAGTCGGGCGCCTCAACAAAACAAACATCGAATTAGAACTTGAGACATTTTGACTCCTTTCTTCACCTCCTCACTTCTACTTCTGATTTGTGATATCATTTACAATCGTTGACTTGTCCACTGGACTCCAGCAGCTTCGAGTCCATCGTCGCCATCCACAAGCACACACCAGCCTTCTCCACCTGCTCCCCCATCACCCGCAATCACCGCCTCAAAATGTCCCCGCGCAAACTCCAGCACGCTGTTATCGAAGGTGCCAGGCTGCAGCCATACGGCAGGGATACCCACGGAATGCGCTTCCTGTAGCAGCTTCAGAGTCACTGGTGGGGGAGTCACCACCGACAATGAGGTCTGCGTGGGCGAGGGTAGCCCAGCCGGTGAGGGGACCGTATCGTAAGCACGCGAGGGAAGTGAGATTTGTGCTGCTCGTGGGTTGAGCGGTGTTACCGGAAGCGAATGCTGGTGATACCATGCGAGGACTGCAGCAATGTTAGTCGAGGTAAGCAGAGATGCCTTTTCTGTTCGTTACTCTTGTAACCAAACTTGTTGGTGTCATTGCTTGCGCCCGCCACGGCAAAGCGCGGGGAAGAGAAGAATCGCTTGACAGCATCCATGACGGGAGGTTTGCTGAGTAGATAGATACGTAAAGAGTAGTACAGAAGGAAAAAGGACAATAAGTCTGGAAGAACAAGTATTGTAAGAAGATCTAATGAAGTGGAAGTGTAAAGTAGATTTGGAGAAGAGGCAAACCGCCTCGGCATCTGCCGACAATTGATCCCCTCACATTCTTTCCCTTCGCCCTTCTCCGATCAGCGGCGCCTTTTTAGCTTTGTTACACTTCCACCTCAAGCTCCACTATATTCCATTGCTATCTGCTTCTGCGTATGCCGCCATTCCCCCCCCGCAAGCGCATCTCCTCCGAGGACCCGCCCCCGGCCAAACGCCAGGCCCAGGCCCATAATGATATCCCTGCCAAGCCCGTCCCCGACCCCGACTCGAGCTCTGATTCCGACTCTGAGCTCAGCGATGTTCCCGAGGAGCTCGAAGAGTCGATTAATACACCGGGCGCAGGGCCAGCGGAGGCGTCCGATGACGAGGACTCCGATGACGAAATAGACTGGGAAGATGCCATCGATACCAAAACCACGAACACGACCCCAACGCTAGCCGTTCCGGAGTTACAAGACCTAGAATTGACCCTAGACAAGAATGAGAATGAGATCGTGGATTTAGTAGATCCTAAGAAGGGGCCGACAAAGATCGAGCGCCAGATTCGCATCCAGTCGCACTGCATGCATGTCCAGTGCCTACTCTTCCATAATGCCATTCGCAACGCGTGGATCAATGATGCCAAAGTACATGAAATATTACGGAAAAAGCTACCCGAGGGAATACACAAAGAAGTGAAGAAATGGCGAATCGCGTCTGGGTTGGAGCTGCCGGAGAAGAAGCCGGAGCCGCCCAAGAGCAAAAAGAAAGGCAAGAAAGCTCGGAAGAGCCAGGACTGGGGTGAAGACTCGGAGCGATTGGAGCCCGGACAGCCTGATATGAGTCGCGGGGATCCGGTTATCATCCTTCTAAAGGTCCTGGTGGCATATTGGCGGAAGCAGTTTCGCATCACGGCTCCCGGGCTAAGAAAGCATGGTTACCGCCCAGTCGCTGCACTTGATGTGATACTGAAAGACTTCCACAAAGAGGATCATGATCCCGAGCGTCATGGGGAGCGGATTGCTAATCTTGAAGAATTCCGAGCAACGGCGGAAAGCATGCAGGGCTCTCGAGATGTTGGAGCTCAGCTGTTCACAGCTCTGATACGAGCATTGGGCATCGAAGCAAGACTAGTAGGGAGTTTACAGCCTTTAGGATTTGGTTGGACTAAAGCAGAAATCTATACGCCACCAAAGTCCAAGACAGAACAAGAACAAGAAAACGCAAAAGGAAAAGAAAAAGAACCTGCAGAAGCAGCCAAACATAAGTCAGAGTCCGATGCCGATTCAGAACCAAAAAAACCCAAGCAAAAGAAGGGAGGCAGCGCATACGATAACGACCTGCTGTTTCCAATATACTGGACGGAGGTTGCTTCCCCCGTTACCCACGAGATTACTTCTGTGGATCCAATTGTGCTATCGAACCCCATAGCCCCCACCGCCGATCTGCAAGCCGCATTCGAGCCTCGTGGTACCAAAGCTGAGAAGGCCAAGCAGGTAATATGCTACGTTGTTGCACATTCTGCCGACGGAACAGCCAAAGACGTCACAACACGATACCTCAAGAGGCGGACATGGCCGGGGAAAACCAAAGGCTTCAGAATGCCCGTGGACAAGATTCCGATACCAGGCCGCCGTGGCGAATACCTTGAATTTGACTGGTTTCGAGTAGTGATGCGTGGGTATGAAAGGCCTCCCCAGAACCGAACAGAAGTCGACAGGCTAGAAGACGAAAAGGATCTTCAACGAAAACAACCAGAGAAAAAGAAACTGGTTCAGACAGGAGATACACTACAAAGCCTCCGCACCTCCGCCGAGTTCGTATTAGAACGCTTCCTCCGTCGCGAGGAAGCACTAAAACCAGGTGCAGAGTCTGTTCGCACCTTCACATCCGGCAAAGGTGCCCGCACAAAAGAGGAACCCGTATTCCTCCGAGCAGACGTCGTCAAATGCATGTCAGCAGAGAGCTGGCACAAAGAAGGCCGCCAGGTCCAACCCGGCGCAGTGCCCTTAAAACGCGTCCCCATCCGCGCCGTAACCCTTATGCGCAAGCGCGAGGTAGAAGAGCTCCAGCGGGAAACCGGTGAGAAACCCATGCAGGGACTATACGCGCGAGACCAGACAGAGTACATCATCCCACCGCCCATAGTCGATGGGATCATCCCGAAGAACGACTACGGGAATATCGACTGCTTCGTTCCGACCATGGTGCCTCGCGGCGCCACACATGTTCCACTTCCAGCCACTGTGCGACTCTGCAAGAAGCTTGGAATCGATTACGCGGAAGCGGTGACTGGGTTCGAGTTCGGATCAAAGATGGCGGTCCCCGTTATCCAGGGCGTGGTTGTTGCGTCCGAAAATGCAGATCTGCTTCGGGATGCCTGGCGTATTGACGCGGCTGAAAAGCGGAAACGCGAGGAGCTCAAAGCTGAAAAGCGGATTTTGCAGACGTGGCGCAAGTTCTTGTTTGGGCTGCGGATTGCTGAGCGGGTACGTGAGGAATATGGCGGTGGCGATCCTGATGATGACCGCGAGCGGGAGACTCATAATCCGTTTGTGGCGCGTAAGAAGAATACCGTGGATGATGTCGATGAACGGCATTTCCATGATGAGTCTATTCAGGACCGTGCTGAGGGTTATGATCCTGTCGAGCATGGTGGAGGCTTTCTGTTACCCGGTGAAGGCGACGATGGAGATGATGGCTTGATTGTGGAGCATCATAAGGAGGAGCAAAATCAGCTCGCCGATAAGTCCAGTCACCCTGTTAGCGAAGACGGTTCATCTGAAGGCTTGTCGCCTCCCATTTCGATACCATCTTCGTCTGACGAGGAAGGGGGTGATTCAGAGCCTGAATATGCACCATCGAGGAATACTAGACGTCGTCGTCGGGGTGGTTAAGGATGAAAATAATGTATTATTAAATTGTAATAGGAATTATGGAATAACCTGTATTCATAGGGGCCAGCTAATCGACAAAGGTTTCCAGGCTTGCCTCTGTCTCGAGAGAGTATAAGGGAAGCGATAGACCAGAGGTAAGCTCCATCCAGTATCATACATCAAGTATCAGCCGGAGAGGTGCATCCTTTCATCTGCGGCACGAGGACGGGCCGCCCGAGCAAGATCGGTTGGCGATCTCAATGGCACCTCTACCTAGCTGACTTGGAATTACAGATGCTGGGGCTGAGGACCGCCTAGCAATTGTTGGCGGCGCGAGGAATATGTTGGCCTTTAAAGGCTTGTCGTTTCAATCATTTCTACACATGGATATAGTTGCACGAAATAGAGAAGTTCGCACTCTCGAGGTGTAGCAAGAAGTGGACCAGAGATCGGCCTTTCGGGGCTGTGCCAGGTCACACTAGATCGCCATTGCTCATTTACAGTAGTAGACTAGGGTGGTTCCACGAAGATCCGACTTGTCCATCCCTTCATTGTGCATCTCGGACATGAAACATGACAGGGAATAAGAGATATAGAGGCCCTTACATGCTAGTTCCCAAGGTTCCAAGTTATGTGCGGAGAAAATACCATCTGGGCACTTGCCTGCATACACAGATCCTGTGATGTCTTCACGTCTTGATGGAAAGCTAAACTCGAGTCTCTGTTACACTGCGTTGCTTTGTCTCAGCCAACCTCAATTACCCCGGGCCCAAGAGCTGTAGGCCACCCGAGAATGAACAAACAAGACCGTGATATGTACTTGGGATTTGCACTTTTGGAGACTCCTGTTAGTATAAATACACACCTCGCTCATGCCAAACAATAATTCCTCATGTTCTTTCTCAAGCAGCTCATTCCTCCTAAACATTCGAGAACATCCCGAAGAGCTTTACCTGAATCACGATTGCCAAGAGGATCTGCAGCAATGGCCACGACGGATTGGAAGTACTTTCCCATCTCTGGCGTTATCCCAAAAGATGGGTCCGTCGGTAGTCCTACCGTCGAGGTGCCTATCAGGCAGAATATCGACTCGTGGAGCAGTGAACCAGCCAACGAAAAGCAAGTCAAACTCTTCGTCAAGGCGTTATATCATTTTCAGCACATGGACCCCACAGACCGAGACTCATACTTTCAGATTGCCGGCATCCACGGACAGCCCAATGTGCCGTGGGATGAGCCTATTGAAAAGTCAGAGGCCGAGGGCAAGGGATATTGCACGCACAATAACATCTTGTTCCCAGTCTGGCATCGTGCGTACCTTGCGCTCTACGAGGTACTTACACTCAACTTCAAACCTCATGAGACGATGTTCGGAGCTAATGGCAACTTAGCAACGACTGTGGGAGATCATGAACCACGACATAGTTCCCAATTTCCCCGAGGAGGGACGATCAGAGTGGCAGCAAGCCGCTCAGACCTGGCGTCTTCCTTTCTGGGACTGGGGACTCTCCACATCGGTGCCTGACTTGTGTAAATACCCCACTACGCTCGTGCCAACTGCGGATGGTAAAGGCGAAGAGGTTATCACCAACCCTCTCTTCCAGTTTCGCATGCCAACCAATAAGCCCATGTCGACTGTTGGTATGGAGAACTTCAAGGACCCATGGGTCCCTGATGGAGGAATGATTTTTGTACGTATTCAATACCAACCATATGGAACCCAGCTCATTGAGATAGTACGGTGAATGTATCGGTACCAGCCGTTGGCCCCAAGAGGGTGATAATGTCTCTGGAAACACGGCGTGGAAGCACGGCGTTGTGAACAACTACAAAGTTCAAGATGCGCTTAAGAAACCCTATTGGGTCGCGAATTCACCTTATGGACAACCTGCAGAGATGGTTTACCGTCTGCTCACAATTCCCATGGAGTATTCTACCTTTGCAACCACTGCCCAGCTTTCCGAGGATCAAAGCGTCGCAAATGACGTGAACATTGAATATAGTGGGTTGTCTTGAAGCTCTGGGATACCTCACCATTATATTCTAATTCTAATCAATTCACTAGTTCACAACAACCTTCACGGTTGGGTGGGAGGTGATCTTAACGGACACATGTCGCAAATACCAGTGGCATCGTTCGATCCCATGTTTTGGCTCCATCATTGGTAAATCAACATTTATTTTCCGAAAGGTCATGGAATATACGTGAAACCGGACTAATTTAGCGGACAGTAATATCGATCGCATTTTTGCCTTGTGGCAAGCTCTCAACCCTGACAAATGGATCGAGGAAAGTCAGGTCAATGAGTTCTTTCAGGAGATAATTGGCCTTCCTATTGGTTCCAAAATTACCCCTGAGACCCAGCTACGGCCTTTCCACAAAGACGCCAGTGGGACTGTCATGGTACCTAATGATGTCCGCTACCCTTATATCCTTGGTTATACCTACCCAGAGTTGCAGACCTGGAAATATGATCCTCAGGCCTATACCTCCGAACAATTTGTCAAAGATCTCCACAAAACAATCAATGACCTTTATGGAGTCTCGAGACAACAACTGCTTGACGCTACCAATAATCTCCAGGGAGTCGAATATCTTGAAGACGGAACCAAAAATCTTGATTTTGCGTTTAGCATTCGCTACCGCAAGTATGCGTTTGGTGGTGAACCATTTTGGATTCGCATTTTCCTCTCCCGGGATGGTGTGACGCAGAATGCCGCTACGGACTTGATTACCGAGGTCTACAACTTCAGTCAAAAGCCAGCAGATCCAGCATCGGGCAAGGTTGTCTGTGCGAACTGCAAGGACAATGAAAAGGCGAATCTGAAGTCTACTGCGGCCATATCGATCACGCCAGTGCTAATCAGTATTCTCAAAGCGGGTAAAAAAGAATTGCCCAGTCTTAAGAGAGAAGACGTCCTTGCATTCCTGCAGAAACGAGCTTATTGGAGAGTTTTCAAAAACGGCAAAGAGGTCCCTCGGAACCAGCTTGATCCCCTCGACCTGGAAATTATTGGAAGTACCAATGATGCAACTCAGTTTAAGGACGCGACAAAGGCACCTCTCTTGGAAAACTTCAAAAAGGAACCTTCCATCTCTGGTGGAGCCGACGGTGCGCTGGACCCGAGTCTTAGACAGCCTATGACAGTCCCGCCGCCCGTGAAGCCGGAAATCCCTCAGGCCGATCTGAAGCTCAATTCTTTCCTGCCATTTAAGGAACCCCTGGGGCCTGATGCTGTGGTCATCATCGATTCATCTAGTCTGGATATGACTCCAGCCAAGACTTCCGGTATTGATAATACCCAGGTGGCTTTCTTAGATACCACAGAGAAAGACGGTAACATTTTGTTCCTGCTTTCCTTCCGCAGATCCGAGAATCAAATTGTGCTCAACACTCGTTTAGATAAGGCTTGGGGCAAAGAAGTCCGTATTTCGCTGGAGGACAGGTTCAAGGGGACTACGCCATCTATCCTGATCCACGATCAAGGAGACGGGTATGAGATTTTCATTGATTGGAGACATCTGGCGTGGTTTGAGAAACGTGACAAGGAGAAGGTGGCCAAATCGGTGTCATACACTATAAATGAGGGACAATCATCTATGTTGGCTCCTCAACTGAAGATCAGGGTCTATCCTTCGATGAAAGAAGTGTTCAAGAAGTAGTATGGTTTTAATAAGGGCCCATACTTTATGTCATAACTGATAATTTTGTCAATTCGAGTTTAATGAGAGATAATCGCCCGGGATGTCGGTCATCTGGAAACTGCTTTCATTTTGACTATGCTGGTCGTAGGATCAGTAATATACCTATGAACGTTGATAGAATATTGCCAAAGAAAAAAGACGACGATACAAGATCCCCTACCCGAAGAAGGTAGAAGCATATTCAATTAAGGACAAGCAGCCAGACCCATTTCTCCAATCAAAAAGCATAGAAGTTTAAGTCTCTACCAGGCACCGATGCCCTTGGGGAGCCATTAGGAAGAACGCCTTCATAACCATGTCGTCACTAGACATCCCCTCACTAGAAGATATCTTAGCCTGAGGGAACCGGCGGAAGAACAAGGCAGTCGCTAATCGAAGCTCAATACGAGCTAGATGAATCCCAATACAAACTATAGAAAACGTAAGCGCGATGTCACCTTCATTATTCAAGTGCCAGAGCACTTACTGCGCGATCCACCCCCAAATGGTATCGAAGCATCTTTCATATCCTTGCTGGGATCTTCCCACCGCTCAGGATAAAACCTATCAGGGTCAGCGAAAATCCCCGGATCCCGATGAAGACTGTACGACTGTGTTGAAACTGTCTTTCCACCAGGAATATACATCCTCTTCAGCGTGACGCCTCCCTCAGGTACGACTCGCGGTAATCCAAAAGGAACAGCAGTATGCAAACGAAGCGTCTCGCTAATGACCTGGTTCAAGTAGGGTAAGTTCCGAAGGTCCTTATCGGAAATCGGCTCGGGGAGAGATGCTAGTTCGACGGCCAGTTTTGCTCGTACTCGTGCATCGCTGCAGACAGAGTACACAAGATATGTGAGAGTGACCGCCGTCGTATCACTTCCGGCAATGATGTATCCTTGAGCTTCACACAAGATTTCTCGTAGCGAAAGACCGTTTTTCTCATCGAAGACCTTTGTGAAGAGTGTTTGTTTCGCGGTCTCAGGGTTACTTTCGAGGTGTTTTGTGTAGCGCTGTAGTGATTGGAGTGCGTACTGGACCATTCTATTTGTGGCTGCACCGGCACGGTTGAAAATTGGCAATGGGAGACGTCGGCCAAGGTCTACCATGTTTGGGAACGTGGTTCGGATCGGTTGGAAGCTTGCTAAGCTTTCCAGGTCTTTGGTGTATTGATTTTTCTCTCCCTTTTGGAGCATCTGGAATGACTCTCCAAATGTCAGTTCCCCGATTACATCTGTCGCCATGAAAAGCCACCACTTGAACACATCGGCTACTCCCCGAGTTTCCATTTCTTGAGCTATCTTGTCAATGGCGAGATAGACCAGACTCGAGATTAGAGGCTCGTGTTTGCTGAGCGAGGAGTCAGATATGGGCGTGGCCAAGAGACGTCGTCGATTAGAATGAAACTTCGGGTCCGTTGTGCTAAACATATTTTGGAAGTTCTTGGCTGCCAGGACATTGTAGAACTCGGATTTCAGGTAGCGACTGTTGGTCTTGTGGATCTCTCGTGCTGCTTCGATGTCGCAAATGTCGACTTGGGTCGTACTTGTACGGACAATAGGGCCTTATGAGACGTCAGCACTTTATCCTGTTCCCTCTGTGCAGTAGACGTCATAACCATATTCTTCATGAAGACTGTGGACATAGTAGGGAATTTTTCCGCTGAACCAGTAGTATTTGTACACGAGGTCTGTCCATTTTGAGATCTCAGGACCTGGTATGTGAGTGAGTGGATTGGTGATTCGTTGGTACAAAAATCGCTGGAATGGTCAGTGAAGTAGGTAACAATATGATAAAGGGTGTACTCACTAGGCATAATACCCCAAACGTAAGGCCCAGAAGGGAAGAAAACATCTTTATATATTTCGTGGTTGATTAGGTATTTGAAAGATCTATAGTTGGGTCGTATAGGTTTTATAATGCTCACGGATTTTGGCAAAACACCGGCGATGCCCACAACCACCGAAGCCCCGACTCTTATGTAGATCATTAAGGCGCCAACGGCAGAGGTGTGGAGCATCATAGGGCTATGCGTTATTATGAAATGAATTCCATTGGTGCATTTTCTCTCCACACGACTCGGAGGACGGCGAATGCGGGCAAATCGACATGGATCTATGTCCATAGATTGTTTTAGGTGGCCCCATTGTGCAACCACGGATCATGAGGCCATGAAAATAACAATTTTAAGGTTTGCCAGCCGAGTCCTACCTAAGAATGCGGTGACAATAACTTTTCGTACATTATAGTCGCAGCACTTTAGCCATTCGGTAGTTCGGCTTTAGTGAAACACCGAAGTACATCGGACGTTCGGGGTTTGCGCAAGAACTTGGGAGTAGCATAGGTAGCATGTATGAGTTCTGCCCACTAATGATCAGGTTACAAAAGAGAGTATCGTTGCCCCAGGGCCGGAACCACACTGAGACACATAGACCCAAGACGCTTGGTCAAGTAGCACTGAAGGACAGAGTAGCGGAGCGATGTTCGATACCACGGTCTATCTTGCACTTTTAGACAGTCCTGGCCAATCCTTCTACTTGCCTTTTCTTTTTGAATATAGAGTACATATTCAACATGGAATGCTGCACTTGCATTGTCACTGCATTCGAAACACACTGGCCCATTAGCAAGAGCGAGTTTATCCATCAACATCGACCAGCCTTCTCCCACCTGTCTGCATGTACTTTTCACGAAAAGGATTGACAGAAGTTTAGTATTGTACCCTTTCCTTCTTGGATAAGGTTCCCAGAATGCACGTGAACAACCGGCAATACGGGCTCGGTGTGTAACCTCCGCACTGCCGTTGAAATCTTATCCGAGAAACAACGCTTCAAAATCCAGTGAATACTTTGAGAAAGATTGGTACTGTCGTACGTAGCACACGTCCTTCCTCGCATGCATACTCCCGATTTGCATGGTTTGCAACGGACCCTTGCATTGGACGAGATAGACGATCCTCGTCCTTTCTCCCTTCCTGTATCACCTTACCATTCAAATTCCTCAGAATGTTCTTCTCTCTGCAGATAATATGGTATCCCATTGAGGCCATGCTCAATCTAGTACGGAAGGTCCTGTGGCGTCAAACGCCTAAAAATGATATTGAGATCCTCGAGAGACCATCTACTTTGAGGTCTGAAAGTGTACGTAGAGCCCTAGCTCGGGGCATGCTTGGCTTGTTGCTTACAGATGCAGGTGGACTCAACTGCGACTACAATCAAGCAGGATTCATCGCACGTCAAGATGGTTGAAGGGTCGAAAGATTCCAAATGCGGCCAAGGAGCACGGGAATGTTAACGATTGATGAGGTGTCCAAGGGATGAACACCGGAAATGAACAGAAATGAAATAGTTCTAATTATATTTGATATAAGCTATGTGCGTTTAATCATGTATTCACCAATATCAACCCGCAGTCTTCCCATCTACCTATACTTGGCTGTAGCTAACGGAGAATCGACATCTCCCCACTGTGCCCTGCCATAGTCTAAATCGAACCCATCGTTGTCCAGCTCAGGGCTGATATGCACGGCAGGGGACGAGATAGGACTAAGCGCCACTCGCGGTCGCGACTTAAAGATGCTGGCATATTCGGCATCCTCCTCGAAAAGCTTGTCCTGCGGCGTCGACGCGCCGGATCTCGTGATAGGTTCGGAGGTTTTCCGGGGAGTTTCGAGTTGGTTCACTGGGAGGGAAGTTCGTGGACCACGGCGCTGATGGGGGCGGGGTTCGTGCGATTGGACAGGTGGAACAAGAGACATGGATTTGCGGGTACGTTCAGTGAGCTTGTAATGTGAGGATGAGGCTTTCACGGGCTCGTAGTCAGGTTCATCGGATTTGAGATCCGGATCAGGCGTGAGACGGACGATTGGAGTGGAGGCCGAAGGCCGAAGGGTCTCTGGCTCAGGACTTGGGGTCATGCTACTAGGATATGCTGACCTAGAATCCTTAGACAAAGGAATTTCGGCCTCACTCTCTGATGACGCCGACGTGCTTTGGTAAATGGCACTTGGTGGCCTAACCGGCAAGGATTTGACCGGAATGTTCTCGTCGAGTATATTGCGACGCATCTGATTTCGAGGATTTCCATTTATACGGACAATGGCCTCGTTGACAGTTGACATAAAGGATCGATCTATGTCCTTGAGCACCCTTCCGCGATCTGCGGGCTGTCGTACAGCTTTGGAGATACTGGCCACCGTGAGAGGTTGATGATCACGGAATACCAGTCGAGGCTCCTGGGGCTTTGCACTGGCAGAAGAACCATTTTGATCACGCTTTTTGCGAATGGAGTCATTGAACTCGTGCCACTTGCGTAGTCGACTACGGAGCCGCAAGACCCTTGCCTCGAGGTCAACAACTAGGTCTTGCTTGGCATTGGTACTAAGATCTGCAACCGATGAATCGGTTGCACGAGCCCAGGCCTGTGAGAATGGCAGCTCCAAGAAAGCGTCCGTGCTACACTGTGCACCACCGTCGAGTAACGCGGTAGCCCACTCCTCGCTTCCCAACCAATTGGCCCGAAGCTCACGCGCCAAGATTTCCGGATCGACCTGCACCTGACCCGAATTCTGATCCTCCTTACTGGCACGTTCCGAGAGCTCGACCTTCTTATCATCCAGTAATTGCGAGAACTGTTCATAAATCTCTTGCACCCGTGCACGGTTACCCCCTGCCGTATTGAGGGAAACCTGATGAGCAAGTATGAGCGGCAGAATATTCTGATAATCTACCGGAGAGATCGCATTGGCCATAGAGAGCTTCATGGCAGAGTTCCACGATGTATCCGTCGCGGACATTGCGAGTAGCTTGCGTAGTACCGCTGTTGAGAACACAGCAAGCAATTCATCGAATTTCTCACCCTTGCAATCATCTAGCATTGTTTTGCGCAGAGTTGTCTCCCGCCCCAGATCGCCATTTTTCTTCAGTTCTGTTAGAGCGCGGAAGAGTGCTGCGCGGAGGTTGACGGATTGTAGGGGTTCTAGCGGTGGGAAAAAGGGACGGAGTTTCTATACAACTATTAGTAGTGGACCGCCAATTTACTTTCTGATAGCTGGAGTGTAGTACATTTTGAGTGCCCTCTGGATCCCAAATAGCAAACAGGTGGTAGAGAGCCCACTCGACCAGGCGAATGCGCTGTCGCTGATTCGCGGATGACGACGACAGACCACGGAGGGTGATTTCAGGCCAATCATCGCGCTGGTCCAGTTGTAGTAATTTCAGGTTGCGAACAAAGACTTTCAAATATGACGGACCCGACCAGTCCAGGGGCTTGGGGCGCGCTGGCCTCGAAGCAGCCATCATGAACGAATGGACGGAGATTAGTTTGTAAATGGCGGGCTGATTGTGCTGTCAACAAAGCGATAACGGGGGTTTGCACTGTTTGCGCTGCCTATCAGTTTTGGTCCCGCGGTTCACGGTTTTGTCTTTATCCTTTTTCCCTCTAGATTCCTTCTCCCCTGGACCTGCGCACCTTCTCTCCTTTCACTCTCCCCTCATCTGGCTACCATGGGCTCCGATAACTCCTCTTGGTCCCCCCAGACTGGTATGTGTGAGCTGAGAAAACCCGATCAGGCCTCACTAACAACTTCTTTCGCAGTGCTGTCCACCCTCCCCCACCCACCAGAGGAGAACTCCACATCACCCGTCGCGTTCTTCCACCTCATCGAGCGCCTGAAGACAACTAAGCGCGAAGGATGGCGCCGTTTTGGAATCAACGGCGAGTCCATCTCAGACCACATGTACCGCATGTCGATCATGACGATGCTTGCCCCGCCTGAGCTGGCCTCTAAGATCAACATCCCCCACTGTACCAAGATGGCTCTTGTCCACGACATGGCTGAGTCGCTGGTTGGTGATATCACTCCCGTCGACCTCCACATTACCAAGGCCGAAAAAGCACGCCGCGAAGCGTCTGTCATGGACTACATTGTCGATACTCTGCTTGGAAATGTTCCGGGTGGCGCGCTGTCAGGCCAGCAGATTAAGGACGTGTTCCAAGAGTACGAGGATAATGTGACTTTGGAGGCGAAGTTTGTGCATGATATCGACAAGATGGAGTTGCTGCTCCAGATGGTGGAATACGAGCGCTCAAACAAGGTTGATCTTTCGGAATTTGAGCACGTCGCAAGCAAGGTCCAGCTTCCCGAGATCCAGGCCTGGGCGAAACAGGTTGTTCAGGAGCGTCCTAAGTACGCCAAGACCGATGCATAGACGGGCCATGCCGGGGATTCACAAGCATGTTCTAGCGATTGATTTGATGGGCGTTGGTTTATTTGGATTGGGCTTAGGGGAACCTAGATACCATAGAAGACGAGCTGCAATGTCTTTGATGCGCAATGATGTATGACTGCATGGTTTTTCAGGTTCGGACAATCCTATATATTGTCTATGAGTAATCGTGTCCGTAGAACTCATAATATACAAGCCGAGCTCCAGCGCAGGTATTAGGTACCTTCGCCTTAATCGAGCGGCTCTTTCTCCATCTCCCGCGCCAACATCTCCGCCTCAGCTATCATCTCCTCCATACCCCTCGGCTTCCTCGCCTCATTATCCACAACAGGGAACCTGCTTTTCTTTTGTGGCTTCTCAACTTCCGCCTCATCGCCCCCGGCTTCTTTAAAAGCCTTTCCCACATCGCCCTCCTCCCCATCAAGCATATCGTAAACGGCATCCGTCCCACCCCGATGATCTAGGTCAGCCGCCTTCCGCGGGATAATATGCGCATGCACATGTGGCACGCTCTGTCCTGCATCCACGCCATCCTGCACCGCGATGTTTAAGCTTGAAGCGCCATACACCCGTTCAACCATCCTGCCCACGCGCCGGACTGTTAGGAAGAGGTCGCTTGTTTCAGCGGGGGTCAGATCTGAAACGCGAGGGACGACACGGCGCGGCGATACGAGGACATGGCCTGGAAGTATTGGCTTGAGATTTACCAATGCATAGCTCAGAGATGTTGTGTGGAAGACCTACGAAGGAGGTTGCTTGTTAGTATTCGGTTTGGTATCTGGGAAAGGACAAAGTTCGGGTAGGGAGGAATTATTACTTGTGGTGTTACTAGGAAAGAGCCAAAGTGAATTGGCACTGTAGCGCCCTTCAATGCTGACATGTTTGTGTTGGTCATTGCAGAAGTGTTGAAGAGTTGACTTCGGGGTGGATGTTTGGAGCTAGAGCGATAAGCTTATCAGATCGGATAAGAGATTGGGGAAGTGGTAGTGTACGCTGATCCAAAACACGTTAAGCTTAACTAACTATGAACCCTGAATTATTTCATGAACACATCACAATAACTATTTAATCTAAATTGTCATATATCTCAACTCGAGGATACAAAGGTAGCTACCGCAATGAGCAGTTTGCCGCGTGATATACGGATCCACCTTTCCAACTACTTCACCAACTTAGCTAGCGCTCAGGTCTAGTTATATTTGTGGCTGCTTACGAAGCTTACAGCTATTTTCATATTCGTCCTTCCGGCTTTGATCTTTCCAGTACTGCAATGACAGGTCCCCAAGCCCGTGGATTCACTCCTTTTCAGCCTCTATCTACTCCACATCCCTAGAGGCTACAGATAGATGTCAATGACTTCAACCGCATATACTCCTGCGATCATATATAAAGCTTGATACCTTACCGGAGTCCTCAAATGCAAATGCTTCCGAAGCAGTGAACCAACAGTCTGCAATATCGTGTGCATGCTACTCGAGATCTAGAACCTTGCCTCAAGACCAGGAAATCAATCCACAATCTCAGATACCCGAGCCAACGTCAACTGGACGACAAAGGATTCGCCCGCCGATATCGTTTGAACCGTGTGAATCGGAGTTCTCAGAACAAATGGTATCTAGGTTTGTGTGGAGGTGAAGATGATCAGGTAAGATCCGTGGATGCAAGACAGAAGTGTGTAATGCGGATACGAATTGGTTTATTGTATAGATTGATGAAGGTAGGACCTAGGACTGCGCTTGAATATGAATGTAGATTACAACACGAATGTAAGGCTACAGAAAGTGTACCAAGAAACGGGTATCTGTGACATTGACCATGAAAAAATATCCTGAAGCTATATTACAGTAAGAGAGTAGTATTAAAATCATCATCGCGAAGCAAAGCATTAGGGGATTTCACAATGACATAAGTACAAGGGGTCATTAACTGAGCTGAACATCTCAAGTTTCCTCAGTCTTTGACTCAGATTCGGGCTCGGATGTTGGGATCGAGGGTTCAGGTTGAGACTCAGGTCCAGATTCGGGTTCTTTGGGTTCCTGATCAACGGAAGATGTAGCCACATTCTCAATCTCACCCTCCAGGGGCTTATCGGTAGACGTGGACTCTTCGGGGTTGGCCTCGCCATCCTGTGCCGGTGCTTCTGTTTTCTCTTCAGGCTCCGATGATTCCTCGGGTTCTTCGCCCGGTTCCCCGATCGCTTCCTGAGACTCCTCTTCAGGATCAGAAGTTGACTCAGTCGACTGGGTAGCCTCTTCTGTGGCAGCTTGCTCGGCATTCTCAGCTTCAGGCTGGGGCTTGGGACGATTCTCCACAGCAGACGGAGGGCGTGGCTCAGGCGACCCCTTCATCACTTCGCGTAGCGGAGCTTGTATCTGCGGTACTTCTTCCGGGTCCTCCGCACTCTCTGTGATGGTTGTGACGCGCGACCCAGTAGAGGGGCTATGTTTGTGTCGCCGAGTGGTGGCACCCGTGCTAATCGACGGATCCAGACCTTCCACCTCAGCAGCAAGAGGGGTCTCAATCTCCTTACGAAGGATAGTCAACCGCTTACTATCAGGCTGCTCCTCCAATTTAGGCTGAATCGCATCGAGACCTTCCGCTTCAGGTGGAATGGTATAGTTGTCCTCCGGGATAAGTTGGAAGATGTCGCAGACCGTCCGAAAGAAAATATACAAGCCATCATGGCCCTCAACTTCCCAAAAAACATCCCGGTGCTGGAACCAGGCGTGTGCGAAAATCCGATAAAGCCGGCGGAAAACGTTGGTCAGGTGCCTCATGCTTGCCTGAGGGCCGCCGCCAGCCTCGGAGCCCAGCGTCAGGCGGCTGGGGAAGTACTTCGGTGAGGTAAGGGTATTATTCGCCCAGTCGAGAGTGTGGCAGCAGTAATCGATAGCGCAGCATGATTTAGGAGGATCATGCACGGCGCAGAGGTATTGCCATTCGGATGCGCGCATCTCGGGACAGGTCTGCACAGAGCAGGGTGGGTCCTCGGCGAAGAAAGCGATGATCAGGTTGTTGACTTTCATAGTGAGAAAGCGGCATAACTCGTAAAGCCATAGCGACCGGTCGACGCCCTCCGGGGGATCAGCGAGCTGAATTGCGACCTCGCGGGTAATCGGGACAACGATATCAGATCCTTCGGGTTTGGTGAAATGGTGGTACAAAGCTTTCAGATGTTCCTGGAGCTGGAAAGGTGAATCAAGCTGGTATTGTCAGCGAACGTTCTGAGTTATGTGGAAATGTTGGTACAAACCTGGGACAAAGGAATCAACGGTGGTCCAAAGGCCATGTCAGCGGCTTTGGTCCCCGGGCGGATTCTGCGCGTTGAACCATCGTCTTCTCCAGCAGCAGCTCCAAGAAGCTGCTCCCCATCCTTGCCAAAGTTCTCGCCGATTGAAGGTGACTGAGGACCGATCTGGACTTCTGTGAACGGGGGCGGACTGGGGAGACGTGGGGAGCTAGACGGGGAGACTCCGGTAGTCATGGCGCGTAACGAGAATGGGGGTTGAATGGTTGGAAGAGAGACGCGAAACCAAAGGAGAGTACCCGGATATTATAAAAGAGTGAATGGGAATTCCGCGCCCTCGCCGATACAAAAAAAGTCCGAAAATTTATTGAAACGACTTAAGCATAGACTTGGTCGGAGCTGAAGTAGCAGATAAGCAGTAACAACAAATGACCATCACATGCCCTAAGCCCTACTCTCCGTTCTAGGAAACAACGTCATTTGCCGCATCTACGACTCTTTGTCTAATTAGAGATCTAGAGATCTAGAGATCTAGAGATTCAGAGAGAACGAATTTTGAGTATAGCTCTACCGAATTAGCACTAGACCAGGGCCGAGCATGTCTTCCAATATTGACGATGATGAGGCACCTCCAGACTTGGTCGACGTCATGGCGACGCCAGCAGACGAGCCTGCCTCTATAGAGGAAGAGCCGACTAGTCGAGTTCCTATTACTCTCGTCACAGGTATGACCTGGTTGAAACGAGCATTGAATGAGTCAATGCTGACCTGATCATTAGGATATTTGGGAGCAGGAAAAACCACGCTGCTGAACTACATTCTCACTGAAAAACATGGCAAAAAGATCGCGGTGATCATGAATGGTATGTTATATTTACAATCCGCAAATAAGGTCTGCACTAACAAATGACAGAATTCGGTGACTGTATGCCGGTCTATAACTCCAAAACATGGACGCACGCTAACAAACTATAGCTTCGGACATCGAAAAGCCTTTGACCGTGAACGAGGGCGGCCAAGAAGTCACTGAGTGGATGGAAGTCGGCAACGGTTGCATATGCTGCTCAGTGAAGTACGCTTGATTACTATTTTGAAACATTGTGTTTAATATCATATACTAATACCCAACAGAGACTCCGGCGTCATGGCCCTCGAATCACTCATGGAGCGCCGCGGCACATTTGACTACATTCTCCTGGAGACAACGGGTCTCGCTGATCCAGGCAACATCGCCCCTGTCTTCTGGATGGACGAAGGTCTCGGTAGCTCAATCTATCTCGACGGGATCGTCACGCTCGTCGACGCAAAAAATATCATCCGACTCCTCGACGAGCCAGCCCCGGAAGAGAAAGCCGACTCGCATAAAGAGAGCGCTAATGATCGTGACCAGAAGCACAAGCACGAGCATACAGGACCGGTGCTCTCCATGGCACATATGCAGATCTCGCATGCGGATGTGATCATCCTCAACAAGACAGACCTGGTTACCGGGGACGAGCTTATAGCCGTGAAAGACCGCATTACGGCCATTAACAGCGCTGCCAAAATTCATGTTACGGACCATAGTCGCACTCCGCAAATTGAAGGTGTGGTGCTCGATTTGCATGCGTATGACCATCTGGCAAGCATAGACTTCGGGGAAAAGGGACATAGTCATATAGATCCTGCTATTTCAACCGTTGCGGTTGTCACGCCGCCTATTACAGCCAAAGGTGTGGAGAAGGTTGATGAGTGGCTACGGGAAGTGCTTTGGGAGTCGACATTGCCTGTCTCTGATGGTGTAGACTCTAAGTCGTGGCCGACAGATTTTGAGATTCACCGGTTGAAGGGAATTCTAGTGCTAGAGGACGGACCAAGTAAGATTATTCAGGCTGTAAGGGATGTCTTTGAGATTCGGGATTCAGTACAGAGCCAGGATGGAGATGAGGATAAGAAGGTCCAGTGCAAGATCGTGCTGATTGGAAGAGGGTTGACAGCGAGTGGTGATCCTTGGAAGGAGAGCTTTGAAGCATATGTACGGAGTTAATATCCCGAGGGCTCGGATATCATACTTGACGGGGAATGATTGTTTTGAAATGATGCATGGCAGTAGTCAACAAAAGAGGAAAATAATACAGCCATGGTGGCTAAAAGAGAGGAAGAGAAAGGCTTGATCAAAGTACACTTGAAAGGGCTGTGCGAGAACGCCGGACAATTAAAACCTCCATAAGGGCAAAAAAGAGTGGGAAAGCAGATGAAGGCAAAATAGGAACGAGGCCGCAAAAACGCAATGATGTATAAATCAAACGGAATCCACCACAAGAAAAATGAAAATAAAAGACTTTTTGGACGCCAAAAGTTCGCCGGCATGCGCCATCGGTGCAGATGCCTTGGAGTGCTAGCTTGGAACGCAACAATGACAATGATAGGAGAACTATACAAGCGAGAAATGAAGAGGGTATCGATCGTATAGCCCCACGAATTGGGACTTGAAAATCATCTGGCGTTCATAATCTTCAAAGTTACATAACCTTGGTCCAGAAGAGGATGGTTCAAGGATCTTGCTCTAGGAATAGTCTCTAGAGGCTGGGTTGATAGGGAGTCGGGACTCGACAAGGTAGGGAATGCGTCTGACTGAGCTGTTGTCGATAGCCCGGGTGACAGGGAGCTGTGATTTGACAGGCGAGATAACACACTTGGCAAAGCCATTCTCAACAGTCGGGTTGATCGGGAGTTGCGATTCGAGAATGGTAGATATCAATCTAGTAGGCTCGTTTTCGGCAGCTTTGTTGGCCAGGGGTCGAGGTTCAGGAAGCGAAGAGGCCATTTTCATGGGTCCGTCTTCAATAGCCGGATTTATAGGAAGTCGTGATTCGAAAATTGGGGGAGAGGGTTCAATGGAGTGTTTCTCAACAGTTGGGCGGGTGGGGAGTTGCGACACGAGAGGCGAGGACACAACCATAACAGAGCCGTCCTTAACAGCTGGGTTTATGGGAAGACGTGACTCAACAAGCGGAGAGAATCCGGTGGAGTCGTTCACAACAACTGCGCTAGTGGATAATTGTGTCTCTCGGAGTGAAGACACAGGCCCAACGGGATCATTCTTAATGGCCGGATTTATGGGTAGTCGCGACTCGACAAGAGGAGAGATTTCGATCGACTCCTTCTCGATAAATGCGCTGGTGGACGGCACATATTTTAGAGGCGGAGACACAGGTATAGCGAAACCATCCTCAACAGCCGGGCTTATAGGCAATCGTGATTCACAAAGACCACGCTTCGAAGGAAGATCGTGGCTATCATCCTTCAACGCAGGATTGATAGGCAGTCGAGAGCTATAAAGGTATTCCAAGAGAGCCGAAGTGTCGGGTTTGGGCTCGCAGCAAGTAGATAAAGATGATTGCGTGTCTTTTGCCACTGAAGGCCATGTCCGGTGTCGGGAAAATGGCAAAGCTGGGTTGATGGGAAGAATAGAATGAAAGAGAAATGGCATTGCGCCTAGGGATTCGGCTGATTTGGGAGCAGGAGGTTGGTGCTCAATTGATTGATATGTTTGCTCTTCGTCATTGGTTGGGACTGGCATCTGTTCATCGGGCTTTGTAGAGGCGACTATGGGCTCGGTGTTGCGTGGGTGGTCGTTTCCATTGATTGAATCTTGGTCGATAGATGGTTGGGATGGTTGATATGGAGTTGTATCTGAGGGGGATGTTTCTCGCTCTGAGACGTTGGAATTGAAAGTTTGATCAAGGCTGTTGGTCCACGCAGCTGTGTCGGCACTATGGGATGGATGCGTTTCTGCTCTATCGTGGCTTGGCTCGGGTGTGTCCCATCTTCGTCCTAGATCATCAATTTCATGGTGATTCAATGTGGATGCCGAGGAATGTCGTGACAAGAAAGCTGCTCCCCCGTTGGAACCCGCAAGTGTAGGAGTCGACCCCTTGCCTTGATCGTGGTGGTCTGAGAAAATGGGCTGTGGCATGCCGTTGTGTGTTTTTGCAAAGTCGTTCTCAAAGGGAGGATGAGAATCATAAGGACCACCCAGAGGGAGAGTCACGGGGTAGGTATTGACACCGTTGCTTTTTGTGACGAGAGGCCTTAAATCATGACCAGAAATGTCTCGAGCCCGGCCAGCCGGCATAGATCGTGAAAAAAGGTTAGTCGGGAAAAGGGTAAGAAGGTCCTTGGCGGATAATCGGTGTCGGGGAGTAGGGCTGAGGCAAATATCGACTAGTCGGCGGTAGTAGTCGGGTACATCCACGTCATTTCCCAAGAGCAGGGGACGAGGTTGTCGTTCCGGCTCGTCCTCCTCCATCGCTAAGGCCCACAAAGTCATTCCGAGTTGGTAGAGATCTGTCTTGACTCCGATATACATGGAGATGCGCTGGTTGCTCTCGATTTTTGCGGCGATCTCTGGCGGCTCCCATCCAACAGGGCAGCCTCTGCGGTTAATGTCGATAATATGCGCATTGTCGTCGCCATCCACCACAATGTTCGATAGTGTGAAGTCTCCCTGGACGTACCCTGACTCGTGGATCTCACAGAGACCTTGAACAATTTGCTTAGCCCATCGCTCCCGTCTAGCAAAGGAAATATCTCCCCGCTGATCATACAGAATGTCGACCAGTGCGCCCTGAGCTGCATAGTTGATTAGTAGGCCCTTGACCACCTCCTGTCGCTCATCGACCACAATCGCTTCGACCTGTATCACATTGGGCGCACGATTCAGCGCATGCAGCGCATTAATTTCGTAAAGAAATTCATCCACGGTATCAGGACCCGGAATCTCCTTCTTAATATACGCATGGCCCCCCAGCCGTACTTTATAAACAAACCCAGAAAGATGGGATTCGAAGTGCAAAAAATTCTCTGGCACACACCGAGCACCCCGCAGGTGCCCGATGCTGGAAATCGGAGGATAAGGGATCGTTTCGTTCACGTCTTCGGTAACATGAACGTGCAAGCGGCCATCGCGAGTCTCAACTTTCAAATTGGTGACGGTATCGTAAAATTGAATCTCGGGAAGCGATTCGCGAATCGACTCGTAAATTCGCGCACATTTGTCCCGCTGGTATCGCAACTCCTTCAAATCCTGCTCAAGCGAGTCCTCGGTTGCGCCACGGTAATCGCAGGAAATCGTGACTCGGCGCCATCGGGTCGGGGTTTCGGCGTATGTCACGAAGAACTTCTCCCTTTCCGAGCGATCCCGAAAGTGCATGCTCAGGTTCAAAATCCATCGTCGTTCCAGCTCCATCTCGAGTGTGTTTGGCGGTGCGCCCTCAGGGGCAGTTATGTCGGGGGAAGGGTCCCAATCGGGTTCGGAATCGGGCTCATCGTTCTCCACGTCTAGGTCCTGAGTATCCAATTCGAGCTCGAGGGGCTCGTCGACCGTGGTAGCGGTGGTCGGGCCGAGCCACTGAACCTCTGGTGCGGAAAGTCGAGGGCCCACGGCGGGCGGTGGAGACCGGGTTCTTTGGGCACTCAACGGGCGACGGTCGACCGACTGTGTACGACGGTGCTGGGGTTCAAGGTTCAGGGGCGCGAGTTGATCACGATGCTCAGAGTTCTGGCGTTTAAAGGGGGCTAGGGGTAGACCAACTCCGACGCGACGTGACAGGCGGCGAGTCAGGTTGTCTTGCTTGTTACTGTCAATAGAGGACGCTCGGTTATGGTTGTGGGGGAACAGGGCATCGTGGTTCCGAGAGTCTCGATCATCTCGACCCAGCCATCGTCGCAGTCCCAGTCGATGCCACACGCTCTGCTTTGGTCCCTTTTCGTCCATTGGGAAACCCAGCCGCGTTGGGCTACAACTGCTTGCAAGGGAGATGGCCATACGGCTTGTGCAAGGAACTCAATCACCCCCGCTTGCTGAAACCCCGACGGCCATAAGAATTGAGCCCAAAATGGAAAGGCTTGGAGAGGCAGATTATAGGGAACAAAACAAAACTCTGAGTAAGAACCTCAGTTGACCTTCAAGGCACGTGTGTTTGCCCCCCTATTCTATATTCGTTTTTTTTTTCCAAGCTTCAATCTGGTGTGTCACACAAGGGTTGCAATGGGATGAGGCTGGGATGGTCCGTGACTTAAAAGGCGGTGCAGAAAGAGAAAATTTCAGTAGATAGTCGGTCAACGTATCCCATCAATACTTTTGATTCTTAGAGAAAAAAAAAAAAAAACTTGTATGGACGTTAGCGGTGCGAGTTGTGCGTCGATCCACTGCAAGGTGTGAATGTCTCACAGTAACCAACAAAAGCACAGTGCAGGGGTTTTTTAATTCGAAATAAATGCAATCAAGGGTGAAAAAGATATATGATTCATTCTACGCACAGATCAAGATCCAATTAAAAAAAAAAAAAGTGAGGCTGCGTTGCGGCCTGACACTCAGTGCCTGATTGGGATGATGAAACACTCGGTGATTGGTGGGATGAAGAACTGTACATATCTAGAGCGATATCTTATACTCCGTACAGTTCGCTGCATTATCTACTGAAACACACGTCAGATACCCCTAAGGAAAGAGTCCTTGGTTCTGCTTGATTTGAGGGGAGCATGTTCTAGAGAAATTCGGGGAAAGAAATCAAGCGTCTAACAAAACGTCCAACGCCAGTCCATGCATTCCGGTTGGGGAAGACAAGACGCCAAATACCCACCGATCAGAAAGTAATAAAACAGAAAAAATCAACATATACAAAGACACATGTATATACCACAGGCACATAAGAAATTGAAAAGCCTTTTTACTCGTCATTGGAGCTGCGTTCGCCCTCGGGCTTGGTCAACGCCTTCTGCCAGATCGTACGCGCTGCCTCTTGATCCAGGGTGGGGAACAAGAGGTCGAACACCTCCGAGTACCAGCTAACCGGATGGCCAGTGATGCCCTTCTTGATATTCTATTCACATCGTTAGTATAGTGCATGGTGGGAGGTAGGAGCTGGAGAATGGCTCACCTCGGGCAACTCAAGCCAGTCAGAGGTGTTGTCAGCTGGGAAGATGACTGTGGTCGCACCAGCCCGGCGAGCAGCCACTGTCTTCTCTCTCAAACCGCCAATCCGCAGAACCTTGCCAGTAACTGTCAATTCGCCAGTCATGGCAATTGTGGGGTCAAGCGGGTGGTTGAGCGCCAGAGACAGCAGTGCACTAGCCATGGTGATACCAGCAGATGGGCCTAGTAAACGGTGGTTAGGTTAGCCAAATGGGAAACTTATGGTAAATTAATATAGACACATACCATCCTTTGGAACAGCGCCCTCGGGGCAATGCAGATGGACCTTCGCCTTCTCAAAGAAGGCGTTCTCGGGGAACTGCTTAGCCATGACGGACTTGGCAAACGAGTAGGCGATGTGCGAGGATTCCTTCATGACATTCTGTAAGTTACCAGTGATCTCCAGCCCTGGTCGCGAGTTGTGCTTCAAGGCATTCTCCAGGATACACTCGACATAGAGCGCAGCGCCACCCATGCTTGTCCAGGCAAGACCCATGGTAACACCGGGGGGGAACCTGTCGAACAGACGGTCTGCAGTGAAAACTGGTGGTCCGACGTAATCCTTCAAAGTATCCTTGCCGATGCTGAGCTGTACACTCTCGGGAACCTTGAGAGCAAGGCGAGGAGTCTCGGTGGTCGACTTTTCAGGCTCGAGTGGCGCCTCAGCCGGATCCGAGGACTCGTGCTCCTTTGACTCTTCCTGAGCAGCCTTGCCCTCGTCGGTCAATGCCGCCTCTTCCGGGAACGCCTCCTCACCCAGATCCTGGACGATCTTGAATGCGGCTTTCCGGTAAACCTTCTCGATCTGCTTCTTCAGGTTACGGACACCGCTCTCCCGGCAGTAAGACTTGATCAGCTCCTCGATCGCTTCCTTCTCGAGGCTCACATCAACATCCTTCAAGCCAGTCAGCTCCCGGGCAGCTGGAGCCAAGTAGCGCTCAGCAATGGCCATCTTCTCGTCAGCTACATAACCGGAGAGCTCAATGAGCTCCATGCGATCCAACAACGGGCGAGGAATGGTATCAGTGACATTGGCGGTGCAAACAAACAGAACCTTGGACAGGTCCACAGGAACATCCATGTAATGGTCCAAGAAGGAGTTGTTCTGCTCGGGGTCAAGCAACTCCAGCAACGCAGAAGATGGATCACCCTGGTGGCCACGGCCAATCTTATCCACCTCGTCGATCAGGATCAGGGGGTTCTCGGTCTGACACTTCTTGAGAGCTTGGATGATACGTCCAGGAAGAGCACCAACATATGTCCGTCGGTGACCCTTGATCTCTGCGACGTCAGTCAACCCACCCACAGAGAAGCGGTAGTACTGGCGGTTCAATGCGCGAGCCACCGACTTTCCGATACTGGTCTTTCCGACACCGGGAGGCCCGACAAGACAAAGAATTTTTCCTTCCACAGTACCGCGAAGCTTGCCTACGGCAATGAACTCCAGAATTCGATCCTTGACATCTTTCAGGCCGTAGTGGTCCTCATCAAGAACAGACACCGCGTTCTTGATACCAAAATTCTCTACACTCTTCTGGCCCCAAGGGATCTGAGTCAACCAGTCCAGGTAGTTACGGGTGACGTTGAACTCGGAAGCCGCAGGCTCAAGGTGAGCCAGCTTGTTGATCTCCTCGTCAAAGACCTTCTTGACGGCCTCGGGCATCGCAAGCTTCTCGGCCTTCTCCTTGAACTTCTCGACCAGCTTGTCCTTGCCGTCAGACTCGATACCAAGCTCTCTCTTGATTCCCTTCATCTGCTCCATGAGCCAGTATTCACGCTGACGCTTCTGGATCTTGGCCTCCACGTCCTTGGTAATCTTGGACTGAAGCTGGGCATTCATTAATTCCTTTTTCAACACAACAAGCGCCTTGGGAAGACGCTCCTCAATGTTCATAGTCTCGAGAACCTCTTGCATTTCATGCAACTCACCAGCCGAAACCGCAGCGGCGAAATCAGCAAGCTTGGCGGGCTCGTCACTGAGATTTCCGGGGAACTGATCGGTGTAGAAAGCAGAGATCTGGTCACGGAATAAGGGGTTCAGAGTAGCGATCTCCTTGCAGACGTTCACGATTTCGCTAGTCACAGCACGAATAATCCCATTCTTCTTGTCGAACGGCTCCTCGATCAGATTCTCCACATTAACCAAGCTGACTGGGTATTTTTTCAAAAAGGAAGTAGGTTCATAGTGGTCTTTGGGCGCAGACTCAGCAGCTCCCTCTTCGAAGCTCGCCACAACGTCACCCTTCTTTTCGGTCTTCTCTTCTGCGGGGGTACCCTTCGTGGTCTCGCTAGGGGGGAGAAGCGAAGAGATCTTGATGCGACGGTGTGGGTAGAGGACAGCAGTAACACCACTGGCCTCGCCGCGGAGAGGATAGGCCGCTGTAATTTGAGCGAAAACACCAGTATCGTAAACATCGTCGAGGTTCTCAATGACATCACCATCGGCGTTATCATCCTTGAACAAGAATGCGCCCACATACGGTTGGCCGCGCTTCATCATATCCTGAATGGCAGCCGCGACATTGGGGTCGCGGATGGTAATTGCCTTATAAAACCCGGGGAAGAGGGGCCGCTTCGCAATAGGAATCGCCATGACTTGCGGGTATACATCTGGCACAGCAGGCTTTTGCAAAGCCTTGTCCCCAGATCCCTTCTTGCTCTTCTTCCCACCATCATCATTTCCGCTGTTGCCGCCACTGTTTGCGGAGCTAGGCTTCGAGTCACCCGCACCACTGCTCGGGGGTATAGCAGATGGTGTCTGACCTGAATCACCCTTTCCATCAGCCTCGACTTCCTTCTTAGACTCTTCTTCTATTGCCCGCTCTTTGTCAGCCGATGATCGATCCTTTCTACGGGTGGAGCTTGTCTGGTCGGCGGGCTTGCCCGTGTCGACAGCTTTCCGCCGTGACTCTGGAGCTCGCTCCGCCTCTTTATTCTCCTGTGTTGTCTCCTCCTCCTGCTTCTTTTCTAGCTCGTCATTTTGGTCCTCTGGTGGGGGTTTCTCTTTCCGTTGGATGGAGCTAGAGGAGAACGTGCGGGGAGCCGAGGGAAGGGAACGGCTGAGACGGGTCGCAGTTAATGCTGAGCGGAAAGAGGCATTATTCCTTGTGGCAGTAAGGAAAGGGCGGCGGAGTAAAGGGCGAGGCGTTTGGTGGAGCGCAGCTCTCCAGGGGAGGGTCTGGCCGCGGAGCATGCTACTGGCGTTCTCGGTTACTATATGAGGTTCGGGGGTAGGGCTCCGGAAACGGAGGATTGACGTATAGATTCGAAGCTCAAACGAGCCTTATTGCAGCTCCAGGGGGACAGAAAAGAAGCTGAAGGCGATTGAGAAGAAACGTGGAAAGATGTTGAGGTCCGTCAATCGGAGACCACTCGGCTTGCTCATGACCTGAGCAGAACAAGACCCACTCGGTCCGACTATTCTTCCGCTCGATTCTTACAAATGCTAAATGAGGCAACATGGCACACCTTCTATGCACGTCTACATAGTGGATCCATTCTCTCCGTTTTTGAAATATAGTTCATTACGGCAGTTCTTTCGCCAAGGCTGATCATTTGATTTACAAATACCCCGTCGATTTCTCCCCTCCCCCCAATATCCGGCAGGACGCTTCAGCTGTTCGAGGCTTCAGCCATGGTCATTTTCTTCAAGATGTGAGATTTCCTTGGTCGTAGCAATACATTGCTTAGATTGAAGGTTTTGTGATTTCAATTTCGGCTGAACAGAACGGCGACGATGTCCTGAGCCAAGCCACAATAACAGTGTCGTCTATCAATTCTGCTGCGTTGGTCATTTTATTCCAGAATTGAGATGCTTTCCAGGGCTTTAACGAAAGCGAGAATTTACGTGTTCATCTTCCTAGGCCATTATGATGAGTGGTCACTTGATAGTAGACAGGTCTGATATAAGCATTGTGACGGCCTCCTAGGTGCCGAAATGAGGTTGAACTGGCCCTGATTTTCGAACTCTTGACTAACTTATGATATATCTAACCATGAGTGTCTGCATAATAAATAATCCGAGCTAGACAGATAAAAGGAAGAAGAGAGGAAATAGTCACAACACATTTTTGATGTCTCCTTGATACCCTTGATATCCTCCGGAATCTCCCTCTTTTTCCAAGCGACAAAGGTTTTCACGATTGCTTCTAGCAAGATTGATGTAATGTTCACGTATATTTACAAATTCAGAAACTTGGGTCAAGGCGATGGTTCCAAGGTTTATAGTGCAAAACCACAGCTGGTGGGATTGAAGGGGATTCTCAAGGGTTCGTTATAGAAGAGCGCCTTGTCATTCGAATTCCTAGTACTACCCATCTATTTCCCGAGATTGTACAACTGGCGCGTATCGTTTTAAACTTCATAGTTTCGATGGCAGATGAAAAGGAGAAGGTTCAGAGTCTACAGTATAGTATGAAATCGACCAATGATATCATTTCCATTCACAGTTCCACTCCCACCGGCCCGACTTTCTTCCGCGGCGTCAGTCTCCTCGTTGACTAGACGTTTCTACCACGATCCCGACTGGTTGAAGACAAGCCATTGGCGCCTTTTCTGGTATAGACTTTTTTCAAAAATTTCCTATCCTTTTTTCCTTTAATTCATTTTTTTCTCCTTTCTCGCCGGAGTCCGGCTTCGAGTACTGGCTAATCGCTGCCCGACTATCATCATTCCATCTCTATGAACCCATCCGCGGCATTTCCCAAGGCCGCGGCCCTCCCCGCGCGCCTGCTTCGGGCTCAACCCCAATGCTCGACTCAGACTAGTCGTCCAACTGTTTGCACTGCGCCTCAGACACGAGCTTACCATGCGGGAGCTTCTGCATCTCCTGCTAGACGGCTGCGTGATGGTGCCTGCAAAAAGAAGGCCCCATATGAGCTCCCGGCCCGGGTATGTTCCCCTGTCCCCTCTGTATCGATCCCTCTCATGGTCGATCGGTAACTAATTAACAATAGCCCTTTCACTCCACCGCATCCCTCGCAATCGCCGATCCCTACAAAGTCCTTGGAGTAGACAAAGGTGCCTCGGCCGGTGACATTAAGAAGGCATACTACGGTCTGGCCAAGAAGTATCACCCGGATACCAACAAGGAACCAAACGCCAAAGATAAATTTGCTGAGGCTCAGTCCTCCTACGAGTTGTTGTCTGATCCCAAGAAGCGCGAGCAATACGATCAATACGGCGCCTCTGCCTTTGACCAGAACGGTGGTTTCAACCCGAATGCTGGAGGCAATCCATTCGCTGGCGCTGGAGGTTTCCACGGATTCGGTGGAGGTTTCGGTGGTGGTGGATTCGGAGGCGGCTTTTCAGGCGACATCAACTTCGAAGATCTGTTCGGTGCTTTCGCCGGTGGTGCTCGTCGGGGCGGACCTCGTGGCCGACGCAACCCATTCCAGGAGGAGATACTGGTTGGAGAGGATATCGAGGTCCAGAGCAACATTACCTTCATGGATTCCGCCAAGGGTACCTCGCAGGATATTGTCATTACGCCTTTGACGCAGTGTGGAACTTGTAAAGGTGATGGGTTGAAGTCCGGTGCTAAGAGATCTCAATGCAAGTCTTGCAATGGTTCTGGAACCCGCGTTCATTTCATGCAGGGAGGCTTCCAGGTTGCTGCGACTTGCGATGCTTGTGGAGGTGCCGGTATGTCTGTGCCTCGTGGATCGGAGTGCGGTGGTTGTCACGGAAGCGGTGTTGTTAGAGAACGCAAGACCTTAAAGGTGGATATTCCCGCTGGCGTGGAAGACGGTATGCGGATGAGAGTCTCCGGTGAGGGTGATATGCCTCCCACTGGAACAGCCACCGCTCCTGGTGCTCGCACCCAGCGTGGCGATCTCTACCTCACGATCCGCGTTGCTCCGGATCAGCGCTTCACCCGCAACGGATCAGACATCCTCCACACAGCATCGATCCCTCTTACAACTGCTTTGCTAGGTGGTGAGGTTACTATTCCTACTCTTGAGAAAGAGGTCAAGGTCAAGGTAGCCACTGGTACCGGTACCGGCGATCGGATCACTTTGTCTGGCATGGGCATGAAGAAATTGGGAGGTGGTCGCTCTTCGCGATTCAGCCCGACGGGTGACCTGAAGGTTGAATTCAAGGTTGCCATGCCCAAGTATTTGACTGGCAACCAGCGAACAATCCTGGAGGTTCTTGCTGACGAGATGAACGATAAGACGGCTCGACGGACTATGAACTTCAGCAAGGAAAGGTAAGCATTCATCTTCCCCGTCTATAGCTACAGCACTGACTTCCAGCCAGCCCTCCCGCCGATACCGACAAGAAGGATGAAGGGTTCTTGAAGTCCGTGTGGCATCGACTGATGGACAAGGACAGTGATTCCACCAAGTCCGAGTCTGACAAGAAGGATACCAAGGACAAAAAGGAGGAGAAGAAGGGGGATGACTCGAAGTCGAGTTAGATCCGTGTAAATCCGTGTATTTTTATAACCATTTGGGCTGTATTTACCATGTTATTCTCATAGCGCTGGCGGGATTGGAGCATTTGTTCTGCCTTGGGGAAGATGGGGCGGACCATGTATTACTATGTTAGGCTGCCATGAAGCTCTCTGCTTTCAAAAGAAATATATAAGACCTGAATTTGTATATTATTGATTCCTTCTGATATTGGAACGCCCAGCTCAAGGTTCTAGCAATTTATGTATATCCAAAGTTGCGACGTTCGCCTGTAAGTTGTAGTTCGCTCTATATATCTGGGTTTGGCTATTGGCGCCCAGACACGACACGGTCGTCACGAAAGACCATCACACATCCCACTTGTCACCTTCTACTCCAACTCTCCCAACCCCTTCCTTTCTTCCACCTTCAATCTGTACTGCTTTAATTCGACACTACGTCATTGGTCTGACTAGTGAGCCATCAGGCACTGTCCGCCTACCTTACCCCACAGCCTCGATTCTGCTACCCCCCTCAACCGCACCGTTGCACCCCCGCTTACCACCCCTGCCTTCGCGTCCCCCCTTCCAAATTTATTCGTGGATGGGAGCATCTCGCTCCTGACGACCATCGCACAATGGTTCAGTCACCGATGCTTGCTTGTCCGCTCAAGCAGACCAACGAGATTGATTGGATCCAGCCCCTCAAAGATTACATCCGGCAGACCTATGGCGAGGACCCCGAGCGCTATGCCTCAGAATGTACAACCCTCAACCGCCTCCGCCAGGATATGAGAGGTGCCGGAAATGATAGCGCCACCGGACGCGATCTGTTGTATCGATACTACGGGCAGCTGGAGCTTTTAGATCTTCGGTTCCCCGTCGACGAGAATCATATCAAGATCTCGTTCTCATGGTATGCTCTAACTCGAAGAAATTAAGTGAACTCAGCACTAATATTGATTCCAGGTATGATGCGTTTACTCACAAGCCCACTTCCCAGTACTCCCTGGCTTTCGAGAAAGCTTCCATCATCTTCAACATCTCCGCCGTCCTTTCCTGCCATGCCGCCAACCAGAACCGGGCCGAGGATGTTGGCGTCAAAACCGCATACCATTCTTTCCAGGCATCAGCGGGTATGTTTACATACATCAATGAGAACTTCTTGCATGCGCCCTCGACCGATCTGAACCGGGATACGGTCAAGACATTGATACATGTGACACTTGCCCAGGCGCAGGAGGTGTTCCTCGAGAAACAAATTGCAGACGGGAAGAAGCCTGGATTCCTGGCGAAGCTGGCAGGCCAGGCCGCCTACCTGTATGCGCAGGCGGCGGAAACAATGCAGGACTTTGTCAGCAAGAACGTCTTCGATAAGGTTTGGTCGATTGTAGTGCAGGCGAAGGGGGCGCATATGAGCTCTGTTGCATCCTACTACCAGGCCATTGCTGACAGCGAGAGTAACTCGCATGGAGTTGCCATTGCTCGACTGCAACTAGCTGACAAGCAGGCTACAACTGCTCTGACCTGGGCTAAGTCATTTCCATCTTCGGCTCCCGCAACCTCCAATCTGCCAGCAGATGCGGGAAGCAACTTGGTCGATATTATCAAGCATAACCAGGCCAATGTGCAGTCTCAACTGGCTACTTTGATCAAGGACAACGACTTTATCTACCATCAACCAGTTCCAAATGAAGCAGGACTCTCACCCGTTGCTAAGCTTCCGGCCGCTAAGGCGATCCCGGTTAGCGAACTATACCAAGGGCAAGATATTCAGCGCATTATTGGTCCTGATATCTTCCAAAAGCTGGTACCTATGTCTGTCACGGAGACAGCCAGTTTGTATGATGAAGAGAAGGCCAAGCTGATTCGTGCAGAGACCGAAAAGGTTGAGACTGCCAATGGTGAGATGGCTGCCAGTTTAGATTACTTGAAGCTTCCTGGCAGTCTTAATATCCTCAAGGGTGGCATGGACCAAGAAATGACAGTGGATGAGGAGTTTCGCCGCTGGTGCTCAGAGCTTGGTGGACATACATCATTCCATCGTGCATTTGATGAGCTGCAGGAACGCAAGACGGAAGTCTTGTCGCAGTTGGATCAATGCTCGAAGCAGTTGGATTTGGAAGAGAGCGTATGTGAGAAGATGCGATCCAAATATGGCGGTGACTGGAGTCAGCAGCCCAGTGGTCGCTTGAACACTACCCTCCGAGGAGATGTTCGCACTTACAGAGATACCATTAGTGAAGCCAGTGCCAGTGATACTCAGCTGTCGTCCACACTGCGGCAGTACGAGGGTGACTTTGATCAAATGCGTTCTGCAGGAGAAACGGATGAAGCCGACGTGCTCTTCCAGCAGGCCCTTATCAAGGCTGGTTCCAAGCATAATAAAGGTAAAAATGGAGTCAGCAGTCCTGCTGAAGGCAGTCTCCTAGACGACGTCTATAATGAGGGTAGTGCATCTGTTGCGGGACAGATCGCCAAGGTGGAGGATATCCTAAAAAAGCTCAATCTTGTCAAGAGAGAGCGGTCTCAAGTACTTAAGGATCTGAAAGAGAAGGTTAGTTGGATCCTCAACAATCGTCTGAACTGGTATATTGATATATTGACTTTTCTAGGTTCACACTGACGATATATCAAATGTGTTGATCTTGAATAAGAAGTCCATTACAGGCCAAGAAACCCAACTTTTTGAGGCCGAGCTAGAAAAGTTCCGACCGCATCAAAATCGTCTGTTGCAGGCGAATCACAAGCAGTCTTCTTTGATGAAAGAACTTACTAAGACGTACGCCGACTTGCTGCAGGATAAGCGAGTTCAATCCGAACAATCCAAGTATGAGGGTATCACACGCCAAAGAAATTCCGTGATGGCTCGATACAAGAAAGTGTATGAAGCATTCAATGGTCTTTCATCCGGTATTGTCCAGGCTCGAACCTTCTACAAAGATATGGCGGAGAATGTCGAGAGCCTACGGAAGAATGTCGAAACTTTCATTAGCAACCGTCGATCTGAAGGCGCCCAGCTTTTAAGCCAGATTGAGCGCGAGAAGGCTAGTGGTGTCTCGGAACATGAGGACCAGGAACGAGAGAAGCTTCGTCAGCTGATGGAGCGTCTGTCAACGGAGCCGAAGCCATCGGCAACTTCGCCATTGACGAGACCTCCCACGGCACCTGGAAAGGTGAAGTCTCCGCCGCCAGCAGTTCAAACTCCAGCATATGGAACAGGCCCTTCTCCGAAACCATCACCTCGCTACCCACCGACCATGGCACCCCCGCATGGCGTCCCTCTATCGCACTCCCCAGCGCCGTATGGACAATACATGGGTGCAAACCCAGGCATGCCATACGCCCAACAGCCTTTCCAGCAAGGTGCCGCCGCCCCGCTCTCTGAAGGCTATAACCCCATGGCATACCCGTATCAAACACCCGTCTCCCCACCCCCGAACCAGCAGTTCTTTTCCCAAACCCCGACTCCATACGGGTATCCCAGTGCCAGTCCTGCGCCTTCCGCTGCTACAGCCGGTACTCCATCGCACTATATGACTCCACAGGGCTATATTCCTCCCCCGCCTCCTCCACGCCCTCAACAACCCAGCTACCCACCCACAACCGGCGCTTACCCCTCCGGACCTGGCGGGTATGCTGCCCAGCCCCGAGGATACGGACACAGCAAGACCCCTTCTCAATCTCAGTCCCAGTCATCTGCTACCAATGATCCCTGGTCTGGCCTCAATGCCTGGAAATAGGCCACGCCTGATACCGTCTATGTCTAGCTATAGGTACTTTGGTATGGCGACAGGGGCCGGTCTTGGGCAAAATGGGAGGCGGGCATCCATCTCGGCGTTCTTTTTGCGTGTTCATGTTCGTTCGTGTTCGATATCACCTCGTTAGTCCGTTTCTTGTGTCTTGGTACTCGCCAACTCGGATTGGAATTTGTCTCTTGATTTCCTTAGTTTAGAAGCTATGCAGTTATGTACATGATGAATCACACATAGTATTTAGGTAGCATACCATGTGTTCAAGCTGAAAGATGTCTGTCTTTCAAACCGCCCAGGTCATGAGGTACATATCTAGTACATGGAGGTACTACTTGTAGTACTTGATACTAATGCAACCTAACTGTATGTACCATGACGTCTCCTACATATCAAAGAACTATGGAAGTCCAAAAGATCAAAATGACTGAATTACCTATACAGTCCGAAAAAAAAAAAAAACCCTGAGAATCAAACACCATAGATATAGACCAAGTATACAAACACAATTCCACAAAGAAGCCCTCGAGAAAGTCCCAGTTCACAGAAACGCCATTGGGTATCTTAAAACAACAAAAAGCCCTCCAAACCACTTGAAGTATACCCTACTTCAAGTCCAATGCCTCAAACCGACCCAGATCAACATTGATCCCTTAGACCACTGTTACGGTTGAAACCGCAACCGGAACTGTCTCCCCCTCCGTTCCTCACGGACAGTATACAAAAACCTAGCAATACTCTCCTGCTCCGACAACCCCGCACTGTTGAAATGCTTCCGCACCACAAGCGCGAACGCATCTTTGCTCACGCGGTCTTGTCCAATTATCCGGCGCAATGGCTCGTGTTCACGCTCGCTGCCGCTTCCACTTCCACTGCCACTTCCGCTGCCCGTGGCGTGCGAAGATGAAGCTGTTACGTGGTTATGGTTCTGGTTTTGCCGGGAGGTTGAGGCGTTTGCGCGGCGAGCGGCAAGGGCTGTTGGGGAGCGGAGACCTACGCCTTGGGAGAGGACTATGCGGGAGTAATCGTTTGAGAAGGCAGAGGGAGTGGGGAGTTTGTGGACGTGGCGGTAGGCGTGGAGGATGTCGAGGGGGAGTTCGGACCAGGGGACCTGATTTTGTTAGTATGAGTATGAGTATGAGCATGCTCGAGGATTGATGTTGTAGGCAGTGGGGAGTGAGGATCAAGGTTGAGTCTTTGTTTTGCAAATCACAAGAGCATCTTGAGGTAAGATGCTTGTCTTGTCTGTCGCTTCGTTGCACTCAATGCTCAAGCTGACGCCATCGACTAATCCCCGCCCCCTAAGACATTCAGGACTCACTCTTGGTTGTTGGTCATCGGCATCTTGGGCAATTGGCGCACTGGTCACGGATGCCTTTTCCTTGGCTGTACCAGTCTTCCTGCTCTTCGGAGCTGTGGATTTGTATTCTCTCGTGCCGCTGGAAGCTTCGGACCTGGAGTCGTCCACTATGGCAGTGGTGCGCTGGCGCGGAGGTGCCATGGTGCGAAAGGCACAAAGACGCAATACGAAGGTAGGTGAAATATGTTCAATGAGGCAGAAGGAAGGTCGGAATGGTCTTGTTGGACTGTTTCAGGGTGCTAGTCTGGTCGCAGTGCAATGGACTCGAACAGAGATTCTCCGCTTTGTGGGCGGACAGACGCGGCAGAATGATACATGATTTTTCTGCCGCATTGGGCGGTGGACGGACGTTTGTCCGGGGGATTAATGTTACCCTAGATCTGTGAAGGAGAGATATTGCAACTGGTATTGGGATAGTAGTGAACATATATTGGAGACTAAGATTTGTTATTTAGTGATGTCATTTGCAGGATGTCATGGGTGTGCAAGGGAGATGGCACGCGTTGTCTAAAGTGTCCCGATTTGGTATTATAGATCACGACGCGCATCACGACTCTGGAGTTGACACAATTTTTTGTCTGCTTTGGTAAGCGTTTCAATTGCCTCACACCGCTCCATGCGGAGAAATTGGAACCTCCGCAAGTCGGATAGAAGTGCGGGACCACAATCCGTCGGATTACCGAGCCTGCGTACTTCCGAGTGGGGGAGATTTTTCTCCAGGCGCAGAGGACAATTGCCGGTTCAAGGTCGATAAGTTCAGGTGCAGGGATTGCCGAGCCACAGGAGTAAAAAAACCACCATAGAGAAAATCTTCCGTGTCCCGTATCTTTACACCAACTGTCGCATTCGTCCACGGGGTTATAGATTGACAAATGCAGCAACTCAGCCGACCGGACAAGCCACCGAGCCTCGGGACATTCTCGGCGGGGGGATTTGTCGGAAAAACCGGGAGACAGGGGGCGAAAGGGAAAAAATCGAATGTGGAGATTTGGGGATAATCCTTAGTCAGAATTAGAGACCAATTGAAGCCAACGGCAAGGGCACGCAAAGACCGGGCCGGCACAGGAGATGCCGAGTCTCAGCCCGATGAAAGTCGGGCCCGCGGCTCCAGACACGGGATTCAAACCAGGTTTTTTTTTTCTCGCTTCTTTCAGTCAGGGGGCAAGTTGATAGAGAACAAAGTGCCACCACGGAAGATGACCGTGGACACGTTCACCGAACGCCCCCTTTTCGGTGTCGTTGTTACTCCGTACAGTACTTGCTCCGATCAGAAATTTTCGTGACTCCATTTCCTTATCCAGATCCAGATTTGGATGCTACTCCTGACGCTCTTTCCTTGGAAACTTCAATGGCATACATACCCTTTGAAGAACAGAGTCAGAAAATAGAACGGACCTTCCCTAAGGATCATCTTCGTAGGATCTACGTTAGAGAAAATAGTTCCGACCCATGGATAGGCTAACGGACAACCTCCTGACTCAGTCCGCTCATGTCTTTGCCCACACCCACGCACCTGGCCTGAGCCCCTAAGCCTCACCCCCAAGCCTCCTAGATCATCGTGGAGACCGAGGAAAAAAAAAAGTGCAAAGCCCCCGCAATCCCAAACTGGCATGCGAGAATGGCACAACGCCGTCCATTCAGCTCCGACTTCACCCGATGAGCCCCTCTTTCCTACCCCAGCCCTATGGTCTGATAGTCTTGAAGTCTGGAACCTGAATTGGATACGTACCTGCAGTAGAGGGCGGTCTAGCTAGAGCCTAGGACCGACCTAGACCAAGAATGTACCTTCGGTATAGGATACGTACCTTGGAGGTATATGTGATATCTGCAGATGGAGTCAACTCTGTCGTCATCGTTTCTAATAAGCAATCTCTAATGCATAAAAAAAAAGCCTCCCCCGTTCTAGCCCGATCGAACTAGCGCCTCCATTCTGGAGCCCAGGTGCTCCATCGAGGTAGCCGGTGTACCCGTGATTCCGGGGCTGAGAAGGGGGAAAGGCCTAAAGGGAAGCATATGACGACGATCAGGTACACGGCTTCACCGTAAATCACGTAAATCACGAAAATCATATTTGCGTTTGAGGTTATTTTGAGCATCGTCATCGGACACCTATTCTGTACCAAGTACGGAGTAGTCTAGACATGGGACCCGACCGAGGCTTGTCAGGGATCGTAAGACGTCAAAGTCAGGTCAGTGCGAAAGGGCAACGTGCGACAACGATAAACCCCATTTTTTCACATGGGGTGCAGAGGTACGGAGTTGCAGACGCATGTGAAACCCCCCAGCTACTGGCTCGTGAATCTATCACAGCTAGCAACCCCGGACCACACGTGAAATCGATAGTGGCCAGCATTCATTGTCTATTTCTTATCGTGAGCTGGACGGCGCTGGGATTGGTGGATAAGAAGGAGCTCCTGCTTTATGCGCATCAATGGGGCCAGAGGATGCCCCCTCATTGGATTTGATTATCGATCCCCGATCACCTAGTGATTGCCAGGGCATTTCGTTCTTCCATGACAAAAACCCATCTGTCAAAAGTGGGTAGGATTACTTCATTGGAGAGTGTGGGGTAGAAACAAATAATTCACTCAGAGTGGAGTGCGAAAGATGTTCGGCCCTCACCGAGAACTGGACACGGTGGTGGGGTAAAACTGTCGGCACCTTCCCATGCAGAAAAACCTGGAGGAAAAAGGCCACCTTGCCATTATCATATGGTTCGCACCATCGTTATCTCTGTGTGCACCCCGGACCTGCAGTCTGAGCACTCGGACTCCGGAAGGTCGGCCCCGCAACATTGGTGATATCAGCATGTGGTTTGTGTGGCGCTCATTGGGCCAGGGGAGGTTTCGATTCCAGAAGCTGTGGATCGCGGATCGCTCGCCTTGGCGGTGAAGTCATGCGTGGAAGTAAGCGAGGGATTGTGTTGATAGTGAGACTTGGCAAGCATCAATATTCTTTAGGTAAACCCTAGGGTTGCACTGCCACGGAAGTTAATGACATTATCATTATCTAAAGTCAACACTAAATGGCGAGCTTAGATTACTCTGTTTTTCAAGGATTTTCCATTTTCCCCGTCCCCGCGCTGCACTGAGTAACTGCACCCGACTCGGTCGACTTTACCCCGGATTTCCCCCCACAAAGCCAAGCGCGCCAAATGTCACCTTTTTCCGCAACATAGCTTTTCACGAATGCGTCCCGGATTTACCTCCTGACCCCCTCTCTCGAACCCGCCCAGGTGCTCCGAGATTAGTATTTCTTTTTGATTTCGTATTCTTTGATGTGTTCGCAAACGCCTCGTGGCGTTCGCTTGGTGAGGTTTCAGCGCAAACTTCCAGGCAGCACGATTTGAAACGGAGCACAGCGAATCGAATCGCCGATATCCTGGTTCCACGTCAGGTTTTTGATGTTTGGTTGTTTTCTATTTTCTTCGATGGGCTTCGTGGGCACGTCATTATCTTTGGCCCTTTGACTCACGAGGCAAGGGGTGATTTCTGCACTGCCGGGCTGAGCTGACACTTAAGGGGTCTGATTAGTCTAGACTGCCAGCAATAATTTGTTTGATGTAGCGCTTTGTGGCTGGCCCTCAGCCTCTAGTGCTCTGATGCGGTCAGCAGGCGTAAACGTGGCTTCTTGATTCCCTGATGAACCCGGGGGCATGTGCGGAGGAATGACAGTTTCGATAACGTGATAATGGGCGGCGGTGATCAATGATAGGAGCCCGGGGAGTTTCGACCAAATCCTCTGTTTATTTGGTTTTGCTGAGCGCAGTTCGGCGTTATTTCGTTACCCGTACTCCGTAGTTTACCCGGCCCAACTTTGAGAACAATGGCGTGATAAGGACCCTGTGGGGAATGGTGATATTCGTGGCAATCATTGACAAGTAACATCAGCGATGTCGGACGGTCGATCCTCTTATCGTAACGTTGACGATCTTCTGCAAGTGGTTTTCTTGGATGTTTGGCCTTTGGTCCTTTTGTCCTTTTTCCTATTTCATTTCGCATTTTTGCCAGGGTCGATCCTGGCATGAAGATTTGCGGGGTAGGCCCTGAGTCAGAGGAGATGATCATCGGGTGCATCAAAGTTTGACGATCATCCTAGCTCCCAGTGAAGAAACCCTCTGATGTGCTTTGTTGTCAGAGGCCTGGTCGCTGAAAATTGGGCCAAATTAGCAATCATTCGGGTCTCCATATTGTCGGCTATTGAATGGTTCTCCCCCACGCTTTTACTATGTCTTAGTAACCTGTGTTAAGCGGATGATCATGTCGATCACCGCGATCGTGGGGACAGATTGGGGGGATCTCCAAAACCGAAAAACTCTGACGGATGTCATCTTTGGACACGGAAGTTGGCTTCCGGGCGCCTTTACATACAGGTAATAAACGTATCTACCAGTCATCGCTTAGATCCTTGCTACCTTTCAGCTGTGCATAGCTACAGCACATGTACTCGGTACGTCAGCTGAAACACGGGGATTATGTTTCAAGGCGAAGAAACTCGGCAAAAAGCGGGTAATTACCTGTACCTGCTGGACAGAGAACGCCCTCAATGCGCTAATTGACCCCCCTGCAGATGGAGGCGCCGAATCCGGAGTTTCTCCATGTCATTCCCCGTGGGAAAAACCCACTTTTCTTTTTTCTCCGTGACCGCATTCGGGGGAAATGGATTGATTCTTGGCCCCGAACTGTCGGCATTCGATCCGGCAAAACCAGTTTTTACTGTTTGGTTTATTTGATTTTACATTTTTTCTCGATCCGCTATTTGCTCCGTTTTATCCTATCCGGATATATGATAACAACCTTCTGAAAAAAAGGAAAGATGAAGCAAGGATTCCCCTACTCGATCTATCCAGTGAGTGTGGGGATCCGGAAAAATAGGAAAAATGGGAAATAATACCTATCATCGGAGGATACTTAGTAGAGCTGAAAAGAGTGACATTCTTGACCCGCCATTTCATGCTTAAGATCTGCGACTAAAGGGTCCCCCCTGCCACGGCTATATGCAGGTCGTCCACCGCCCTGGGTCGCGAACGAACAGGGGGATTCGAGGGAATGAAACCTTGGGGGACATGCCCCGACTCGATTAGGAAGAATTGTACGGAGTACTGTCAGTCAGTTATGAAAGGAAACTCCCACGAGGGAACCCATTTTGGCCTTATCCAACCAGATTTCCTATATTCATCACATGGGGAAAGGGGAAAACAGAGGGAACGGTACCCGGTGCCGAGCGGGCGTATCTTTCTTTATCCCGTGGCGCGATCGTGGGCCTTGGGGCGGTTATCATGGCAAGTATGGGCTCCACTCGGGGGTGCCGGGCTAATCGTCTTGGGGGCATCTCCGTCAGGGAACCTGTGTGACAACTCTCCACGGGGTTATCGTGGTGCGTGTCCTCCCCCACAAGCCCCCAATTTCCGATTCAGCCGGGGCAGGCAACCTGGGTGTTTCGGAGCATGACATATGCATAGAATAAATCATGCCATTTGGTCGAGAGCCTGTGTACGGGCATACCAATCTGGACCGGTAGGAGGTGCGGCTTTGCGGCTGCAGGGTGCGTCGTCAATTATTGGACGATCTGCGCCTATCAGTTGGGGAATCTATTTGGCCACGGACCACACCCTCTGATTTTTGGGTCTGGCTGAATCGAGGGTTGGAAGCTTTGCGAAACCCCCGGTTTAAGGGAATCCGGGGTATCTCATCCGAGTTGGTTATCGACGAACTTGATTTGCGTAACCGCCGTCGACCCGGCTGGTTTTCGTGTGATCTGGGCATTCTCTGTATGACCTCTTCGATTCCCATGACTAAATCATGCTCGAATTATGAATCATGTGTCGACATCATCGATGACCCTTGGGTAGCGTCACTTAAGGGGAGCAATCTCATCCAACCCCAGGATTCACTCCCCATATTTACTTTTTTTCCGAGGGGCATCGGGGAGGGTTACGATAGTGATCTGAACTCAGTCCTTCATGATAACCATGATCTATCCAATCTAGACTGTTCTTCCCGAATTCCCCGGTGAGGAGAAGGGACCGATCCAAAGTCGCCACCCAGCATCATCCGTCACCAGAGTTTTGCACAAAAGGTTGTTACAGTATGGGGAGAGGAGGGTTATGGAATGATATGGAGCGGGGTTGCAATGGCCCCGATAAGCCCGTTTTTGGATCTCCAGCTTTCTCCAGATGCGCGATAGCCGGGTAGGGACACGCACTGATTGTCACGCCACACGGGATTCTTCAGATAATCAGGACCTTCTGAGCAGTAGCGTCGGGACTAGCCCGGTCCCCACATCTCTGGAGAGAGAGTACGTAGTTCTTGGGTTTTTTGTTTTTCATTTTTCGTTTTTCATTTTTTTTTTTTTAATAATTTTTTCCTACGATTACTCCTTTCGATCATGTTCCTCCCCGACTGCATGAACATCAGATTCTAGGGATAGGGTTAATCTTAGAAGATAATGAGACGAGAATCAAAATGCATTATTCAGAGGAACAGAAAATACAATATGATTAGGTAAAATTAAATCAAATAAAATCAGAGTCCAAATCGATCTCCCGGGTTGATTTGGTAAGAAATTCTCGTTTGGGGAAAATGAAAATTGTGAAAAATCGAAAATTGGAAAAAGAAAAAAGAAAATTTCATCCAAAACAGTGTTGCCCCAGTTCCTTTTCCCTTTTCCCTTTTCCCGTTCCCCCACACTGGTAAACCCTCAACCTTGTTACAATCCGATAAGTAAAAAAAAAAAAAAAAAAAGAAAAGAAAAAAGAAAAAAGGAAAAAAAAAGAACTTTTTCTGCCCCAAATCCGATCCCGAAGAAAGCCCTCCCCGATTTCTCCCTTTCCCCCTCCATTCCTTGCCCCCCTTCCCTTTTATTATCTACCTACTCCCCAGATCGTCGTCTCCAGATTCTTTCTTTCTCCCTTTTCTCATTCTTTACCACCCCCCAATATTTACTGCTTCAGTCATCCCATCCCAATCTGGCTTAAAAGGGAAAACAAAGGAAAAGAGTATCATCATCCGATCGACATCATCATCCCCCCCTCGGGTGCAGATCGACCGGTCCAACTTTAGCTCTGGATCCCTGCGGTGATAAATCATCCGCCTCGGCTCTCCTACATAAACTCTGAAGCCTCCCCCGGTCCATTCCTGAGGAGTTTCACATGCCACCCCCAGCTTCTTCAGTGGGTTTCTCCAATCTACTGAATCCTGAAGCAGTCGACCACCAGTCGCAACCACAATCTCCTCTTCACGGCGACTCGGACTCTACTATGGCTTCGTCAGTCAGTCTCTTGCCGCCTCTCATGAAGGGTGCGCGCCCCGCCAATGAGGAGGTTCGCCAGGATCTGCCTCGCCCGTACAAGTGTCCTCTTTGCGATCGGGCCTTCCACCGTCTGGAGCACCAGACTCGGCACATTCGCACGCACACCGGTGAGAAGCCTCACGCCTGCCAGTTTCCCGGGTGCACCAAGCGATTCAGCCGTTCCGACGAATTGACTCGTCATTCGCGTATTCACAACAACCCCAACTCGCGCCGGAGTAACAAGGCCCAGCACTTGGCTGCCGCATCCGCCGCTGCTGCCGGTCAGGATGTGAGCATGGGGAACGCGGCCAACATGATGCCCCCTCCCAGCAAGCCTATCACTCGTTCCGCGCCGGTCTCGCAGGTCGGGTCCCCGGATGTCTCTCCGCCGCACTCCTTCTCCAACTACGCCAATCACATGCGCTCCAATCTGGGTCCTTACTCCCGCACCTCCGACCGTGCCTCGTCAGGGATGGACATCAACTTGCTCGCGACAGCCGCTTCGCAGGTCGAACGTGATGATCACATGGGATACCACGGATCCAGACACCACATCTTTGGCTCGCGTCAGCACAGCAGCCGTGGTCTGCCTTCGCTTTCTGCCTATGCCATCTCCCAGAACATGACCCGCTCGCACTCAAACGAGGACGACGATGCCTACGGCCAACATCGTGTCAAGCGCTCTCGTCCCAACTCGCCCAACTCTACAGCTCCTTCCTCTCCTACGTTCTCACACGATTCGCTCTCTCCCACTCCCGACCACACTCCTCTGGCTACTCCCGCACACTCGCCTCGCTTGCGCCCATTGGGAGCCAACGAGCTGCACCTTCCTTCAATCCGTCATCTTTCCCTTCAGCACACTCCCGCCTTGGCCCCAATGGAGCCACAACCAGAGGGTCCGAATTACTATAGCCCCGGCCAAGGCCACATGGGCCCCAGTATCACTGATATCATGTCCAAACCCGACGGCACACAGCGCAAGCTACCAGTACCCCAGGTACCGAAAGTTGCCGTCCAGGACATGCTCAACCCCGCAACCGGATTTGCCTCCATGAGCTCTTCCACCAACAACTCCGTTGCCGGCGGCGACTTGGCAGACCGTTATTAATTACGGCTTCCCCTTTTAACGTCCTGCAATCTGTGTTATGCGCGCCACGAAACGAAATAGACTTGTGCATTTTTTCTCATTTCCCCCTGTTTTGCGGGCATCAATGGTGTCGGGTGGACGGTTTTTCTTTTATTATTCTTTTGAGGCGTCGAACTAAATATAGATGGATGGGAATTCCCTGTGGCTCTTTTTTTCTTTTCTTTCAGTTCAAAATTTCTTCGGTTACTTCTCCTCTCTGAGGCCTGTGGTCTCGATTCTACTTCTGACCACTGTTCTTTATTTACTCCCTTAATTTGCTACCTGCTTGCAGGAAATCAAAAACATCGGATAACTACTTCATTATTGGTGCAGTAAATAGTATAGATTGTCCATGCAAACGTGGACATAGATTTGTCGACAGATTACGGGCCTTCGTGCCCAGGGGAGGTAGAGTTACGGGACTTTGGAGTATGGGGTCGATTGCGAAATTACCCCTCCACCTTGCAGAAGAACAAGGATTCATGCGCAACACAACCATTATCTCGCATGCATACATATCACCTCGACTCAACCTTTTGTATATAGACTGATGATCATCGTATTTCTATTTCTATATTCATTCTATACGATGTCCAGATACACAAATGCTTCTAATATACTACTGCACAGCCCAAACGTTAGCCCCCGACGCCCCCGCTCCCCCTCCAATGCTTAGCGCGAAAGAGAAAAAAAAAAAAAAAAAAAACGAAAAAAAGTCCCGCGTTTCAAATGTGAACGTTCATGCTTGGTTTCCTTCCTATTGTATCTAGGTTACATCCTTTGGAACGGAGTGTTTGGTTGGGCCCTTTTATCATGCATTCACGGCTGTATCTCTAGATCCGATCCCGATCCCGCAAGAGCCCTGGAGGTATAGTATATTTGGTGTTTTCGAAGTAGGTACACCTCCCACCAAGGTTCTCCACTATCAAGTGTACCTGTACCTGAGGTACGAACCAAGTTCTAAGCTAAGATGAAGCTAGGCCTTTCCAAAGTCTGGACCTGGACTGTACGTGCGATCAATGTTACTGGCTGTATCAAGTCCAGCCACTAGGGAACTTTCTGCAGTTTCCTGTCGGGCTACGCCGGCACTTACATTAGACTTGAACTGTCGTGCATAGCTGACGGTTCTTTAGTTTTCTGCTCTTTACCTACTGGGGCAAAAGATCGGTGCCCACTTTCAGCACGTAGTACTCTCGGAGGGTTTTGCTAGATTGGCGTAAGTAAATCACCTCTTTTTCTTTCATTCACCTTTGTCGTGGCCGGATCCAGATATCCGTTCCAAGTTCCGTGCAAGATGATGCGATAAAAGGCAAAGCCCGGCTCTGACGCCATCCCAGTAACCCCGTGGCCCCGTGGATTCCCCGCGCCCTTCTGTGCGGAGCAGGTCGGAGCGTGCGTCTGCTCTGCGGGTTATGAGCACGACCCAGACCCAGCGTCGCAGTTGCAGCCTTGAGTAGATTGTGCCGTCTATTCGGAGGCTTTCTTTCTTTCTTGGAACCGAGCTGAAAGGAATCTCGTGCATCTGCACCTCATCACGGCGCATCGCATATCTTGAGTCCTACCTATCACGGATTATTTTTTCCCTTATCCATGTCCCTATCACGGTCACAGATGAGGGATCACATTTCATCAAATCCGAACCCCATCTCATCTACCCGCTCCCGCAAAAAGCAAGCTGAGGTGACGATCGTCGGCGGTATGCGCTCGTCTTCGCCCGCGCCGCCACCGGGCCTTTCGAGCGGGTCGTCTTCTCCGTCGATCTCGTCTGTGGAGACTTCTTCTCCCACTGGGCTTGGTCCAGGAATCGGTCTTGGTTTTGGAGGCTCTTTGTTTGGGGATGGGAATGATGGTGATGTTTTGGCCCCCGTAATCACGGCTAGGAATTCGGCTTCAGCGAGTAGGACTGGAACTGGGCGTTCAAATGGTGCCATGCACTCGTCGCGCGCTTCGTCTTCGTCGTGGAGCACTGCTGCGCCGTCTGCTTCATCGGCCGCTTCGGTTGGTATCGTGGAGCATCAAGCTGCACCACGAACACCTGGAGAGAGGGTCTATACATGCTTATTCCATATGCTGGATTGTCATGATTCGTTCGATCAAGTCATGGAGTGGAAAACGCATGTCTTGAGTCACTTCCGCACGCATCCGACGCCACGGACGGCGCGGTGTCCGCTCTGCTCTGACGAATTTGTCGATGAGGGCGATGATGAGTCGCTGCTTCTTTCTCCCCTTTCAATATCTGAGCCGAATGGGGATGAGAAAAGTCATAGTCAAGAAAACGAGGGCTCGATCAACTCGGCGTCTGTCATCACATCTTCACAAGATATGGTTCATGATCACAGTCAATCGCAATTTTTAGATTCTGCCTGGAATCGTATGCTCAATCATGTCGCTGAAAACCATTACCAGAACGGTCAGACGTTAGCGGGTAGTCGGCAAGACTTCGAGCTCATGCGCCACCTGTATAACCGGCGCATCATATCTGATGCCCAGTTCAAGGCTATGCAGCTTGCGCCTGCGCCGTCGAGTCCGGCATATCATCGTTCACAGGATGGCGTGCGAGCTAGTATCGGGTCCTCGGATGAGCCGTACTATGCACCTTATAGTCGGAGGCGGGAAGAGAGGATGAGGGGCGCCACTAGGGGGGTTAGTGTTGTTTGAAGTTTTTTGTTATTTCATTTTTCCTTTGACAATCCTATCATGGATGATGTCGAGTTTGAGGTTTAGATTTCAACCACCTGGACCTTGAGGGGTTTTTTCCTTGTGTCGGATTGTGCTTGTTGCGAAAATATTCCCCCCTTTGCTTTGTTTCATGTTATACAGCTTGTATTTGTGTATTTAGCTTCATGTGCCACTGTATGTATTATTGCTGTTGTTGGCTGAGTCAGTGATTTTCCAACATTGAATATGATAGCTTCGTTTGCATGTTGCTGGAAGCACTGCTGCTTGGAGCAGGGTCCTGGTAGAGATTGTGAGGCTGGCATTGGATATCCCCGAAGCTTAGGCGAATATCAGCCCAGACAGAGTAAAGGAGAGGGTAGCAGCTCTATGATTCATGCATAAAGAACATCTGCAGAACAGACAAAGTGCAGAGTGGATCAAGCGAAAAGAAGGTGAGCGGGATCTTATAGATCTGATCGGGCCGAGCAAACAGTACAAACATTCTCTTGCCCGCATTGGACCTGGAGAACTTCATGGCCGCGACTTGGAGCTGCTTTCCCAATTCTACAGATCCAACCTCCCTAGCATGAGAGTATCTTTCTCAAAACCCCAGAATTGATTTCCCAACCCTCACCTTCTCTGGGCTCGAACTTTCCGACTTCCGACCTCTGACCTCCCACTTTCTCACCCCCACCACCCAATTCCAGCCCACGACATGGAGCGCTTATCGCTAAACGAGAGCCCTGCCAATGCGCAGCGGAATCCCCAGCAACAGCCACAACAACAGCAGTTTCAACAACAGAATGCCCTTGGGCCTGCCGGTCAAATGCCTACTTCAGGCCCGCCGCAACTTCCACCACAGATGTTCACTACCGCCGCACAGCTGCTGGACTTGACAGATAGTAGGTCGACCGGAGTAGAGCGGTACTTGGTCAATGAGATTGCATTTGCTGATATGGGTTTCTTTTCCTGTTGAACAGAGAAGCTAGTCCTCGTTCTGCGCGATGGGAGGAAACTAGTCGGTGTGTTGCGAAGCTGGGATCAGTTCGGTATGGACATCTCCGCGCAATCTTAAGAATCGCGGCTCACCCTTGTCACTTTCCACTCCTATAGCGAACCTTGTTCTCCAAGATACTGTCGAACGAATCTACGCCGGAAAACTCTACGCTGATGTCCCGCGCGGGATCTTCCTCGTCCGTGGTGAGAACGTATTGCTGCTGGGTGAAGTGGTACGTATTGTCATTTTGGTCTGGTATCATATTTATTGGTGACTAACGCAGTACTCTTCTTCGTCTATAGGACCTTGACCGCGAAGACGAAATTCCTTCCACCGTGACAAAAGCCCCCTTCGAGGAGGTGTTCGAACTCAAGAAGCAGGAAGACAACAAGCGTAAGAGCGGTGACAAAAAGCGACACACTGAGTTGTCAGCTCTAGGATTCGAGCCTGAGCACAGCGGCGAGATCTTGTTCTAGATCATTTCTGCACTTCTCTTGCTGCGATCCTGCGGTTGAATCCTGTCCAGCTCATGTTCTCAGCGCTATTGGCTGACCCGCGCACCAAGCAGTACCTATTACATAAATATGGGTATAAAGGGACATTCTGTCGTTGGAAATGCAGAATAGCAGGCGGTGCACGCGGGAATTTGACGTGACAGGATTTCCCAACCGCAGAGATTTTCTTATATCATCTCGGGCCGATAGGAAGTCATGGACATGACCTTATACCCAGGACTCAAATCTAATGATATGCTATGGACGATAGGCACTAGTCTAATATTCATCTGAAGCATCCTTGTCAATGCTTCGCATACACGGGACAGTGGATGGTACGGTACGATTGCCATTATCACCCAGTTCGGGTCCAAATTTTCTTTACGCTTGTGTTTGATAGTTCAAAATGAATTGACGGGATTTAATGACTAAATAGTATTGCAAAGAAAAAGAATAGACTCACTATGTGTATAGTTAATCTTGAAATCGAGGTTTCATTGTCTGTGGTCCATAGATGCTTATCGATAAAGATGCCAAGACTCGCTGTACCTTTTTTTTCACGATTTTCTCCATCACCGCCAGAACTGTCTTCCCCCGCACAGCTTTTCCCTTGTCCTTTTTCGTTCAAAGTCACCATGGCGACTCTGGCGGAGAAGCTCGAGAAGATCAAGTCTCCCAAGCTGCAGAACCAGCACCACGTAAGTTCCCCGACAAATTCCGCATCGTTTCAAAGCTGACCTATCTTAGACCGCTGTGGTGCTCTCTGCAGTGGAGGATACTCTTCGCGATCAAAAAGCCGATTTCTCTCCTACCGCTTATTTCGCTGCCCTCCTTGCCCTGCTTTCTCAGTCGCTGTCGGCTGAGCAAGGTATCGTCAACAAGGATTTGGCAACTTCCGTCGTCTACCTGCTCGATATCACCACCGCCTATGTTCCTGCCCCCATCCTCCGCTCAAAATTCTCCCAGATCCTCACTAGCCTCGCCCCTGCATTGTCACTCCCCGAGGTCGAGGCACCGCTCTTGCGACCCTCAATTGGAAGTCTTGAGTCGCTGCTGATCGCCCAAGATGCCGCTGCATGGAACCTCCCGCATACCGCAATCGGTCCGCGCCGTGCCACAGCTGGTCTGCTGAGTTTGTCGGTTGACCATCGCCCCAAGGTGCGCAAGCGCGCCCAGGAGGCTCTGATTCAGGTTCTCAAGAACCCCCCACCCAGCCCGTCTCTGGACCACCCGGCTGCCGATATGTGCGCTGAGTCCGCCATGAAGACTCTTAGCGACGGTATCGCGGCTGCGACAAAGCAAAAGAAGAACCGCAATGATGCGCAGTCCCGGGAGAACCACGAGCCTTTGATCATTCACTCTTTGCAGTTGGTCAAGACCATTGCTTCGGCCTCCGGTGGCTGGCCCAGCAAGAAGATCGAGGCTCTGTGTGAGTTGCTGATGAACGCTTCGCGCTCCACGAATGAGTACATCACTATGGGTGCGTTTGAGGTTTTCGAGGTTATTTTCGAGGGTATGGCGGATGAGTTCTCTTCCTCTAAGCTCCCCCGTCTGTTGGACGCCATTACCGAACTCAAGCCCGCACAGAACGACTCTCAGCTCCTCCCACCCTGGATCGCTGTTCTGTCCCGTGGTTACGACGTGTCTGCTCAGATTACCCCCGAGGATACATTTGCGAAGCTTCCCGAACTGTTCCAGCTGATCGCTGGTTTCTTGGCTTCGCCCTCCCACAACATTCGCGTGTCGGCATCTGAGTGTTTGATTTCGTTCCTGCACAACTGCATTCCCAACAGTGTCATTATCGAGGCCTCGATCTACGATGAGAAGACCCTTGAGAAGTTGGCCCGCGCAGCTTCTGATTTGCTGTCTGTGAAATACCAGGCTGCATGGATGGAGGTTTTCAACGTCTGCTCCGCGCTGTTTGACTGCTACAAGTGGCGGTCCAGCCCCTTCTTGGTTGATATTGTTTCAACCATTGGTGAGCTGCGTAGCAATGAGACTTTCCACGGCAAGAAGGAGGCCGATGCTGTCCTCGGAAGTGCCATTGAGGCCATGGGCCCTGCTGCCGTTCTCGAGATTCTGCCTTTGAACATTATCGAACAGAAGAACGGCCAACCTGGTCGCGTTTGGATGCTGCCCATTCTCCGTGATAGCGTGACAAATACCAACCTGGGACACTTCCGTTCCGAGTTTGCACCTCTCAGTGAGGCGCTTTACCAGAAAATGGTTGACTTCCAATCCCTGGAGAAGCCCGTCGAGGCGAAGATTTTCGAGACCCTCGTCCAGCAGACTTGGGGTATTCTCCCCGGATACTGTGAGCTCCCGCTTGATGTGGTTGAGTCCTTTGACCAGAGCTTCGCTGAGCTGCTGTCCAATGTCCTTTACAAGCAGACCGATCTGCGTGTCGAGATTTGCCGCGCCCTGCAGAACCTGGTTGAGTCCAACCAAGCCATTCTGTCCATCGAGGCTGAGGAGGAGGATCTGATCCTGCAGCGCCGTATCACCAAGGCTGCCGCTGCTAAGAACATCGCCCACTTGGCTGGCTTTGCTAGCAACTTGCTCGCTGTGCTGTTCAACGTTTACAGCCAGACCCTTCCCCACCACCGCGGTTTCATTCTGCAATGTATCAATTCCTACTTGAGCATTACTCCTGAAACTGTAAGTCCTAAACAACTTTCTCTATAATAATCTTATTTGACATGATGCTAACTTTAACAGGAACTTAATGAGACATTCACTCGGGTGACCACAATGCTCGAGGAGTCATTGGCCATGGAGCAGAACAACCCTGTCAAGCAGGATCCTTCTAATAAGATGCCCCCGACCTCGCACACTTTGATCGACCTAGTCATCGCCATGTCCATCTACCTGCCCCGTTCCAGCTTCGCCGGTCTCTTTGCTATGGCCGCCGCTATCCTGAACGGAAATTCTCCCAACCCCGACCAGCAGCTCATCAAGAAGGCTTACAAGCTGATTCCCCGACTTGGCTCAACCGAAGCTGGCAGCGCTGCTTTGCAGGAGCGCAGTGCCGAGCTGCAGGCCCTCATGCTTGCCACAATTGACAAGACTCCGGCTTCTGGTCGCCGAGACCGTATGCTTGCCATTCACGAGCTGATCACTCACCTCCCCACCTCCGAGCTTCACTTCATCCCGGCCATCCTGTCCGAGGTAGTCCTTGGATGCAAGGAGAGCAACGAGAAGGCCCGCACGGCTGCCTTTGACTTACTGATTCACCTTGCCCGTCGCACCAGCGATGACGAGCGCAACCCGGCTGGCACTGTGATCCGTAACTCCCTGGTCTCCCACATGCCCGATGACGCCCCCGATGCCCCCGCCACTATTGAAGAATTCTTCACCATGGTCTCTGCCGGTCTGGCCGGTTCCTCGCCTCACATGGTCGCTGCATCGGTCACAGCTCTGTCTCGCCTGTTTTTCGAATTCCAGACTAAGCTCCGCGCCGAAGTTCTCACTGACCTCGTCGCAACCGTCGAGCTCTTCCTCACCAGCAACAACCGTGAGATTGTTCGTTCCGTCCTCGGCTTCGTCAAGGTCGCCGTCGTCGTTCTCCCTGACGAGACTCTGCGTCCTCGCCTGTCAACCCTAGTCCCCAACCTCATGGCCTGGAACAAGGAGCACAAGGGCCGTCTTCGCAGTAAGGTCAAGGGCATCATCGACCGCCTGGTCCGTCGCTTCGGTGCCCCGTTGATGGAGAACCTGGTCGGCGAAGAAGACCGCAAGCTGGTCGTGAACATCCGCAAGCAGCGTGAGCGCAACAAGCGCAAGAAGAAGGAGGGTGCCGAGGGCGGCTCCGACGACGAAGACGAAGACAAGCCTGCCCAGCAATCCGGCAACGCCTTCGACAAGGCCGTCTACGGCTCCGACGACTCTGATGACTCGGACGACGGCGATGACGCCTCAGACGTTGACGTCGACGAAAACACCCGTATCAAGGGCAAGAAGGATCGGTCCCGCCAGAGCACCCAGTACATCCGCGAAACATCTCCTGAAGATAACCCGCTTGATCTGCTCGCTCCTGACGCTCTTGCGAATATCTCTACCACAAAGCCCAGTCTCCGTTTCCTGAACACCGGTCCCGGCTCTAAGCGTAAGCACGCTGCCAAGTTCGATGCGGACGGCAAACTGCTCCTGGGCGATGATGACGCAAATGATGATGTCGAGATGGCCGGTGATGCCCCTGCTGGTGGTGTCAATGCCTACCTGGCAGCCGTCAGCGGTCCGGACGCTGTCCGCCGTGGCCAGAAGGGTAAGGTCAAGATGGGCCAGGCTAAGCGCCGAGGAGGTGACGCTATGGATCTCGACGAGGAGGATGAGGCCGCTTTGAACGAGGATATGCGTAATAAGGGCCCCAACACCGGTCGTCGTGGTCTTGGTGTGCCCAAGACTCCTGGTGCCCCAGGCGGCGGCCGCATCGAGAAGCGGTCTTCCTGGGGTGGTCGTGGCGGCGGTGATCGCGGTCGCGGCGGCTTCGGTGGTCGTGGAGGCGGTGACCGCGGTCGTGGCGGCTTCGGTGGTCGCGGTGGTGGCCGTGGAGGATTCAGCCGTGGCGGTGATCGCGGTCGCGGCGGCTTCGGCGGCCGTGGTGGTGGCCGTGGAGGTGGTGATCGTGGTGGCCGTGGAAGACGGTAAACACGTTAGCCCTCCCTTCCCTTCCTACCATATGCCATATTTTCAATGTTTAAGGGTGTTGTTTGAAGACGTTCCTTATACCCCTCAATGGCGATTCCGATTCCGTTTATAGGGGTTTGACTCGGTTTCACTGGTCTTCATGGTTCTGGACTTGTCTTTTGTTTTTTTGTCATGATTCTGTTACGAGCAAAAAGTTTGTTAGGGCATTGCACATAGAAATGGAATGTTATACTTCTATCGTTATTCAATTTCTTTCATATTCATGCATTTCTGATAATAGGCAAGTATTACTTACGTACGAGGATGAAGTCCAGAAAGTTTGAATAAGTAGTAAATAGATCTAGAATGCAACAAAGATCATGCGTAGACCGAAAAGAAAAGACAGAATGGGGATCGGAAAAGGTGAACAAGCGATCTTAACGAGTGTTCTTTATGATGCAAGCATTTAATCGAGAATCGCTCCGCTGGTATGTCCCTCAGTGCCAACTGACTGCTTGAAACATGTGTCCAGGTGTGACTCCGACCCTAGGGCGACGAGGATACTTACCTGTCCGACAAGATAACGTCTATGTCGGTAGTAACAATGACACTTAGCTCCCATTTCTCATTCATCAACCATAGCCGTCTCATGCACTGTCATCTTCTTAGGAACCCTGAACATCCAGTAAAGAAAGCCTACACCAAGAATATTAAAACCAATGTAAATCCACATAATCCCAAAGTCCATCCATACATCATCAGGATTCGTCGCAGTCCCCGCAAGGAACTTATTCGTCTCGGAAATACGACAAAATGAGCAAGCACTAGTAGCAGAAGGATTCTCCACATAGCCGCCAGTAACACGAATGAAGTCGGCCAGATACTCACCACAAGTCATATCGGGCGTGGGTCAAAATGAAGGAATTCCTCCTTCAAGCATACAACATGACCACCTCCAACCGATGCAGATAGCAAACCTGATATCAGGTAATGGAAAGGAGAGATGCGGTACATGAATATCCAGAAACGTGGAAAAGCCCCAGGGCCAGCCAGTACAATGTCATAATCTCAAGCTGACTACTAAATGCATTGATGAGAATGGCGAAAAATAAAAGAGCACCTCGGGAGTAAAACGGAGAGGTGGTCATGGGCAGGTTATAGAAGATACTGCTGACGATTAAGACGATGGCGATATTGCTGATGACTGAAGTGATCAATAGGACCGGATCTGCAATCACACGGTTATAGCCTCGCCATAAGCAAAGCCTAATCTGTTGCCAGTAGAAAAGCGTGTATGGTGATTTTTGGCGCTGACATCTGGCTTGTTGAAGAGAGAGGGATTCTTGAAACGCATCAAAGTCCGGGCCACGCATGGGGTCATGATTGTATTGGTCAATCTCCACAAGAAGACTCTGTCGCTCTGGGCTTAATGCCCAGAGGCTGGCAAAGTCATCAGGTGTTCGTGGAGTCTGATTTTCGAACCCCTCTCGTACACGGCGTTCAATTGGCCTAGTCATCGATGTCAGGAAATCCGGCGTTATTTGACGCTCGGGACAGTCGAATCCCATCTTCTCAAAATATTCGAGAGCCTCATTCACGGGGCCGAAGAATATTTGCTGACCATGAGATTCTGCATAAAATTTTCGGTCACAGGGTAGTCGGTATTGCCAACGTGCGCCCCTTGATCTTCGGTTGATTGAATGGAGTCATGAAGCTCTGAAGTGGAACCCTCCGGGTTCCCCAGGTGGAAGGCAGAGAACTTCACGTTGCATGCCATGGATTTTCCACGTGTGTCTCTGAAGCAGCGAGTGGCCATATAACGGTGGGTGGTATGAAAGAGGTACTATGGCTAATTGTGGAAGAAAAGTAGTTGGAAAGTGTAGAAGTGCAAATGAGGAAGGAACTTGAAGCACCTTCCTCGCCACTGCCATTTACAAAAAGCGGTACTCAATTGAGTTGTATCATCACATGCAAATAGCTCTGTAATTGGGTAGGACAGACTTAGGAGAGTAACCGGTACTATAGCATCGGGGCGCTGAGATGCGTCGGCTCGTGCTGATGCCGTGTTCCGGGTATACAGACTGTCGGAGATTATGACATCCTACACTCCGGTAGTCACGCAGGCGGATATTTCTTGAGTCCTTTATCCGGCCTGGATATTGATCAGTTTCTATCGGTCGTTTGTTTCATGATAAAGCTTTTGCTGGATTACGCGGGAAGCAAGCATATCCATAATATGACACCGCTGATTTACTTAATGTGGAAAAATGACCTCGAGTATATGAGTCAGTAGCAATTGCAAGCAGCTTCCTTAGCTCGAGGGTTTTGGTAGATTGGTGAGGCTTGGAGGGGAAGACCAAAGCTCTAAGTAGTATCTATTGAACTCCATATTATTAGTACAGGACAACAACATTGAAAAACAGCAAGTCCTGTTCCCCGTATATGCGCAATTATGTATATGCACGCCTTTTTTTTTTTTTTTTGAAACCCAAGGCTGATCCCTCCGAGCCCCGTTCTATATTTCTGGAAATTGCAAATATTCTACAGGTGGGTTAAGGGGCACTTTTGAGCATCACGGATTGGGAACGAGGCTTCTTGACCTAGGGGAGAAGCGAGGTCTTGTCCCCACCTCTATATGCACTGTACGCACTCTTCTTATTGGCCCTGGGTCGCATCCGTCGAGCCCCGTTTCTTTTTTGGGGCGCTTTCTTTTTTTCCTTTTTTTAAAAAATAAATAAATAAATAGATAAATAAAACAAAACAAAAATTGGAGAGAGAGAAAGAGAGTATACATATACATGACGTTCGTGGATGATGATGTTGGAAAGCGTATTTTATGGCGAACATCAGAGGAAAGACATGTTTGCCCACTATTCTTATGCCCCTTATTTGGTCCACTTAAGGTTATAATCGCTATAAGAAGAGACTTTATCTATATGTCATGCACTAATTATTTAAGACTATTTAAGCATAGAACTAGGGTCAGATGCAGTAGCAGTTTATATCTAAATCTGTCGGCAGCTAAGCGGAGGTCTCTTTCCTAATTCGGGATAGTGGATCCATCTACCATTAGCTCCAGCTGCAGAATAACTAACGCTACGAAGTATCCTATGCCATGTGCCACATGGTGCTTCAATTATGCTTAGTGCTCAAGGTACATGGTATCCATTATCAAATCCGCTTTCGCATGCTAGTTTAATACCATGGATACCATCTACAGTACTGATCTTAGGTTAAAAGTCATCGGAATAGGGTATTCGATAAACAATCGGGTATCAAATTCACGCTCCTGAACGCATTCATACACACATCCTCCCATATCAAAACGAAGAAACTCCCTCATACAAGTACACCTGGTGCAGGATGAATGAGCTGACGACTGCGTCAAAGAATCATGTCGAATCAAAGAGGTTCAGAAAATAAATCATGGGGCCATGCAGCCACTCCAAACGCCAATCCCGTCCCAGTTCCAATGGGAGTACAAATCCTCCAAACTCCGTCGAAAAATGTGTATAGTTCATAGCCCCTCCCATAGGAGATCAGTAAATATAAGCAAATAAAAAGGTCGGTTCGGTTCGGTAAGGGTCGTTCCGCGTATTTCTCTTTGTTGTAGCATATTGCCCAACCGGAGGAGAGTTTGTTTTTGACTTTTCTGTTTCTATAAGGTCCCCAGTTCAGACCCTTGAACAAAGTTTCATGGATCTTCCTTGTGGGGATTATGTGGGGCGACTCCGACTGATCATGGAGAAGGTCGGGATTTGCCCAACCACGTCCGCCACCATTTGCACACACCCAGAACGGCGGCACGACCATCATCGTTCCGCTCTGTGCCATCTGGGTTTCCCATGACCATGGCAAAGACCCAGAATGCGGCGGCTGTCCAGGCGAAAAGAAGGATAGCGATGCTGAAGAAGGGGGAGAGGGTCAAGACGATTATTGACATGCCGACGGAATATAAGACGCTGGAATCGACGACCGGGACGGGTTCTTCACTGTCTGGGTCGGAGTGAATCCATTGTGTGGAGGAAGAGCGGTTGGAAGTAGGTGGGGGCATGCAGACGAGTCGTTCATGGATGTGAAGGACTGGAGAAAGGAGGTCGCATAGTTGGGTCCGGAAGGAGGTCTTTCGGAGGTATGGAGATACAGAACAAAGACGGAGAGGCGCGATCAGTATGGCGAAGATGATTGCGAAGAAGGTGTATATGCAGGCAGCGAAGGAGAAGAGTGGAACCGGAACAGATAACCGGAACTATATGGATCGTTAGCACGAGGGATCGATATCCCGTCTTCCAAGCGGACCAACTAACCAGCATCAGCAGCGCATCCTGGCCACCATCACTAGACGTAGCATCAGGAACGTTTCCTCGCTTCGGAACACGAGTTTGCTCCCCCGACATCAACGAAGGCTGCCAACTCCCCCGGGAACGTCCCTCCTTAGAGCCGTTGGCAACGGGAACCGGCTGGACAACCTCGTCCCCTACACGAGAGGCACGCCGAGACGTCTGTGGAGAGTGAGCGTGTGATCCCCGCGGGCCGGAGGTGCGGGGGCTCACGTCGTGAACCATCCACTCTGAGGAGCGCAGCGGCTTTGGATGTGATAATTCAGGGCGTCCCGAGTGGATCAAGGGAGGGGGTATAGTAACGACGGGGCCTTGGGCCTGGTGATAGGCAGGACTATATGACATCTCCGGCGGCGACATGATTGAGTCTGAAAGTCAAGACGAGAGGGCCGAGAGTTGTACAGGCGCACAGCGGGCTAAGGTGTATAAGGCTCACGGCATGATCTCCCCAAGGGCGTCATCCACTCACGCGTGCGGATAGGTGACCAGTATCCCATTCGGTGAGAGGGTAAGGGCGGAAAGGGAGACTTATAGGACGGAGGAGCAGCGGAAGGACCAGGGAGGGCCATGGCAGCGGAGGAAACAGGTGCTGTTTGCAGTTGCGCTTCGCCAAGGCGCCCAGATGCCGAGCCCTTGGCATTTGGGAAAAAGGGTTGAGGCTGCATCATTATTGCTCAAGTTGCTTTCCAGCGTGTTTTCTTGCTTGTGCGTTCCTTGTGGAGGGTTGACTTGGATTGTCATTCTCTATGTTCTCTATTTTTTTCCATTTATGCAGAGCTTATCCCATAGTCGTAATATCATCCTCGTAGGTTGGACAAGCTGTGTGCCACGGTGTCGCAATAGGATATTTTACCAATCGCCAAGATGCCAAGGCGCACTTCGGATGACCAGCTCATATTGTCAATGGTGATTGGTTGAACGGTGTGTGATCCGCACCTGCGGCGACTTGGCGTTTCCTGGTAATGCAATACGAGTGGTCTACACAGCTGTAAATTACAACACGATTCAATCACTATTGAGACGGTAGTGAAGTGGTATTGCCCGAGTATCCACCAGAAATCTTCATCATCTTCGAGATACATACTATTCCTTCAGGGCTATTTAAAGTATTTAAAGTATTAAACTAATCCAATGCATTTCCCATGCACCCGTATAGCTCATAACATACACTGTCTCGGACCCTGTCGTGGCTTCCACACCGAAACAACACTGGGATCTGCCCAGCATGCCCAGACGCCGAGAGATTGGCATCCTTTTGACTTCGGAGAAAAGAGAAAATTCTTTCGCTGGGCACATTGGCATTCTTGTGGTGTTCAGGTTCCAATATTTATTAGGTAAACTCTTCCCCAGCATGGTAAGCTGAGAGTAGATCTAAGCCCTGCATGATTTGCTGCAACTCCTACATAGGAGACATAAACAGAGTGAATCGCTGTCGCAGGGACTCAATCCAAACACTGTAGCAACGGGTTAAGATCCTGCCAGTTCCCGAGTCGATCAGGGTCACTTTACGTCTTGGCTTCCCCTCCCCTGGCCCGCGCTCCTCAACTCCGTAATTTTATTCTCTGGTCCCTGGTGTCCCCCAACACCTTGGTCGGCTTGGTGTTAACATTAAATTCCTCGGCAAGGCTCATACTGTAATCACGACCGTTCAAAGACTCGGAAATGCAGGCTTCTGGGCACTCTTGGCTAGTCTTTCACAATACGAGGCTTGCGCGGCCTCCATCAATATGAGAGTAACGGTAGCGTTGTCACCTCGGGACTTATCAACCCCGCGGCAAGCCACCCATCTCGGTTATGACGGCCCCGACGCCATTGTTCGGTCTGGGTATCCCTATTTGCCCTTGTGTTCGGTTTTATCAGGTGGCGGACTCGGGGGCTTATATCGCGGTCGATCAGTTGCAAGCACGCAATGCGGTGGATTGGTCATAATTAATGTGCGTCTCTCCCGAGTGGGAAATCACCCCAGGTTCCATTGTGTACGGAATATAGATTTCAAGGATTAGGCATATGTATTTACCTCCCTCGTGGGGATCCCGACCGCCTTGTTTGCCGTGGAGGTCAGCCAATCAGCGCATCCCTAAATCAGTGACAATCACAAGAAAAGGTTCAGGTTAGTCAGATTCATGCAGTACTATTGGCATGGGAATCCTGACTGATCGAACATCATTCGCGCTGCGTGCTAAGGCGGGTTTGGAGTAAATATGAGCCCCTTGAAACCATCTCGTCGGGAATACTGCATGAAACAAACCAATAGCACTGCACCAACCTAACACCCTTCGATATCAAGTGGACCCTTAATCCCAAACATGTGGAAGGTCAAGACATATCAGAATTCAAATCAAATTCAAATGCATTGCCTTGCAATCAATATGATCTCTCCATCTGTAGATCAGGTTTGCCGGCATGCTCGGGGCCCTACAGGAGATCCCTTGCGGCATGCTCTGCGGAGAAGATCATGGCCCCCTGCTTCCTGTCAGAGTCAGACCTGCAGCCGGAGCAGTGGATAGAGATAATTTAAGTAAACATTGGGGGCCGTGGATTAAGCCTGTAGCCTGTGGCCCCCCGGGGCTGACGGTCGCATCCTTGCCCGAAAAAGCAATGGCACTCTCTGTCATAAGCCGCGGGAAGGCGCATGGTTCGTCTTGGGGGCTGAAGGATCGGAGCGATGAAAAATGAAGACGAATTCTTTTTCTAGGAGATCAAATGGTCCTGGCCCGTGCGGGTTGTTTTCATTGCATTTGATTAAAGTTCACCGGCATTTGTCATGTCTGGTGGCGGGTGGATTTGATAACTTCGATCTGGTGGAAAGAGGGTTTAATGAAAGACAATGAGGCGTCGGTATGTAACGGATCAATGAATGGATAATCTCATTCAGAGATGGATCCGATTTGACAGCGGTCCCAGCCGCACTGGGACAAGGCCCGGAAGATATGCAATCCGGAGCCCAGAAACTTCAAAAGTAATATTCCCTTTGCATATACTTTTCTTTTCTTCTTTGAACTAGCAGCCGGAATCTCGTCCCAAGTGCCGGTAGACCCTCCCCCTTTCCGGTCGCGTGGACGTTTGTCATAGACGCCTTGGTGGAGCCAGGAATGAGGCAACAGACCAACAGTTCAGGAATGCCAGGTTTACATGATTGAGTTCCCTTGTGGATCACTACAGTTGCAGTGGTTCTCGAGTTAAATCCGAGTAGACAGCTACATACTATAACCTTGGAACAAAAAATCATACTTCCATCAAAATGGAGTCTAATAAAGTTCAAGGGCCCGTTGCCATGGCTATATATTTCCCCTCATAGCCATCACAACCAACCCCAGTAGGTCTCCTCGTTTGTGGCTGCAGCCTGCAGCCACCGGGGAATCGATGAGACTAGATCGATTAGCAAATCAACCAGCCCACATTTGTGCCTTATCTACAAAGTGTATGCAAGCCCCGTGTCGAGTCCAGACGGGATAACCAGGGCGCGATTATTAGCGCCCTATGGCGGGATTTGTTTATTTTCATTTCATTTTATTCTTTTTTTGGGGAAGGCGGGGGGCACTCTTTTCCGAGAACAGGTCATGCACTACATTACTTACCTGGAAAGCCAATGCTTACCAGGTCGCAGTGCCTGATTTATCCCCTGTGAGTTGGGTCGGTCGCACGACAGGGATTTTCAGAAGTACTGAGCCTTTGGATTTTTATTCTTCACCAATCCTAAGGTTTCTTGATGACCCGTTGGTCATAGGGGCTGTTTGTTTTGGTTGGGTAAAATTTCTATTAATTCATGTTCAAACGTTTCTTATTCAAGTTGTACCGATTCATATCAAGTGAGGGAATTGGGCTGGTATGGAACCGCTACATGCAACACTACGTAACTATATAGGGAAGTTTACCTAATGTAGGACGACCGCGGTCCAGTGCGTATAGAAAGCTTGAATCCAAGCCGGTTCTCATTTCCAGGCTTCTATCAAGGTATTATCCCTGATATAGAGTGAAGAGGATTAGATATATCATAGAGCTGGCTGGGGATCCGCGATCGCATTGGATCTCGCGCCCGTGAATGGAAATTCCATCTAAGCCCTACCTTGATGCGTGTTGCACCGTCCCACCAACCATGCCAGACAAAAAAAGGCTTCCATGAAGCCAGGGTACGGAAGATAAATAGCAGACGATTAGCTTCAGTGGCTGGAGTATGGGATATGGAAATTGTATGAAAAAGAAACCCTTACATAATCCCCGGCTCCGAACCTGTCTCCACAGTGGACTCCCGGAGTAAGCTATGCGCGCGGCTGATGTCTACGTTTTCAGGTGGAGTTCCACCTTAAAAAAAAATAATCCCGGATCATGCTGACCGAGTCCCCCTGGTGGATTCTGATCTGTATGCATTGGTGACGACTGCTGCAGGGATATAGAGGGAACACTAGATCCGATACACGGAGAAGCAGAGTTTGACAGCCCTGATGATGCGGGTAAACATGGCGCATGTTGGGGAAATTTCCCAGCGACCGTGTAACCCACGAGTGTCCTCCGGAAGATTGGGGAAGAGAATTCTAGAGGGAGGCATACTTTTGTTCTTTTTGTATTTTCTTTTTTTTCTAAGCACATTGGAACTCTCTACAAGTACATGTACTTAGTGTTTCACAAACCTCTTACGACGTAACGGCGACGGCTCGGCTAGGCAAACCCTGAGAACCCGAAATCAAATTTGGGGCAGCAAAAAGACTAAAAAAGGAATTATAATTTTGAAAAGAAAAAATAATTAAAAAAAAAAAAAAAAAAACGAGGTGCGTCTCCACGGGTGGAGCCACATTCACCGAGTCCCAGGCTGACGACATGGGTTCTGCCGATCGAAGGTTCTGCTGGATGCGGCAGGGGTGTGGGAACCAGAATCAGGAATCGGGGGCGTTTTGGGGGGGGGGGGGGAAGGTATGATTTGTGCTGGAGGAAAAAAATGGAAAATTAGGAAAGAGAAAGGGGGTGCATTGTCACATCCCCACTGTGTATCAAGATCATCGTTGGACATCCACTGGTATGCGGCAAAAGGGTGGCTTCTCTCTGTGGCTGAGAAAGGAGAGAAATCAAACGTGTGGAGGAGAAGGCTAGACTGAATGCGGTAAGTGTCTGTTGTGCCTTATACTAGTTCCAGAGCATGGGTTTTTTTTAGGATTTGTGGCTTGATAGACTACCGAAATGCTACTCTTCTAAAATAAACCAAATGTGCCATGTACCCGCACCTCGTATGCTCAATCATGATGACGGAAGGGGCGAAATGCACGGGTGGAGGATGACTCCCGTGGTATGCCAAAACCCTGCAGATGAGAGAAATGCCAAAGGGAACAGAGTCCTGCAGCAGGGCAGAAGTAGATACGGTACAGAGTACATACATAAAACATGTATAATATAGATAAAAAAGAAAAGATAAAATTAATCGATATGCATGATGCCGGGTTGAGTTGACCGGAAGAAAAGAGCGGAGTTGAACTCCCCTGGTCTAGGGAGCTGGGCCAGGCGCACGGTCCAACATGCCGGGTCTTAGCTTAGGCCCTTGACCGGGTTAGGCTAAAGTCGGAGTGGCACGGAGAACAGTCACACTAACGCACCTTAGGACCACGGGGGGAGCCCACCCCGAGAGACCCACTGGGGCGCCACTCGGCCTAACCGGGGGTTCGTAAATCTTAAGTATCCTTTGAATCTCGAGATCATTATATCCACGAGGAGGAGCAAGGGGAGCTCTCCCATAGATGCTCAAGTCTATATCTTCAGTGACCATTAATTGAATTATAGTCATTCATGATAAGATCAGGTCATGCCCCACACCGTTGATGAAAGCCCAATCCACGGCATCATAACCGCCTCCAGATCGGCCCCACCGCGCTAATCCCAAAATAGGTCACAAAGCTCTTTGGGAATTAAAATCGATTTTTCATTTTTCCGTGTGTGGGTTGTTGGTGGGTGTCGCTGATGTCGCTGGTGTCGCTGGTGTCTGTGGTGACGGCCGACAGCTGCACAACCACTAGCGCCTCTTGGCAAATTTCACACCTTTCCTGCCAGCCCCTCGACTCTTTTCCCCTTCCCCGATTCTCTCCTTCTACACCTCGTTTACCCCAGAACCTCCCTTTAACCTTTTCCCTGCTTTGTCCTTCCTTTTTTTTTCATTCGCTTCTAGGTGTGGGCATCTTCCCTCTTCCCCCCCACACCCACCTTCTTCCCCCAATCTTTCATCTTCCCCAAAGAGTAGGCACGCTACTCTTTACCCGAGGGGATCGTCAACCATCAACCGCGAACTGGTGTCGCCGGTCTTCATCGGTCTTGCGATCCTGTGCGACTAAATCGAAGCGACCTTCGGAATAATTCAAACCGTTAAATCCCTTCATCCTCTGGTCACCCCGGTGGATTGCATCATTGTGTCGCAACGCCCGACATCTTTGGGTCGCAACACGGGTCTAAAGTGAATCTCAACCATACCGAATTGATCATTGATCATTGATCATGTCTCATACCCAACCCTCCCCGACCGCGAGTGTCGCCCACCATCAGGCGCACATGGCGACACACCAGCAGGTCAATGGACACATGCCGCCGATGCCGGCGCAAGGCCAGAAAGCCGTTTCTCTCACCACCGCCCAGAAGATCACCGCGCTTAATGAGCAGGTGTGGCTTCACATTGGTATGATTCCGTGGAAAGTTCGCGACGCGATCGGATATACTGACTTTCGTGTTTACAGGCAGCTTGACTGAGTTGATGGGAGATTTGGATGGCTCAATGAACGCGTATGAACAGGCTTTGCGCCACAACCAATGGTCTGTGCCGGCCATGAATGCGATCTCCTGCATTCTCCGGACAAAGGAGCAGTTTCCCAAGGCGATCGAGTACCTGCAGAACATCTTGAAGCTTGACCCATCTAGCGGTGAGACTTGGGGCAGTTTGGGCCACTGCCACCTGATGATGGACAACCTGCAGGAGGCCTACACTTCATACCAGCAGGCTTTGTATCACCTGCGCGATCCTAAGGTAAATTTCCCCATACGTGTCTGTAAGTGGACATAGCTCATTTTTTTTCTAGGAACCCAAGCTGTGGTACGGAATCGGTATACTATACGATCGCTACGGTTCTCTCGACCACGCCGAGGAGGCTTTCTCGCAGGTTATGCGCATGGCCCCAGAGTTCGAAAAAGCCAATGAGATCTATTTCCGTCTCGGTATCATTTATAAGCAACAGCAGAAGTTTAGCCAGAGTCTCGAGGTGCGTTCAATAATAAAAAAAAAAAAAAAAAATTGCGGAATGAGTCGACTGACATCAATTAGTGCTTCAAATACATTGTCAACGACCCCCCACGTCCCCTGACCGAGGAGGATATTTGGTTCCAAATTGGCCATGTTCACGAGCAACAGAAGGACGTAAGTCATGACTCACTTGGGTTGCGCCAGTCATTGGATGATGCTAATGGTTTTGTTTCAGTTCGATTCCGCTCAAGCCGCTTATCGACGTGTTCTCGATCGGGATCCCAACCACGCCAAAGTCCTTCAACAGCTGGGATGGCTCTACCACCAGCAAAGCACGAGCTACCAAAGCCAGGATAAGGCGATTGAGTTCCTGGAGAAGTCGGTTAGCGCAGATAACAACGATGCCCAGAGTTGGTACCTTTTGGGTCGCTGCTACATGTCGCAAGCCAAATACCCCAAGGCCTACGAAGCCTACCAACAAGCCGTTTACCGCGACGGACGCAACCCTACCTTCTGGTGTTCGATTGGTGTTCTCTACTACCAGATCAACCAGTACCGGGATGCGCTCGACGCCTATTCTCGTGCTATCCGCTTGAACCCATACATCTCGGAGGTCTGGTACGATCTGGGCACTTTGTACGAATCGTGCAACAACCAGATTGCGGACGCGCTCGACGCGTACGGTCGCGCCGCTGATCTTGATCCCAGCAACGTCCACATCAAGGCTCGTCTGCAGCTGCTCCAGAGCCAAATGTCTGGTTCTGGTCAGCAAGGCACCGCCCCCGCACCGCAGCCACAGGACGTCCACCCTCAGGCTTACCAGGCTCCCGGTGTTGGTCAACCCCCCGCTCCTCAATGGGGTGCTCCAGCTCCGATCGGCCCGCCACCGCAGGCGCCTGCCCCCCCTCGCCAGATCGAGAGCTGGAACCGTGGCATCAATGACCTGCAGTCGCAAGGCCCCGCTCCTGCCAATGGTCTGGAGGCGCGTGATGCTCCTCGTATTCCCGGTGCTGCTCCCCAAGCTAGCCCTCGCCAAGAGCCTGGTCGCGCTTTCCCTGACCCTCGTGGTCTGGCCCGCTCGCCGAAGATGGGTGGCCCTGGTGCCTACCCTCCCCCGCACACCTTGCCTCAGTTGGGAAATGGCCCAGCCCCCGGCCATGAACGTGCCCCCAGTGGCGGCAACGGCTTTAACCCTGTTGCCAGAGGCCCCGGTCTGCCTCCCGCTCCCGGTGCCGCCCCCCTGCTGGTCCGAACGGTGGGGCTCCTCCCGTTGTTGCCGGTGCTACTGGTGCTGCCCCTCCTCCATACCACCGTCCTTTCACACCCCCAACTGAGATTCGTCCTCTTCGTGATGAACGTCCTTCTTCTCCTGGATCGGGCTACCCCCACCAGGCCTTCCACACTGGCCCTCACCACCCCCCTGGCCCAGGTATGCCTGCTCCAGGTGTCAATGCGCAGTCCAGCATTGATGGCGGTGCTCCTGCCCCTGCGGCTGCGGCTGCTGCTGCCGAAGCTGCTGCTCGTGAGCGGGGCGAAGATCGTCCTGCCTCTGCGATGAAGCGTGGCCGTGAATGGGAGGAGACTGGCCCGGTCAAGAAGTTGGCCAACGAGGAAAGCCGAGCGCGTCTAGATGATCAGAACAGCCGCCGCCCGAGCCCACCTTCCCACATGCCATCTCCCGGTGAGATGCAACGCCGCAGTTCCTCGGAGGCTCGTCGCGAAGATGCACGTCGAGCTAATGAAAACTATCACCCCTCCGAAGCTGCCCACCACCCTCCTACCCTGCCCTCCATCCAGAACATGCCACCTCACGCTGCCGGTGGCCCCAGCCTCCCCCCATGGCTGAGAGCGCTGGTCCTGCCCCTAACGGCCCTCCTTCTGCCCCTCCCTCGGCCAACACCCCGGTCAAGGAGGAGTCCCGTCGCCCGGAAGCTCCTTCGTCTCACGAGCCCCCAGCTCGCAAGATGGACGTTGATGAGGACTACGATGATGACGTGGACGAGGAGAAAAAGGCTGCCGTCGCAGTCAAGGGCAGTCCCAATGGCAGTGCCTCTGGCGCCAATGGTAACGGAGTTGCCAGCAATGGCCGTCCCGGTACTCCCTCGAAGACTGAGTCCTCGTGAGAAATAAAATAAAAGAACATACCGGTCGTTCTGTCATCTTTCTTGCTTGTCTGGCGCTTTCGTGGCTACTATTTTCCCCCCTATGTCCTTTTTACACCCTATCCCCCTTTTTCAATTGCGTGATGTATGGTATGAACGTGTCGTGTGTTTCTGACCTCTCTCATCGGCCAGAAGGTACTGGACCGGAGAGTGGTCTTGTGCCTGTATTCACTCTCTTACTGCTCTGATGAATTTCCTCGTTTCTTTTCCTCTGTGAATTTTTCTCTCTACGGTGCTAAGGCATCTTTGTGACAGCCAATTTTAACCCATTTCAAATGATTTTATGAATGTAGATTTTTGTTCAGTCCATTTCCCCCGTGCCACGTAGCACAGCGTATGACAGTAGATTAATCGTGGGTAGTAGTACAAACTACATAGTCCGTGCCACAGCCCTGGCGTAGCCCTGAGTAGTCAGCAGGCCCACTTCCAGAGAACTTTTCCACAAGTGGGCTCCTTGCACGTGACCTCACATGACTGGGTCCACACTTCGGAAAAACCAGTCGCTTATCCAAAATGGGAAGCCGCCTCGCTTAGGTCAGCCCACACTCGTCTAGCGTGCAAAATACACCTCTCCAACACTTTTAGATCGTCACTCTACCACCTCGACGACGACTAACGACACCAGGGTCAAGATGTAAGTCACCCCCAATGTGATACTGCAAGACATCTATCAATGCAATTGCTAATTTATCTTTTCCATCAGGAGTCACCGGAAGTTCGAAGCGCCCCGCCACGGTTCGTGATCAACTTTTCATCCTCAACAAAATTCGACATCCCATTGTGCGGTTATACTGATTATACGATTACAGGTTCTCTGGCCTACCTGCCGCGCAAGCGCGCTGCCCGCTACCGCGGAAAGGTTAAGAGGTGAGTGAGATTGTTGGAATGCTGCGACAATGAAAAGTTTTTTTTTGCGGAGTTCAAGGTATACTGATACACGTTGTGCGCCAGCTTCCCCAAGGATGACGCCAAGAAGCCCGTTCACCTCACTGCCACCATGGGCTACAAGGCCGGTATGACCACCGTCGTCCGTGACCTTGACCGTCCCGGTGCCAAGATGCACAAGAAGGAGATCGTCGAGGCCGCTACCGTCATCGAGACCCCTCCCGTACGTTTTGTGTGAGCCCTGAAAATTTTCGGATTTGCCTTTCTAACCTGTCTTTTTCTTTAGCTTGTCGCTGTTGGTGTTGTCGGTTACATCGAGACTCCCCGTGGTCTCCGCTCTCTCACCACTGTCTGGGCTGAGCACCTGAGCGACGAGGTCAAGCGTCGCTTCTACAAGAACTGGTACAAGTCCAAGAAGAAGGCTTTCACCAAGTACTCCAAGCAGCACGCCGAGAACTCCGGTGCCTCCGTCACCCGCGAGCTTGAGCGCATCAAGAAGTACTGCACTGTCGTCCGTGTCCTTGCCCACACCCAGATCCGCAAGACCCCCATCAAGCAGAAGAAGGCCCACCTTATGGAGATCCAGGTCAACGGTGGCGCTGTCGCCGACAAGGTTGACTTTGCCCGCAACCTCTTCGAGAAGACCATCGACATCGACAGCATCTTCGAGAAGGACGAGATGATTGATGTCATCGCCGTCACCAAGGGTCACGGTTTCTCCGGTGTCACCTCCCGTTGGGGTACCACCAAGCTTCCCCGTAAGACCCACAAGGGTCTGCGTAAGGTCGCCTGTATTGGTGCTTGGCACCCTAACCACGTCCAGTGGACCGTTGCCCGTGCTGGTCAGGACGGATACCACCACCGTACCTCCTGCAACCACAAGGTCTTCCGCATCGGAAAGGCCGATGACGAGGCCTCCGCCTCCACCGAGTTCGACATCTCCAAGAAGCAGATCACCCCGTATGTTTACTCACATTCTAAACTGATCGAACGCAAGACTAATATTTCTACAGCATGGGTGGTTTCGTTCACTACGGTGAGGTCAAGAACGACTGGATCCTGCTCAAGGGTTCCGTCCCCGGTGTCAAGAAGCGTGTCATGACTCTGCGCAAGACTCTGTACCCCCAGACCAACCGCAGGGCCACTGAGAAGGTCGAGCTCAAGTGGATCGACACTTCCTCCAAGTTCGGTCACGGTGCTTTCCAGACCTTCGAGGAGAAGCGTGGTTTCCTTGGTACCCTCAAGAAGGACCTCGTCACCGAGGTTTAAGATGTTTCGATGTTTGGTCGGTGATAGGTGCAATTTTCAAGTTCAATCAAAAAAAGCGAACAATACTTTTTTACGAATGGTAGCTTGGATAATGATCTTATGATCAGATTTCTCGTAGTTCAGCTGTAGTCTCCACATTCTCCACGTACCTTAAGCAGAAGCACTGGGGTACTCTCATTGTTTACGCTCATACACATGTGGCCTTAAAGTTTTGGCATTACTGTCAAATTACACTCTAGACGTACTCGGTCATATCTAAACGCGATGACGGCAAAGCCTGCCGGGCAAGAAATTGATATTAAATCATCGAGGAACTTATGGCTAAACTGCCATTTGAAGCAAGTGGTTCAACTTTGGTGGGCGTATGTTGAATTTCAGGGGCATTTACCTTTGTTTGGATGCTTTCATGTAGAGGTATACACCGGTGGGATATATACATGGATGGCGGTTGAGGCAACCACGTGTGAAGGGGTGTGGGGGTGTCAAAGTTCGAAGTTTCATGGAGGGTCAAAAAGATATCCCAGGAAGACAAGGGGATTGAATTTTCAATGGGAAAAGTGGAGGGGGAATGCCAAAAGTATTGGCATTGTTCCCTGAAGTATTACTTCCTCCTCTCCAAATCAACAATCCAATACGTGTGGTCGAGTTGGGTAAATCCTCACCACTGCCAGTTGGGGCACACCAGGTTAGCCGTCGGGACCTGCGATGTACGTATTGGATAGACCGGGAAACATCACCCAGTGGCAGACCTTGGGGTCCCCCTGGGATTGATGTTTGCTATTTTTGAAAAATGGAATAGCTAGATATTGATCTGCTGGATCCATAATTCAAATCCGTTTTCTGAATATGTAGATATGTAGAGTGTTATATGGAAAAGAAGTTTTGGCTGAGTTTCCGGGCGATGCAGATGAGGCTATTCACAATGTACCTCTGAGGTATTGAGAGAATCAATAGGTCCATGGTTCGAATCCCATTGACGCCAAATGACAAAAATTAATTTATGGCTTTTTTGATTGAATAGTCCGAGATCATCAGCTACCAGAAAAAGGTGGTAGACATTACTTATCCCAAAGTGGATTCAATACTGAGATGTAAACTGTTTGGATATATACATACCGTACAGGGCAATGAAGATGAAGCAGAACATGTCAACAACGCTCCAAAGTCTGGAATATATTTCACCCTCCAACCAACGGATCTTTTACTCTGCTCCATAATTGATTTTTCCAAGATCTTTTTCTCTGTCGTCAATATCCACGCTCCCAACCTTACCCGTGAGACATGCGGGCCACGATCCATTGCGTCATTTCCCTTTCTCCAATTACACCTGCACAGCTTCACCAAAACCAGATGCTCTTACGCTCCTTCCCACCAGCCACCTACGTTTTCCGTTTATCAACATACAACAAAACTCGACGCCGCCTAATCACCTCTCTCAACAGCCTCCCACAAAAAACCTATTCCACCGATAGCAAACCGCGACCCCTCCACTCCCCCGCAAACCTAAGCTTGCAAAAACTCACTCCGCCTCGACGCTCACCCTTCTCCACATCCCACATCATGTCTTCCGACGATGCCTACATGGACTTTCTAAACAAGGCGAATGCCGACCACAGCGCCGGCCAAAAAGTCTCGACGCAAGGGGCCAAGACTCGGACTGTAGATGACAGCCTCAAGGTCCCGTCCTCGCTGCAGCAGGTTGAGGCATATTATGTTTCGGAGTCGGATGAACCTTTTGAGCCTGTGGTTTTGCGGTTCAAGGATGCTGCGAAGGGTGAATGGCCCAGCGCTGGTACGTTGACTGTGTATCCCTTGTCCTCCCCTACATCGATGGTGGCCCAGGGATTCATTCTATGGGGATGCATCTATGAACGCATATTTACCCTACGAGCTCGATCCCTCGTGCTAGAGAACCTTGAAACAGACTCGCTAACCCTGCTGTCACTTCCAGATGACCTCTCCTCCCTGATCTCGCCCGACGCCGATATCTCAGGGCAGATTTCGACCCTTGATACATCCTCCTTTGACCCTCGCAAAGAGTACACTAAGGTCCTGCAGGCGGTGCAGAAAGCGACCGAGGAGAGTGATCCGGATATCAAGGTTTATCGTGTTCAGCGTAGTAGTTCCACTGTGGAGTACTATGTGCTGGCACTGGATTCGGCTGAGGGGGGCCGGATTGTTGGACTGTTTGCCAAGAGTGTTGAGACCTAATTTGATTGGGATTTTTGCTTTCAAGTTCATGAACGGGTGGATATGAGGGGATATCACACCATGATGTTGGACATATGGATGATCTGATCTACGAAATACACGACGCATATCATTAGCAATCGTTGATCTGCTGGGAGACCGGCTTTCCTTTCCCATTTAAGTATAGTGTGTGATTTCCTGTAAAAGCTAGGGAATGTACACTGCCGAGTTGAGGCCATTTTGACAGGCTATTGTTCGGAGATCATGGCATTCTTGACGGTTGGGATAGAGTAGCGGGACGCGTGGTCGGGAATGGCTGTGTTCCCGAGTCACTGTAGCTGTATGGGGTGTAATTGTGAAATAATATAGAGTATCGTCTAGGAGCTAATACATTAACTAGGAAATTGTGGATGAGTCTCATGAAAAGTGGGCAACTGGCCGACAGATCACAGTCGTCTAGAGTGACCTGCCATCGAATGTCCCCACTTCAACTACAACGGATCTCTATACTCCTGCACTCTTCAACAGCAGCACCGTCATTGGTCAGAGCTACAAATCACTCAACTCCAGTAAGATGCCATACCCCCGGATTCCAGAGTATTGTAGCAGCATTCATGCCTCTTCATTCCTCGCTGCCCGGGAGGTGGTCGGGAATGTACCACACCCTACAATGGCCCTTCGCCAGGATGAAGAACCGCGATGCAGGCACAACCACCAACAGCCCTGTCAAAAGCATTGACTGTCCCCAGCTGTGGACGGCACAGTGTCAATCCATCCAAATCAATCTCACAAAAGAGCTATACTCTGTTTTCCAGCCGCAGAGTCACCCAACGGGTCGTCTACATACCACGGGTTGCCGGTTGCCCCCTTGGGAAGGCCTGTCATTCCTCTCCCCTCGTGCACCCAAACAACAATCCCTCGGGCGCAATCTAGGCTCTTCTTTTCTTCTAGTCTAGCGCTCTTGTGTTCTTCCCTCATTGTCTCTACTATACCTACGCTCTATCTACCGCCCACACGCTCTCGGGGACATTGGATACAGTCCAAGTGGTCCTGTCCACTCTTTCGCTTCTAGCGCACTAAGCGACCGTGCCTCGCGTTGCCACTCGGTCTTTACCTTAGGGATAGGTGCTTGGTGTGGGTGAACGTTCAAAACGGAAGAGGGCTTCAGAGCGATCCGTGATCCAAAAACACCAACCATCTACACGCACATATCGAGAAGCTTAATGCTTGGATCAACCGCACCTTGAATAGATTAGGACGGTAGAAGGAAGGAAAGATCGTATTGATCGTTCCTTGTTGGTATAGGAATCGAAAGCAAGGGCTTCACAGAAAGATATCATCCGATGACGGACCGGCATTCGGATTCGCTGCGACCTGACATGCCTCACATCAGACTCAACTCGGGTCGTCATGACCCATTCACTGAGTCTGATGAAGGCTACGCACCGCTCACTGGCCGGACCTTGCCTCGGCCTTTGACACCAGCGGCTGTTGAGTTACCTGGCCCGGCAGTTGGGGCTCAGGGTATCTCCCCGTATGGAATCTCACAAGCCCCGGAATCATCAGAATTTCTTCTTCCGCCTAGGTTACGACCAACACCACGCGATGACTCGGAGCGGTCTGGTTCACCTGATCGCTGGTCGGCGGCTGGGTCGAGTGTTAGCTCGATGAGTCGTGATAGCCGTTACATGATAGATCCATTTGATGATCATTCGAGGGAGCCTTTGACGCGTTCTGGGAGCGACGACTACGATATGAACACACAAACTGTGTCGGAGAAGTTTAATATCACACCGTCTGATGGGCTGTTGCTGTTTCCTGAAGATGTTGAGAAGGATGACTACCTGCATAACCCGGACCCGTTAGACAAAGATCGTGATTGCGACATCTGGAATCGTCGTGGTGTCATGAACATGGGTGGGTTGGCGCTTTTGACAGTGGGAATTTTGGTGCTTTTTATTGGATATCCCGTTATGTATGTGTTTGTCGAGGTTTGATATACTGGTTTGATGCTGACTTCAATGGACTTAGAACATGGGTGGAAGGTGTCCTCAAGCCCAAGGATGTTTGCCGTCCTGGTGATATGCTCTGTCTTGACGTGGGGGACAGGCCTCTTTTGAATAACATTCGACACGGATTAATTGATCCCGACACACCAAAGGAGGCTCTCACAAAGATGAGTTCGGAAGGGAAAGAGTTGAAACTAGTGGTAAGTTAATTTGTTCAAATTGTCGGGGAGTGTCTTCATCTAACTTCAATAGTTCTCGGATGAATTCAATATGCCCGGAAGAACATTTTATGACGAGGATGACCCGTTCTTCCAAGCGGTAGACTTGTGGTATGGTGTGACTATGGACAAGGAGGTCAGTTATGTCGATGAGTGGAATCTCTGAATCACACTAACTCTAGATAGTGGTATGACCCCGACGCAGTTACCACGAACGAAGGTGTTTTGGAAATCAGATTTGACGACTTCAAAAACCACGGCGTTGCATACAGATCTGGCATGCTTCAAAGTTGGAACAAACTTTGCTTCAAGGGTGGTCGCCTGGAGGCCAGCTTATCCCTTCCCGGTGATGGCCACATCGAGGGTTTCTGGCCTGGTTTCTGGGCAATGGGTAATCTTGCTCGTCCAGGTTACGCGGCTACTACAGATGGTTTGTGGCCATACAGCTACCACGATGGGTGTGATGCGGGTATCACACCAAACCAGAGCTCTCTAGATGGAATCAGCTTCCTGCCTGGCATGCGTCTACCAGGATGTGCTTGTCCCGGCTCTGATCACCCATCTCCAGGTCGTGCTCGCAGTGCTCCCGAGATTGATGTGATCGAAGGTAGCACACAGCCCCTGTATGGCGCCGCAGGTGGTCCATTCGTCGGTAGTGCGTCTCAAAGTTTACAAATTGCGCCTTTTGATCTCTGGTACATGCCAGACTATGGTGCGTGCAAACATCCCCAGTCCCCTGCATCTCAACCAAACTAAATCAAGCCTATTAGATTTCGCTGCTGTATATGACCCTCGTATCACGCAAGTCAACGCCTACCGTGGAGGCCCTTACCAGCAAGCAATGTCCGGCCTATCAAACCTCAATTCGCGCTGGTACAACGGCACAGAATACCAAGTCTACGCCTTCGAGTACGAACCAGGCGAGAAAGGAAACGTGACCTGGTTCATCGGTGCAGACAAGTCATGGACCATAGATGCCCGCTCCATCGGTCCAAACGGCAATATCGGTCAGCGTGCGATTCCTCTCGAACCCATGTCCATCGTTATGAACTTGGGTATGGCGGATAATTTCGCCCCACAAAACCATTCCATTCGCGAGTACATGCCTGCCTATCTACGGATCGATTATGTTCGCATTTACCAGGATCCTGATGATGTGCTCGTTACTTGTGATCCTCCTGGCTATGAGACGACACAGTATATTAAGGATCACCAAAAAGCCTACGATAATAATAACCTGACTAGTTGGTATGTTTCCCTCAAGTGATGTTTTTTTTTGAGCTTTGCTGACTTCTTCCCAGGAAAGAAACTGGGTACCATTGGCCCAAGAATAGCTATATGAATACTTGTTGAGCATGTGTGACTTTCTAGGTTGTTTTGCGTCGTTTTAGCGGCATCGTGTTTTGGCGTTTGGTGGTTTAGGCATTTTTCTTTCTACTATTTTTACTATTCCAGGTGTCAAACTCGACCCCTGCTAAATTTCACTCTTCTTCCACATTTCCATCTCTCCCTTCTGTCCTTTTCTTCCTTTCCTTTTCTTCTTTTCCTTTTCTTTCTTCCTTCCGTAAACCACATTGTTGTTTGAACTGTAGGGCTGAGTCAGCAGTTCCCCTCCGCTCTCATAGCGTCACCAACATCTAGCTCTACAACCTTTTGATTGTGTCCAACGACACAGTCAAGCATATCTCTGAATCTATGTTTAGCCGTATCGCGGTAAGCGGAGCTCAAAGTACCTCAAATCCCTTTGTCTTACATTCCACACAGGTACCAGTGCACCGAAGGATGAACCCAGCACCAAGACCCAATGCACCCAACGTGCAAATCGAATATGGCATAGAAGATTTTTCTGAAGAGGAATTTTCAGAAGCCGACTCAGATGGCGGAATGTACCTCGACGCGCCTGATCAAGCAGCCGCACTTGAATACACTCATCCGCGCCCAATCCCGCAGGCATTACGCGATGGTACGTACCCCTTCCACCTGTGCACACAAAGCTAACGATCCACAGCAAATGATTTCTCAACTCTAGCTCCTGGTCCGAATAGCTATGTTCAGCAGCCGGGCTCGGCTGGTTCTAGAAATGCGGTGGCGGGAGATGCGACAAAACCTAAACCGCGGTCGAGACTTAGTGGCGAGGAACATGCTGCTTTGACTGTTTTGAATGATGAGGAGTTACTTACCATGTATGCGTTGAAGTCTGGTCGTGTAAGTTCTGTCTTTGCCCATTCCCAGACTCTACTATACTGTTGGACTGGTCGTGTTGTATCAATTTATACTAACTTGCGTAGACACTACCACAAACACGCCGCCGTTTTCAGGCGAAACTCATTGCGAATGGAGACCGTGATTTAGAGGAAGAGCTTTTTGCTGCTCGCTTCGCTGTCCCGGCTTCCAAGGCTCATCTTGTTCCGGCGTTGAATCCTATTGTTGTTGGACCTGGGGCTCCGGAGCAGGCTCTTGGTCTTAATAATACGACGGCTTATCTTGTGCCTGCTACGTGGAAGGAGCTTGTTGATCATGATGAGAGTGGGTGGTGGGCGCCTGGGCAGAAACCGAGGGCTGATGGGGGTGGGAGGAGGGGTAGGAAGAGTGGAGGCAGGAATAGTAGGGGTGGGTCTGGGGAAGTATCGAGGTCTGGTTCTGCTTCTAGGGACTGAGATTGATTTTTTTTTTGTACTCCCGGGTGTTGGTGGTGTATACACTTTTTTTGCTTCTGATAGCGTGTTCAATGCATGAATCCTATAATGTGACTTACCTCGACCCAGTATCGGGTCTCCCTACTTGAGAACATTCTTAAGTACATTCCTTCTGGCTATCAACTATATCTGACTATACTAGGGTTTGAAGTTGGGTCAACGGATCTATGAACTTGAATGGCTAGTCTGACTTAGACAGTTTAGACGTTTAAAATAACCTTGAAATGAATTCACGGGTAAATACTGCCCTTGCAGTTAACCTGTCGTATATGTGCACGCTAATATAAAAATACAAGAACCAGAACCAGAACCAGACCAAATCCGACCATATCCCATCAGAAAAGAGGTAAAACAAGTAAGAAACAAATGACCATGATGAATGATCATGAACAAGGTAGAGGTAGAGAAATAAACGAGGTAGGGAACGGAGTAGATAGATCGGGATCAGGAAGGGTATGAGGAGGATGAGGATGAGTGTGAGAGCAATGGGTATCTCGAACGGACAAAACCAACGGATTCTGGCTTCTGTTTTTCTGTTTTATGTTTTTTTGGCGGGTTTTGTGTGTTTGCTTGATTTTGTGCAGTGGAATCCCTTATGTACCGGGTCAGATCGGGAGCCATCCCCGTGCTGAACTTAGACTGTGAACTGTTGCAGATACAACAGAAAACAGCACTTGAGATATTCAATAGAGTAAGTAGGCGAGAAGAGATCAGGTTACATCTCTTTCTCTCCTCTTTGCCGTTGTTCCGCGTGGAACAAACTCTCCGCATCTCCCACCTGCTTACGTTCCGAGACTTCTCGACTGCGTATGCGGGTGCGATGGGCCTGGACGTTCATGGGCGTCAGTCCTCGAGGCGGCGCGGGCTGGGGTTCCGGTTCACCGTAGAAGGGGTGTAGGCGGTGCGAGGTCGTGGGCCGGACCCGGCCGTCTCTCATGACGGGTAATTGTCATTGCAGGGGTTCCGAGCTTGAAGACAGACGGTTCAGATGAAGGTAGACGTCAGTTCCGTATCTAGAGGAGGATTTAGTGGAGATTTCAAAGAGCGGATTGAACGCGTATAGCTTACCCTTCCATACTGATCAGCTTCAAGTCACCACCGAAGTAGCGGGCGTACAGTCGACTGATTGGCAGTCCGTAACCGAAACCGGCCATTGGAGCCTTGAAGTCGCTCTTGTCAAAATCCGGGTCTAGGTTCGGGGTCTGCTCCACGGTCGTGTACATGTAGGTCCAGACGAGGGGAATGGCGGATCGGGGGATGCCGCCGCCCTCATCCGAGACCTTGATCGTGATATCTTCCTTGCCCTCGGCCACAATCACCTTGGTCACGGGAAACTGGTCCCGGTCGGCACCGTGTCGCTCAACGACGGCCCGCAGAGAGTTCTTCAGGGTTTCGAAGAGCATGTGAGAAAGGTGACCCGGAACATACATGAAGTTCAAGTCTTCTCGGCAGACCAGCTGGACCTTGGGCGACTCGAACAGACCATAGTAGTCCTCACAAACGAAGCGGGCATTCTCAATGGCTTCCAGCGCGATATCCCGCACGTTGGTTTTGGTGCAAATTATTCCAACGTAGTGCGGGTGTTTGATGTGCGTTTGTTCCGTGAGTGCAATGTGTTGACCAATTAACATTCGTATACCGATTCGAGACATATAGAAGCGATCTAAGAAGGACTGGATCGTAGAGTCGATCTGCATGCGCTGTCGCACGCGCTTCCATTCCAGAATACCTTGGGCCACAGTGGTAACGACGCCATCGTGACGCCGCTTGATCTGTTGCAGGGTTTTGGCGAATCGTTGATTATAATCATTGAGCTCTGGTGGCCATTCCGCATGGTCATCCGCAGGCACAAAGTACCGCCGGCCTGTTGCGGCAGCTTTCCCATTGCCATTGCCATTGCCATTGGGGACAATCGGAGAGGACCGGTATTGGCCTTCCTTCACACTGGGGTTCATAGTAGCCTCGGAGAGAATTTTGGAGTGGCCATTCAGGCGGCCCGGTCGCAATAGGCGGGTTTTGACTTCTTGAGTCAGAGAGGGTCGGGGGAGGTTAATGATTTCCTGGGAACACGTGAGTCATACGATACTCGCAGATGAGAGAAAAAAAAAATAACAAGAGGAAATTCGAATGATAGAAATGAAGGTGAATGGAGAAAAGAAGAATCTAATACATACCTCGAATGATTGCGCATACCAATCCTGAACTTTCTTGATGGAGGGCATCTCGCTGAGCCCATCCGGTAACTCACCGAGATCCTGGACTCGGTGCGCCAGGCGAATGGGAAGCTCCTCGGAGAGGAATTGCGAAGCACGGAAGAGAGTTCCTGGACCACATCAGTACGGATCGAAGCATTCATCGCACAGCTGCATACCGGTGGATGGACGGTCGCCAAACTGGACCATCTGGCGCAGTGAGACACCGGTTGCGGGGAAGCTGGCATAGTGCCTGATGGTTTCCATCAGGCGCTCCGACGGCTTCCACATAGTTAGAATGAGGGCCAGTGGCCAGTGGACGGGGTGAGAAAAGGATAACTCTCTTGAATCCGGGGAAGTGTGGAGGTTGTAGAGAGTCGCGTGCGAGGGGAATGAGTAATAGAGTCGGGACGACTCGCACTGCCGAGGTTGAGCCCGTTCCGACGCCGGAAAGTGAAATCGCCGATTTAGGCTCAGATGACCTCGTCTTGCACACCGGCAATTTAAATAAGCGAATTCGATGATTTCATTGGTCTGACCAGATCAATGATTGACTTCCTCCTGGGACGATGGCCATTGTTATATCTCCAGAGCGCACCGGCAATGTCTAAGTCCGGCGGACCCCGTTGCTCTCCTGCAGACCAGCGCCAGTACATCACTACGTAAGGCGTGCCCTACGTAAATCGATGTCACACCCCGGATCTCCCCTTTCGTCCGGACGTGGGGCGTCACATGATATCGTACTTTTGTCGCCGGTCTGCGAGTGCGTTCTCCCTTTTCCTCCCTGATTGGGGTGTATCTGTTTCCTACAAAGGGCCCCGCCGTTGGGCATGATGATGCCAAAATGCATCCGACCTCTTATTCGCCGCTCACTTCATTTGAAGATTCCTTCGACGGTGGAACCTAACTCGCTTCTGTTTTGTGCGTCTTTTAAAAACCCTGTATAGGATCAATGTAATTATTTACGACATTTACACCATTTCCTTCGTTTCCCTATTTTTCCCAATCTCACTGCCAAACCCTAAAAGTGCATCTAAGCTTAAGCGCGAACGACTCGGAACAAAGCCGGGCCCTCCTTCTGGGTCCTTGAGACAGATATATATAAAATCAGATCCAAAACTTGATTGGTACCCACGTGGCCTTGTTCCTTTATCAGGACTCATCTCCCTTCAATAAATGGGAAAATTGAATCATGTCTCGCCGTCGCACCTCCTATAGTGACATGAACGAGGCTGTCGCGTACCCCTTCACCAGCCAACCCCCGCCAACCCCTCAAGCTCGTCGCGGTCCGATCGAAGGTCCCAATGGCCGTCGTCTCATCCGCCGCGTTACCTGGCGCTCGTCCACCTACAAGCTTATGGCTTCCTTGTGGGTGTTAGGCGTCCTTTACATCCTGTGGTTGATTCGTGACCTTTTCTATCTCCCCTTCGACTCACAGTCCACCCCACCTGTCCCTGCCGAGTGACCTGCGCCCCCCTCGTGCGCGGGAACAAGTGGGCCGAGGGACGTAGGGACTCGAGGAGAAAAGAGGCGTTCGCACGAGTCTGATCGGATCTGACGGGGATTTTGTTTTACATTGTTTTATTTTTATTTTTTTTTTTCCCTTGACTTCGTCCGTGTGCATTGATGGCATGATTGTCATGTTTGCTCCACTTTGACCCCGGAGAAGAATGAATAAACAGGGAGAGAGGGACGCACCTGACTTGTTTCTCTTCCAAGCTGAGGGGCACAAATGATCGTCCTGCTCGGCTGTCTTTCCCATCCCACTGTCATTCGAGTTTATGTGGCGAGTGGATACACGGCCTGCGCGGAGTGCATCCCCAGCCAACCGGGTCTGGTCCAGCCGATGCATCTCAAGAATTCAATTCCACGTTTGAGTCGCCGATACTACATACCCGGGGAAAACATCGACAATGAACCCGGAATGATCAATGGACCAGGGGTTCGAATCCTTGAGCCTTGGTTTCCTTGGGGTTCTCTCTGGTCATTTGCTTGTCTAGCGTTCCATTTGCATATAGCGATCTCTCCCCGGGACTGCATTGCCAGCGCCCCGGTGCTTTCAGCTGTTATTTCATTTCTGCATATTCATTTCTGCATATACAAAGTGGTGAAAATTGATCGCAAGTTAGACTGGGCGGGCTTTTTGTGTTCTTCTGCATGTCAGCTATCGGTGATTTAGCTGCTTTAATGGTTAATTGATTCTTGATTTCTGATGTATCCAAAGGTCGATTGTGTAAAAAGTCGACTGAAAACCGGAGGTATTGATCTCATTTTTTCATATCTCATAGAACTGGGCAACTATACAAAACTCCTAGCCTTTATGACGAAGCGACCCAACGTCGCCCTTTTCTGACCAAACGGCCCATCACGATGGAAACACATATATACCTAGGAGAGACCTAAGGGCAGATTAAACGTAAAGAGCAGAGGTTTCGGCCTTGGCAACCTCAGCGGCATACGGCTTAAGAGCAGCGGCCACTTCAGTGGTGGTGAACTTCTGCACCTGCTCGGGGGCACGACCGACAAAGGTGCTGGCGTCAAGGAGGCTGTCGAGCTCGGGGATGATGGGAGCGAAGAAGGGGGTGCGGCGGATACGCTCGAGGAGGTCGTTGTTCTTGCCGTGCTTCTTGACGTTGTCGGAGGCTTGGTGGGAGAGAACACCTAGAGCAAGAGTATGGTTAGAGGGGAAGAAAGACTAGGAGAAGGGGATGAAACGTACGGATCTCTTCGTGGGCATCCTGGCGGGAAAGACCCTTCTTGACACAGGCCATGATGACGTTCTCACTAGACAAGATGTGAGCTTCAATAATTTCAGTGGAGGATTTGTAACTTACGTGGCCATGAAGGGAAGCTCGTCGTTGACACGGCGCTTGATGACCTCGGGGTAAACGACAAAGCCGGAGCTGACGTTATCTAGAGCAGGATTAGGATCATTCAAATCAATGACCAAGGGAGTGAAACGAACTCAGCAGGATAAGACAGGCGTCAGCACACAGGTAAAGCTCGGGAATGCTGATACGGCGGATGGCGCTGTCGTCGAGCGAGCGCTCAAACCACTGAGCGGAGTAGGTGTCAAGGGCGTCCTTGGGCAGGTTCTGCAGGTGACGTCCAAGAGAGCACAGACGCTCAGAACGCATAGGGTTACGCTTGTAAGCCTGCAAATGTTTAGCTGGTCATTCATGGCTCAACAATAACCAGGCAGATTACTCACCATGGCACTGCTGCCAATCTGATCCTTCTCAAAAGGCTCTTCAACCTCCTTGAGCATAGCCAAGTGACGAATGTCAATACCGATGCGCTCACAGGTGGAGCCAAAGGAGCCGAGAGCGTTGGCAACATCGACATCGATCTTGCGGGAGTAGGTCTGACTGGAGATGATGAAGGCGGAGCTGAAGCCAGCCTTCTCAGTGACAAGCTCATCAAGACGCTCCACCTTGGCGTGGTCACCCTCGAAGATCTGGAGGAAGGAAGCCTGAGTACCGGTCGTACCCTTGACACCACGGAAACGCAGGTCATCACGGGCGCGCTCAAGGTTACGCAGATCCATCAGGAGATCTTGAATCCAGAGACAAGCACGCTTGCCAACGGTGACCAGCTGAGCGGGCTGACCGTGGGTGAAGCCCAAGCAGGGCAAATCCTTGTACTGCTGGGCAAACTGGGACAGCTTGTCAACGACAACGGCCAGCTTGGGGATCAGGATATCAAGACCGTCCCGGAGAAGGATCAGGTCAGCGTTATCAGTGCAGTAGCATGAGGTAGCACCCCAGTGAATGATACCGGCAGCAGCGGGAGCGACCAGACCGAAGGCGTGAACGTGGGCCATGACATCGTGCCTGCGGCGCTTCTCCTCCTCGGCGGCAACGGCGAACTCGTCGTCCTGGATGGTGGCGTGAGCCTTCATCTGCTCAATCGCCTCCTCGGTGATAGGAAGTCCAAGCTCTATAGAAGCAAGACCCAGTCAATTGATGTTTGGCTTCCCATGTAGATTCAAGCTATCCATCTATCTGTTGTCGTACCTTTCTGGGACTCGGCCAGCCAGATCCAAAGCTTGCGCCAGGTGGAGAAACGCATGCGAGGAGAGAAGAGATACTTCATCTCCGGGCCTGTTTGATTGGGATCAGGTTAAAATCATCTTGGTTCTATCCCCGGAATTCAGCCCGCTCATTGGCGGGATGGTGGGGTGATGGACATACTCGAGTAGCGCGAGTTGAGGGGGGTCTGGTAGACATCGTTGCTGGCAGACATGATGTCGGTTGTCTGTGAGGATCACCTGAAAGATGAATTGAACGGTAAAACCGACAGATAGATGAAGGACGAGACTGTGTGCAATGTGCGAAGTCGGATGCAATTTTTGTTGCTGGGCTTAGCGGGGCTTATCACGTTATCGTAGAGTTGGACATTTGGTGGGGCAAGGGATCACGTGTAGACTATGTAGATCAATTTTCGAATATCTCAACCATGGATATGCAATTATTAGGTCATTATTGGCTGGCAAAAAATATCTATAAAGTACTTATGATGAAAGTTGGGCCAATTGCACCGACAGATTCGACTTGTCGTACTTGATGTACTTCCCGCGGCCCTTGTCAATCTCCACATAACGGTCATAGAAACGGGCATATAGCGGCTCAAGAACCGCCTGCAATTCTCGTCCCAGCACCGAGCGCACTTCTCTTTCCATGTGAAGGGGCTTGTGTCGGGAAAGCATTTCATCGAAGCTAGCATTGAACGACTTGAACTTGTCCTTGATCGCATCTTTGTCTTTCGACGACAAGCTCTTCACAATGGTGCTGGAATCCACAGCGCCCCCCGAATTGGGTCGTGCCCCGGAGCGGGAGGTGTACTGCACATCCAGCAGGAATTGTGATGTCTCCTTCCATGCGTCAAGGTAGGTTGATGTAGCACGCTTGCGGAATGTGTCGATACGGGCAATGCTGTCCGGAGCGCCCAAGTAGCGCGCTAATTCAGGGCTTTGTCGGATCGACCGATCGACAATACAGAAGACATTGGACAAGAACACGCCCAAAGCAGCTTTTGAACGATGGAAGGTCCGACCACGAGCCTCCAACGCGGTCATTAAAGATTCAATCATATCCAAAATGAAGTGGGAGAAAAGGGTGCCGCTGTCCGGCCCGACATCCAGGGGAGCTGTTCCAGCGGTACTTGACTTAGAGCGCCAGTTGCCATCACCCAAAGAGGTTAAAATGGATGCCAAGGGCCCCGAGTAACCAGTCAACGTGGCAAGGGAGTTCATGACTTCCTCAACCAGGGGAACAGATCCACCATCTGGAGGCAAGGCCACGGTGGCTGCCTTGCGTTTTGTCTCCTCGAGCAGCTCAGATAGGGAGGATTTGGCGGTTTCACGCACAGGCCGAAGCGCCTCTATTAACAGACCCTTCAACTCTGCAGTCTTTGAATCGATACGATAGGACATTGCTGTCACAATCTCGATGATTTCGAATGCAAGGAAACAGTCAGTCATGAGGTTTTGCCGGATATATAGGTTGAGTTCGCGGAGGGTCTTGGAGTATTCTCCCATTGCCGAGAGGAAGGTGGCTTGCAAAACAAGCCCTTGCTGATCACCAGGGAACAATTGGACAATGATTTCATGCTCAATATTGATGAATGCTTCCAATGCGTTTGAGTAGATCCCAATACCGTTGGTTCCTTGTTTGTATGGACCATCGGTCGGTCTTCGCTTGACAGTATTGAGAGATGCAATGGATAAATTCTGTAGGCCAAAAGTAATATACGGCCCGCGCACCTCGGCATAAATCTTCATTGCAGGGTTCTCCCCTTTGCTGCGCTGGGGGCCCAAGGCGGATGCGGAGGTAATCGCAGCACATAGTGGGGCCAGCTGTGAGAGTGTTTCTTCGGGAATGGATGGGAAAGGGAGTTCTATGATATATTGGGCATTAGCTTCTTGCCCGTTTATTGAGCAACGTCTCTCAATGGCAAGACATACCTTTGGTGAGATAGTGTAGCGGTTCAATTGGGGTGACATGTTGCTGCAGTTCAGATCGGAGCATTTCTTGTAATTGGCTGCTGCCAGTACTAAGTAGTGAATTGAACTCTGCGATTGCTTTCTGGTTCGACCGAAGGTTCGTTGTGTTGAGGTCGACCAGCGCCTTTTCAACACGTTTCATCGCCGACAGGTATTGTGAAAGGCCGGAACTCTGCGGTCTATACAGCAAGCCAGTTAGCTTATTTGACATGGATCTTAGTCGCTCCTCTCTTCGTACTAGGCACATACCCTGCGCGAATGACGCCCTCCTCTCGACTCTTCGCGTCGAGAGGCTGGCGGAGACGGTCAATGGCATCGTTGACCTTGTCGATATTGGTGTTGGTAATTTGAAGAGATTGTGTGTTACTATAGATTGGGCCAATGGCCTCCTTGACCACTTTACCACTTGTCTCCAGGCGGACCATAGACCCTTGAATCTTTTTGGTGAGGCGGTTGAGCTTCTCGAGGTTGGCGTAGAGCACCTCGACCTCTGCGCTCTCCTCCGCATACGCAGTATTCCGGGGGGCTACCATGACGATTGCTCAAAATAATCAAAGGAAAGAGAGGGTATCACCAAGAGCTGTCATGTGCGCCCGTGTGGGGTCCACAGGGGATGATGTTCGTTACCTCAGATAAGCTCCGCCCCCAGCAGTTCAGATACACGCGCTAATCCACAACTTGGTGCCTCGGCCCGTCTGTGCTTCCGTGTCACATGATATGAGGTCATCCCCCGCGGTATAAACCAGATATTCCGGAGTTGGTAGTTGCTTGCATGCAGACTGCAGCTTCTAATTCTTACTTCCTCGCGACAATGGGTGCTGCAAGCGCCTCACGTCTGCGCTGGACAGTACCCCCAGCGGCAATTGCGGCTTATACTGCGGGTCAATGGACGCAGCCTAGCAGGCGTCCCCAGAAAACCAACTTCTCCACATCTTCTACTCATCACGACGCCAATTCAAAGTCTCGGAGCCATTCCTCGGGCGAAAATGATCCACAGACGACTGAGAATCAAGGATCCGTTTGGGCGAATATTGTACAGAAACTTGATGAAGTGAAACATACTGTTGGGGTACCAGAGTGGGGTGAACTAGGGGGAGGCATTACAAACTACATTGTCCCCGATTGGGCGCGATTGCTACCAGCGACAGTCCAGAAGCTCCAGCGTGAGCTTTCAGTGGCACCTGGGTCTCTGGCCGACGAAATTTGGAAGGAAGCACATGATCCAGACGCCAATCCAGAGATCCTGAAAAATGCCAAGGTGCGGGTGAGCGGAGACCTCTGTCAGGAAGAGAAAGAATTTCGAAACAAAAGACAGCAGCATGCCGTCAAAGCACTGGCATCATATCTTAATCTCTCCGAAGGCGACATTCATCCTGACGATGTACCCGTGATCGCCATGTGCGGGTCCGGTGGTGGACTACGGGCCCTAGTTGCCGGGACTGGGTCATATCTAGCTGCACAGGAGTCTGGCCTGTGGGATTGTGTCACCTACACTGCAGGAGTCAGTGGTAGCTGTTGGCTGCAAACTCTATACCATTCCTCAATCTCAGGTAGGAATTTTGATAAGCTCGTCGACCATCTGAAAAGCCGGCTGGATGTACACATTGCTTTCCCGCCAAAAGCGCTGAACCTCCTTACCACTGCCCCAACCAACAAGTACCTCCTTGGTGGGTTGGTTGAGAAACTCAAGGGGGACCCTGGCGCAGATTTTGGGCTTGTCGACATATATGGTCTCCTGCTTGCGGCACGGCTGATGGTTCCTCGAGGAGAACTGGGTGTATTAGACTCTGATCTCAAGTTATCCAGCCAACAAGCAAACCTTCTCAGTGGCGAGCATCCTATGCCTATATACACCGCTGTGCGACATGAAATTCCCATGATTGAGGATAATGACGAGGGCAAGCGTGCGATGCCCGAGGAGATGATGAGGAAAGCAAACCGCGAAGCTTGGTTCCAGTGGTTTGAGTTCACACCGTACGAGTTCTTTTGTGAGGAACTCAATGCCGGTATTCCGACCTGGGCTTTAGGACGACACTTCCAAGGTGGAGAGAGTCAAATATCCCCCGGGAACTTTCCCATCCCCGAATTACGGGTTCCAGGTTTAATGGGAATATGGGGAAGTGCCTTTTGCGCAACTCTGTCTCATTACTACAAAGAAATCCGGCCTCTGGTGGCAGGTCTTACCGGATTCGGTGGAATCGATTCTCTTATCCAAGGCAAAAATAAAGATTTGATCCGAGTCCACCCTATTGACCCGGCCACCATTCCCAATTACGTGATGGGAATGAAAGATCAACTGCCTGACTCGTGCCCGGAGTCCATCTTCCAGAGCAGTCATCTTCGTCTTATGGATGCTGGCATGAGCAACAACCTTCCGATCTACCCGCTTCTCAGACCAGGACGAGATGTTGACATTGTTGTCGCCTTTGATGCGTCTGCCGACATCAAACGTGAGAACTGGCTTTCGGTCGTAGACGGTTATGCCAAGCAGCGCGGAATCAAGGGCTGGCCTGTGGGCGCTGGATGGCCCCAAAAGGGTGACAGCCTGGAAGCCACAGAAGAAGCCCTGCGTGAGCCACAGAATATCACAGAGGACAAAGTAAACCGGAAGATGACCGAAGTCCAAAACAAATTTGAAAATCGGCTCGACTCCTCAAAAAATACCGGTTCTGGCAAGGACGAGTCCGACCTAGACTATTGTAATGTTTGGGTTGGCACGACAGAGGAACGGACCTCCAAGGACGAACCGCCGCCATCCAAGCGTCTTTTCTACCGCGAGAATGCCACCGATCACTCCGACGAAGACTTCCACCTTATGCGGCCAGATGCTGGTATCGCCGTGGTCTACTTCCCTCTCATCCCCAACCCATCGGCCCCTCAACTTCCACCTGTTAATAACAACCGACCTCTTGCGGCTGCCCATTCTATCCAGTCCCAAGCCAAGGACGAAGAAGAGAAGGGCCCGACACCTCACCCTAATACCATTGACCCTGATGTGGACGACTTCTTGTCTACCTGGAACTTCGTCTACACCCCTGAACAAATTGACTCGGTTGTGGGGTTGGCGAAAGCCAATTATTCCGAGGGTGATGAACAGGTGCGCCGAGTTGTTCGCGCAGTCTATGAGCGCCGAAAAGCTGATCGATTGCGTCGAGAGGAAGAAGAGACGCGCAAACGTATGGAGGGATTTGTACCCCTATAGATACTGTACTGATAAGGCATAAGTGATTGGCGCCATCCTGGGTTATTCGACGCATTCTGTCTACATTTTCAAATTTTTTTTCAAATTTTTTTTTCTTTTTTTATTTGTTCAAATGTTCGCTGCCTAGTTGGGGACGACATACGCGGAAGTATTCCAAGATTGAATGAATAATATACATAGAACTAGAGATCGAGACTGCACTATATTACAACATGATCATAAAGCAAGTACAAGTCCCTAAAAGATCCAAAAGTCAATTCAGTGAGACCTGGAGCTGAACCTGGGTTGTCAATTGCGCCGGGGCCCACCCTGAACTTGGGCATAGATGGTCATCGGCGCGTATTTTTGCAAAGCATCACTTCATCCCTATGAATTAGCTATCACCTTCTATTTGCTACACAGCATTTTCAGCGTAATCAAACTGACCAGACTCTTGTATAGCAAGAAACTAAGAGTGGTTTTCCTTTTCAACGACTAGGTATAGAAAATGCCCAAGGCTCAATCATCATTTAGTCTAGTTCATGTCACCTCTTTTGATAGTCCCTAGCTCATACTTACAATTCAGCGACACGTTACCCCGGACCTCCCCTTTGAGTGTAAGAAAGTACATTGAAGAAAAATACGGTCTGCAGAGTACATAGAATCTTGTCGATGTACGGATCTTTCCTTCGTGATTCATAACATTCATGTGAAGACTATCCATATACTGTCTATGATGCATGCTAATAACGAAAGGTATCTTATACCTTGTATACCACTTCACCCCTCTTCCTGTCCATTCTTGAAATAAGATCTAACACCCTCTATCTCCCCGTTCCCATTCCCATTCCCCTTGCCCTGAGCCACCCGTCCCTCATCAACAGCCCTTCCCTCGTCTTCACTCCCAGCCAGACTGACATCCTTACTCGCATCAGTCTGCTGCCTTAATCCCAATTGCCTCTCCAACTCCTGGACTGACTCCTCATCACGCGCGGACTCTTTAGTAGGCACAGGTGAGCTGGTATCAGTCGAAGCAGGTGCTGTCTCTGAAACACCACGTTCCGGCAATGGAGGTTTATTTTCCTCACCCTCTTTCTCCGCACGGTTCTGTCGCCAATCTGCTGCGTGGCTTTCAATAATCGGCTCGCCGGGCTTCGGTTCGCTGATTGGTCGTCCAGTGCTGTCGGTTCGAACAGTCTCCGGATACCGCCATACAACCTTCAATCGCTCCAATGCGCGGATTCCCTTCCTTGCACTGCCTTTGATTCCGTCCATTGCTTCCCACTCTATTTCGAATACGCCCGAGTTGTGCTCATCGCCGCCTTCGAAGTAGGGGTTGAACCATACGTGCGCGACAGATGTTACCATTGCGAAGCCAGTATATGATGCCTTGCTGCGTCGTTCGAAGTCGATGTTCACATCGGAACCGGGTACAATCAGAGGAGTTTCTGGTCTGAAGACTGCGGCGGATAGTGTGCCTGATGGGGAAATGGTTGATCGGCGTGCAAATTCTGTTTCTGGGGAGATATCGGTTTGTGAGGAATTTGGTGACGGGGCCCACGTTGCGGCTGAAACGGGTCCATTCGTAGCTGCATCTGTTTTCCCAGTTTCCCCATTCACCTCTTTTGCGGGTGTCGTGTTACCCGATTCGATGACCGTTCGTTCACGCCGATGGAACATATGGATGCATTTCCGCTTCTTGCCTTCATCTATGTACCCCTCCACCGCAACCTTGACGCCATCGCGCATGCCCCAAACGTGGACCTCGAGAATCTCCACCGGACGCTCAATATATACTTTGTTCAACTGATTCGTCCACCGATCGATGTAATCCACATACCGGAGCTGACTCGGGATGCTAACGCCAGCACCGAACCCGACACGCATACGTCGGTCTGTGAACCGTTGTAGTGCATCTTCTTTTTTCCATCCTTCTTGACTTATCAAGTATGCCGTGGCGATTGTCCCGCTGCGTCCTTTGCCAGCTTTACAGTGGACGACTATGACCCGGTCGCTCGACGAGTCTGTCTTCTTCGCGTCTGACTTTTGTTCGGTTGACTCTGACTCTTTTTGCTCGTCTAGTCGGTGCAGCCAGTTTCGCATGCTGCCCATGATATTGGGGATCAGGGCGAAGGGCGGTGGGTGGTGATCTGGCCATGGGAAATGGTGGATTCGTCCATAGACCTCTGAGTCGGGGTATCCTGTTCCTTCAGCGCGGAATTCCCAGATACACCAATTCGAGCCATGCCTTGAGTCGAGGAAGGTCACGAGGGCATCGAGGGGGTTGCGGTAAGCTCGTTGGGGGTAGGTCCCCGAAGGGCCGGAGGTAGCGATGACTAGGATTGTGAGTTTTTGCCGCAAGTGTTGAGATCGATGAACATACTATTATCGGTCACATAGCACAAATCGAGATTCGCTTCTGGATGCTGTAATCTAGGTCCAGCGACAATTTGGCGGAGAATCGAGGACTGCGGAGAAGGATTGAGATCAGTCTTTGTTCCGCCAGCTGTAGCCAATGGGGCGTTACCATTTTCTTCGCCGGTCATGAGCTGGTAAAGCGATGCTGGGAATACTATGACATGAATTAAAGATGTTGATAGGATTTCAGATAGTTAAGGAACTTGTTATACAGAACACGAGAGTTGTTGCCAATCGAGAGATCGGGATTGAGGCGCAGTCGATGATGTCACAGCATAACGAAGAATTAAGAATTAAGGAATTTCGGAATTGTACCTGGCAGTGGCATGTAAATCTTGTTTTTGTCAACCTTAGTATACATAAATCTACCGCCTATATACAATAATTTGGCGGACTATGATTTTCCCTGAAAAGGCGAGAAAAAAGAGGTCATAAGGAGTGGAAGCGCCCGCAGAGAAGAAAAGAAGAAAAGGACCCTGAAACGCCAATCATAGACATTTCATACCGGAATTCAAGCCCAACGCCCATTACCAGACCAATGTAGCCGAGATCCTAACCGAGAAGAGATTTTCTTAAAAGAAAGGAAAGTAGAGTTCACGTCCACCACTTTACGCGACACCGTAGAACAGGGTGGGTGTGATGGTGAAGTTGCTCGCCGTGTTGCTCACGTTCTTCGAGCCGGATTGCCAGTAGGTCTGCTCGGATTCGCCCGCAGGGAAGAGGTGCCACTCGTGCGTGACAGCGACATTCCAGAGAGGGTGTGTCTGCTCAGTGACGGTCGCGGTGATGTTCTTGTCATCGCAGGCGGTGGCATTGGGGACGATACCCTCGCAATGGGTCTTGAAACCAGGGGAGTTGGCAGTTGCAGCACCAGCAATGTTGAAGGAGTAGACGGTGCCGCCAGAGCTGACGATTTGCCAGTTGGTGACCTTCCAGGTGGAGGGCTGGGCGAGAGAAGCCGCATTGGCCAAGCCCAAGGAGAGGAGGGCAGGGAGGAGAGTAGAGAATTGCATGTTTAGGTGTGATAATTGGGGAAAGTTAGAGTAGTGGTAATGTACAAGAGAGGAAGCAGAGAGAGGAAGAAGGGAGATAGATTTAAGTTAAGACAAGTTTGAACGGGGTTGGGAAAAATGAGGTATGGAACCTTGGGAAGCAAGCAAGCGGAAACACTTCTCCCCTTCTCACATTTACTCCGTAATCCCCTCGATCTCCACTCTTTGTTCGCAATGACCCACATCGTGTCGATCTCTCGCCTTCAGGGGATGCCAACTCAATCGCCCATGCATCGAATCATCTATTCCCAACCACCCGGGGGCTGAAAAGGGCTGGCTTGGAGGCGTTGGGCGTCGGATAGTGCTACAGGGTCTCATTGTCTGACAGATCGCACCGGGGTCCAGCTTAGTATGTTTCAAATATTTCAAAGCAAGATTTGTGCATTACAACCGTGGTGGAGTACGACTGACAACCAATGGTTCCAGAAGTGGAGACACAGCCCTGGCGATCTTGGTTTGCGGATTTAGTGAAACGGCGAGAACGCCCAAGGTTCAGTTGGCTCTCGGCGAAAAACCGATTGATTTTTCGTTTGGTACGGAAGAATTTAATGTACATTGTTTGTTTCTATGGTACAGTCGAATATGCCAGATCCAGATTTTGAAGTTTTGTGATGTGCCTCTTTGTACGCATCCTTCCACGTTGTTCTGGGTCGGAAAGAAAATGTGATGCCTGATGCATGATACCGCATGGTCTGAGACATCCCGATCACGAGCTCCCGAGAACCTGTTCCCTGTAGTTATCCTGAAACAGACCTAAGCTTCAGCCTCGGCCTCGGCCTTTCGCGCAATCGCCTGGTGTCGTCGCTTGTTTTGTCGCCGCTTCTTATTCCAGGCGATGCGATCTTCGTCCGAGAGCGTTTGCCGCCGATACGCGGCCCGCACCCAAGGTCGACCATAGCGACGATGTCCGGTCTCATCTGCTTTATTGCTAGACTTGTCCAGGGTCTCTTCATCTACAATGTGGTCCGGCAGGGCAGGACGCTCCACGGCTTGTACCGCTGGGTGATGTTGGAGTCGCACTGCAAACTCGTGCACGGATTGGGAACAAATATCGCGGATCTGCTTTCGAGTTCCATCGCTGACTTCATCGCCCCGATCCAGCAGGTCTCGGAGGTACATGTATGCCGATTGGTAGTTGCGAGCATCGAGACACATCAAGATGAGCGATTCAAAGGTAGTGGCGTCCGGGATAACGCCAAAGGACGCCATCTCTTTCACGAGGAAGAGACCTGACTGTCGGTTCTGGCCATGCCGGCACATCCGAATCAAGCTGTTATAGACGCGAACGTCGGCGCCCTCGGGGCACACAGTATAGAGTTCTTTGTAGAAGCCCACTGCGTCATCGACCACTGACGGGTCATCATGGGCCAAGTGCTCACAGAGCTCGGCAATGATACGGACGCAGCCGATAGGAATCTCTCGCTTATCGTTCTTCAGGTGTTTGAGCATCTGCCACGCTTCACGGGGATCGGTATTATGCTTGATCATGTGGGAGACCACGGACTCGGTCGAGCGCTCCAGAGGGGCAAGTCCGAGGTCGTGCATCGTACAGAGCAGCCTAAATGTGGCGACAAGATCCCCAGAATGCAAGTATATCTCCATGAGAACATGATAATCTTGGGCCTTCAAGGGAAAGCCACGGTTATCACAGAAGCGGAAGATAGCAAGAGCCAAGTCAATGTCATCGGCGTCCGATGCAACAGCCAAAGCATTGCGGCAAACGTCTTGGGACGGCTCCAGATAACCCAGGTCAACTTGTCTTTGCCAGACAAAGCGGGTCAAATCATAGTGGAGAGCTTTACTGGCCGTTTTCAACACATGGGCCCAAAGCTCGGTCGTCATGTCATGACCCTGCACAACACGGGCTTGCATTAGGCGGTATACCTCATCAAGTTCTTGAAAGTCGCATAGCTGGTAAACAACCATACTATGCAGCCAGTTCTCCACTTGCATTCCTTTCCGCTCCATTAGTGAGATTTGATCTAGCGCCAACTCGAATTGATGCTCCCGAAGAAGACCTGCAACCATGAAATGCCATCCGTCGGGACTGACAGTCAGCCACCGATCTCGAAGCATACGAAGGACATCCTGGCGTAAAAGGTAGTCTGGATGCACAGCAAGAGCCTAAGCGGTCCCATAAGTAAGCTCATGTGTATTTCAAAACGTGTGTCTAGTCCTCACCTTCAAAGCAGCATGAAGCGTTCGCGAGTCCGCCGTAATGCCATTCTCCTCCATTTCCTGCAGCAGATGTTGTACCATCTCCGGTGATCCCAGCTCATTATCGCAGTTGGCAAATATCAAAGCCTGGTAGTGACGGGTATGTGGTTCGACTCCGCGGTCCCGGATCAGAGCCCGTAAAGTCTGAGTCGTACGGGCAATGCTCGGATCCTTGGTCGTCACCGCTCGTATCCTGCCTTCGAGGGCAGCTTCTAATTTGTTATTATACCCTTCGGGTAGTTTGGTATAACGATTTCGGGCTTTGTGCATTTGATCGTCTGCGTCGGCATGATCGATATGGGGTTCGGACTCGGATTTGGATTCGAGAGAGGATGTGGATGTTTCATGACGTGTGTTGATAGGATAATCTGTTTTTTTCCCGGGGTTATTCGAGGCGTCAATTCCCCTGTCTTGACTGGAATAGCATCGTCGTGGTATTATCGGCGCAATGCGAGTTGCGTGCGGCGGAGATGATTTGAAATTATGTTTCCGGGGCCTTGATACACATGACGGGCGACTCAAGGCTAACCGGTCAAAAGACGGACAAAGCGAGTGCCATAGCCCATCGAGGACGAGTGCCCGCCGCGACATATCGAGCTACTCGTGGGACAGAAGTCGGTTTACCCGCGTCTTCGGAAGTCCAGATGAAATGCGCGATGCTGACTAATAGCACCAGTTCAAGCCTGGGAGAGTGCACTGTACCGCACGCTGTTTACAGAACGATTGCGAAGGGGGTTCAGAAGTCTGAGATTTAATATTGTATTTGTAGATCATCAATCGATCATAACCTTAGTTCCCACTGAAAAATACAGAGCCAGATACGCCACGGCCATGCACGACTAAATCCGTTCACCTGTCCGCCCCGAGCGATCTTACCCACTCCGTCTGTCTCTGTAGGGTATCTCATTTTTGCAACTCTTCACAGCCATGCAAAAGGTAGTTGTCTCATCCAAATGTTGCGCCGAATCGACTCTATTGAACTCCGGGGGGACCGCCGCCGCCCCGTCCGCGACCCCGTCCACCACGACCACCACCACGGCCGCGGCCTCTGCCTCGATCGCCGTCTCGGCCGTGTCCGCCGCGACGGTTCTGTGGTTGATTTTGCTGTTGTTCCTTGACGATATCGACGATCTCTTCAGGGACTCGGAGGTATTTGATCTGCGGAAAGTGGATTGGTTAGAATCATGACCTCACTTGTGGGAATGGCCATTGGACATCGGATGATAGATTTCGCTGGACATACATTGTTGCCGCGAACGTAGACTTCGGGTAATCTGAAGAAGCGGTCGCCTTCGGGGCTGGTTTGCACGACTTCGCGCAGGATCAGGTTCATCCAGTTATCGCATGTCACCAAGTGGCCGTTCAAGGTCTCGCCATTCTTCAGCTCGACGAGCATGGGGCGGCCCTGTGCAGCCGTAAGAAGGCCGAGGGGAAGCTGAGAGCACAATGTCAGCCTTTGCTGTAGATACAGGCGGTTTGAGAGGGGTTACCATTGTGGATTGCGATCGGTGATGTGGCGGTGGATACTTGTTGAGCGCAGATGTTTGGGGGATATAATAATGCTCACTCTACCAGTGAGAGTATTGACGAATGAGGAATAGATTATAAGGCCGGTGGGAAGGCCGTTGCGGTGATTTGGAGGGGTTGGAGAAGGCAATGAGCGCAACCGAGCTCCGCATCAGCTGTGAGAACGGAAAAATTGATATGCCGAGATTCGTCCAGAGCTGGTGTCAGTGCTTCTAGCACTTTCAACGACACCACCCAACGACACCACCGAAATACTCAGCTCTTAATTATTTGTTGCAAATGTACTACTGATATAAATTCTTGAATTTGTCTCCTTATGGCATTAATTGGCCAGCATTGGATTGAGAACTAAACGTGATTCCCCAGGGCCGAATACCCCATTGCGATAAATTACATAGTGCGATAGCAGTTTCCATGCCTCAACGCATTTTAAACATCTAAACCTTCGGCCGCTTGGCCAATTCGGTTCCACTTTCTTCCTCGTCATCATCATCCTCAACGGCAAGCTTCCGCTTCTGGCGGCGACTGCCACTAGGAGCGGCGTCTTCACCCTCCGGTTCGGACAGGCGACCCTCTAGAGCATCCAGTGTGATCTCGTAGCCCTCCTCCACATTGCGCACAGTATCGTCTAGCTTCTCTACACGATCAAGCAGCTCTAGCTCGTCAAGAAGTTCTTTATGCTTCTTGTACAGACGCTGTTTGGTGAGCATGCGCCACCAATAGTACCGTCGGTCATTCTCATCGTCTGCCTTGTGCTTCTTAATCAATAGCCGGGCGAGGTTGGTGCCTCCAGCCAGACGGTGGCTCTTGGGAATCTGACTGAGAAGGAACATCTCCAGGATGTGTGCGAATTGCGTAGACTCAATCTTGAAAGCAGTACGGATATCGAGCAGTGTCTTGCTCGGAATTAGGACCCCAGTAGGCACTGCACGGGGCCGTTGCTTTTTGGAGTATGCACCGTTCGGATCCGGGTTCAGGTTCACATTGTGTTTCAAAAATTCGGGCTGCAGGAGACAGAAGTCGGCGGAGTCCCGGAGAGCATCAAATTGTTCATTAGGATCTTCCACTGTTAACTCCCCAATGGTGGGATCAGCGATGCAGAACGCATGGATGGTGGTATAGAGGTGGGTTCCGTGGCCTGAGCGGGCGTGTGAAGGAAGGATGAGGAACTGGGCAATGCGCAGACGAGCAGGTAGCTCGGAAATCTTGATCTCTGCTGGCGGAAAGTCGTCATTCTTGATAGTGGGAGTGTGTGACCGGTCACGTTGATAATACCAGTATCGGTAGGTTGTCGCATAGCCTACAATGGAATACGAAGACGCAGTTGGCGTTGGAGGTTTAATCTTCTCGTATCTGTGATGGTCAGCATGGAAGCAATCCGCAGGAAGGATAGATGTACATACACAAAGAAAACGGTCCATCGCTCAAGACTCCACTCAGGATCATCCGTTTCCAAGGGAGTTCCGGCTTCGATGAACAATGAGACCAAGACCTGCACTCGGTCCAACAGAATCCGCACTTGCGGGTCCGCCAGGGATCCAGCCCAGATCTCATATTGTCTTTCATTGGCCTCATAGCTGTAGACCATCTTGCCCGGTGGTGTAAAGTCCTTTGCTGAGGCATCTTCCTGGACAGCCTTCTCGTATTCGGGCAGGTTGATGAGCGCCTCTGCAAACAGTCGTCACGATTAGCCAGGCTCATGCAAATTTTCGGGCAAATATTCCACAAACCTTCCGAAACAAATGGCTTTAGAGTGCCAAGAAGGTCGAGTGCTGTGGTGTCGCCAACCGGCTTGAACTTCTCATCATAAGAAATGTGAAGATGAGGGCGCAAGTCATGGGCCGCAAATCGCAACCGGATCACCAGACCCCTATATCCAAAGATTTGTTCGTCATCCCCGAAGATGGGATAGGTGAACTGGGGGTGGAAGGTGGAGAGCGTCTTTGGTTTGGTTTCGCCAGGTTGCACGACGGTAATATGGATCGCATCGTTGGCGTCGCACGACCCTATGAGATCAATTAGCTACTGGAAGAAGAATGATAAACAGGTCATCTTACAGCTGGTTTCTGCCATGTTGTATGGTAAGAGTGGTTGTAATGTAAAGTCAATGGGAAATGCGACGGAGAAATAAAGGCGCGTCTGACCGCGTCAAGACCAGTATTACCTAATCTGGACTAGCGGGCGTGTAGCTTAGGTTCAACTTGCCTGAACACCTGAACATCAAATGGATGGCACGATTTCCATGTATGGACCCTTTCCTCTTTTTCGATTTTCATATTTTCTCTTCTTTTTATTCTCTTTTCTCTTCTCCACGAAGAAGAGCAATACAACAACGAGCCCTCCCAACCCTTGTGATTTGGATGAATACTGTTGATTCCACTGTTGTACCGGACGAACACTTTTAAGGATATTATTCACCTTTTCTAACTCGATACGAGGTAATTCCTCGCGCTGCTAATGTATTCTGAGCTAATCAGTATTTCCTGGTATATATATATGTATATATGTATATGTATATGCTTCATGAATTGTCGTTGTCTTGAGAACAGCTCTGCGTTTACCACTCGCAGACTCCCCAAACTTATGTCTTTTTAACTCATTCTATACTTCTTCTGGTTCCATACTGATCAACTGGGAATTCCAAGCCCTCATTCTCTGGATTCTTGGTACCAGCTCTATGGCTCTCTGGATTCCCATCCTTGACCCAATTGACTGGAGCTTCTGCACCACCCACTCGTGCACTTCATCTGGAGCAGCAGCCGAGCCACCAGCAATTGTCAACGGAAACATCAACATGAAGACACCATTTAAGGGAGGAACACGAGCCTGTTCTTTGAGTGGGATTCCATTTCCCCAACCACCCACTTGAGTCGCGGCACCAGCGCAGATACATGTCGCCAAGTGCGATACCATGTCAAGTGCTCGCTGTCGCTGTTGGAGATGGTGAACTTTCAAGAGCCCACTCCTGGCCAATTGGGCGATATTGTTCAACACCATCTCATTGACGATCAATCGTCCCCAAAAATAGTAGTTGAGGTCTCTCGATGCCCAAACATCATTATATGTCATATGCTTCCCGTAGAAGGTGTGCTGCGTGTCGCTGGAGGTTTTAACAAAGAATTCCCATTTATGTGGGAGGCGCCTTTCCCATTCTTCTAGCTCCTTATCAAAAGCAAGTGCTGTCCGCACTCCTATCTGAGGATCGGAGCCTGGGTCACTGCAAGTAGAGTGGAACTTCATGACCCGCACCAGGATGCCAACAAGGCCGATGGCCGGGGATTCATCAGGATTTGAAGATTGAAGCGTCTGACTGTTGAAATTTGAAAATTCGGCAGGCAGTGGTTTTTGGGTGTGAATGTATTTGACCATGGAAAAATAGAAGAACTGCAATCGGGCGCGCGGATCACGGGCTTTGATCGCTTTGCCAAATGTTGCCTGCTTGAGCAGGGCTGCAGCCCCATCTAAATGCACTGTCCATGCGTCAAGCTGACTTGAATTGCAGCAAACCATCTGGGAATGTGGAGTGGTCAGCGAACTAGCTAAGGGAAGCCTAGGGTGGTACGTGGGTCGATGGAGCATACCTCATATAAACCTATCATTAGGATGATCTTTAAGGTTTGATCCGGTCTGGCTTGAAGTGGATTCTCCACAGCCCGACGCACGGCATTAAGCGATCCCGCATACTTTTCCCTCGCCACTAGCCGAAGTGATCGATCCCGAGTGACATTGGATAGCGCGGCAAGCCCAACCGATACAACTGCATCTCGAAAGGGCAACTCAACAGATACTGTGCTTAGGAAGCATGATTTCGACAAAACAAAAGGCCCCTCCATTGCCGCCGAAGTGGCCGTCACAAATTGAGAGCAAAAAAACGTCAAACCCCGATCTTCCACACTAATAGGAACTGCTAAGGGAATCGTGGGTTCCCGTGCCACATTAGGTTTCCGCCGCTGCGCTACAGCCTTCAAATCTTCTTCAGAGCTTGAAGGCGAGTCTGAGATTTCTGGAGCGACCGGGACCTTTCGACGCTCTCCAGCTCTAGATTTGGCGGTTGCGGACCTTCGGGCCGCCTTGTCTGTTTCGTCACGAAACAACAAGGCCGGGATGTCACGGTAGCCACCACATGGCTTCCCCGCCCTTATGCACTGTGAACAGACCGGCTCAATACGGTCACACTAGAAAGATCGTCGTTAGTTCAAATAGCTTGTCGCGGGTCCGGCAGATGCTTGCCTTGATTCGCCGCTCTCGACAACTCCCACAATTCTTGCTAGGACGGCCGTAATAAGGCATTGTATCTTAGCTCCAGTGAATGTTTCATATCTTGACATTCAAGGTTGAAAGGGGTAAAAGAATCGTGGGTTTTTGCCATGACAATAACGACGTTGCGCCGCCACGATTTGAGAGGCTGAGCCGGATAAGCATCCATGTAAAACGGTGGACCACGCACGCTTTGATTGGTGGATACAGATCCACTCTATGTCTTCGGGACGCTATTCCTAATGGGGTGAGCAATTCGTCGTTTAGTACTCCGTAGAATGGAGACAACTGTGAGTCTGTGCCCAACTGCTAGAGTTCGAAGATTCTGGGTGGAAGCGTGAAATATTTTTAAGAGTCTTGTCAAGAGGTGGCTTAGAATTTTAATTGCTCTGTCACAAGACAAAAACAATAGACGGGGGCTATGGAATATGACTCGTCAACCAACCTTGATCAACCCGAAGACGGGGCCTCATACTGAACTTGATAATTCAAAGATCCACGGCGAATTCTTTACCTGTTGCGGACAACGGAAAGTTAAATACTTATTTCATGGTATAAAGAGCAAATCGGAGAGCCACCAGCGTGCTTAGAGTATAAAGTTGCGCAAATCCAATACTGGCCCTGTTTTTGAAAATCGAACCCTCAATTTGACCCCCTCTGAACAGTGGCTTCTTGGTATAATTTTACTCATGACGCTGGATATACGCTCCCACAAGGCCGGGGCTTCGTACTACCGTTATGATCCCTCACTGGCAGTCGCGATTGTTGCTGCTGTCTTTTACTCAATTGCATTTGTCTTAACATTCATTCAATGGATCCGCTACAAGGCATGGATATGGGCTGTTATGGTCGTGGCCTCAGCAAGTACATTCATTTCCCCAGTCCTTCTCATGTCAAGTACCGAACCTAACGAAATTACCAGTGGAGGCCGTTGGCTACATCGGCCGATGCGTTTCAACCCAGAACGTAACAGCAAGATCAATCTACGTCCTCCAATTCGCCCTGATTATCCTCGCGCCGGTCCTCATGGCCGCCTGCTGTTATATCATCTTCAGCCGCATTCTGTTCTTAGTCGTCCCTCATGAAGCTCGCACATTCCAGCTCTGTTGGGTTCCACCCCGATGGATCACGCCGATTTTCGTCGGATTCGACATCGTCGCCCTCCTCCTGCAATTAGTCGGAGCTGTGATGATTTCTTCAGTCAGCACCACAGATAAAGATGCAGCTAGTCGAATTGACAAGGGTAAGGGTATCGCCCAGGCTGGAGTCATTATCCAATTGGCCGCATTTGGGCTCTTTGCTGTGGCAGCTGTGCGATTCAACTTCACTTCTAAGAGATTCGCGAAAGAACTGGGCGAGCGGTATGATCATGTTGATGAGAAGAATTACTCTATTGGTGGAATTGTGAAGAATAAGCATTGGCCTGCATTGTTGCGGGTTGTTAATCTTACTACTTTGCTGATTCTGGTGAGTGATGATTCCAAGTGTGGAATGCGTGCGCTAACGAGGACTTGACACCATAGGTTCGTTCTATTTTTCGTCTCGTGGAGTTTTCCTCAAGCGTGACTGGATATGTCAACACGCATGAGTGGACAATGTATGTCTTTGATGCATTGGTCATCTATCCCTGCGTTGCGCTGTTTATCATTTGGCACCCCGGAAGATATTTACCTTACCTTGGCCTGCGTTTGCCCAAAGAGGCTCGGACAACTAGTACCAACTAGTTTCGTTTGAGATATTGCTTCTTGAGCTTGTACACACATGTTTAATGAGTTTTAAATTTATAGGGCTAATGCAATGTTTAATAAATGGGCGAATTTGGTCGTTCGATATGCTTTATTTGAGATTCTCTTTAGAACTTGTATACAAGTCTTAGGTTTCTTTCATGAAACTGGAAACGAAATGGGTACGTTCTGAAGCGCCCATCGAATCTCATCAGCGATTAACTGAGGCTCCGTGATCGGTACATTATGTCCACTTTTTGTTGCCACAGATAAGCGAGTCAAGGTTGACATATGAAGAAATTCTCGTTGGAAGGAATCTTCGCTTTGATCCCACGTTGCCAAATAATCCCTGAAAGCAGCCCTCTGAGCCTCAGTGCCTCTACCGTTAGCCACCCCGGCCTCATACATCAATTCCATATCTCGCCTGGAGTTCCCCATAAGTACACTGAGAGGCTTTCCATGGAATATATTCCGGCCAGGTTCAAGTTGTCGTTTCTGCGCAATGACAGAACGGCTCACCTGAAGATAAGGCATTTCCCGATTTGCCTGTCGAACATGCTTCTCGCTAAGTTGTTCATTCATATACTCGCTCCACTCAGAAGCCGTCAACTGGTGGTCCCTTGTAAGCCCAACAACATCGAAATAATCCAAACCTTCCGAGACGGCTGAAATGCTGGGATCGGGCCATGTCTCGAATTGCATGCGCTCTTGTACTGCGTCGACCAATACCAAGCCCGAAATATCCTCGATTGGTCGTGCTGCGACAAATTCCCGAGCCAAAGTTCCGCCCCACGAGTGCCCTACAACTAGGTATGGTGGCTCGAGGGCGGCTGATTTCAGTAGACGGCATAGTTCGTCAACGATTGTGAGTGAGTCAGGCTCGTTTGGAGACTCTTCGCTGCGACCATATCCGGAACGCTCATAGAGAAATATTGGTGCCTCAGACTCGAGGTATCGACAGACTGCACTCCATTCAAGGGCACTGCGTGTGATTCCGGGGAGAATGAGGACTAGAGGTGTGCCTGGCTGTCTTGGGATTCCCCGTAGTGCATAGCTCAAAGAATGCGTTCCAATAGAGGCGAAGCGTTGAAAATGTTCCATATTTTTTGAATTCAAGTCAGAGGAAGGTGGTGAAGTAGTGTTTTATGGCTGACTTGAAACTTTATCTTCGCCAAGAAACATGGAGGGGTCCAACGTTACACAGCTATAGTCATGTCAGCACCACACTAGTCCCAATTCGTAGTATAAAAGTTTGTTCATTTTGTTATCTTCGTCCACTTAACAGTGGCTTTCTGACTCCTTATACTTCACAACTTAGGCTCACCCTGTCTTTATCTTTACTCCCACCCTCTCCCGTCTGAAATTCTATAATTTGATACCCATGCTTCTTAACCATCGTTATCATTTGAGGAACATCTCGAGAGCAATACATCAAATGGAAACTAAGAAGGGAGAGCTTATTGGCTGGATCGACTTCGACGATTGTTGTTAGCTCAACAAGGAAACCAACGAAGTATTTTAGAGCTGCTCCAAATTAAAAGCCAGATTAGTTGCTCACATGCCGAGTACGGTAATTCCACCCAACCTCCCGAGAAGCCAGGCGGCCCAGGCCCTTTGGGGGCCGTTCAGCAGCACGAGGGGTTCGTCATAATTCGGGTACCCAGAACTCCTCTATTTACCGTCAATTCTCAATCTCATGTTCCCCTCTTCCTGATTTCATTTCAGCCCCCAATTATCAAGACGCTAAAGTCTGATCCGCACGCGCAATGTATCTGGCGCACACGTAGCACGACGATCACTCTAGATTCTAACTTCTGACCGCAGCCACTCAATCAATCCTTTCTGAGGAGACATGAGCCAAAGAAATATGTAGTTCATCGACATCATAAGCTAAGAGAAGAGGTTCACCGAAAGACAATGTAAATCAGCCATCTAACTTCCACCGAAATGGAAACCACGAATGTTCCCACATCCACCCCGGAACCAATCAAAAGAAATCCTGCAATTGAATACCGTAGGTAACCGCAGTCTACTATCACTACGGCCCTTGCTCTAAGCGGACAATGGAAAACAGGATTGAACAGACGATCCATTGCTGTCTCTTATGTTCAAAATAGCCCCCATATTTTCTCTCATCCCCTATATTACCAAGGTACCCCGCACACCTCTCTAATCTTTTCAAAGCAAATCTCAAATAGGGCTTTCCATCTTTCTTTCCGGGGCCTCTATACACACACCATCTGTCATATCTATCAGAATATAAACCAAATTACAAAATGGTTATCAAAGGCACCCAACTAGATGGCGTCGCCCTTGTCGTTGGCGTAAGGATCACCATTTCGAGGTCAAACCTCCTACTAACAAGCTTTTAGGCTGGCCGCGGAATCGGTCAACAGACTGCCTATTCTCTAGCTGAAGCCGGCGCCCGCGTCATCGTTTTCGCTGACATGAATAGCGAGACAGCCACTGCCTCTGCTGAGGAGAGCAAGCAATATGCCACACACCCTGAATATGAATCCACCAATTTTACCGTTAATGTCACTGATCAAGACGGCGTGCAGGCTATGGTTGATTTTGTAGTAGAGAAGTTCGGACGACTAGACTATGCTGTGAATGCGGCCGGAGTGAGTCTTTACATTCAAAAGGCCAGAGTTGTAAATTCTTGCTAACCACTAGGAACCAATACTAGGTTGATAACGGTGTCCACACCCCTTTCGCCGATACCGATATCGAGAACTTTGATCGCATCCAGACGGTCAATGCTCGCGGTATGTTTCTCTGCTGCCGTGCCCAAGCAGCCGCCATGCGCAAACAGACCTCACGCAGCTTCACTAGCCGTACCGGGACACGGGATATCGGTCGTGGCGCCATCGTAAATGTCTGTTCGGCTAATTCCTTCGCCGGACTTATTGGAAAAGGGTCTTATACGGTCTCTAAGCATGCCTGTATGGCGGTGACAAAAATGGTTGGTAAGTTACTACTCTTGTTTTGCGTTGCCTTTTCTGTCGTACTATTTCTATAACCCCTCATTTGATATGGAATCGCATCCCCGCTAAACGACGAATCTTGATGGAATAGGATTGGACCACTCCGCCGAAGGTATTCGCTGTAACGCTGTCTGTCCTATCTGGGTGCGCACACCGTTACTTGACGTCGAACTGGAGCGGAACCCCCAGGTGCGCGCGGAGATCGAGGCTGTCGTACCCATTAAGCGCGCTGCCGATAGCGAGGAGGTCGGTGATTCAATTGCCTACCTGCTGAGTCCATCAGCGAGTTACGTGAATGCGACGAGTTTGTTGTTGGATGCGGCGGTCACAGCAACCCTGCGGTTTCATTAGATGATGTTCCTAAGTGGATAGGGCATGGTGTATCCTAGAGAGCAAGAATTGACTGCAAAGTAACCATTTTCGATTAAAGTCGTTTCTGGCTCTTGAAACGCCTGATATGGCATGCTCACAGAGGCGCATAGACTGTGGTAGCGGGCAGTCCAGCTGCAACAATTTCATTGCCAAAGGGATTGAAGCAGTGGCCTCGGGGTCAGGTGGGAATTTGGAACTTTTTCGGGAGTTCTTCAGCTTCTGTCGGTTTACGGCATTGATTACCTGGCTGCCATGGAGGCTTGATATGGCTTCGAGTTGACCTTGGGGGTTAATAATTACACTGGATATTTCGAACGCTTCGTCCTGATTCGATCATTGTAAGGTTCTCACAAAATTGGTCACTTCATAGAGCCAAAGCGGGAAGACGGGAGTTCGGTAATACTCAGTCCTTTAGATAGAGAACTATTTCCTTCTTCTCTTCTTCCTGATTAGTCCTATGAATGGGCTATCCGACCAATTCGCTATGTAGAAGGGTGGTATGACGCGATATTTTTTTTTTTTTTTTTTTTTTTTCGCTTGAAGCATTTATGGTAGTTAGTGTAAGTAGTGCGTTCTCATTAAGCAAAAACCTGAGCCGAAAATTCGTCCGAGTTGGGGGACAAAACGGACAAAACAAAGGAAAAATGCGGGCCGGGAGGGGGACAGCTGTCTACCCCGTCCAGTGGTCGGCCGATCGGCGGTCTGATTTCCGGCTTATCCCTGCAAGTGGAAGCTAACGCTATAGACTAACCCGCAGTCGTAGGTATAAGTGTCAGCAAGCAAAACGTGCAACAAAGCTGGAAGAGATAGCCCCCACCCTAGAAGCTATATAAACCGTCGGGTAGAACTTATCGACGCAAAAAATATTTCTTTTGTAGAAGCATATCGATTAGCATTCAACTCCTATCCGACCATGTTTGCCTCTTTTCAGAATCTGCGCACCCAGTGGTTCCCGCCCAAAGCGGCCTTTACTGAGAAAGAGCTGCCCTCGCAGGGGGGTCGGATTTTTATTGTGACGGGCGGCAATAGTGGTGTCGGCTTTGAATTATGCAAGATCCTGTATGGCTCCGGTGCCACCATCTATATGGCATCAAGATCAAAGGCAAGCCCTTTAACCAAATTCGGACTCATGACCCTACTGGTGGGCTAACATGGTTTCTAGGAGCGTGCCGAAGATGCGATTCAATCCATCGTGAAGGTTCAACCTGCGCCGAAGTTGCCTGGCAAGATCAAGTTTCTCCATCTTGATCTCAGCGATTTGGAGTCAGTCAAGGAGGCGGCGACTACCTTTGCACAACAAGAATCAAAGCTCGACGTCCTCTGGAATAATGCGGGGACTGGAGCGTTCCGAGTGGAAGTTGGTGCTAGAACAGTTCAGGGATTCGAGGCTATGGTGGGGATGCACTGTATTGCGACTTTGCTTTTCACCGAGCTCCTACGACCGCAGCTACGGGCGGCCGCAGCAGCGCCCGAGACACCTCGTGGATCTGTTAGAGTAGTGTGGACATCCAGCTTTATGGCCGAGGGCGGCACGCCGACGAACGGTATTGATTTCAACGTGTTAGAGAAGGGAACCAATGATCGCGCTCGCAACTATTCTGTCTCGAAGGCGGGAACCTGGATGCTGGGACGGGAGTTGGCCCGACGATTCCATCTTGACCAGGAAAACATTGTGAGCGTGGTGCAGAACCCAGGCAATCTGAAAGCGAAGGTCTATGAAGGGACTCCGGCGGCTCTCATGTTTTTTATCCACCCTTTACTCCTCCACGAGGCCAAGCTTGGGGCCTATACTGAGCTATACGCCGGTTTATCACCCGAGATAACACTTGAGGAGAATGGCGCCTACATCATTCCCTGGGGAAGGATTCGAGAGGATAAGGATTGTCCACGACGAGATATCATCACGGCGATGACTTCAGCTGAGGATGGGGGACTTGGATACCCAACACGGCTTTGGGAGTGGTGTGAGCAGCAATGGAAGCCCTTTGTGTAAATCCCGAGTTTCACTGCTGCATGTCTGAAAAGGTACATCATAATTAGGTGGTACCGGGTCTATTCCAGCCCCAGACATTACGTGCAAGCTATGAAGGGTTGTATTTCCGGTCTGTACATAGTTGAAAGATTGTTGATAGATAGAGATCCTTAATTCGGGCAACAACTACCTCGGCTCAAGGAGAAAAGCCATATATTTCCCATTTCCGATTTACTTTCTTTTGGATTTCAACTGGATATGAGCCACGGAATGAACCTTCTTTCCAAGGAAGAATCTCATCAACAAACTCACAAGGCAGCATGCAGCATCGAACCACTTTCTGGTGATTAAGGCCTTTGGGCTTGATACCATATCCAACATATGGAACCAAGGGGATATTTCCGTACTCATCAAAGAGGAACTCATTTTGTCCAGGTTGACATCGCGTAGACTCGGCCCAAATGACATCACGAAGATTGGTAGGGTCAATATCCTCCCCAACAAGAAAAATCTTGGGGATATACCACCCCGGCTTGGAACCAAACACAACATGACCTAGCTTAGTGCTGAAATCAGCGATGTTCGTATTCATCGCTCGCACTTTCTGTCGGTCTACCTGGACGACAAACCAGAGACAATGGGACTCGAACGGACACCAGACCATGCGAATGGGAAGCCCGGCATTCTGACAAATATTTAGGACCTCCGCAGCCTGCATGATTCCCCAGACAGTATGATTTTCCTCAACTGCGCGCCCAGCCACACAGATTGGTATGATCGGATTCTCTCTAAAGGTAATGGCATTGACCTTGAAAATCGGACATTGTTTGGACTCTCCTGGGAATATCATTCCATGATACTCGGCCATCGGTCCTTCAGTCGCTTTCGCATCTTCAGAGGTAAGGACCACCCCTTCTAGTACGATCTCTGCGTGAGCGGGAACGCATATATCGCTCGTTTCACATTTGACTACTTCAACTGGCTTACCAGTCAGAGCGCCGATAAAGCCAGCTTCGTTCGTCCATTTCGGTATCGGCATGCCGCCGACCATGATCGCGGCTGGTGGAACACCGAAGCAAAGAGCGAAGGGCATATTTTCATTCTTTTCTTTCCACATCTGTGATATCACTCCGATGTCTTGCTTGGGTATTATCGGGCCGACAAGTGATCGTTTATCATTGACCATTCCTCGGGTGATAGACCAGTTCACCCACCGCTTATCGGGCGTTTGAACAATATACATGCCAAATGTCTGTATGAAATTTCCACCGTCATCTGCATGGAGTAGTGGTACCGGGAGGGAGGTTAGATCGATATCGTCCCCAAAGATCTTATGCTCCTTCACCGGCCCCGATGGAACTTCGGTTGGAGGAATCGGGTCTAATTTCTTAGCCACGTTGATCTTGTGGATGATGTCTTGACCTGTTGCATTTGATGGAAGCCCAAGAGATTTGGCGATGCGACATAGTCTCTGACCAGGAATTCGACTGAGGCCAACTGGGGCCCCGAGTACACGGAAGAGGCCATTGTTCATGCCTTTCACGTTCTCGAACAATGGTGCTTTGTCTTCGTTTTCGTATACTTTTCGAACTATGGCTGCCAGCTCTAGGTGCGGGTCAACTTCTTCAGTTATCTTGAGGAGGTCATGTTCGTCCTCGAGCTCTTTGATGAACTGACGAAAGTTCTCAGCGGCGAGAGTGAGTTGGTGACCCATTGAGAAGAGATTGCTTGACAGGAATATATCAATGATTGTCACGTTGAATGACTACCAGAGTTGTATGTCATTGGATTTATAGATCGGTATGGGTTACCATAGAATTTCCCCAATTTGGGGTTCCACGCATACCCCGCGTGCCTGTTGAACTACTGTACGTCTGTCCATGCCGATCAAGAGGACCCCGCGTTTTAAATAATGATTACATTATGCTGAATCTCTTCTCAGCTGGATCATCCACAATAGAATCAGATTTATTCCCGAATTCTCCAAATCGGAGCCAGAGGCGAAGAAGTTGTGAAGTGTCTGTTGCAGCTTAACCACCTTGTCCTCACAGTCGCACTGAACAGGCCGTTCTTGCTCCACATCTACCATGGATCTATTCAGTTTCAAAGCTCAATCTGCCACCGAGAAGCCCTCAAGGCAGTCTTCACCGCGAAGACGCAGAATCATCGTCGCCCTGACCGGCGCAACGGGATCAATCCTGGGAATCAAAACATTGGTCGCCCTCCGTCGATTGAACATCGAAACACATCTCGTGATCAGCAAATGGGCCGAAGCAACCATCAAATACGAGACAGACTATACAATCCCCAACATCCGCGCGCTGGCAGACCATGTCTACAGCAGCAATGACATGTCTGCGTCGATAGCCAGCGGATCCTTCCGGGTGGATGGGATGGTAGTTATACCCTGTAGTGTAAAAACGCTTGCGTCGATCAATTCTGGCATTTGCGATGATCTGATTTCTCGTGCTGCGGACGTTATTTTGAAGGAGCGGCGCAAGCTGGTCTTGGCTGTCAGGGAAACGCCGCTGAGTGTGATTCATTTGCAGAATATGCTCTCTGTGTCGCAAGCCGGGGCAATTATCTTCCCGCCTGTACCTGCATTCTATGTTAAGCCTTCATCTGTGGATGATTTGGTAGATCATAGTGTTGGGCGGATGTTGGATTTGTTTGATCTGGATACTGGGGATTTTGATCGGTGGGAAGGTTGGAAGAAGCCGGAGCGTTAGCTGTGATATCTCTCCACGTTTACGCCATGTTGCATTGGCACCGATAACGAAACAGACTGTATGTGGTATGCCTTAGAAATGCTCTCATATATACCAGCAAGGGCATTTAACTAATATCAATTTAAAGACAATAAATGGCATTGGATGACGAGATACCCCGTGCCTGTCCCTGTAATAGTCAAGGGAGGATGCCCATGTCAAGGGCAGATGAAGTATTGTCCCTCGTTTGGGACTGGAACAATCAACTCAAGAAACCATTGTTAGCTTTAGATTAGCGATAAGCTTGGCTTGCCAGTGGAAAAAGCAATTCCCACCAACATTGACATAGTGGAAACCAAAAATAGTCGCGGAGATGGTTTGATCCGAGAGCGGTACCTGACAAGAATGCGTGGGTCTCGACTTGCCTGATGCCAAGTACGCTCTTCGCTCCTTCTCTCCTCCGACTCCTTCCATTCCAACCATCCCTGACCCCGTCGCACACGATCGGGCTTATCTTACAGTCGTTTCCGCGTTGGACACAATGATCGACACCCTCTAGAGCCCGAGCACAAGTGCCAAGCTCTTGCGACAAAGAGGCCACCATGGAGGGACTCTTTACTTTGCTCGCTCTAAGCATTGTGATGGCCGTAACGTGAGTTTTTATCCAAAATCCTGACCAGCAACTTAATGGTCTGATTACTGACGACCTGCCAGATCCTTCGTTGTCGGTTCATTACCTCTTGCTTTTACCCTCTCCCCCTCTCAACTCCGCCTCATATCTTCGATCGGCATGGGTGTGCTGGTGGGAACTTCATTGATTGTTATTATACCTGAGGGCATCGAGACCCTCTACGCTAGCTCTGCGAGCCATAAAAGCCTTAGTACACGGACGGCCCAAGTCGATTGGCAGTCGCAAGGCCTTCCTGTGGTGGTGCGATCCACCCTGGACCGTAATGACGATGCCTTTTTACCGACGGAAACCCCCGTTTCATTCCTTTCCTTTGACCACGAACCACCTGCCCCCCTTTCCGATCGCGACCAGTCATCGAGTGTAGTAGCAGGGCTACCTGCACGAAAGGACGACGACACCGACCACTCGAGCAAAGAGGAAGCAGAAGAAAACTCTCCACATGCTTGGATCGGAGTTGCTTTGGTTAGCGGGTTCATACTGATGTACTTGATCGATAAAGTGCCCGAGTTTGCTTCACCAACCAAGCACGAAAGGATCCCCTACCACATCTCCCTCGATAACCTTGGATCGGGATTGCGACGGGGCTCCTCGCCCATGCGCGACGGAGGACTTTTGAATGCCGGCCATTCGAGTTCCCGACGTGGACATAGCTTCGCTACGACTACGGGGTTGGTCATCCATGCTGCAGCGGATGGCATTGCGCTGGGGGCGTCCAGCTCCGACACCGGCCTGAGCTTCATTATCTTCCTGGCTATTATGGTACACAAGGCCCCCGCCTCCTTTGGGTTGACCTCGATTCTGCTCAAGCAGGGGCTATCTAGCCGGACTGCAAGAGCACATCTGTTGATCTTTAGTTTGGCGGCTCCTGTGGGTGCTCTTGCCACTTTCCTTTTTGTACATATGGTGGGATCTTCTGGCGGTGACGAGACTGGCTCTCTGTGGCGGACCGGAATGCTCTTGCTTTTCTCCGGAGGCACTTTCTTGTGAGTCGCAGGAACATTTTTGCTCTTTCTGATTACAACGGCATGCTAACTACGACAGGTATGTGGCGATGCACACCATGCAGGAGAATGGACCTGGCTCCACTCCGCGAGAATCACCTGTGAATGGATATGGTGATTCCCGCGAATCCCCGGATGGATCTGATAAGTCAATGAGAGATTTGATCGCATCCGTCGTGGGCATGATCTTGCCGCTCTTCTTGCAGATTGGCCATGCTCATTGATCTTATTTTTCATTTACTTGCTTTTGCTTTAATTGTCTGTGTCGCGTATATCCCTAATAGCCGGTAACGGGATGCTTCATCGATGCGGGCTTTGTGTTTACCATTGCGATTTTCTTTTTCTACTCTTTGGCCACGGCATGGATATCAGGAGCATATACCCCTTTATTTGGCATGTGTTCAGAGTAGGGAACTGCAGGATACCAACTATGTTCGAATAGAATGATTGTACTAAACTGGGCGGGTCATGATTGCATTTCTCACGATCACACCGACGTAGCGTGACGTTGCTCACGGATACTATATAAGAGCGGCCGATCACCTCGATGGGAGATCATGTTTGGATCATCTTGCCGTGTCGGGTGATGAAAACTTTCGTCAGTCTCGTCACGTTGATTCATTGCCCTTATCCGGGTTGATCCATGGTCGAACAACCGCGTACCGAACCACCTACCAGAACCGTCGGGGCATATAGTTCGTGAGAATCTCTTCACGGATCCCTTGAAATTTTCCCGAGCGGCTCTGTGCCGCCTAACATTGGCCAAGGCTTGCGCCCGATCTGCATGGGAAGCGCCTTCTGCGGATGGGCAACGAGGCAATCCCAAAGCTCGACTGTCTCAGCCTCTTGAAGTGGAGCATGTAACGGAGTAGAAACGGAGTTTCATTCGAGTCCGGTAGAGTGGAGAACGGAGAACACGGGGCAGAGCTTGGCGGCTTTGTCAGATTCGAGACGGTCACGACATTCATCTCCGCTTGGAATGTCCCTTTTCCTCATTCATCGACTTTTTTTTTTTCTTTACTTGGTATAGTATTTGGGGGCGAACTAACAAAATTGTGGGAAGCGATAGAAAGAAGGCGATCATTATCGTGACTTAACCGAAGCCCCCTCCTTCGCGACATCGGGTTTTTCTCCCTTTCCCTCGGTCATCGCCAACCGCTTTTCATCATAATCTTGAAACCCCCTCATACCACTCCGGGAATTTCCCCTCTATGCCTACCGACGGCTCCGCACGACCGTTATTTTTGTGAGATAATCTGTGAGGACAGAGAGGGAACAGCTTGGGTTTCTATCTGCGATGGACTCCCAGGCCTTTGACATAGAGGAGTCGACTGGCTCGACTGTTCTGGACCAGTTGGATTCCCACTCTCAGTCAAATCGCGACTCCGTATCCAGCTTCACGAGTACCCCCGGCCGGTCTCTCAGCATCAGCAAGAAAAACATCACTCCGATACCCGCAAACCTCCTGCCTTCGGCACCCGCTTCTCCACCAACACCTGCGCCGAGTCCGACCCCACACCAGCGTCCACCGGACTGGCACTCGGCTGACGATGAGGAGCATACATTTCTGCTGAATCTGCGCATCCACTTCAGTACCCTATCCAATACCCGGAAGCAAAAACTCCTCGAGGGTCTTTTAGACGTATGCGACAGTCAACAGCTCAGCTTTGTTTCGAGTTATGTCGGACCACGCCTGCGTAAGGATCCGTTTTTAGTCTTTCCAAATGAACTCTGTCTGAGGGTATGTTTCTTTGTCTCTTCCCGAGTTATAATCACGTGGGATCTTGAACTGACTCATTTCCCCGCTTAGGTGCTTTCCTTTATCGACGATCCGAAGACACTCGCAAGAGCATCGCAAGTCTCAATACGATGGCGGGAGTTATTGAATGACGATATCACATGGAAAAATCTTTGCGAGAAGCATGCATACTTAGTACGGCGGATCCAGGAGGACGACAGCATGGAGCCGGCCACTCCTCGATCCGTGGACTCGAACCTCGAAACGCACTCTCTGAACGACTTACTACTACGATCGGACTCGAATGAACCGACTATCGAGAGCGACCCCGAACTTCCCCGCACCTTGTCTGGCGACTGGTTGCCACCCACTAGCTTCCCTCGAAGACGTCGGACTCGACCGGTTTCTTACCGATCGCAGTTTAAGAGGAAATACATGGTCGAGTCTGCTTGGAACAAAGGGGGTCGGTGCACACAGCGTCATATTACACCTGACCAAGGTGTCGTGACGAGTTTGCACCTGACTTCGAAATACATTGTCGTTGCGTTGGATAACGCCAAGATTCATGTTTATGACACCAACGGCGACAACCAAAAAACACTTCAGGGCCACGTGATGGGGGTATGGGCCATGGTTCCGTGGGATGACATTTTGGTAAGCGGAGGATGCGATCGGGATGTACGAGTCTGGAATATGGCAACTGGGTAAGCTTGGCCTTCCAATGTCAAAGTCGAGGAAAAACTGACAGATCACAGAGCGGGAATTCATCTACTTCGAGGTCACACATCAACGGTCCGATGTTTGAAAATGTCTGATCGGAACACCGCAATTTCCGGATCCAGAGATACCACACTTCGTATATGGGATCTGACAACGGGGACATGCCGTAATGTTCTGGTTGGGCACCAGGCTAGTGTAAGGTGTCTCGCGATTCATGGTGATATTGTAGTTTCCGGTAGTTATGACACTACGGCACGGATATGGAGCATTTCCCAAGGCCGCTGCCTGCGCACGCTGAGCGGGCACTTCAGTCAGATCTACGCGATCACTTTTGATGGACGTCGGATTGCAACCGGAAGTTTGGATACCAGTGTTCGTATCTGGGATCCGCAATCTGGCCAGTGTCATGCCATTCTCCAGGGCCACACCTCTCTGGTTGGCCAGCTGCAGATGCGCGGTGATACTCTTGTGACGGGTGGCTCCGATGGCTCAGTACGTGTCTGGTCATTAACTAAGATGGCGCCAATCCACCGACTGGCTGCCCATGACAACAGTGTCACCAGTCTTCAATTTGATAATTCTCGCATCGTCAGTGGCGGCAGCGATGGCCGTGTCAAGGTGTGGAGTTTACAGACTGGCCAGTTACTGCGAGAACTCTCTACACCAGCTGAAGCTGTCTGGAGAGTTGCCTTTGAAGAAGAAAAGGCCGTGATCATGGCTAGTCGCTCTGGCCGGACAGTAATGGAGGTTTGTTACCTGCCACCCCGTGCATCATTGCTCTTAACTAATCTTTCTAGGTCTGGTCATTTGCGCCACCTCCCGAAACATATGATGACAGCGTGCTCATCGAAAGCGCCTCCAGCACACCTGGACTCGGCTCTACAGACGACAAAGACTTGACAGTAGACTGCCGACGTCGAACCCTTTTCTCCGATCCACCCCCAACCACCTTGGGCAGTGATGCCGACCAAGCCATGCCCGATGCACCATCCTGACCCCATTTATGAACCACATAATCACATATTTCCCCTTATAACGACCCTCCCAATACCTTACTCATTTTCTTTGTTTTCACCTGCCATCTAGCATCCATCTCCTTTGTCTTATCCTCCATTTTCAGAATGAGCCGCTGGACATTTGCCTCGTGCTTTATCTCGAGTGCACCAAGCGGTTGCATATTTGGTGTTGCCTATCATCTGGGGTTTCGTTTGTGCTTATTTTCGTTTTCCATATCCGCATATCCCATGACATGGAAAGTTGGTCCATCCGTCATTGCCAATGCCATTTTGGCGGAGTTTTGTGTTTTGAATCTAGAATCTTGTCCTTTGGGGCGGAATGCAGTTGTTTGGATCTACATCATCCAGCTTTGCGCTGAGTCATTTCGGAGTATTGACATCTTGGGCCCAGATGATACCTTGGGTTACTACTTTTTTTCCCTCCGGAATTCTATCTCTTTTCAGAGTCGTATTTATTATATACCAATTACTTGACTCTGAAGGAAAGCGCATTTTTTATTATTGTCACTGCTTTGTGTAGAATACACTGCCGATTGTGTAGATGGTAATCTGATGTAGATGAAGCACAAACAAAAAAAGTAGGTCGACTCATTTAGAGTTAGGTATTTGCTAATTCATGAAGCTTGAGATAAACGGGGCATTCAACCGAATTGCAAGTGGTGGGGAATTGAGAGTAGAGTGAGGATAAAGTAGGAATCAAATGTTATCAGAGGATCTTATAGCTGGGGAAATCTGAGTCCAGTAGATGAAAGAGATATGAGCGATTACAGTAATGGGGAAGGGAGTATCTATTCTTCGCTCATTCCCTAATTTATATAACCATAGCTATGTCAGGGTCCGAGTGTCGTTGCAACCCGCGAGGGTATCTTTTATGCACAATCATCTACCTCCAAAACTTCCCATGGGGCGTTTCAGCAATCTGTAGTGTTGAAGCGCAAATCATTAGTACAAAAAAAGGGAATACTGTAATACCAATTCTACGTCAGGAACTAAATTCCTAACATGAAACCGTTTCAATAGGGACGGTGGTTGCAATCCAAGGTATCATATCCCCGATCGTGCTATGTGTACCATGAAGAAGAAAATGGAAGTGTAGGAAACTCGCAGACCAAGCATGTCATATGGTATGGGGATGTCATAGTAGGTAATTACTTAATATGCGTGAATCGGAAGCTTTGGTAAGCATATATAATTATTCACATGGTAGTGACGCTTCTAAGCAGCAGTGGGCATGTCTATTCATATTGAGAGAATCCGCATTATGGCCCTGTTGGCTAATGGTGCACTGAGACATTAAGTGGTATTTGTCCGAATTATGATTACCGCGCTTTCCCGAATCCGGTTAACGCGCACCCCACTATCAAGCTTCAGGTGTCCAATCAAAAGTCTCCATTGATATAGATCTTACTAGAAGTGATATTTTCCTTATTTTCCCTCTGGCAACCTCTCTGACCTGTTTCCATCCACTTTTATCTGAACGCGCAATTCTAGACATCTTGGACACGCCCTCTTTCTTAATCGTATATTGGATACCAAGAACGTAGCTCACGTGATAGGCCCAAGGAACTTCAAGGTTCTTCCTGATAATGGATGATTTACTTACGTTGGTACTACTCAGGCGCTAAAAACTCAAAAGTCCCCTATCAACAGCCCATAATAATACTGCAAGCAAAATTACTGAGGGATTGTTTCTTATCTTCGTTGTGGAAGAGTCTAGAAGAGGAAGGTGGGTATCGGGGAGTTCTTTCCGGTCTCTCCTCGAGTTCTCATAATTCGGTTATATTTAGTAATCTATCGACTGGAGAAGGGAGCTCTCCACCTGCTAAATTCCAGTGCTGACCCAGCGAGGCACGATGATCAGCATCCGAAAGTCTCCATCGTCACGCGTCTTTGAAAGAGAACCTTTCTGGCAACCATGTTTACGAGGTTGATCTACATCTGCCGGTGATTCTTTACTACAAAAGTTTCGGAATTCAGCGGACGCCTACATTAGGTATGGCACAGCATGGGCTGTCGAGATTACTTCCGAGCCCCTTGCAAGAGCCAGTGGAGGATTTGATCTTCATTGTCACGTTAAACCAAGCCAGTCATCAAGCTGTGTTCCTCCTGCCTTAAACTGTGGCTGAAGTTAAGTCCATCTTTCTTTTCTTATTTCCTGGTTTACGTGAGCACCAGGATGAAAGCCACTAAACTCCTTTTCGCCCCCTCCTTCCTGCTCAGCGAGGGCTCCCTGGCCCGGGAAGCCACAACACCAAACTCAGCGCTACTCTCCTCTCATACCGTCGAACTTGGACCCTACAAGTCAGCCTACGAAAAGGCAAAGGCACTAGTGGGCTCACTAAATAAGACTGAGAAAATCACGATCATCACTGGCGGCTCTATCCCTGGGGTGTGGACGGCACTCGAGGATCATGACGAAGTGTCCGGCGTGGGCTCAAACTACTATGTTTCTGGCTTTGTCGGTGCCAACGCCTTGGCTATGACCTGGGACCGTGATCTTGCCTATAGCCAGTTCCTGGCCACGGGAAAAGAGTTTTATGGGATGGGATACAATCTGGTCTATGGTCCCATGTGTGGTCCATTGGTGGGGTGGCCGTCAGCCCGAGTCATTTGCTCCTGATCCGTACTTGAGTGGTAGATCCATGGAGCATGCCATCTCTGGCCAAAACGCAGCTGGTGCTATTGCCACTGGCCGCCACTTCCTTTTGAACGAGCAGGAGACCAATTGATCGAATATGGCCAGCCCCAGAGTCAGCAAGGCATACTCATCCAATGCTGACGATAAGATAATCCATGAAATGTATCTGTGGCCGTTTGCTGATGGAGTCAAAGGTGGCATGGGCGCTGTGATGTGCGCTATGAGCAAAATTAACCATACATATTCATGCGAAAATGAGGCAGCCCTCAGTCACCTTCTAAAAACCGAATTGGGTTTCCCAGGAGTGGTCGTTCCTGATGTGAACTCTCAGAAGACTGCATTTGGATCTGCCAATGCCGGACTAGACTATGGTTCTAGCTCCTTGTGGTCTGAGAAGACCATAATGGCAGGCCTGCGGAATGGCTCTCTAACACAGGCCAGATTGGATGATATGGCCGTTCGCAACACAATCAGTTATTTCTATGTGGGACTCGACTATGGGAAACAGCCCCCGGTGGCCGATGATACCGAGTATCGCGATGTACGCGGGAATCATTCTGCAATGATCCGTCAGATTGCTTCTGAGTCATTGGTACTGCTGAAGAATAACAACGATGGTGGCCTTGGTCTCCCGCTAAACCAACCGCACTCCATGGCCGTCTTCGGCTCTCATGCTCGCGCGCCTATCGCTGGACCGAACCACGCCTTTTCTATCCTTGGGTCCGGGGCCGATACTTTTGATGGTCACCTTGTCACTCCTTCAGGTTCGGGCTCTAGCTCCTTTGCCAACGTGGTTGATCCGCACATGGCCCTGATGCCACGTCAAATGAAGCATGGTGGCATGTTCTGGGGGATCATGAATGATACATATTCATCTGGTAATACGAGCGCTCCTGCTTCAATTGGAAGTGGCTCGGGGACCTCCTTGAAGCACTCATACACAGTCTATGCGCAAAATGCCGCTGCCTGTCTTGTCTTCTTGAATACATACTCAGGTGAAGGAGCAGATCGTGGCGAACTCTTCAGCACAGACCAAGACTCCATGGTAAATCGCGTGGCAAGTGAATGCAACAACACTATTTTTGTGATCAACACCGTTGGCCCGCGTCTGCTTGATGCTTGGATTGAACACAAAAACGTTACCGGTGTGCTTTACGGGGGGTTGCTGGGACAGGAGTCCGGCAGCTCAATTGCTGATGTTCTCTTTGGTGATGTGAACCCTAGTGGCAAATTGAGTCACACAATCGCCAAGAATGTCAGGGATTACCACCACATCTATATGTCATACCGCCGACTGCAACTTTACGGAAGGATCCTTGGTCGACTACAGATGGTTTGATGCTAAAGTGAGTGGCTGATTCATCTTTTTCTCGCTGACAGATGGACATCGTAATGTTATGGGTTACTAACGTTTCATTTGCGAATAGAACATAAATCCTCGTTATGAATTTTGGTTACGGATTGTCTTACACGAACTTCACCTTTGGAACTGTGAGCGTCATAGTTACCAACACCTCAGCCTTTGATTCTCGCTTCCCCACGGGCAAACTGAGTCTTGGTGGTCATGAGGATTTATGGGATGAAGTGGTTCAAGTTACTACCAGCACTCGCAACACAGGATCAGTCAATGGTGCACAGGTCATCCAGTTGTACGTAGATATCCCTACAGAAGCGGCACAGCCAAAGCGTGTTCTTCGGGGCTTTGAGAAAGTTAGAGTCAGCGCTGGAATGTCTGAGAAGGTCACATTCAGCGTCCGCAGGAGAGATCTCAGCTACTGGGATACAGCGGCGCAAAAATGGGCGATAGCAAATGGCCGAGATTCATTCTCGGTTGGTGCTAGTTCGAGGGATATCCATGCTACGGTAGTCTTGGATCTTTAGTGGGATAAGGCCTAGCTTGAAGCCGCATTTGCTCGTGGCTAGAGGGTAAATAGCTGTGACGCTTCAGCGCGTCAATGTCAGCTTCCATGTAAGGTGCATTGCCTCCCGGATTCAGCGGCTGATGTCGACAACCGTTATTCAAGCAAACAGCAAAAGCACCCAGCACAGCCACATTAGAAAAGATTTTGATAGAGCCCCTTTCTTGTTGAGATAGATTTCCACTTTTCTGGTCTGCCTATATTCAATATTCGCTTCAATGGCTGCGATAGCTCATTTGGATTGTAATACCACTTCATCGTTGTATTCCATTCCAAATGCATCAATTCCTAGTACATCATTACCTGCCATTTCCAAGCCGTAAAACTAGTAGTGGCATCCTTCTAAACTTGAAGAATGGCTTCTGGCACTGCGGAGTGGAGATGCAAATCAAGCCAAAAATACCATATAATTCTAGAAACGAACGCTTGCTAGACTTAGGGCAAATCCTAATAGCTTTGATTCGTTTGAAGTAGAGCGCGAAACGCCTATGTAAACCAAATAGTTTCGTGCTAACAGGTCCCACCTTCTTTCTTTCTGCTTCTTGTGTTGAAAGACTCGTCAGATAGTCTACCAATAGATTCCTATTGCACGAGGTCATCACAGTATCCTCCTTAGTTTCACATTTGGGCCTTTTCCAAGTTCACCTTGGACGTAGACTGTCAAACAATTTCATTTCGTTTCGCAGTTGCTCTTCAGTGATGCGTGTCTGGCGATCATTAACGCCTTCATCATGCTATCATCGGTGGATCAAGCAAAAGATTTACCATTAGCCCTCTATTGGCCCCACATTGTGAACCATTAACATAGCCTGTGTGCTTGGGTGTCGGCTCCGCAAACAGTGTTGGTGAAGAAATTCCGGGATCTCGGGGAACTTGTTCCGGCCTTTCCCCGAGCCTAGTCGAATGAACAGCATAGCCCTGGAGTTCGCAAAATTTTCTCCACAGCTTTTAGTACAAGCTATTCTTTAGTATAGGCTTATTTTTAGTCAAGAACTATTTTTAACTCCAATCTCCGTTTTCTTTCACCATTCTAAGACAATTTGAATGTTTTAGAACCCGTTAAAGCCGATGAAGACGATGAAACTTCGTTCAGAGACGACGAGTGATAGCTCTTATGTAGTACAAACGCCGCCTAGTGGAAAATAGGGTTCCAAAAGGAAATGACCCACTCATCACGTAGATTAAATTTTAAAATCGCGCAAATTCTTTTATAGTGATAGACCCCGGTTTGACCGTCCAGCCTAGCTGCAGCATATCAAAGTAAATAACGCTATCTAAGAATCATCACAGCGATGTGGATAGCTTGAGGGGCGTGTTAGAGACGCTGATGTCGCCGAGTCAATTTGGCTCCGTATAATCTTATGATATTTTTAACACAATCTGTTATTTAACGCTGCATATTACAATGAATACGGGGTAAATCCTGTAATGTCCATAAATGTAATGGAGCCCGCTTTGAAAATGAATATTCCGCGAAGGCCTTTGCAGTGGGACCAGAAAAGAGTGATCAAGAGTCTATTAGTAAAGCCGATTTTGGGAACAACTGTAGAATTTGTCTTTTTTCTTGGCAAGTCAGTAGGAATTCCATCTACGATGAAGACGTTACCAAAATTAACTTCATCATAGGGCTTCGGGGGAAGACCGAAACACGATCGCAAATATCATACCTAGGTATTATATGACCCATGATTTGATTGGGTTGCAGTCTTTCCACCGATGTATTGTAACTCAATGCCAGGTGTCAACTGATTAAACATGCGTTCAAAATACTGCGGGGAAGGAACAAGTCATCATAAGAAGTCATGTAGCATGGCTAGTAGTTTGATCTTCATAGCTTAGTTTTCAGACCGCTCTTGTCCGTCATTGAATGCTTGATACCTCTGTTTCGAGTGTTAAGAATAGTTTGCGTAGAAGAGGCACATGACAGGTGGCTCTGATTGTCTATTAAGATACCCCGTGGGAAGGGGTGTGCCTGGTGCCTGATAATGAAAAATGGATACCTACGAGCGAGAAAATTTGAGAAAAATTTGATAGGAGTATGATGATATTCAGACTAACAGCTGATCCTCTGGGCCAGGAACCTCTCTCTCTAAATCTTATAGATATGCTAATTCTGGTTGCCTTTAACGAGTACAACTTTATATGTAAAGATTGAAGGATAAACGGGGTAATGATTAGCAGGAAGAGGATCGCTTGTGCAGAAGCGCTCACATAAGGCCGCATCTGATCGTAAAGTCATCGACAAAAATCCATTTTCGGACTGATTTTACTAGACCTTAAATGCCATGCTGAAATAGACGCCCCCTATGTCCAAGTATTATCTATATTCATGTTGGTCAAACATAAAATAGAAGATATTTAATTCGAGCTGAAAAGCTTCACCTCAAACATATCGTTGTCAACGCATCTGTAAATATTCTAATATGGAATGTAACGTTTGTAAAAACACACCAACACCATGTGCATATTCCACGTGTATGATAAGGCGCAGGTGTGAAAAGGACAGACATGTGCCATTGAAAGAACCTGACCGGCGCCATATAGACAAAGCAGAAATCTAGACCTCCTGAAGAAGTAATAGAAGTGTCATTGATTAGAATTTTATTAATCAAGTGGCTGCTATTATCATGAAGGCAACTGATGCAAGAATTCTTTGTTGAGGTATTCTCTTTTGCTATAAACTACCAAGATACATAATCTGAAGCGTTGTGGATCTAGGAAGCGAGTTGAGTGGATTTATACAACATTGGCAGGATGTTATACAACATACGCTTCAATAGACTGTATATATTAATAGACCTCGCTTCTGTATAAAACTCGAAAACATCCAGTTCCAAGGCTCAAAAGAAGTATGTGACAAAAATGCATTGCATAACTCCTTAAAGCGGAACATAGCCAGCTCTTGAAAGACTGGGCTATTTACAAAAGAGAGGCAAATAGCAAGAGTCCCACCGCGCCAATAGTAGCCATCGAAACTTTAGTCCGTTTCACGGACCCTGAGCTACTTGTGGATGATGCAGAATTTTTGGTCGTTGAAATAGTGGAAGTTGATGTTGCTGAACTGGTTGTCAAGGAAGCAGTGGCGTTCGCATTTGTATTGCACCAGACCTTGCTTGAATCTGACGCCGCCATGAGGCATTTAGCCAGCTCACCAACAGACTGGTCGATTGCAAGGCAGTAGTAATCGCAGTTGTCGTAAGAGGTGACAGACGCTGTAGAGCAGCAACTTTGCATAATGGCAGAGGAATTGGTATATGCCATAGGCATAGCACATGCAGCCGCATGGGCTGGAATTTCGTAGAGCTTTGCTGAGCAGCTGGAAGTGGCCGTTGCTGAAGTGGTCATGGTGGTGGTGGTGGAAGACATGGTGTCAAATTGAATGAGCGAGTTATCAAAGTAGAGCGAGTGTATAGGTAATTTGGTTGGAAGTGATTGACGCGATGAGAAGTTTCTACCTAACTGCGGATACTGAGCATCTATATATACTTGTCCTTGCAGCCTGAACTTTCCTCGCTCGATTACTAGCCGGCTCGAACTGAGACGCAGGATATTATTCTACGGATGCAATCTCTGCTGTTTGGCTGGCGCCACTTCCTTGCTCCGCCGGCACCATTGGCTCGGTTCAGTCGAAAGCCGGCAAGGCTGTGAATAGAATCTACATCTATTTATATCATCTTTGCAGTCTGGTGGAGCTTGGCACTAGTTTCCACTGTAATTCATTGAGCTAAGAATACACAGTCGGGTGATTCCATTGGAATATACAGGAAAGATTCCATGATACGTACTAAGACCTTTATTAGGCCGCACTTTAGCGAAACTTTCGAAGTAGCTTAGCCGTTAGCTGAGACCAGATCCAGCTCAAACACGTATCAATTGGCTCCGAATATCATGTCAAAATTATTGAATAAATAACTATAGTCCTTACAACATGTGTTCAAGGGGGATACCTGCGTTAGGTGAGTGGCCCTAAGTATCTATGGAAAGATCTCTTCTTACGCCTGCCTGGAAGGGTGTTATAGAACGTTAGACCATTTTACCGTTTGAACGCCCAATATTATCCACTTGCTCAAGGTCACCTTGGAAAAAACTGAAGAGGCATTCGATAGCTTGCTTATAGTAGGAACAGTGGTTGTAAGCTTAAATTCTCAGTCACAGGACTAAGCCCAACCTTCTTAAATTCCGGGTTCCGGGGGAAGACCCGGGGGAAGACCGGCAAGAGTTCCCCGACATCCGCCTTCTCTGTCTCGATGTTCTCCACATGGAAAACTATGACCAATCCCTCAGCAATTGTGATACTAGTATCACCATTATGGAATTTTGAGTCCACTGAAAGGTCAAATGCGCAGAAGGCACCAGCGTTAGTACACCGCCCAACTATGAGCACCTCAAGCCCTTCAGGCCGATCACCTTGGCTGCCGGCTTGGTAGCCCGATGTGAGGTCAATAAAAAAAGATAGATGAGTGGGGATGTCTCAGGTAGTTCTGAAATAATTGTGGATGCAAATATGCCAGAGCCATTCAGGGGAATAGTAATGGTAAGAGCCACCTAGGTGTACGTATCACCTCCGGTGAGATCTGCATCTGCAGAGACCTAAGAGAATTCCTGTAGACTATTTATAAATATTTTTCATTCGTTCAAATGTCTTCTCAAAGCAACAAAAGCCGCCATTAATATATTATATCTTGAGAAAAGGGTAATGCTTGACAGGAGATGATCTTAATATTGCTGAAGCATGTTCAAAACAGTAAGAATATACCTATGCTCATAGTGGCTTGATTAAGCCTGCAGAGAGCTCGGCTGGGCGCGGGTCGATCTCATATGGAGCCGCATAGTCATTGTCAGAGCTGCTAGCAATGTTGCATTTTCACTAGCCTACAGAGTAGCGGTAGATCTCTCACCACTACCTGGGACCTACCCGTCTCTGTGGCTGTATCGCACCCACAGACGTTCCAGGTTTATCCAGAAGTTTACGTATGCTCATCCAGAATATCTCATCGTAGCCAAAACATTGGCTCCTTCCTCTTCTGTAGTCCTGTTTCTATAATTGGTTACTCCGATTGAAGCCTATAAAGGCTGGCCTATAGTAGATACAAAACTTAAGAATCATACCGGAACAAAAAAAAACATCCTCAAGCTATCCCAGACAAATCTTTACTATGCGGTTCTCTTCTGTGTTTTTGTCATGCAGCTTGGCTTTCGTGGCTGCTGCCCACCCCGGCCCCCATGCTGAGCCATTGGAAGCTGAAATGGCGCACAAGGCAAAGCTCTCCGCCCGCTGTGCGCAGCATGTCGCTCAGTTTAACGCAAAACGTTGGAAAAGGGACCTCGGCGCGCCTGGAAACACCACTGTCCAGATTCATACGCAGGCCCCCTTTTACGAGATTTTGCAGAATGACACTTGCGTTCTCACCCCTGAGGTCACTGCAGGCCCCTACTACTGGCCACGGTCTCAGACCCTTCGGCAGGATATGACCGAAGATCAGGTTGGAGTGCCTCTGTGGCTAGATATTGGAGTTATGGATATGGCCACCTGCGCTCCTTTAGAGGGTGTGATGGTTGACTTCTGGCACTGCAATGCGACGGGAAGCTACTCTAGTTTCACCGAGTTGTCTGCCAATACCAAGTTTTCTCAAGTTCTTGCCGAAGAGGGCAAGAACATCTCGGACTTTGTTGTGGGCAGCACGGACATTCATACCGACTCCGAAACTTGGCTTCGGGGCATGTGGCCAACTGACAAACATGGAATGATGCAGATGAAGACTATCTTTCCAGGTAAAAGAAAAACCCCCATGTCACGCGATCTCAGACAAGAGAAGTTCTTTCAAGCTAACATGTCGATATCGGTAGGTTTCTACATTGAGAGGGCAATCCATATCCACGTTCAAGTTCACACCGACTGGACTACTCGCGAAAACGGAACCCTGGTCTTCGAGAACACCGTCAGCACCGGACAATTGTACTTCGACGAAAAGTTGGAAGAGAAGATTATGGCATTGGAGCCTTATGCCTCCCATACTCAAATTAACCGCACCCGCAATGATGTGGATATGGAGTTTTCCAAGGGTACTAAGAATGGGTACAACCCAATTGTCTCCGTTGTGCCTCTCGATGAGCATGACCTTTCGAAGGGATTGATTGGATACATCACAATTGGAGTGGATACCTCGGCTGTTGAGGATGAACATTGGTCTGCATCTTAAGAGCCATCTTGGGTTTGAGGGACAAGGGCAGGATCTTCAAAGCTGCTTAGGCGTCTTCAACTTGAGTGCACCGGAAACTATGTTATCCGCCACCCAGCTATGAAGATGATTTGCTGCCATTTCGTTGGAAAGACAGCTTCGTAAAAGACAGCCAATTCGAAGACATTTAGTTAGAGACATTCATTTATAGACATTCATTTATAGACATTCATTTATAGACATTCATTTATAGAAATCCATTTATGGAAGTTCATTCATTGACACACGCCTGCTTCTCTCTCTGTACGCAAATCCACCTTAGTCTTCGGCGCTTGTTTATCGGAACTGGGAAAGGAGAGCAAGAACGTCTGAAATATCGAGCTATGGAGAGCTATGGAAGAAAGAGAAAGCGATCTAAGACAGACAGGAGCTGCAGAGCTGGATGTAAGTATATGTTGTGCGAATCTTGGGTCCCTCCTTGCAGCTAAAGGCTTACGCAAGAAAATAACCCACAGCATGTTATGTACGCCCCCTCGGGGGCCTCATAGTCCAGCCATGTAACGACTGAGGTGGTAGTCACACTGGATCTTGAGGATAGAGGCTTCTGTGCGATGTTGTTTGGCTCGACTAAGCAGGATTCCTCGAACTCCCATGGCTATTGAGCCCGAGAAATTGCCGTCAACCCTATATCTTTCAGACCAGTAGGTCCCTCATGCTGGATCAATTGGGCTTCATATGGGGCAAACATGATTTAAATCTTCAGGCGCAAAGCCTATGCGTAGGGTTTGATAATCATGTTATAACGGTGGAATTTGGACCTGAATCAGCATGCTATATGCCATCTGCAGTCCGCCATATGCTCGGAGGCTGATTGAAATGATGCTTCGACCCCTTTTCGAAGTAGGTGACACAAATGAATGCATTGATCATCGTGCAGGCGATCAACAATATAGCTGTCGATGCGAATAGGCCCAATGAAACCCGGCAAGAGATTAAGCTATAATCTGAACTATATAGTGACAATAGCGTTTTGACCTGATTGCCAATGAGAGCGCTCATGCACAGCTACGTGAGTTAGCACAAGAAGACAGATAGAGTAGAAAGATCCTCTTACCATAGGGAAAAACATTGACTTTTTCATCTCTTTTCGGCAGAAAATGGCAGCCAGAAATAGTGCCATGATTGCAACGGGAACCATGGCGGCGTTGAGGATGAAGTCATTGTCAATTTCGCCTAAGACGAGCAGGACTTCTACTTGACTTCCAAAGATGAAGAAGAAGTCAAATTTTAGCAAGGTAACGTACACCTACAGCGGGCCATTAATAAATAGACCTGCGCGAAGACAACGTATGAAGCGTAGAGAGTCACCTGATAAGTGTAGAGCTTCCGGTACATCTGTGAATCGGCGCTGATATCCTTATAAATCGACCACGAGAACTCCGCTCTCAGCCTCCACGTCATACCTATCATGGAGATCACCGCCATTCCCATGATAGTCGGCACAAGTATCAGGTGAATATGAAAGTACTCGAAAATTCCGCTGCTCAAAACGCTCCTTACCCACCAAATCTGTAAGATTCCCCACGACAACAGGCCCACATTGCAGAAACATACTCCGGCAAGCTGGAAGATATTTTGCACCTTAGTGCATCATATGAGAGGGCAAGTTCATAGACAAGAGCAAAAATAGCCAATCCGAGGAAGGCGCGGAAAACTGATCGTCAGGATTTTCCAACTTTTCCCGGTGTAGATCACTCACGATAACAGGTAATATTGATAGACTGTGGTTTACGTGCGGAACAGCGTTATCAAGTCCTTTGTATGTGTATCATGAAATCATGAGATCGAAATCAAGTATTTACATTATCAAAACAATTTTGCATCATGAAGGGCAACTTGATTGACCACATTTTGGACTTATTTTCAACGCCCGAGGGAACATCGGGATATGCTTACCGGTATCCACCCTCGTACCCACCTTCTCATATCCAATAATAGAGGTCTCTCAGAAATTTGGAACGCGCTGGGAAAACATAGAGTTACTCTCACCTGCCCAGGTGCTCTTCTCTTGCCGATCTGAACGATATCTACTTCAGAGACCCAGGACATTTTCCAGCAACTATTGCTACTCTTGTCGCCAAATTACGACCAATGAACTAAGTATGCGGATTCCCTCAGCTCTCTTGTCAACCCCCCGAGAATCATTTTTCGGAGAGTATGCAGGGCCTCTCACAAACCATGGCGTGTGGCCTTGACCATTTGCGTGGCCATGGTCCTCCCATTGCAAAAGGCTGCAAAACTCAAAGTTCGCATCTTCACTTTTGCTCGGGTTAATGATGGTTGATATGGACCCCAACCCTAGAAGAGCACACCCCAAGCTCGGCAACAGCTGCTGACGAGGAGGATTTGCTTCTTGAAACTTCCATGGTAAATGTTTGTGATTTCACTTCGTTCGTGAAGGTCGTCATATCAATCCCATCGATATTTCGGTATAATAAAGAAATCTATGCTTCTTCTACCTTGCTCACGGTGATATATTCTCGGATAAAAAGAAGATTTGATGGATCGAAAATTATTGTGTCCCTAGGAATTTGAGGTTCTTATATCTAAGAGCAGCTGCAATCGCTACTGCTTTTAGCCTTTCAATGTACAAAGCCCTTTGTGTTGAAGACTTAGTATCCATAAGACACCAAGACTTGTTTTGAACAATGGAACCGCTGCTTGAGTTGCCGGTAGGTGTCATTATGTCAAGTTTGACAAAGACCTTGTAAATACAAATAATGAGAATTTCGCGTTACGGAAGCTAAAAATAGACACTTTTTTGGAGTCTGCACTATGCTGATCATCGTGAAGTCGAGAACTCGGGTGAAGGACAATAGTCAGTCGATAGACATTGAACATTATTTCGGTGTAAATGAAGCTCATTATGGATTTGATTGCTTAAATTGGATTACTTTTCATCAATTAATGTGCGCTGAGATCCTGATAAACTAATGACGACGATTAGATTCAAGCTAGAGTTGTGACTGATGTTAGTTACTCGAGTATGTACAGTCCGAAAACCTTTCTTTTAAGACTCGCGTTTGATTTTGTCAGCCGCCTGCCTCTTCCTGTTCTCTTCACTCTCTGTGAAACTTCCCAAAGACATTCTCGACAAATTCGTCGGGGCTTAACCGTGCCAGTCTCTCATCTGTAAGGAAATATGCTTTAGGGAAGCCCACAGGAATATCCTTCCCAGACACCATCTCAGCCAAGGACTCCCCAGTGAGCCAGGATTTGTCCATTCCGTGACCATTGTATCCAGCAGCAATCCATTCATCCTTTCCTGCTCTCCCAGTCACACTCTCACTAAGCTTGCCTACCAATGGTAGACCGTCCGCAGTAAAGCCCATGATGCCAGACCACATCTTCTTCACTTCTGGTGCTGTGTCATTCCAGCCTTCACGGAATATGGATGGTAAGATAGTGGCGAGATTTTCAGCAGGAATGGGTGGAAGGACTGTATCGTCGCTCACAAAGACTTCCTGAGCTTTCTGTTTCTCGCCTCCAATAAAAATGTCGCCTGAATCGGGGTCTTGGGTGATGTAGTACAATGTGTATGACCATACACCCGTTTCTGGGTCCATGATACTTTTGCTAAGGTAGTTCCAGGAGACGCTTGACCCTTTGTTTGGAAACCCTTTACCGGCAGCCTGTGTCGACATGGTTCCTCTGAATGGAAACAGCTTTCCACTCAGGCCAGGGAGCAGGTGGGCTGCATGGCCATTGGTGCAGTGAACCACCTTGGTAGCCGATATGGTGCCTCGTGGCGTGTCAAGTTTGTATGAGTAGGGATCCTCTGGGGATTCAGCTGAGAAGGAAATACCAGTCACTGGCGTACATGCTTCGATTGTAAAACGATCGGAGTACCTTTCCAGCAGTATCTCGAATATGCCAGTAATCAGCCGGTATGGCCATAATGCACCAGCGCCATGCTGTTCCATAACACCATATAAGTTTTGATAATTATATTTCTGCCACGTAGATGAGCGCCAGTTCATGTGCTTCAAAGCCATAAAAATGACTTTGTTCAATGTCAAGGTCATATCTTACCTCCAAGGCTTCCTCCTTCCCTAGTAGAACAGACATCCCTTTAAGATCGGGCAGTGCCTCTTCGAATGCAGCCAAGGCCAGTCGTGCCTCTTCGAGAGATTCTTCATCTCCAATGACTGACGTGGTAGTCACTTCTCTGAACTTAGATTTCTCAGCTAGATCGCCGCCAAATGAAGCGACGACATCCCTTAGCCGTTGCATGCTAGCTAAACTGAATCTGGCAACTTCCACAGCCTCGTCAGTGCCCAAAGTCGCTGATACCAAACCAAAGCTCTCCAGGCAGTCTGAAACAAGATGGCCGCCATTACGGCCAGTCGCACTACTTGTCACTTCACGAGCCTCCAAAATGGTCACCGTCTTTCCAGCCAATGACGGGTCTTCCAACAGTGTCTTGGCAACACTGCAACCTGTGATTCCAGAACCAATAATAGCAATATCCGTCGTTGATGGTAGCTCTGGAGACTGTCTAGAGGAGATCGTAGGATGCGGCGGCTCTTGCCAGAAAGCAGCGGTGGGGTTGGGTCTTGGGAGCAGCGGATCGGCCTTGAGACAGGCCACGAGTGCATCTATAAAATCCAACGATCATGTGAGTGGGAAAAGCCCGCGCTATCAGATAGAATAGTAGACCAACCTTTTGAAAACATGGCTCAGGTGGTTGACAGGGTGACTGCGTCAGCTGATGCCTGGAGTTACCAATAGATAAGCTCAATTGGATTGTTGATGAGTGAGGGTAGTGAGTGGAAAGAGCCAAAAGGTCCGTGTGATACCCCGTTATATAGCGGCTTATCCTCTTCAAATCCCCTGGTCCCTGTTTCTATTTCAATAGAGAAAGTCCTGCCGAAACAAGCTCACGCTGTTGATTATCAGATGCGACGGTGTATGCGGGGTGGGACAGATAAGCACCGGCCCATTTCATGTGCGTTGATTGGCTGGCATCATCGGGGTGGGGCTGTGACCACACTACGCCACACCCTGACCAATGGTAGCACCGTGGGGATATAGATCAGCCTCACATCATAAAGGCATATTATAAACTTAGTGCCCGGCCCCGATTTTGGCGATTAGGCCACCTCGACATGATGGCATCAATCACAGGACATTTTTTGGTAACCAATCATTGGTATGTGCCTAGGACCAGACCAAAAATGTGACCGCCGGTTCTCCGGTTACCGGAAATCATGATCTGGTTTATTTAAACCTCGAAGTGGTCTTTGAAAGCCGAAATCTCGAGATTCTCTCTTCAACAATTTTCTGACTACCTGAGTGCGAGGGCCGCGACTCATGATGAGTATCACCAGTGAGTACTTGATCCTTCCTAGCCTGAGAAGACAGAAGCTGAAATTAATTTTTAGAACGAATGCAAGCCCTGCTGAATAAGCCGCCTGGGCTCCCACATCCTCGACCAACGGTGTCAGCCTGGCAGGAACCACGTCATCCGACAGTTGGGGCAACTCAATCGTCCAAGCTACCATCTGAAGTCGACGTTGCCATCATTGGGTCTGGGGTGACTGGCTGCGGCGTCGCGTACACACTGCTGAATCACCCAAATGCTTCAAAACTCCGGGTTATCATTCTCGAGGCGCGCGAAGCAGTCAGTGGTGCCACGGGCCGCAACGGAGGTCATCTTGTGTCAAATGCAGATGACCTATTTCCGCCAGTGGCTGAAGCAATGGGGATGGAAGAAGCAAAGAGTGTAGCACATCTGAGCGAAAGAACAATTGCTCGGTTGAAAGAGATTGTTGCTGGCTTGAGCAAAGAGGATCAAACAGCAGTAGAACTGCGATGTCTGGCTAGTACCATTGTGTTTGAGGATATGGACACTTTTCGGGAAGCTCAACAGGCGATTGAATTTGTCCAGCAAAATAAGGACCAGTCAGCTTACGCACTACCAGAAACGATGGTTTCCGTGGAACATGCTATTGAAGTGAGTATGCAGACGCCCATCATCATTTACCCCCTTCTAACAACATTTTGCATTCAGAAGTGGAAATACACCTCGAATATTGTTGGTGCGGCTCAACAAACGGGTGCCGCTGCATTGTGGCCATACCGCCTGTTTACAGCCCTGTACAAAATTCTGCTGGAACAGAACCCCGGCCGATTTACATTGGAGACCAACACGCCTGTTACTTCTATCATCCATGATTCGAAGGCTGCTAAAGATAACGCAGCGTATTTGCTTCAGACACCTCGAGGATCAATTCGAACTCGCCATGTCATTCACTGCACAAACGGCCACGCCGGCCACTTGATCCCGGGACTGGTAGGGAAGCTGTGGCCAGTACGGGCGACTATGTCGCATCAGAAAATGGGACCCTCATTTCCACAGCTAGGGGGCCAATTTTCTTGGACCTACCGAAACAAGCCAAGTCTAGATCCATCCACGGGCATCACCGATATCGGATTATACTACGCTCAGCAAAATGCCCGGACAGGTGATCTCTGGATTGGTGGTGAAGTACAGAAAATCGATGAAATGCTGAGCGCGGATGATTCGGTTGTTTCGGAGCTTGCCAAAAGGAACCTATGCTCCGTGGTGCCTAAGATTTTGCATGGCTCTGGGCCAGTTGAGCCTATATCTGTCTGGTCTGGTATCATGGGCTTTACTGCTGATGGACTACCACTGGTTGGGCAGCTGCCTCCAGCTTTTACAGAGCGTGCGGGTGGTGGTGAATGGATTGCCGGTGGCTATAACGGGCATGGTATGGACAAGGCCTGGTCATGTGGCGAAGCGGTTGCTCAAATGATTCTGGGTGAGCAGCCGCCATCATGGATGCCGAAGTCATTCTTACTAGGTGAGGGGAGGCTTAAGCTCATCATTGAGCAAAATGAGCAAAGTCTGCCATCTATGTTTCTCGAAAGAATGGGGATTCTTCACGGCGACAGTACTGATTCTCTCATGTCTCGCTTATAAAGAACTGATACTGCGTGAATGTTTATATTAGATATATAAGTAGGGCTTCAACATAGGAATTCATGGAATAGGACCTGTAGCATGGGTACTTCTGATGATCGCATCTTTCTGTGGCAAGATTACTAGCCCTGAGGGGGACATATGAGAGCCCTCCTTGACATTTACTCCTTTGTGCATGAACTTTGTCCTTTGATATTCAACCACCGTTCGTTAAATATTGCGTCCACGGGTGTGGTATGGCTTGAAGCCATGTAAAATGGGTCTTTGAATAGAAAATGCAGAGGAAGAAGATGCTCCCAGATGACATTCATCGCCGTTGGACTGACGTTGTTCCCACCAGCGTCTCACAGAAGATATCCGAGCACAAGGAAAATGCCCAAAGTGCTATAAAAGAAGTGCCAGCTAAAGTCCAACATGGTAAGAGTGTTTAAGCAAATGCATAGTCAAAGGGACCTTTGGTGACTCTTGCTATTTGATGTTCGGAACCCGGAATTAATAGCCAAGGGCTTCCATTTCTATCTGGCTCTGACTTTTTCAATCTCCAGCAAGTTTAGTATCTAGTATCTAGCTGACAGCATATTTTTGATTCAGGAAGTAGATCTGTGGATGATTAAGGTGGGTATACCTAGTAGATTCGGGCCGAGTCGTGGTGGGGCTTTTTAGGAGGCTTTTCGCGCTGATAAGAGAATAAGATGACGCGGCTGCCTGGTCCAACTTTATCAGACAACCTTTGCAGGTTGTATCTTTCTTTCTGATACAACCTTCCAGGACAGGGCCTGCGAAAGATGTCCACCACTGTTATCACCGCCGCGGTGAATACTGGGGATGCTGTCCCTCTGACCGACTTGATCACGTCGCCATCCGCACCCGCACCCGTAGAGAACGATAACAAAGAAAAAGGTACCCTGGAAGCAGCCAGCATCATCTTCATCCTGACAGGGGTCACTTTTATCAGCGTCTCTGGTACAGGAATTCTTACCACCGCGCTACCACAGATCGCCCGGGACATTAACCTCGACAATGACCTCTTACTGTGGCCAGCATCGGTATATGCTCTCGCGGCAGGGTGTACTCTCCTTGCCTTTGGCGCCGTAGCCGACATCGTCGGCTCCAAGTATATGTGGCTCCTCGGAAGTGGCGCCTCTACGTTCTGGATCCTGGGATGTGGACTCGCCCAGAGCGGCACTCAGTTCATAGCTTTTCGAGCCATGCTGGGCATCTTCGTGGCCATGTGTCTGCCCACGTCAATGAGCTTGGTGACAGCTTCGTTTCCTCAGGGGCCGAGGCGCAATGTTGCTTTTGCGGTGACTGGCATGGGTCAGCCACTGGGTTATGCAGCCGGATTGATCCTCGGGGGTGTATTGACTGATACCATTGGTTGGCGTTGGGCTTTCTATATCACGACAATTCTGAACTTCTTCCTATTTATCGCGTCGATATTCATGTTGCCGAGCACAAAGCCTCACAAGGTCTCGCTCAATCGCGTTTTAAACGAGATCGATTGGACTGGGGTCCTCATTCTCTCGGTTTCCCTAGGGCTACTGTCCTATGTATTAGCGTATGTATTAGCGATTCGCAAATTTCTCCATTAGCATGCTAAGTTTTTGCAGGATGATTACTCTTAGCTATGAGAGAATTCACGATGCGCAAAATATCGCCATTTTGGTAGTATCGGTTGCATTGCTGCCAACATTCACCTTCTGGATGCACCGACAGGAGAAGCGTGGAAAACCTGCCTTGATACCAAACTCACTATGGCAAAGCGTGCCATTCCTTTCGGTCTGCATATCAATGTTCCTCACTTGGGCGGCATTCAATGCTTTTCAATACCAGTCCACTTTATAGTACGTCATCTGCACTTTTGTCTGGGTTTCAAATTTGATACTAAGTGAGAAATAGCTTCCAGGATATACAGGATCTTTCCGCTCTTCAAGCCTCCATCCGATTCCTACCGATGGCGGTGCTCGGTGTTCTTACCAATTCGGCGACCGCATACTTGGTCACCAAAGTCCAAGTCAATGTTTTATTAGGAATTTCGGCACTGATAACTTCTATATCACCGATCTTGATGGCCCTTGCCAGTCCCTCCTGGACTTATTGGACTGCGACATTCATTGCAATGACATTGAGTCCGCTCAATGGTGACGGTAAGCTAAGACTGCAAACTTATAATACCGCAAATCAATATGCTGACCTTCCTAGTCCTTTGGACCGTTTCCAGCCTAGTCATTTCTCGCTATTTTCCAGGAAAATCGCAGGCACTGGCTGGCGGTGTTTTCAACACAATCTCCCAGCTGGGTAACTCGGTGGGACTAGCAATCACTGCCGCGATTGCAGCCTCGGTGACTGCCCATAAAGACAGCTCTGGTTCTGAGGAGGCTCTTCTACTAGAAGGCTATCGCGCAGCATACTGGACGATCTTCGCTGCCATGGTTCTTGTATGCTTTTCCAGCTCAATTGGCCTTCGCCAGCTAGGCAAGGTCGGCATTAAACAGGATTGAGTGCGATGAGGAAATCCGCCATCATCTTTATCCTGCAATGTCAAGTCCTATGCGATAAGCGCATAAGATATATAATTTACACATTCAGGATTGCTGTGAAACATGGGAAAAGCAGGCTTGATAACATACATAAATTCTCGGCATCGAAGTTCCAAGACAGAACAGGCTTGTCTGATCGCAAGCTCATATAATTAGGTTATATCGTGCCTTGTGACTAAATTAATCTACACCAAAATGGTGATCAGCCTGACACTGCATTGCGTTACGTAGTCACATCCAGTCATAAGATCATTACGAACATTTCCTTCCAACTATCTGCGTAGTTGAGAAGAGTATGAATTAACCTGGGGCTTGGGCCAGTGGGCTGTCCTCACACGACTAAGCCTATTTTGAAAGGGGCTCAACCAAAAAGCAAACCTGATTACTGCCATTTAAGCAAAGTATCTCCTCTGCCTTTTCATTATCCGCGGGCACACCGTCTCCGAAGAGAATATCCTTGGATCTGGGTCGACCGGATGCCAAGAGGATTGTCTCTCTGGCGCCAAAAAAAAAGTATCTGGCGTGGTTCATTAATGAAGGCTGATGTGTCAATGAAAGATTCCCCTATGGGCAAAGCTTGCTATGAGCTTTAGATTGAAGATTTCTAAGTTCTGTTGGTCCTGGATCACTCCAGGGCTAATTACTACTACACGTTGACGGTATCACCACCTCCATACCAAAGACGTCCTCTCCGAATCACCAAGTTCTGCTGTCCAACATCCCATTCACCCCCCTTGGGGATGGTGCCATTCGCCTGAGGCCAGAACTCACTTTCCAGTTTCTTATTGATGGTCTCGATTTTATCCACCAGCAATTTGACGCGCGCACGATCAAGCTCTGCGCCTTTCGTTCCCTGCACGAGAAAATCATCATTATTGATGAAGCGTGCGATGGTCACATGTGCCGATGGAACGATATACCGCGAAGCCACCGGGAGTTGGGCTTGTCGGACCATCTGGAACACATCTCGGCGGAGGTGGTGATACGAATAGTCATCATTGTCTTCATCTTGCGAATTTTCACCCGCAGCTGGAACAAAGCTTAGTGCCATTGCAGAGGCATCGAAGCTGACCATCGGCTTCAAGAGACGTGATTTGTGAGCAATGGGATATTCAGCAATCTGAGCTGCAGTTACATCTTTGGAAGCCTGCAGGATTTGAACTAGCTCCTCAATCTCCTTTTCGGTCAGGGAGTGGGCAACTTCCAACACCGTTGTGTGCAAGTTTTCAGGGGGCATAAGCCAAATCGCTGTTTTAAAGTGTGTAAGTTCCAGGGACTGGGTTCAGGGCTCAAACGTCATCCAGGAGGCTTACAAGGGGAGATCTCCTTCAACTCGCTTTGAATAAAGCAGATTAGATCACGTATGTGAGGAGGGGGCCTGGCCCAAATCACAAGGCAGTTTCGAGGATCAAGATATCCATCTTCCTTTCCCGGGCCATCCAGTCGACTCAGGATAGGGTCCAAGGACCACCCAGGAAAGCTGTCTGCTAGGATTTTCGTGCCCTGCTGCTCATTTCTAGCCACACGATGATCTTGATATCGCGATTGCAACGCAGTCTGTGCCAAAGTAAACAAGGTCAACGATTCGCGCCCTGAAGCAATTTATGGACATATCAATGACTTACGGGATCATCGTTGGTCTCTTTGATCAAGACCTGAAAGGGATTGTCCTCAAATAAGGCAAGCGGAGACATGGTGAAAAAGGCTGAGGAAATTGATCGGTACTCTGTTTTCGACCAAAGTCCAAAATGCTTTGGGATGGTGCTGCTTATTAGTAACTCCTCTTCGTGAGATTAAGATGCTTGGCACTTACGAATTATTCATGAGTCATGTACTGAAATAACTGAAACACGGCTTCAATCTTCAGCAATGAAACAGGATACGAACAGGATGGCCCCGCAGTGGGGAACTTCCCCAACGTCACTAAGCTTATTTTGGAAGCGAGGATATCATTTTCTTTGTGGCTTCTTGCTCAGCCACGATAATACATAGGGGACCCAAGATAGGGGGTGAACAGAATGGACGTGATTGGGATACCCATGGTTGAAAGTGGTAAAGGGCGTGCTAGTAATGTTTCTTCGGAAATTGGCAGGTCTGCGATTGAACTATCGCGGTCTCCAACCGGCTGTGCATCCTTTCTGCTCGCAATTCAACAGGTAGTTTGTAGCATTGCAACATATCATTGTCGTGGTTCTAGTTCCCGCAGCACTTTAGTGCTTCCATGGTGGGATCTCAGGATGTACATATTGCAGCAGGCCTTTGCACGGACCAGGGCCCAAATCGGGTCTACCCGATTAGTCAGGTGATGGCGATACACGTGCCCTCGGCCCTCGGGGTTTGGTCATAAGCATCGAGCTTACGAAGAATCAGGCTCCCGGTTCTCGGAGCTACGGGGCCCGATGCTTACAATCCATGAGCATCTCCGCAACTTGGAAAACGCGCTTATAGAGATCCGGTGAGATCAACACATTAGCAAGCAACCATACCTGGTTCACTATATAGTTTTCCTGTCCAGGCAGCTCCCTCTGCTTTCCATCAACTCTTTATATTCCACAGCTTTATAAAACCATCCCAGCTTCCTTCTATCACGTTAATATATCTGCAACAGCATTACTTCAAATCATCAGTGACACTTCCGAGCTTTTCCTGACATTGAAAATTCCCCAGGTCGACAGCGTATTGCACCCTCCCTCAGCTTCCAACATGGTTGACCTTCAAACCGTGCTCCAGTCTAACAGCCGTCTCCAAGACGTGAAAGACCCTCAAGTTGCTCTATTCGTAGGGGCGACATCTGGTATTGGCCTCGGAATCCTCAAAGAATTCGCGCGAAATTCGGCGAACCCTCGAGTTTACATCGTCGCCCGTAATGCAACCGCAGCAGCTCCTCTTGCTGAAGAGCTACGGCTCATGAGCCCTGGTGGCCATTTCGAGATCATCGAAATGAACGTTTCGCTTATCAAAGACGCCGTGAAGGTAGCGGAATTCATCAAATCCAAAGAGTCCTCGTTAGACTTGCTTTGCATGTCAGTAGGCTTTTTCTCGTTGGATGGAAGACAGGGTGAGTGCTCACGATCTAGATCGCATTATGATGTATACTTATCGATTTTAGATACAACTGAGGGTCTAGACGCCAGTTTGACGACTCGTCATTACTCCCGTATTCGGATTGCTCAGCTTTTACTTCCTCTACTCAACCAGTCTAAAAGCCCGCACGTACTGTCCATACTCGCGGGCGGGGAAGAGGGACCTATTCATGAGGACGATCTAAGCTTGGATAATCCGAAAAACTTTTCTGTTGGCTCTAGTAACTCCCATGCTGCTACCATGATGACATTTGCACTGGAGCACCTCGCCTCCGAAAACCCTCGAATTAGCTTCGTTCACGCTTTTCCCGGGATTGTGGCCACTCCGCTGTTTGGTAAAATCGCCGGTGGTGTCCTGGGTATGGTACTGCGTTATATCGTGGCTCCGGTGCTCAAGTTGTTCCTTAGAAGTGTGTCTGAAGCAGGCCAAAGGGGCTTGTTCATGGCTACCAGTGCACGTTATAGTGTGGACGATGGCATAGTCCCGCTGGCCGAGGGTTCACAGAAAGCACAACGGACCGAAGGTGGTGTTTTCACCATTAATGCGCATGGTGAGACTGCCGATAATGCGAAGATCCTTGCAGATTTCAGAAAGCGAGGTGTGGATAAGAAAATTTGGGATCATACAATGGAGGTTTTTGATATTGTGTCGTCGCGCTGAATCGAGGTGGCATACACCAGAATTGTTGTTCGACCCATTTTTGACCTGACTGATGATGCTTCACGATCATGTTTACTTTCAAAATAATAGTAATAATATAATCTGTTTAATGTAAGATATTGCTTCTCATACTAGGATAATCTGTTTTTTACAAGTTATCATACCGATCCTCACTGAACCTTGCTGAGGGGCAGTATTCTACATCATCACTGTTCTCACACCTCGCAAACGAATTATATCGATCATCCTTCGCAAAATTGTGGGCTGAAGCAGGCCTCTGCGTACTATCTACAACCCAGGAATGAGTAAAGATTGTACTGAAGGTCCACTTCTGCTCGCCGTTTACTTACAACTTAACCATTCTCACCCAGAGTTCCATACCAAGCAAGTACCTCAACAGGTGTTATTGTGAGAACTCAAACAGAATTTACCTTCTGATGAACCGATGTGTCTGGTATAGTCGAAACATCATTTGGCAAATTTGTCATCCATGAGTTTATTCAGGCCATATGGGCATGCTGAGCATCAATATAGATATCGCATCTCGTGAGTCATGACTTGATCTTTGTATCTTATATTCAAAAGTCGGAGCCGATGAATAGCTAGAACGAGATAGACACGAGGTCTGGGCTGCAAGTTAGCCGTACTGCTATATTTAAAAATTGCTCGCGAGGCTACCCATTAGGCAACCAGGCTCGCTGGGGGCATATTTCTGCTAGAGTTGCTCGGCATGACTCGAGGCCCGCATGAACGACCCTATGAATGATCCTAACGCTGAACCTCAAAAATGAAGTAAGATATCTAACTCCAAATGCCTCATGAGATCAGCGCTTTTAGCGCCCTATCATTTCTTTGTCGCACTGCATTGGAGTTTAGTTGGCATTTCCTTAAAAGGTATTTGAGGGCGACGGCCTGAGTTGATTGGTTGGGGATGTTTTGATTTGCTTGTTCGAGATGCAAGTGACAAAAGAAACCATCGCGTATCGCTCGATGATTCGCCAGACATGTACATTGCTTAGAGTCTCACTCGGGTTAAGGAGCAAGTGTATTCCTTGGCGCGGCGCCAAATCGACAAGAAGTGGCAAGGCTGAGTTTGAGGTTGTACAGACTCGACCGCGATTGCAGTTTGTTATCATCGAAAGACTTCCTCAGCTTCGTTGAAGTAGTGAATTTGAGTTATCAATACGAAGGTGTGGTGGGGTATCTAAACACTGTTGAGATAAGGCCGGAATTCGTGAGAGCCAAAGAGATCCTATAAAGCCCGGTCAACAGGGACCACGTCTTCTTCTCGTGACATGGATTCACCTTTCATCCCCATACTAGCAAGGCGGACATACTGGCATCCACAGCCAGTAATGAAATTGGTGCCACAACGGCGAGTGAATGGACAGCGGGTAGGAATGTGCGAGACGTGTAGGGAGCGGGGAGTGAAATGCGGTAAGCACAGTCTCCGTTCATCAGACTTTCCGGTGTCATCTTTTGGGCACTTACCTTGCACCCCAAAACTCCCTAATCTTGTTCTTTTTCTTCTCTTCGATTGTGATCCAATAGATTAGTCTAATTTGCTTCCAGATAAGCGAGAGCCATTTTGCGTGTCAGAATGCTGGCATTAAATGCAGTGGTTATGGATCATCATATAAATTTGTTTCCGTTCAGCCACGAACGAATCGTTCACGACAGGTGACAGAGAAGAGAGCTCGTAGCACCGTGAGAGGGCCGAGCGGCAACAGAAAAATACTTCCTGCAGCTCGACAGCCATCATTTGCTTCGATTCCTAATCTCCCTCTAGATCCAGTCACAAATTTCCGGGAGTATTTCTTGTCTCGACTTACCGGTAACAATGTGTCTCTTCTCCACGGCTATACAGGCTGTTGACCGGGTTTCTGAACCAAAGCTTGCCTGAAGGGTCACTGCAGCACTGGTGTATGAAGGCACTTGCAGTGAGTTATTACTCCATTAGAGCTTCAGATCATCATGCATATCGGGAAGGCATAGAGACATATTGCGGTGCTTTGCAAGCTGTCTCTAAAGACATGAGCCGCTCTAATCCACGGACAGAAATGGACCTGCTTTTGAGTATAATGTGTCTTCGTGTGTATGAAAAATTGTCGTCACCAATGCTAGATCCTGGATCGAACATTACAAAGGGATTTCTCGACTGGTGAGTGGGTCGTGTGAATCTTGTTACTGCATTTGCTGACCCTTAACCACAGATTGAGCTGCATGGACCAGAACATTATTCTGCAGGGCAAAATCGAGAAATTCTGCTAGCATTTCGCTACACAATTGTCAGTACAATATTCCACTGGTGGATGCAGGGCCAGGCCTTATCAAACCCATCACTAATACACTCATAGATTATTAGCGCTGGAACACTTCGTCAACCCTGCTTCCTGGCCAAGGAGTCTTGGAAAAATGCCATAGAACTGACTGAAGCTGAATCGTGCGATGTGTATAGCACTTTGCTCAACATCTCAGTTGATATACCTGGATTTTTGCATGACCTGGACTCTTTAAAAGCTGGCATGCTTTCAAATCCATTGGATTGTGTTGCGTTGGCAGTAAATTCGAAACAGACGTTGTTTTCTCTTCAATGGTGGTGGAATGCCTCTTTTCCTATTCTCGCAGTTGACGGAGACTCATGCTTCTGCAGCTGCTTTTCATCATATGATTCTTCTTCTTGTAGAAGAACTTTGTCATTTGCTGCAAGTTCCTTGGCTACCGGTAACACCTTTGTCGTGCAGATTCTCGCTCGGATTTATGAAGGCATCAAGCACAATTGGTCGGGCACAGCGCAAGCACATTTTGGCGAGTGAGATACTGGATCTGGCTAAACAGTCCATAAGCGGCGACACTGCCATCCATGGCGTTCTTGCCTTCATTATGCCCTTGCACGTGGCACATGATAATCTTCTTCCAGTGAGTTCAGAGAAGAGTCACATCGAGCACCTCATGAATACGGTCATGGCCGCGCAACATGGATTCCGCATGGTACGGCAGCATGAAGGAATGTATAAGCCTTTCGAAGATGTACACTTGTAGTTGTTGAGGGAAATTACCAGGCTTTCGGGGTATGAATAGCTTAATGACAGCGTTTTTTTCTTCATAGAATCTACCAAAGCGAGTCAGTTTAACTGACTACCAAACTTGACAAGGACTCACGGTCATATAAGTGCCTGTAGCTCCCCCGCGATATTTTGCATTCCTCCTACCATAAACTGCAAGCCGTGTTCATCAATCACTGAATCAAGAGGAGAGGAAAGAATGGTAATGAAGAAGGACGAAGGTAGCGACAAGCTACACAGTCAAAAGCGGAGAATGAGGTGACCAGACCATTAATAACCCTTGAAACCTGGAAACTAATCCTGCATTAACTTCTCAATCTATGTCATCTGGCTTCCAGCCAATAGGAAGTATGCCTCGCACTCGAATGCCTCTTCTATGGTCATCTCGGTGTCATGTACTTTATCCTCCCCTTACATCATGTCAGTTTGCATATTATAGCCTGTGAAAGTCACGCGATACAGTATTTCAATGCGTATGTGATTGATAAAGAAATATGCTCGACAATCCTTTACCTAAACATCGATTATGCTTGCTGATTTATAGTATTCCACAATACCAAAAGCCAAGTTGCTCGTTTTCTGGAGTCTTTTCTAGAGCAGATTGCCAAGCGAAAGACATGCTGGTTCAAGTAACGCTCAAGATCTGACCACTCTGGGCAGAACCTTATAAAAAAGACTTAATTATCACAGTGAAAGCAGAGTCTTCATCATAGTGTATTCTTTTCTTTCCCTCATCAACCAAATTGCACTTGTAGATGCTCCCTCCCATATCGGCAACATAGACGTATCTTCCATCGTAATCGAAAGCAATGCTCAAAGAAGGCTACGAAGGTTAGTAAATAGGCGTCAAAGGTTAAGGGGGGAAGAGGGCTCCGTGCAAAATTATCAAGAACGTTAAGGTCCTTGAAGCTTATAGATAGGCATGTATCTACATATTACAGCTTGAATCCGAGATCCCCATTGGTGGGATAGATAACTCCAATAGTATCTCTTTATGTCAGCCTGACGAGAAACGATTTTTCCTCACAGATTCCCTACTCTATGCAATAAAACTGGATAATTTAGTTCAGGCCCGGTGCTTGTGGAAGCGCTGACTAAGGCGTCTCCTAAGGCTACCGTCAAAGGTTTGAAAAGGACACTGTCTTCCTCTCAAAATCCCGCCAGATCCTGATAATTACCTTAGGATAAATTGTTCATACTCTAGTGTTCTAGTCGAACACGTTCTCTAGCCTACGATGCGCATGTGGCCCGGTCAACCGTGCCCCCCAAACTGATTTGCCTGACCCCCCGTTTGTGGAACCCAACGAACCCCAGAAGCGGGGAGGCTGTTCGCCACCAGCCCATTTCTGCGCCTAAGACCTCCCTTCTATACACGGCTCCAAGTCCAAAAATGGTGTATGGGGGGAAGCCTAGCACTGGATGTTACCTGTGTCGCAAGCGAAAGATTAAGGTAAGACCTGTGACTACATCTACAACGATTGTTTCCTTTTTGATCCGCCGTATATTCATATCTTTGTCAGATACTAAAAATTACTTCAACAGTGTGATGAAGGGCGCCCTGGGTGCCGGAATTGTGGTGTCTACGGGAGGCCTTGCCCGGGATACCGCCCTGATGCAGTTTTCCGCAATGAGAACAGGAAAGTTGAGCGCCAAGCAAAGAAGGACACGCTTCCTTCTGATACCAGCAGCCAAAGAGTAACACCCATTTCGCAATCTTCGGGAAGTGCGGACTGTCATCCTGGGGGGCCCTCAAGCACTAATACCTCGCTGTCGTTGATTCCCATGGCGGATGCGACATGGGAAGATCGCGCATTATGCTATTTTTTCGATCAATATATTATTGTACCCGATATTGAAGATGACATGGGCCACTTAGACTATTTGCCCTCGCTTTATTCAAAGATCGATCAGCAAAAGTCGACATCTTCTTGTCTTCGGTGGGCGGTCGACGCGACGGCATTTATGACTCTCGCCAACGTCTCACGAGCACCTCAACTCATGATGAAGGCGCGTCGAGGGTATGGAAAGGCCTTGAGTAGTCTGCGTGAAGCTTTAGCATCGCCTACCGAGGCTCTGAAAGATGAAACATTTGCCTCTGTGGTGATTCTGTCACTCTTCGAGGATGTCACTGGTGAACGAAATGGTCTATATAGCTCTCACACCGCTGGGTTCGAGTTTCTCATGAAAATCCGAGGTAAGGGTCAACTAAACAATCGACACGGCCGGGATATGTTCAACTTTGCCTATACACACACTGTATGTTCCTCCATTCCCCTTGCTGCAAAGTTGTTCTGACAAGAGTATAGTCCGTTGAGATTCTCGCGTTGGGAGATAAGCCTCGGATCGATATGGACTGGATTATAGACCAATTTAACGTCGACGATCCTGTCGAACGGCTCATGCTAGCTGCATCCAAACTTAGCCAAATTTTCTTGGCAATGCAAGCAGCATCCAGTTCGCCTGATTTAGCCACCGTCAAGCAGTGGATTGTTGCGGGTCAGGAGTGTGATTTCGAGCTCTCCCAATGGACACTCCACCTCCCCGATCGTTGGCTACCGCTAGTCGTCTATTCAGCGCAAGGCGAGACTTTACTTACATACAACCGCATCTCCAACTGCGTGATCTGGAACTATTATCGAGCCGTCCGAATCATGCTACAACAACTTCTCCTCAGCCTCAAACGAACTCACTCGGACATCATCTCGAAAAACAGGGTGCCTGCCAATCTCCTTGACACCGATGTTGCGCTTGACGAAACTGCCTTACGGGCTGTAATTCAAGAAATGACCACCGATGTCTGCCATAGTATCCCTTTTGCAATGTCTGATGTGGATACTCTTGGCCGACCGACAAAGCCGGGAGACCACCACACAACCATCCGGGCCGCGCAGGGCTATGGTCTCCTCTGGCCACTCTGGTACGTCGTTTCATGCGGCATGCCCTCACCACAACAAGTGAATGAGATTAGTTTGGTTCTATATCGCATTGGAACCCAACAGGGCATAAATCTTGCGCTGATTCTAGCCCGTGAGGCCGAACGAATCCGTGGCGATAGTAATTCCTTCAGAGCCCCTCCCCCTCAGATCGGACCTACCGGAGTTCATACCCCATGATGATTATATTGCATATTTTGATACTTGTACAAAATTTTCGGGTTATCTATTGGCGTTGCAGGTGGACATAAACAGGGGGATCTGGAGTCACATTTTCATTGTGTACATAATTCAATGTAACTTGATATAACTATCAAAGTGGAGCCGACGGCATTGACCGGATATCATGACGTCACGATTTCTGGGGATCCCTGTCCCTGATTGTCGCGTGTTAGACCTGATTCCCTGAGCTTTGAGCTAAGTTGATTATTCGGCTTTCAAAACAAAAGGATTTGAAAATTAATCGGTACATATTGCCTATTTAATATCCAATACCGGGGGATATAACCACTTTAGAGCCGCAGGTAAACATGGAATAAACAATCATCGCAGATCGCAGCGTTACTGATAAGCCCCATCGTGCCGGTCTAGCCGTTCCCGTCGACCCATTCATACTTAGGGGATAAGCTGTGCATGGAGCGCACTGACGCCATTCCTCCAACTGTTCTTCCAAGGTTCTCCTCTCCTTGTCATACCTGACTGCCTTCTCGATAATCTCTGTTCTCGTGTTTTTTGTATTCTCCAACTCAGTATTTGATCATGGCCACCCAAGAACGCAAACTTCCCTTTGGGAAGATCGAACCCAACTCCTCCAAGTACTTCTTCAGTTGCATGTTTGGCGGAGTTATCGGTATGTCTTTCTTCACAGGCGCTTTCTCCTCTTGAATCATGAATTGAGCTAATGCTAACGAATTTTCTTTTGGTTACAGCTTGTGGTATGCAATGTCGCTCTACACGACTTCTCCGCACCCAATTGACAGCCCCGCCTCTTAGGACCAACTCACACCGCTGTGACGCCACTCGATCTCGTAAAATGCCGTCGCCAAGTTGACCCCAAGATCTACACCTCGAATATCCAGGCATGGCGCACCATCTTCGCAAAGGAAGGCTTGCGCGGCGTGGTTTTTGGCTGGTCGCCCACTTTCCTGGGATACTCGTTCCAAGGCGCTGGCAAGTACGGTCTGTATGAGTACTTCAAGTACCTATATGGGGACCAGTTGTTCCCCGAAACGAACCGTACCTTAGTCTTCTTGGGTGCCAGTGCCTCCGCCGAGTTCTTCGCTGATATGGCCCTGTGCCCAATGGAAGCTATCAAGGTCCGCATGCAGACTACCTTGCCGCCCTATGCAAACAACCTGCGTGAGGGATGGAGCCGTATTGTGGCTAAGGAAGGCTTTGGTGGTCTCTACAAGGGATTGTATCCTCTATGGGCTCGTCAAATCCCTTATACGATGACCAAGTTTGCAACCTTTGAGGAGACCGTCAAGATGATCTACAAGACTATGGGTAAGCCTAAGGAGGAGTATAGCCAGTTGGCACAAACTGGGGTTAGTTTCCTGGGTGGATACATTGCCGGTATTTTCTGTGCTATTGTCAGCCACCCGGCCGATGTCATGGTGAGCAAGTTGAATGCTGATCGGAAGGGTGAGTCTCCTGTTTTGTGTTGGCATTAAGAACTGAGCCATTGACTAATAACCAATTTAGCTGGCGAGGGTGCGATGACCGCCGTTTCACGAATTTATGGCAACATCGGGTTCTCTGGCCTGTGGAATGGCCTGCCCGTCCGTATTGTGATGCTGGGCACGTTGACCGGTTTCCAATGGCTAATGTAAGTTGCTCCTATCTATCTGTGAGAAAATGAACACTAACCTTTCATAAAAACAGTTACGACTCATTTAAGGTGTTCTTGGGTCTGCCGACTACAGGTGGACACTAGATAGAAAGAACATAGCTAGTTTCAATTGGATAGCAATAATTCACACCGCCTTTGATATCACGGCAGAAACAAATCGCGTAGAAGAGTGCGACTCCTGCACATCTGCTCCTTGCAACGCAACGATTCCAGCTTTTTCTTTGAAACTTGTGGGTGAACGCAAGCATCCCATATATAATCCACTGTATACAATTCCGCTTGACTCCTTGTCATCGCCGTTTATACCACCGTCTTTCATTCCATCTCCACCCCATTACCGATCCCGACTCCACCCATCCATCAACTTGCAGCCAACAAGACGGATTGACAAAGATATCGCATTCCTTCCTTTCAATCGCTGCATACCCTATAACTCTTCACTCTCTTGATCTACAAAATGGAAGCTCGCACCTCAACCTCCGCAAACCCTCCCAGCGTGGAAATCGCCTACAAACGCAAATGCATCGCGCTGAAGAAGCGCCTCGCCGAAGTCGAGGTTGAGAATGACATGATTCGTACCCGGAACCGTCGTGGCTGGCAGTACATTCAGAAAATGCGCCTGGAGTCTTGTATGCTGCTGGAACGTCTCGCTAAGGTCACCAGCATGGCCAACGAGGCTCAGTCCGGTGCTGCGGACCCGGAATTGCGCGCCCGTGCGGCGGCGATGATGAATGATTCTGGTTCGATGAACGGTGCGGGTGGCGGACAGGCTGGTAATGGGAGATATTTCGACGATGAGACTGAGGGTAGTTCGGATGAGCAGCCGCGGACTGTGAGTAGCTACCTTATCCCTTTTTGACATCCTCGAGTCCTGGATTTTGAAGCATACTTGATTTGCATTGTCGCTGTATTTTGCAATGTCCTGCGCGCAGTGAACTTGAGCTCATATGTCATTCTTCCTCCAGCCCGAAGAACGTCCTCTCCGTGTCAAGCGCTCCCGCAAATCTAACCTTCCTGTCGATGGCGGGGATGAGGATCACCCTGCTCAAGACCCCGCGAATGAGCATGTAGATCATGAGGGAGGTGGTGCGTTGCCCCGTCTTGCCCCTGCTCCAAGCCAGCAGGATCTTACTTCTTCATTCCGTGTCCAGACCGGTAGCAATGGCTCTCCTCATGAAGGCGAGCAGACACCCCACAGTCAAGATAATCGCGAGGGCCACTCAGAGCATGCACATGCTGAGGCTGCTGATTCGGGGACTACGCCTATGGATATGGATACGACCGAGCCTAAGGCCGAGGAGTAATGATAATCTTTTCTACATTTCCTTTTTTTTCTTCTTTGCTTCCTTTGAACCCGTGGTGATCTGGGGTTCCTGTTTTTTTTTTTTTTTTTTTTGTACGGAAAAAGGTCCCTTTTTTCTTGATCTCTTCACATTTCTGCTTGGGTGTCGTGTCTTTTCATACAGCGCTGATATTGATTATTCTTTCTCGGCTTATGGCCTGTTTCTTTTCTCGTTTTCTGTCTACCATGCTTTCAGGTCTGTCATCTCTATGGGCTACTGCATGTTGCATGTGATTGGTACCAAGGTTAAAATACTATTGTCACTACCGAGGATTCATGACTGGCGGTTAAACGAGTTGTAGTTTGACTAAATTGGTCTGGACCGATATGCATTCAAGGTATGAACATAGAGAATCTGTACAAAGAAATAAAAGCTCGCACCTAAACCCCATTTCCTTGGAATCAACCAAGGCAGATAAACTCCGATCCCAGTAAGCAGAAAAGGTGAATTACGTAGCGTGTGGCGGAGGTGGCCTCGTCTGTGTGCGGTGAAAACAGGGTTGAGCAATAGCTCAAATAAGATGTTGTCAGAAATCAGACATTCTGGAAGCTATTGCGAGTTGACAGCGAGTGAAGATAGCAAAAATCAAGTCAGAGCTCAGGCTGTTCAGAGATAGAAGATATTGGATAATGATGCGTTTTGCAGGCGTTGCCTTTGTATCATGCAAGATATCAGATTTCAGTTGGTATCAAATGGCGGAATATCTGCTTCGAAGTCTCAGAGTTTCCGGGAGATAGTTTGAGGCAATATCGGTAGAAGTGCAGGACCCGGAAGCTTAGTCGACCCCGGCGTAAAGATCAACAACGATGTTGATAGCGGCAACAAGAATCTCGGCTGCAATTAAAACAATGACTGGTATTTCATTAGCATGGTCCTGGTTCTAGTAGGCAGGGTGAATCTTACCAATCCATTCAAGATATTCGCCGTGGCGGTGCGTTAACTGATCTTTCAACACAGCAAGAAGATCGGCAATGACATCCAATCGCTCTGTGAGTAAACTGACTCTCTGGTCCATTTCCAGATAACTTCGGACAGCTTGGTACACCGGTTCCAGTTGGGGCTCTGCCCAGAAGAGTTCTGGACTATCCAGAACAGACCCTTGCAAGTGAATGTTAATTCGCAAGATGAATAGCTCTCCGATCTGCATGTTGATTTGCTTCCGCGTCAGATTGACACTACCAGTCTGCGCGATCTGAGCAGGCAGCGGGGCGGTGTCTGAAATAGTTTCAGATACCAGGTCCTCGAAGAGAGAGGTCTTGACTGATTGGGATAGGGCATGTGAGATTGCCAACTTGATCATATGGTTGCGAGGCTCGCGGAGCGAAATGAAATCGTTGTATATACGAGCCTGGTATTCCCGCGCATAGTAAAAGTTGAAATTTTCGACTTGTGTGTCATCCGGACTCAATATGGAGGTAGCAAACTTCGATATGTCTGACAAGAAACGTGATTCTTGTGCAGGGGTCATACCCCAGATGACAACAGTTCCGTAGTCAAACAAGAAAACCTCGGGCATATGGATTGTTGTATCAATATCATACTGCTGGTCCTGGGGCTGCACTGCGGCTAATGCGTGTTCTGTATTTTCGGAGTGAACAGCTGCCTCCTCGCGGAAATCGATCAGATCTTCCCTTCGGGACTTCGTGTTGTCATCCACCTCGACGACGCTATCCGAGTACCTGCGCTCGCTTGCTCGCCAATCGTGGTGGCCATTGTTGGTGGAAGATGGGAAAACTCTTGAATTTTGCTTCTCTTCATATTGATAATCGAAACCAGAGTAGACGCACTCGTCGTACAGCTTGGGATTGGCTCCGCGGGTTTTGGCCCGGGATTTGAGGAATTTGATCACTCCTTCCAGGCGATAGGAATTGGCGGTACAGTACGCAGTCACCCGAGGAATGCGATCTCGGTCGGCCTTGCCCAGCCGGGCCGCGTGACTTCGTGCAGCAGGCTCTTTGATGCGAGTAATCTGCGAATAGACATCGCGAGGGAAATCTCCATCGCTCTCTTCCTCTTCAGCAGTTACTGGATCCGGAAGCAATTTCAACTTCTGGGCTTTCTTGGTTGTACGCTGCGGGCCAATTTTCGGCGCGTTGACCGTATTCGGCGGTGTGCTGTAAGGAGCACCATGGCTATTGCGACGGCGAAGTTTGCTATTCAATGCTGACAGCATAGGCTGACTGGGAGATCGAGGCGAGCCACCATGGGCATTGGTGTTTTGAACGGGGGGGAGCCGGTATGCAATGGACGATAAGTGGGATCGGAGGTGGTGCCGCCATACGTACTGATTTGCGTCAGAGGGTTGAATGTCACCGACCGCGACGTCCGATTCGCCCGCGGGGACGCCGGGCTATGGTGGTTGGGTAACAGGGGGGAATCTTCTGCAGCAGACGCCATGGCCGAAAAACAGGCGACTCCGCTGGGGAGAGAATGGAAGCTGGAAAATTCGAAGGTTGAAGCTTCCAAGGCCGGCGCTCCGCACGTGGTCCCCACCTTATTAATCTAAACCGTTGACGCAATTGAGGATTCAATGCACTTCCCAGTTCCAGAACTTTGTGTTGCGTAGCTTGAGACTTGGTAGGAGGAACCCGGTCATGCTGAGATTCTTTTTAGGTCTGAGATTATTTTGTGTTATTTTACTTCTTTTTCTCTTTCTCCCCTTGCATTGATAGGACTCCGCAATACTGATACTAGCCGAAAGCAGCTATGAATTGTCAACGAATTGTACATTAACATCCCGAGGTCGCTATGAATTCTTTTGAAAATGACAAAGGCCAAATCCTGGCGTAAATTAATACAATTTTTCAACGGCGCACAAACCCCGAGGAACCACCCGCAGTCCTGCGCAATCCGTTGACATGTCCGGTACTTCGCTGTCCCCTCATCCAGGTATCCTTTACATTCCGTCCAGCCTTAGAGGCCTTGGGAGCGAGGGTCGTGGTGGACTTCCGCTTTGCGGAAGGTGCGTCAAGCACTCGAATGGTAACATCGCCCACTTGCACATCCTTGGGGGCCTTCTCTGTTTTGTCGAGGAACCGCAGCTTATTCGACTTCTTCGGCACGGATGAGTCTTCTGCTGGGGGTGTCAGAGCTCGGGTTGCAGGTTCGGCGTTCAAGATGTCATCGGGCAGCAATGCGGGCAGAGCACTCCGGCGTGCGTCTTGTGTGTTTGAGCCCTGGAGGGTGGCTGTGCTTTCGGAAAGTAGATCGTCGCTGCCAGTAGCCTCCTTGACCTTTGACTTGGCTTGCAACTTGCGGCGCGCATCAAGTTTCCTCCGCTTTTCCTTCTTTAGTTGTTCCTCTCTGTTGTACGTTAGAAAGACAAGATCCATTAGGAAACCGGGTTTCGTGAAGTGGTGGCACATACAATTGCTTCGCTTTTTCTTGCTTTTTTGCCTTCTCCTTCATCTGCAAGAGTTGAGCGGAATTATCGATTGTCTCGGGCGCCTCATCATCATCGCTACTGTCGTCTTCCTCGTCGTCGTTCTGTGCTTGGGTGATTTGTTCAGGCTGGGGCTCCGGCACGGCAGGTTCCTCACTACCAAATCGGAAGTGGCTCTTGGGCTCAGACTCTGTTGATTTCTTCTCTGTCTTAGGAGAGCTGGTTTCCTCATCGTCACTCTCCGCAGCCTCCAGGCTATTCCGCTTTCGCCGCTTAGTTTGCTGCTCATCGGTCGGTGCCTTGCGCTTTCCTTGCTGTCCATGCTTCACATAAGCGTTTGTTCTCGGCGACTTGGAGGCATCTTTGGCCGCGGTCTCTCGTCGAGTGGAAGTAGCCATTTCCGATGTGGTTGCGGCGGAGGCGACAGCAGGATCTGCCTCTTGAGACTCTGATCGCGCAAATAGACCCTTAGCCGCAGTGACTAGGTGAGAGAGCATAGAGATCTGTAGATACAGAAAAGAAGCGAAAACCCAAGGCCAAAAGTGGATGTGATGTGTCGAGCTGCTGCGGGATGCTACAAAAAAAAATAGTTATCGGCCTTAGGATTTCCCGAGATAACGGGGTCATGTGATCTGTTCCATCGGTTCACAGGCGATGAACGGCCTCGAAATTCTACATGATTTTTGGCGGCTGAAAATGCTGAAGTTGAAGTTTCTTTAAACTGGGGAATAATATTGATAGCTTAGCAAATGTGTGTGGGCAAGAATGGAAGATCTATTCCCAAGAGCATTCTAAATTTGGACCTTGGAATTCCCCGGTATGGATAGCCCTCACGATATATACTTCAGAATTTTGGGAGGCGCAAAGCATTTGCCAGCAATTAGAATTATTCCAAGTTGAGCCCTGGAGGCTTGTCTCCGGCCAAAGAAACTGCCCTCCGGAGCAATTAGGTACTTAATCATGGAAAAACACGCACGTTTAGGTTTAAGGATTCTCCAAGTATTGAAGTTGTGTGGCTATGTTTTTATTGTTCCAAATATGAAGTCTTGAAAGGTAATTCGTGGACTGGCCTAGTCATGTACCAGAAAATTCATAGATGTAAAAGAAGGGCTTTCAAAGCGGAAATCTTAACCTCTGGGAAGATTAAAAGTAAACGACTAACCTCCGCAAGGTAATGCATATGTACAATTTCCTACCCAATCGGCATGTGATTGAAGAACAACAGTTCAGAAATCCTACAGGAAGCGACCGGGCTTGGCCAGCCATTGAGCGACGTAGTTGAAGCAAGTTTCAGCAGTGTTGCCATATTCACCAGGGTAAGACTCACACACAGTGCAAGTGACAATAGTGTGCTGAGCACCCTCAACGAAAGCAATCGAAGTATCATTGCTAGTAGCCTGGAGATGAAGCTTCTCAGCATTCAGGTACTCGTAGTGGCCGGTCATACCCATAGTCAAAAGAGGAACCTTAACACCAGCGATAGCAGCGTGAGGAGCAGTCTGGCTGGAGGCATAGTCAATACCGTCAAATCAGTCAACCTTGATGTTGAAGGTGTCTTTGACCCGGATAGCAAATGTCGAGAGGAAACGACGGACGGTAGTCTTTAAAGCACCACTCTGCCAGTTGTTGGAGTAGTCATCGAAGTTTGCTGGTACTCGGACCGAAGGAACAATTTGAGTGGTGGTTCCGTTCTTGTGAAGAAGAGGCCAAGCGTGAGAAGTGTGGTGAATGTAAAGAGTGTCTTGGGTAAAAAACAGGTTGTTGAATCCGATATAAAGGGATGCTGGAATAGTCAAGGGTTCGTCATCGCCGAACATGCCCTTTCCAGCATCAAGGGCTTTCAGACGCTCCTGAGCGTGCTCAAGTATACGGTTGTTGCGAGCCACGACACCAGTCTGGAATCGCTCTTTGAATTCGGCAGTATAGTTGGATTAAGTGTTGTTGACAAAACCATTCGCAGTGTTGTAGACACTTAGGGACTCGTTTAGTTTAGAAGGGTTGGTCTCCTCCTCAATAGCGGGATTCAAGCTAAGAAAGGCCATAGTTGAAAGACCGTAATTGGCGTCAAGGAGCATCAGACCGTCGGCTGGCACCAAGTCATCCATTTCATCGGAGCAGGGGTAGATCTTTTCAGTTCCATTGCATGCTGATGCGCCATTCTCAGCAATGTTCTGGTAGGCTGCCATCATAGCACCACCACCACTGTGTCCCAGAATGACCACCCTATCGATATCGATTTGGTTTTTGAACCAAGCTAAGCCAGTGCTGACCTCGGTCATCAGATCCTCAAAGTTGAGGTCTGACATGTAACCGTATTTGCTAGCTTCATTATTGGCACAGAAAGTCGTGTAGCCGTGCTTCGGCAGTGCGGTACAGGCAATGAAAGAAGTGTAGTCCTGCTCCGCATGCATCACGTAGACGCCAATGCGGGATCGAGCAGACGTGCTGTTGGGCCGATAAAGACCACCAAGCACACCGGTTTCATCAAAATCTTTCAGAATGGGCAAGGGCATCTGAGTAGCAGCGGCCTCTTGGGCAAAAGCCCCCAAAGAGACTAGAGCAGCGGTGGCAGCTCCTTTTGAAAATAACATCATGCGAAAAAGACAAAAATATGTGAAAGCCAGGATAGAAACCTTGGAGTGAGTAATTTGATGAGAGGAAGTCCCAAGATCACATTCGTCGAGAAATGGCTTGGGCTTTATACTCCTCCCACTTAGCAAATTTCCCACGCAACCGTCGAAAGCGTCCCCGTGTGCGCCCGGGTAAAAATGGTGGAGCAAGATCACCCCACAGAGACGTACATTGCATATATACCGAAGTGCAGATCGAAGTGGATCGACTAGATCATTTCATGCGCCAAAGAAGAAGCCTTGGGTTCGGATCAAGTCAATCCCGCCGAACTATGCTATCAGTCAAGAACCATTTGTTTTGCTACCAACCTTGTATTCAAACCAGACCCTAGGATCACCACTATCATCCAACATGTATGCCTTTCTATCCTTGGAGTTTGCCGTCTTGCTTGCAAAATTTCGGACAAGGTTCCCCACAGAAGCTGCATAACCCCGAAAATTAGGCCTGGAACGAGTAACTATGCCCGAGTGGAGGATACCCGTTGGTATCTGCAATTGAGCCTGGATATTGCTCCACCTTCTGCTTCGAATGTTCAAAGATCATCATTTTTTGCGGAGTCTAGTCCTAATTGAAACAAATCTCTCGGCATTGAATATCAACTACTTCTCAGATAGGGTTGGGTAGGCCTAAACAAGGCACGGAAGTACGTACACCTGATTTGGGTGATAACAGGACATTGTGGGCTAATCCCTTGCTTCAATCGTAGCTTGCCTAATCGATGAATATGCCCGGTCCCTGGCATTTTATTCCTGTAACCGCGGAATATGTGACTATGAACGGACACGGACGGAGGGCCCGCAAATAAGACCTCATGTTGTACCTGGGATTATCTGGTATTTGATTCTTCAAGGCCTCGCTACTATTTTAATTCTTAGAAGGTTTCTTAAATAATTTCTGATATTTCTCTTCAGGTATCAGAGGAGAGATAGGTCCGGTAATATGCACCCTTGGTATCTCAAATATGCCCCATGTAAAACACCTAAATCATCTAGCTCGGAAGCGCTTAAACGAAAGAACGACACACGCCATACCATGCCTGTTAACGCCGAAATTCCAGTGCAACAGATTAATAGCCCCAGATTAAAATCACACTGTACAGATGAAACGACCCAGCGTTTCTAAGCGTTGTCCTGTTCATTTTGTCTCATAAGATTCTCGCCGCATAGCCGTCGTTCAGCAGCTTCCTCACGAGCGTTGATGAAATCATCCTCACCAATATCGCTGACATCTTCATAGAATTTCTGGGACTCAGCAGCATCGTCTCCAGGAACGGCCCACATACTTTCTCGAAGGCGTTTGTTCCGCTCACGATCTTCTTCAATTCTCTGCTCGATCTGTCGCTTGTCGACACGGACGTGCGGCTTGGTATTACGAGGTGTCCCTGTCTTGGATGTGGCACTATCATCCTGCGCCTCATCTTGCTCCAGATCCAAGTGTGCAGGGTGGGAGTCGCGGTCTTTGAGGGCGGCGTCGATCTCGGTCACAGTCTCGGCGGAGAGGATCTGTTTGGCTTGAAGACTGCTAAGCACTCGTCGGACATGCTTGACGTTCGCTGCACCAGTGCCATCGGGGGGAACCACTGCATCAACGACACGAAGAATATCGCGTTGCATCATTCGTACGTAGGGAAGGTGGTCTTCTTTGGTTGCCATTTCACAAAAGTGTTCGATAAAAGACATGATGTTGGCTCGAGTATTCATGTTATTCTGTAAGTTTAATTTTAGCAAGATATTAATAAAACAAGACTGCTATCTCTTACTCTCTCAAGCTGCTCCAAAATGCAGGAGTGAAGGTCCTCGTCCAGGTCGCGGTATTTGAGCGCATAATGGGCCGCTTTTTGCGAGGATGTAACCGTGGCGCTCAAGCGTTGAAGCTGGGTTGTGAAGCGCATGCGCACTTCAAACGGGTCAACCATCATCTTGACATTAGGATCCTCCTTAAAAGGAGTAGGGTCCGGTTGATTGGATGGGGACGCCATTCTGCGGATTTGGGTTATCGATTATCGAAGATATTGGGCGGTGTGGATTGGCAAAAAGAGACAGGGAGATGACGAGAGCTTGGAAGTGAGAGAGATTGTCAACAACAGTCGAAGCTAACTTGCGTGTTTTATTTGAGACAAACACATACAAGAGTCATTGACTCACAAGCGCAAAGTCCATAGCTTGCCACGTATATACGCAACAGCAAATTCTCTTCTGAAATCAGAATATATTCATGTCTACATTAGATGGCCGATCTAGCTGGCACCGCAAATTGCTCCCCAGGTTTCGGAGACAATAAGTCATTAAATGTACAGGAAATCAAGGTCTAGAAGTCAACCCTAAAACGAGTCTCTTCTCAGGGAACTGCCAAGACTACTTCTTCCGTCGGCATGCAGCAACCCGACCTCTTCGGCTGTATGAGCGTCATGGAATCCATCATCACGGAGGGCCTCCTGTCGACGGAACTCCACGCCATTGAGGACCGCCCAGACATCCTTCTTGGTCAAAAGACCTTGCAGGATTCCCTTGTTGGAGAACAAAACATAACGCAGGCCAAGACGCTGGAACATCCGTAACACGATCAAGAAGCTGATGTTGCTATTGAGCGTGATTGGAGTTTGATCCATCCAAGGTCGGAGATCCAGTGTATCCACGGGGTCTGCAAAGGGTTGATGTAGAAAGAAAACCTGAGTCTCATCGGCAAGATTGCGGTTGGTAGGCGAAGTGGAGTACTTCAGTGCAAAGGACAACTCATTGCGAGTGATGTAGCCTAGAAGAACGGGTTTCGAGGTTTCATTGATGACGGGAAAACCACGGTAGCTGGTGTTGGCGAGAAGACTGCGAAGAGAGCTAATTGTATGGCCGGTGGCAGTGATCACGGAAACATCATCAACAGTCGTCATTACCCGATGCGCAGAAACATCTGGCGGGTTTGTGTCGTCTCGATGATCCAGAAAGGGGTATTCGTTCAGCTGAATCCATGATTCGTAAATTCCACGCTTGCCGAAAATGTCACCGCACCACTTCGATAGCATAACAGCAATCATGATAGGGATTACATAGGTAAGGGCGCCAGTCAACTCGAACATGATGACAACAATTGAAAGAGTCATCCGAGTTGCACCGCCGAGAGCAGACGCCGCACCGATGATAGCGTATAGACCGGGAGTCACACAGGGGATGTCAGGTTCACACTTGGCAAAGAGGAAAGCTTTGGGGTAAGCTTCTTGCCACATTCGAACAAGCATTCCCAAAGCACGCCCGTACAGAGCACCGATAGCGACGGAAGGGAGAATGATGCCAGCCGGGATGTCAAGCCCAAATGTCAAAGAAGCGAGCAAAAAGGCCAGTGCAGCCCCAACCAACAACATAGCAACGACGGCTAGGGATGCAGGTCCTGACACGCAGAGGCCAAACCGATCGGTCGTCTCGCTACTGCATTCTGCAAACAATGCTTGGACAAGCTCTGAGTTCTGGGCTCTCATGAAATGATTCGGAAAGTTGATTAAAGCTGTTAGAAGTGCCACTGCTGCCACTTCCAAGAGCGGCCGTGACCAGCCCCGAGAACGCCGCCATTGGGCGATTTTGGTGTTCACACGGATAAAGAATGCCCCAAACAGACCACCTATAATCCCAAGAATGATGAACGGGATGATTTCAAACCGGTGCCACCCCCGTGTGTAGGTGACTTGGTACAAAACAATCTTCCCAGTGCGGAATGGGTTGATAGCCTGCAATGTGACGGCCGCGACCATGGCACAAACAAAGCTCTGCCACATGGTCTTGTCTGGGAAATAGTAGGAAAGTTGCTGCGAAAGTTAGGATCATGAAAGGCCACTTTACATTCAAGGGTCTTGCCTACCTCCAAGCTGAAAAGTACACCTCCGATGGGCGCACCGAAGGCGACAGATATGCCAGCTGCAGCGGCTGCAGAGAGGACTTCACGTTTTCGTGCTGCAAAAATTAGCATTGAACGGGACAAATGATGCACGGCACCCACCTTCGTTGCCATTCAGGCTGTCAAAGGGCTTCATCATGATGTTGGCACAGCAGCATGCCACATGCACCAGTGGGCCTTCCTTGCCTAGCCACAGACCCGACGCAACGGCAAGACACTAATGATATTGTTAGTAAAAATAGAGAGTAAAATCTTCGAGGAACCCATACTAGGCCAAGAGACTTGATAGTCAGCGTCCAAGGACCCATGAAATGCCGAATCACGGTTCCTCCAAGAACAGTCTTAATCTCAGGAATTCCACTGTGGCGGGCATAGATGGCAAATCTTCGTACTAGAACGCACGCGGTCGATGCGAATACCACCTAGCTATCGTTAGTGGGCAAACATCAGGTGATGGGCAGGGAACTTACAGAAAACAAAATGAAAAAAATATACTCAATAGTATACTTTCCACCAACAGAAGAGGAGCCGAGAGCAGATCCCCACGGTGTCCAATCCATGCATTTTGTTTGATCTATGTCCCACGCATTCCATTAGCACTAGATGCAAGTATCCACCGTGATTTAGGAGATGGTACCGTCTAGACCCCAGCAGCAAAAGCTTCGATTCAAATAAAATTTGCCGCCACCACTGCCGTTTTTACAATAACCGGTTTTGAGATCTCCAAGCCAGTTGGTCGCGATATCGATGGACGCGGCAATAATTCCGACGGCGATGCCCGTTGCAACCAGAACGAACCAGATGTTACCGGCCTCTAGAAATCGGCGGACATGACCCAAGACGCCCTGACCACTGGAGTATAACAAGCGCTTTCTTTGTCGCTCTTTTGTATACTCGTAGATCCAATCGATCGCGGTAAAGTCGTCATACCCGACTCGTCGACCTGGACCTTCTACATACCAGTCCAGAGGGGCCCCGTCTTTAGAGGAGTTTGGGTCCGCGTTCAAGCCCCCTGGTCCATAAGCATCTATTGGCGATGCATCTCCGTTTTGTCCACCTGGCGATCCCGAATGGCCTAGCCCTGTATTCGACCCGCCGGCGGTATTCGAGAAGAGGCTTGATAAGCTAAATCGGGATTGTCGTTTTTGTTTGGGTTTGAAGGATATCCTGTAGCAGCCAGGTATTAGCACGGCACCAATTCCAAAATGCCGTAACACTTACGGTTCGTGCAACCCCTCCGTGTCCCGACGGAAATCATGGGGTTGCGAGAGATCTGCTTCCTGTTCGGGGTGATCTGGGTATATCGCCCGGCAGTGATCATCACTGCCCGCGCCTTGACCCGTTAATGACATCTTGAACCATGAATGCTCCACAAAGCCAGCATCTCCAGACGCGTTTCTAGGAGAGTTGTCTTTATCACCAGCTGGATCGGAGCTGCGCAAGCTGAGCCGCTTAGTCACCTTAGTTAAGAATGGGCGGTAACTGGAGTGGGTGGGGCTGGACCGCCGGGACGCGGCAGAAAAAAAAAAGTAACGGGGAATTTCAGTCTCGCTACAACATTTACAATTTTCACATTTTACATATCAAAAGGAGCTCCCTCTACGCAGCCGGGTCTCAGAATGAATGGAAGACCCGTCTACGAGAGGACTCTGTCAGAGTCCGAGCTGTTGAATCAGCTCCCGAATGAACTTACAACTCTCATTCGGTCATCCGAGGGGACTCAGCAGCTCCATGCGCTTGCGCTCGGCGCATTAAATACACAATTCACAGAATGTATTTTCCGACTATATGAGCCAATTGCCGTCGACTTGGCAGCTCGATGGCTCCGATCCGATATCCAGGCCGACCATATTCAGATTTTGGCCGCATTCGCCCGCATCCTCCCGTTCGCTTCATACCTTCGATCTTTCGCTGGCCAATATGCTTTGTCACAGACCGGACCTCTGTCGGCGTTGGCTGGCTCAAAAGAATTAACATTACGACAGTTGGACCCCAGCAGCACCCGAACTGTGCTCCTCGCCCTGTTTCGACTGCTATCATTCGACTTGGAAACCTTCTCAAAAGCCGTATCGCCGATCCAGCTTCAATCTCTGTTCCCGCACGAAGACCCCGTCATCCGATACCTTGCCGTGCGATGCTTTGCCATGTATATGCATGCGGCAGACGCCGCCAGCGAAAGTATGCTGCGCGTCAACACTGGCACCGATCCAATCGAAGGGGAGTGGGAGGGAGTCACAATTGATTACCGCCTCTTGGGCCTGTGGGAAGAGCGTAGATGGGAGGCTCTCGGCAAGACCATGGAAATTCAGAGATCGTCACGATCGGATAGTGAAATTACTGAAATGGTGGACCGGGTACGAGGCTCTCTTACGCTCAGGTCGGCTGATGTGTGCGGCATCCTGATTCCTCGCCTGAAAGACGGACTTCCGTCCTCGTCGTCTTCAGTCGTGAAGACTCCGACCACGACGGAAAACCTGCGCCGTATTGCAAAGTCGCTTCTGGGCTTCAAGCCTATCTTGTTGATAGGTTTATCCAACTCAGGAAAGACGTCGCTCATCAATGATATCGCATGCACAATGGGCCAAGCAGAGTCTATGGTCACACTGCACCTCAATGAGCAGACAGATGCGAAGAGTCTTCTTGGAATGTATGCTACGTCTTCTACAACAGGTTCATTTTCCTGGCAGCCAGGTGTATTGACAAAAGCTGCGAGAGAAGGACGTTGGGTTTTAATTGAAGATCTTGATCGTGCTCCCTCCGAGGTTCTTGGTCTCATTCTACCAATTATTGAGAGGGGAGAATTGACCATCGCGAGCCGAAGGGAGAGAATCAAGTGCGCTGAGGGTTTCAAGATTATTGCGACCATGAAATCGTCTTACAACATTGCGGGTGAAGAGATTGCCCCGAGTTCCTCGATGCTTGGCAGTAGATTGTGGCAGAGAGTTCAAGTTTCGTCTCTCCCAGTTGAGGAAATGCGAGACGTCATCTTGCAAAAGTTTCCTCTCTTGGAGTCCCGAGTGCCCGTGATAATGGATGTGTATGCTAGAGTCTGCTCTGCATTCCATGGAAGCCTGGCAATCAAAGGCTCCCAGGGCCGCA